AAGGCTAATTACCAGCCACAACACAGGTGCGTCTGGAGAGAAGGAAGGTAATCAGGCCGGCGCAAGCGCGCGTTCTTGACCTGGTGACACCGTAAACGAGACGTCGTACCGCGACGCCGTCGAGGGGAAGTTGAACGAGGCGTGAGGAGGGGGGGTAACACAGCCTAGCCAGGCCGTGTAGGACGAGGTGGAGGCTTCGATTGTTTCGTTTGCTTCTGGGGACCTGGACCACTTTGCGACTGTGACCGCGGGAGGCCCTGCACGGCGCACACTTCGGAACTTGCTGGCGCGACTAGGGTTGGGGTGGCAGGCATGAGGCGTGTTTTGCGCGTGAGAGAAGGAGAGGCACTCTGGGGCGACCAAGCGAGACAGGTTTGCCGAGTCGTCAATTACGCGTTAGGCCTTTCTAGGAGAGACTTTCAAGGGTACTGGTTCAGTCGGGACTTGGGACGGTGTCTTTGGACGGCTGTTCGCAGCAAGGGTGGAAAACCAGAGGATTCGAATGTATTCCGTTGACGAGACTTGGGCGACAGTTACGGCGGAATACTGTTCGCCTTAAGATCTGTGTTTGTGGGAGAGAGGGAGGCGATTCTGTCAGTCGCGATTGCCAGTGGGCCTCCCTTAGCATCAGTTTGCTTTATGCTGAGTGAGATTCATGAAAGTATGTGCACGCTGAATAAATAAGTCACAACTCCAACAGCGCCGTTACACTTGTTGGAGCGCCCTAGCTAGTGTAGAGTTGCAACGTCCGAGCGAGGGTGGCTGGGAAATGCGCGCAGATCGATGGACTGATGGCGATGACTGACAGTGACGGCGCGCTGCGGCTCATCAGGGCAGGAGATGGGATGCGCAAGGATAAGATCGGGAGAAGACGAGGCTGCCTGCACAAGGAAGTTGAAGGGGCGAGATAGATCGTCAAAGACCGAATGGGAATCCGACCCGGGAGCAAGCCTGTCGGGAAGGATGTCAAAAGTCGCCTTCGTCGTCGGCAGGCCTGTCTGTGTGCTCGCTCGTTCAACGGCTGACGATGGGCTGCGGGGCTGCCAATCCGGGCATAAGTTGATGTAAGGCAGGGTAGAGAAAGAGAAGTACTGTCAGTGTTGGTGGGATGGGTTGGTGGGTGGTACGGATGGAGGGATGTTGGCATAACCTGTTGTGCGCATCCGAACCCAGAGGCCAGAGTCGGGTCAACGACACAAGGACGAGCATGTGGTGGTGTCGCTGTGGTGTGGGAGTGACGAGTGTGTGGTCGGCGCCGTAGTCATCATGCGTGTCGGCCGTGCCTTTTGTGCGTGTCCATGTCACAATGCCGTGTCGTTTTTCGATGCCGCTGGTGTCGCGGTCGCTGTGCCTGTCGCTGGTGGTGGTGGTGTGCTTGGAGTCTTCTGGCCCATGCATATTTCTGCCGCCATTTCCTCGTCAAAGTAGTGCCGACCTCTGGCGGCAAGCTCTCTCTTTTCTTCTCTCCCTCCCTCTGTCCCTCTCTGTCCCTCTCCCTCGTCTAACCCGGCAGTGGCTTTGTCTCACGCGCCTCCCGCGTCTCTTATTCCGTCGTCGGTTTCTTCCTTTTTCTCGGCAACCAACCGCATCCTCTGCCCATTTGCAATGCGTATGTCTCACCAGTCCCCCAAAAGGGAAGATATGCTCTCTGGTTGGCTGCGAGCCACATCCCGGGGCCTCTTTCGTTCGCATCCGAGGTCGAAAATGGGGCCCGACGCTCGTAAATGCCTTCCTGGTTGACCCTCACTGGAGGTAGCCAACCCTCATATCACATATGACTGACTGCATACGCTGTAGCTCTCCCCCTCCTTCTCCCTCTAGCTTTGTCTCTCTGCTTCTGCGATATGCAATCGACAGAGCATATATCCCTGTCTCCCGCCCGTCCTGCACACACGCTTCGGTGCAGCACGGTCCCTCCGCCACGCTGCTAGTGGCCCGGAACTGGGCTGAGAAGAGCCATATGCAGCCCGTTTTTTCAGAGTGCAGACTGGGAGTACAATAGGGAGGAACAGTGGCCTGCAGATGCAGATGCAGATGCAGTGCTATGCTCGAGTAAGAGGGTTGCGTCCGCTGGCCAATCCGATGGATCGACACGTTCCGCCTGACTAGTCTTGCTGCCACTTGCAGAACGTCATTGTTGATGGTGCTCGCCGAGAGCATGATACTCCTTGTCTCTGGACAATGAGAGACGTAAGCTTAAATGAGAAAATACCACCAGAAAATGTCAGCACTAGCCAACAGTTCTGATGGGCTTGGAGAGAGAGAGTCAGAGAGAGAGCAATGATTGTAGGGGAGCTGATGGACGTCAAATGAACAATGAACTTGGCTGAGCATCAGCAAGCGGTCTTTTTCCGCCTGCACTTGCACTCGCAGTGTCAGTGAACTAGCAGCAACCACTTGGTCGCCCGAGTTCCCCTTTGATGGTGGTGGTGCTTGCTCTGTTCCGGGGCTTGCTCGGGTTGCGAAGCCGCCCCCCTCCCCCGCCAACTTCGGCGACTGTTCTGTCAGCAGGTGCCCCCTCCGTTTCCTTCCTTCATCTGTCTTCCTCTTCTCCCTCTCCCGAATCGGCCGTCCTCTTGTTCTTCTCGTTCAACGCGCCGTTCGCTGCGACTTTGGACATTTTCTTTGACGACAAAAAAAAAAAAGAAACATGATCGACGTACGACCGAATAAGGGTATAAGGGCGTTCTTAGTGCCCGCGACGGAATTGCGGTTTGCCGTCCTCATTGGCTACGGCACAGCGAAACCCAGTCCGCTGGTGACTTCAGCAGGAAACCACTGGATTCCCTCCTCGCCAATCATCGACCAAGACCAGCATATGAGCCAGCACGGGGCACGGGTTCGTCACATTGCCTGCTTGTCAGAGGGGGCCGCGGCGAAGAGCGGCGCCGCACATGAGTGGACAGTGGACTGATGCCCGAATCTCCCACTCGTTGCTGCGAGGGCGGGCGGCCCGTAATGTGACCCGAAGGAGAGAGAAGCGAAGCAATGAGGCTGAAGAATTCGAGAACCCCATTGTTGCGAATCGACGACAGTCGGGTGTCGATATTGACAAGGCAACAGACCGACCTCGGGTTTCAAGGTTGTTGCGTTCTTCCGCCGCCTCTTTATACTCTCTGCCCAAGTTGGCCACCTCATCCGGCTTCAGCGACGTTTTTGCTGCACAATGAGCTGGCAGCCTCCCACTGGGAGGACCCACCCATGTGCAACCCGTCCATGTAAATGGCTCTCTGCCATTCCCATAGTCCCAGACGCCAGCAGACGATGCAGACCTGCCGTAGCTACCAGGGCCTTATGGCCCATCTCTGGTACGGTCGCTACATGTCGGGTTCTCCATCTGAGTGCTAATCGGCTACCCGCGTGGTTGGTTACGTTGCCTGCATCGTCGTGTTCTGTGCGTCATGTTACTTCAAACCCCCTTACCCTCCAGTTCAAGCTGGTCTCTGGTGTCTGCACGCAAACGCGTGAGGAACTCTAACAACTCTCTACACCGTTCCAGAAGCACTCGGCCGGTCATTTGTATATGAGTTGAAAACGTTGCATGGCGTGTGCATTGTAGAGCAGCCATCACCGTCCTAGGCGAGAGTTGCGAGCCACTTTACCTGCCCACCGCGGCGTCAATATCGGATAGCGACCAGGCCTGAAGACCAGGCTTTGCGGAGACCATAAGACGATGACTTGTACGGATAGCATCAAACGCTCGACGGAGACTCCAACCCCGCGGGAAACAATAGAGTTCAGGGTGGTTCCTTGAGAACATCATGCAGACCAAGTGGATGCGAAGTGTCGGCGAGAAATAGCCGAGAACTTCATTGCCCTCGGTTGCCAGGTTGTGGTAAGTCTTCTTGACCCTGAATCCAACTGTGCGGTCGCAGCGAAATTATTTCTACAACTAGGGCCGACTTCTGGACAAGATATCTGGGTTCTCTGCGATTCCACGTCTTCAGGTTGCAATCTTACCGACTCTGGCGATCTGACTACACATCAATTATTTGCGTACGTTAATGTATAAAAAGTACTACAAAAAGTACGAGGTAGAGCCCCCAAAGCATATGGACATTGCCAAATGCCTTTCGACACATGCGTCAGTTCTTGAGTCTCTCTAGACGAGCTTACTTGGGTTACAAAGCAAAGCAAAGCATTGGGTAATCAGGCAACCCATCGTGCTTGGTGGAGGCTTCAGTGACGTGAAATCCCCAACTCCGAGGACTGGATCGCTGAGAAAGTACCTCCGTACCTGTGAGCTTTGGACGGTGGGGTCGGCTCCAACACATTTATTGGGCAGATCTCCCGCATGCTATTTCTGGGGAAGCTACGATCGGAATTTGAAAGTCCAGGCTCCAGACCTCGGGGTCCGGCAAGGGAGATAATCCGTGGCAACCCTCCTCACGGGCTGGGTTCGCTGCAATGGCTCTTGACGGCACACTCGACCACAGGGAAGTGGCTAGTTCTGGCCCAAGCGCGACTGGACGAGCTGAGAGTGGCTGTTCAAGTCGGAAACTGCTGGTACGAGATTGTCCACCGTCAGTGCCTCCCATCTTTGCGACTTCGCCCTGAATTCGCTTTTTTTTTCACCTTCTCTTCCAGTCTTCTGGTTATCAGCGCGGTATATTCCAGTCACTGGCACCGCTTTTGCAAAAATCGCAATTGCCCAATTAAAATCTGGCTTGCTGTACTCTTTCTTGCGACGTCTGCAATGCCTGGAACCTTTGGCTCGGACTACTAACCCACCCGGTCTTCCAACGCGCCGTCGCCTCTCGCATCTCGCTCCCCCATTTCCTCTTTCGCCCTCCTATTTCCTTCTTTTCTTCTCCACCCAACACAACAATCACAGCCACATGCGCACCGACCTGCCGACTTGCAAACCCTTTCGTCTCCCCTTCTCGAGCTTTCTCTGAGCCTTCGCAACAGCTCGGCCCTCCGGACGATACGAACCGCGGGACCGTCTCGCACCCCTCGTCTTGCGCGCCCGCCCTGTCGAGGGTTCCCGTAACTGCTTGATGGAGGATGAAGCGCTGGCGATGGTGAAGATGGAGGAGGTCAAGATCGAAGAAGGCGTCGCGCTGAACGGCGTCAAGATGGAGCGGGACGCAAGCAAAACTTCGTCGCAGAACAAGAGCAACGAGGGCTCTCGCACCACTAGCCTGTCGCCCGGCGAGGACACGACCAACGGCGAGGGCATCTCGACGCCGGGAGGCACACAGCGACCGAAGCTGTCTCGCAAGGCAACGCAAAAACCCGTCAAGCGCGAAGCGCCCCTCTTCCACGACCTGCCCGATGTCACCGAGCAGTCCTGCACCACATTCCAGGTGATACCTGATTGTCTGTACGGATCCAAGCACATGGGTTCGACCGACAATGACGCTCTCGATTGCGATTGCCGTTCTGAGTGGCGTAAGTTTCCCCGCCCTGCCTTCGTGCACTTTTGCGATACCGCTGTGAACCGCCCCTTACTGAAGTCTGTGTGTGTCTGCAGACGATGGAAAAAATTTGTCCTGTGGCGAGGACTCCGACTGCATTAACAGGGCGACGAAGATGGAGTGCGTGGCGGGTGCTGGGAATTGCGGCGATGGCTGCCAGAACCAGAGATTTCAGCGCAAGCAGTACGCCAATGTTTCAGTCATCAAAACCGAGAAGAAGGGCTTCGGCCTCCGCGCCAACGTCGATTTGCAAGCTAACGACTTCATTTTCGAGTACATTGGCGAGGTCATCAACGAGCCGACTTTCCGACGGCGCATGGTGCAATACGATGACGAGGGTATCAAGCATTTCTACTTCATGTCGCTGACCAAGCATGAATTCGTCGATGCGACAAAGAAGGGCAACTTGGGCCGCTTCTGCAACCACTCCTGTAATCCGAACTGCTACGTCGACAAATGGGTCGTTGGAGAGAAGCTGCGCATGGGCATTTTCTCCTCACGCCAAATCAAAGCTGGCGAGGAGTTGGTTTTCAACTACAACGTTGACCGCTACGGGGCCGACCCCCAGCCCTGCTACTGTGGCGAGCCGAACTGCACTGGATTCATTGGTGGCAAGACGCAAACCGAGCGGGCGACCAAACTACCCCTTACCACAGTGGAGGCGCTCGGCATCGACGACGGCGACAGCTGGGATATTGCAGTCGCCAAGAAGCCGCGCAAGAAGAAGCCCGAGGAGGACGATGAGGAGTACGTTAACAGCGTGCAGGCTAGAAGCCTCGACGATGACGGTGCTCGCAAGGTTATGGCGACACTGATGCAGTGCAAGGAGAAGTGGATTGCAGTCAAGCTGTTGCAGCGCATTCAGCAGTGTCAGGACGATCGGGTGATCCACTCCGTCATGCGCATGCACGCCTACCAGATCCTCAAGACCACCCTCAACACCTTCATCGACGACCATAATGTCGTCCTCCAGGTTCTCGACATCCTGGACAAATTCCCGCGATTGACGCGAAACAAGATTGAAGGCTCCAAAATCGAGACTACGATTGATGGACTGACGCAATCGGAGCACGAAGAGGTCAGCGCAAAGTCGAGGAGGCTGTTGGAGGAATGGTCCAAGTTGGAGCTTGGCTACCGCATTGGGAAGCGAAAGTTTGACCCCAACGCCTCCGCGACAAACTCGTTCCAAGAGCGACGCAACATGGGCCGCGACGAGGACGTGACCCCCAAGTCGACCCCTGACCCCCTGCAAAATGTCGAGATCCCCAAGGGTCCCCGAAGCAACATTCCACAGCGGAACACCCATTTTTTCAACGGCCCTCCTCGCCAGCGAAGGCATCAGAACTTCAACAACCATGGCGCTCTTCCTGCAGGATGGTTCACAGCGACAGACCAACGTGGAAACACATACTTTTATAGCAAGAATGGTGTTACCACCTGGCAGCGTCCCACGAAGCCCGCTGACGCGCAGAAGTCGACGCCAAAGGCTCTGCAGGAGCAACAATTGCTCAAGAACATCATTGACCAAGTCACCAAAGAGCAGACCCCTAGACCTTCGGCTTCGCAAACGCCTCAACGAGCAGAGACACCGGTGCAGGAGAACAAGCCAGAAAAGTGGCGCTCTCTAAGCATCGACAAGCAGATGAAGATCTATGAGAATACGGTACGTGATTCATGCCAAAGAGTGTAAGAGCATCCACTAACCTATGGGGTAGCTTTTCCCTCACGTCAAGTACGTGGTCGACAAGTATAGACACAAGCTTCCCAAGGACGATCTCAAGCGGTTGGGCAAGGACGTCTGCAAGAAGCTTGTCTCATCGGACTACAAAGGCAAACGCGTGCAGGACCCGACGACACCACTCGATCAGAAGCAGGCCAGGAAGGTCAAGACCTACGTCAAGGACTTTTTGGACAAGGCCATTGTAAAGTTCAAACAGTTTGAGCAAAAGGAAAAGGCGAACCCTGGGGGCGAGGCGGGCAAGTCGAATGGTGGCGCGTCGGCCAGCAATGATCCTAGTGCGGATACCGGCGGTGCTGCCACGCCGGCTGATATCGCCGACGACGTAGTTCTGTCGGATGTGGAGGATGCCGGCTTGATGGGAAGTCCCGAGCGCAAGCGCAAGCGTGCGGAGGAGGAGGCAGCAGAGTCCCTGAACCCGACTCCCTCCGACGAGCCGTCAGTGAAGCGTTTGCGAGAGGACGAGGTGGAGGATGGTGCAACGCCGCCCCCTCCTCCACCACCCCCTCCCGCCGACCCGGAATCTACTGCTACCCCTGAGGAGTCAATGACGGAGGAGCAAAGAGCTCTTAGGGAGCAAGAGGAAGCTCTCATGAGAGAGAACGAGGAATCTGAGCGGCTGGAAGAAGAGGCCGAGCTTACCAAAACCAAGGATATTGGAAGCGTACCTCAGGCAAAGAATGATGCGCCCCTCAATGGCCACCCCCGGATTAACGGGGGTGTGATTGTGGCTGGCGATGGAGACGCTGGCGATGAGTCGACATTTCCAAACACAAGCAACAAGGCAGCTCGGCAGCAGGAGGTCCTTGGACACTAGCTGTGGGCTAGGGCGAAGGGAGCGTTACCAACTGGCGCCCATGATGTGGAGAGAGTGAGAGAGCAGGTGGTGGCCGAGAACAAGCGGACAAGCAGTCCTCGGCATTGTACGTATAAGCAGGCATATTGCATTTTTCTGGAAGGGAACCAGCAGACCCCCCAAGCACCTGGTTTGTTTTGTCACGATTACAATGTGGATATATCGGTCATGGAAATGGCCATGGCTCAATGAGGCCGTGCCCATTCTGCGATGTTCGTTTCTTTTTTCTGATCTGGCGTGGTTCAGGCACGGCGGGCGGGCGGGCAGGCGGCGACATCGGCTCGGGCTCGGGGCATTTGAGATGTGGGATGGGATGGACAATAGGACTGGCGGCATTTCAAAGCATGGGTCTCTTATTTATTTTTTCTTTCACGCCCGAACAGGGCAAAGAGAGAGGGGGGGACAAAAGCATTGTGACAAAGGCACATCATCTTTTTCATGTCGAGCAGCTCTCTTGTGAAGGGAGGGGCCTAGAGCAAGGGGAAACAAAAGCATGTCCACCACTGTACGTGGTCAAATGGCATTAATAGCGTTAATGGCATGTAGGAAACGGGACAAGGTCGTCTTGTGCCAACCTCGGGGCCGTCGAGGATAAACCTCACGAAGGCTACAAGGGAGGTGCACAGTACCCAGTTCTCGTTGTTCTCTTTTCTCCATGTGTGACCCCTTGCCAAAGTTGCTGTGAAGCGCCCGGTTTTGTTTGCTGTACCCCTAATCCAACCCTCTTTTTGTGTGTGTGTGTGAAGACCGAGACCCATTCCGTGATGAACGCCGTGCTACCAATGCCAGATTACGCTGCCTCCTGAGGTTGGAAGGGGCAGGTCCGATACCAGATGTCTTTTTTTGCAAGATGCAACTCCTGGACCAAGCATGGTCCACACCCCCTTTTTTTTTCTTCCTCTTTCTTGCCGAGTCCCCGACGAATTCGTTAGTAGCACCGAACCGCGCCTCTAGTCGTCAAGGTCTTCCACCTCGGACTCTTCCTCGCTGCTACTCTCGTCCCCGCCGCGCTTCCTCTTCTTCTTCCCGGGGACCTCTTCGGGCGCCTCGTCCTTGCGCATGAAGACGTAGCTCCGCGCGGGCCTTTCCTCGCCCTTCCACGCCGCGCCGCTCGCCTCGCCCGTCTTCTTCTCCCTCACGACGCCGAGCGTCCGCGCGTGCTTGTACCCGGGGTACGCCTTGGAGTGGAACCTGAAGCTCTGGAGGGACTGCAGCCCCGCGTGGCGGCCGAGGTCCTTGACGTTCCACAGCGTGTACGGGTCGCCCTCGAAGAGGGTGACGACGATGGTGCCGCCGGGCGCGAGCGAGGGGATCGCCGAGTTGAAGAAGGCGACGAGGAGCTCCTGGTTGTAGCGGACCTGGCGGTTGCGGTCGGTGGACTTGCCGCCGACGTGGGGGAAGTTGAACAGGATGCGCTTGAAGATGCCCTGCTTGGAGGGGGCCGCCATGTGGAAGCCGCGGTGGTTGGGGGCGGACTTGCGGGTGAAGGGCTTCATGGTGCGGGCGTCGACGTTGTAGAGGATCTTGTTGTTGTTGGCGACGGGGGGTTTGTACTTTTCGTCGTCGTCTTCGTCGAGCTCTTCCTCGTCGGCGGCGGGGTCGTCTTCTGCTTCTTGGGCATCGTCGTCTTCGTCCGCGCCTTCGCCATCGTCCTTTGCCGGTTTCGAGCCCGGCGCCGCGGGCTTCGACGGAGCAGCGCCGTTGATGAGCGCAATGTTCTCGGCGGCGTGCGGGTACTTTTCCAGCAGCTCGCGCTCATTCTTCTCGAGGACGGTGGCCGTCACGTTGCGGCAGCCGTGGTGGGCAGCGAGGCTGGCGGCGAAGCTGAGGTCGCCTTCGCCGATGAGGAGGATGGTGTCCTCGGGCGCAAAGGGGATGACGGGCTCCTGGTTCTGGTGGTACTGCTGCTGCTGCTTCTTCTTCTTGGCGTCACTCTCGGCGGCGTGCGCGCTCTGGCTGTTCTTCTTCTTGTTGTTCTGGGCCGGGCCTCCGGGACCGTTCTTCTTCTTGCCCGAGTCGACAAAGTGGCTCCTGTGGCTGATGTTGCCGAGCTTGCGCTTCTTGGCCATTGTGAATGGGGGGGGGGGGGGGGGGGGGGGTGGTTGAAGTTTCTCGGTGGGTGAGGAAAGGTCGCGACCCGGGCCGTCTCTTCGTCGGGAGGCGGTTAGGATTGGGGTTCCGGTGTCAACGTCCGGCGGCGGCGCGCGTGGTGATCGCGGTGCAATGTGGGATGTGTAGTCGGCGGTCGGTGTTGGTGTTGCTACCCGTATCGGCGCCGGGGGTGTGCGAGTACCCCACGGTTGTACCTTGACCGAGAACTTTTTTTTTTTTCCCTTTCTGCCGTTCTTACTTTTTGGCTTTGCGACCCTGCTCGGCGGTGAGTAGCGTGGCGCGAGAGCCCCGGCGGCTCGGGAATAGACGAGGTTCAACCGTGGCTCCCGTCGCCCGTGTGTCCGCGTTGCTTGCCCGTGTGTGGCTTTTACAGTGGTCCAGGTGGTTCAGTGCCAGCGTCACAGTGAGTCTCTCAGCGTCCCCTTTCGCCGGCCTTGTTGGAAACCGACCCCTGGAACGGGGGTGGGATTGGGCGACGCCGGGTTATGGAGAACCGCAGGGGTGGAAGGGGAAGAAAAAGGACGGGCGGCGGGAAAGTATCCGGTACATGCGATGCCTGGGCGAGTGTCGTGCTGTTCAGGGACTTGGCGGACTTTGCACCCCGGGCGTGCGGCGTCGGTGGACATTCGAGTTTGCAGGGAGAGGGAGAATTTCGGAACCCATACAAGAATACGGTGAGATTTTTGAAGGATACGTTGCAGACTTTGCATATGACAACCAGCTAGACCGCTGCCGTGCGTCCTATCAATCACGTTGCTTCTTCGGAGCATGTCGTGGTGGTGGTGGTGGTAATAGTTTGTTGTTCGTCCCTTCTTTCTTAGCGTAGCTCCTCTTAACCAAGTGGACCAAACTTGGATGAGGCTTACCTGGCACGCATGGAACCTTGAGCAGCTTCGCACTTACGTAGACGCAAGGGAGATGAGCATGCCAGTGTACAGATTGGGTTGCCGGAGCAGGCTATCAGTAACTCATTGTTTGCTTAGAATTCCGGCAGATAACGGACATCTCAAGGCGATCGAGTCCCTCGCTCGTCTAGTCGAGGCCTGCCAACTACGTAATGTGGTTCCGGTTTCCCATCGCATCATGGCACACGGTCAGCCACAGACAACACCAACATGCATCTCGCTGGGTCCTGGAGGAAGAACTTGATCCGGCTGGAGCTCGGAATCTGGCTGAAGGAGGCCCACCCGGACGGGACCAGCACCTGTAAAAGTCGCCCCGTCCGACTCGTCCGGACAAGCTACGTACTTGAAGAAAATGTCTGCCTCCGGCATCGAGAACTTCTGCCTTTGAGGTACGAATGAAACATTGATAACATAAAGGGGCAGGGTCCCGGTGGAGAACAATCATCGTCAATGGTTGGACGGTCGTGGGAGCACAGCTGATCACCGCTTGGCTCAACGGTCGACGTCTCGAGGTATAAACAGACTCATACCGAGGCTCTTGAGGGAAGGGGTACCGGCTGCTGGGTAGGCTTTTATCACGTCAGGGGACGGGTGGGAGGCGCCCTCGGGAAACGGGAGTCGGGGGTCGGGACAAGCCACCCTCGCGGTCAACACTGCTCCAAGGTAGTGTACTTTCAGCGCACTCCAGGAGCTGTCAGCTTTGCTAAGCAGCGGATGCTATCTTGCTTCCGAGCCCGGGGTCTCAGTCATGATGCGAAGATGCAGCAACTTGGCTTGGATGTTCGCCATCGTATACGTCCTGGTAAAGGCCAGCCGGCACAAAGCAGGTGGTGGCATTGAAGCAGTGGGCAACCAAATACAACCCAGGTACGGTCACCCAAGGCCGTGAACCACACGCAACTCAGGCATGCTCGCGTGTTGGCCTGCCAAGTCGCAAACCCCCGTTTTGAGGACCTGAGCGGCCCAGCTCACTGGTGAATGAGGTGCTCGCAGAGGGCTTACACTGAGCGGTGCAGGTGGCAGTGGCCTGCCAGACGGCAAACCCGACAAGTATCTGGTACTTCCTGCCCTCTCTACCCGACAGGGGTAAGAGACTATTTCCGGTAGTCGGATTATCATGGCGTCCGGGCGAATGAGAACGCGGCAAATCGAGCCTACTCCTACCAGATTGGTGTAAGTGTCTGCAGGACAGTGCTGGGCTGGGCCTTGCCTTCCGCCTCGCTGTAGCAGGGTGGTCACGTCTGCTCCTGCCTCTGCTGCCGCTCCGCCTGGTATTATTTGCAAAAGGCAGGAAGGGGAAAAAAGCGAGGCAATCTTTCGTTGCACGCCGCAATTCAACACCGCATTCGCGCCACTTGACATTGACAGCCGTCGCTGCGGACGAATCTCATCTGTACCCTGATCCCCATTCTTTCTCGCTCAAGCCCGTCTCTCATCGAGAAATCCTGGTCGTTGCGAGAGGCCAGGCGGCTGCTTTTTCTTAGCCCACACCATTACCGTCCCCGTCCAATCCACACCACACACACCTCACTCACCCTCGTCCTGTTCTCCGAACAGCCAACAACGAACTTCTACAACTCAAAAGCTCCCACCTGGCTTGGAACAGTCGCGCCTGCTCCGTCCTTTCTTGAGATCGATTGAATCGCATTCGGGCGGCTCGTCACCCAATTCTCCTTTTCTTCAAGCCGCGTACCGAACTCATCTCACGTTACCCCCCCGTCTCATTACATCCATACCCGCTCACACTTTTGCCTCCACTCGCCCCCATTTCCTCCGTCTTCACGTCTCTTTCATGAACGGCCGTCGCCATCATGTCAGACGTTGAGACACCGGAGCAGTCTGCTTCGACTCCAACGCCTCAGCTGACGCCCAAGGCCAAAGGCAGAGGCAAAGGGCGAGGCAGGAAAGCCGCCGCTCCCAAGAAGGAGCCACCCAAACCCGCGGCCACTGCGGGAACAGGTCGACGCGGCCGCTTCAAGCAGTTCGCCGACGACAAAGTCCAGGCAAACTATGAACGCCAACGCGAGCTCAAGGCCACTTATGCTGCTCTCGCCAACGTCGTAAAGCCGGCCCTTCAGGACCTGGCCTCCCGAACCGTCAAAAAACTCACCAAGGATGAGGCGTACCACATGCTGGTGCCGGAGTTTGCGGTTGTCAGCGAACACGTCGATATGCGCCTCGACAGGCAACTCGCCTTTTCAGAGAATAAGCTGGCGATTGCCGCCAAGATGACCTTCAAGGCCAAACACATCCAGCTGGGTGCTGTTCGCGATATTTACAAGGTACGTGACACTCGACTGACATGTCATGTTTTTCTCTCCACCCCTGGTCATCCGCTGACTGGTGGTGATCCGCGGCATTAGAACGGGTTTGAAGACCTTGAAGACGAATTTTTGGACGCGCAACTTCATCGCCTCGACATCTTGGAATACCTCCACGATCATGGCCTACCCGTTGACGTAAGTTTTTTTTTTCTCTTCGATCCCCAATTTCCTCCTGTATCTCGCTTATTCACACTGGCCTCAGCTCGTCGATGGCGGCTGGAACTACAAGCAAATTTCGGACAAAGAAGCCGATGAGTTTGGCATTTATGAAGTCTACGTCGACGGCAAACTTGTCCCCTACCCTCAACTCGTCGAGGGAACTGAAGCCAATGCCCTCAGACAGGCTGCTTGGGCCGAGCCTCAGCCAGCCAAGGACAGTCTTGCACCACCTGCCTCCACCGCCGCTGCGACACGGACCAAGCGCAAAGCAAAGGACCAACCCGATGGCCAGCCTGCTTCCAAGAGGTCTGCTGGTGATGTCGCACCTGTCCGTCACATCGCTGGTATCATGTCGGCTCAGCATGCTCCTATTGAGGACGAGTCGAATGAGAGTACGCCGGTCCCCGAGGGCCCAGTGACGGCTGACCAAAGAGAACCGGCCTTGCCAGCAAAGGCGTCCGAACCAGATGAGTACGGATGCCGGCAGGTCAACCGCCCTACTGCCAAGAACGGCGCTAGTATCGCCAACCGTCTTATTGTTCCCCCGTCATTCCAGTTCGACGACGACGAAATTGGGTATCGCGATTCGACAAACTCCGCTAGGCATGGAGCTACCCTCGCAAAGCGTGGCAAGTATCTCGGCAAGCCCAACTCGAACACATGGCATTACGATCCTCTGCTTGCTCGTTGGGACGCTCGAGAAATCGAAGAAGACGACTACGACAAGGAGCTCGTGGATAGATTTGCTGTCCATCCGCGCTACGGCTATTTCCTTCCAACCAGCAAGAACGACGCCGAGCCTCCGAAGCCGGAAGCAAACCCAATGCACCCAACTGTGTTCCTGACGCCTTCTGGCAAAACCATCCATGCGTCTCGCGTCATTCCCGTGGCAAAGGTCGAGATTGCCTTGGCCGATAAGCCTCATCAAGATAAAATGGCGGCGGTTCTCTCCTTGGTCTGTGGCAAGGACGACATCTCGCTGGATGACATCGAAGGTCCCGAGCTCAAGGCGTTGAAGGACATACAGGCTGAGTATGCCGAGCAGAGGCTTATCGCCGAGTCTATCAAGGAGTCAGAGCCTGAAAGCGTTGAAGACACGCCGGCCACCTCGCCTCTTCCCATCAACGATTCCGCCTTGAACATTGCGGGCATGGAGGAGCTTCTCGTGGCCGCTGAAGCTGTTGAAGCCGAGGCCAAGGAGGTTAAGCCTATCGAGGCAAAGCCAGTGATTCTGCCCGCTCCGACCCCCGTCAGACCTGCTACACGCGCGTACGACGCAATTCGAGATATCTTTGGGGCCAGTGAGTCGCCCGCCCCCGAACCTCCTGCTCCTGTCGTGGTCACTGAGTCTCTCGACACCACCGCACTTGCGATCCTTGCAGATGCGTCCACTGCTACCTACACCACTCATCCCGTGGACGTCGTTATGGCCGATGCGCCTGTTGGCCAGCCCATCCCAGTTGATGGACCTCCCCACAACCACATCGAGTCCGGCTATTCTATCCAGGCCCTGCCAGCTGAGTCTCGTATGCCGATTGCACCTCCCAGCGACGGTGTCGGCTGGGTCGAGCCCCGTATCGCCTCTCCGGGAGTCGACAACCGGATCCATCCATCCATCGAGACTGGCCCGATGAGGGATTCTCATCCAAATCAACTACCCCCCGCACGCCCAGTTGAGATGTCGCAGATGCGGTCTTCCATCGATGCTTCCAGTGACACGCGCCGACACTCTATGTACCACGAGCACAACGGCCCTTCCGCCTACAGTGAGCAGCACCTACCCCCTCCTCACCCACAGCAACACTATATGGCAGTAGATCCAATGATCGATCCGCGCCTCTACTCCGCACCGATGGAGGCGCAGAGCGGACACCACGAATACCATCAGCAGGCCTATAACCAGAACCAGCAGACGTACCAATTGCCGGGGATGTCTCTGCAAGGAAGCCCTATGGCCCAAGGCCCTCCCCAACTTCAGCAGTCCGGCTCTACCGCCCGGATGCCATTTACGAATCCCTCTCAGGACAGAAGCTCCCCGCTTCCCCCTTTGCGGCCGTCACGTGGCCGCAAAAGCGCCCCTGCCGCACCAGAGCAGCCTATGCCTGTTGAGCACCAGCAAGTCCAGCAGCAACAGCAGCAACCTCCGCCGCCGTTCATGAACAGCAACAGTGGCTCTTTCTACCCGCCCGGCCCGCCGAGGCCCTACCATAATGGCTACTCCCAGGAGCAGCCGGGGATGCCGCCCATGATGGGGCAATATCCGCCTTATCCCGGGTCGCAGCCCCACCGCCGCCTCCGCAGCAGCAACAGCAGCAGTCGTATGCCCCTCCGGGCATGTCGCCTACCTACTCCTCCATCGCGCCTGTACAGAGCCCCCCCACTCTACAGTTCGTCCAACAGCAGCCTAACGAGCCATCGAGAAGTCGGGCAGGAAGCGGTTCATCCACACCGAGCGCCCCGGGCAACAGCAAATACCCCAAGCTGGCTCCTGCCCCCCTGCCTGCTCACAGAGTTGGCTGGCCTCAGGGCCCCGAGCTTAGAACCGTCCAGTATGATTACAAGGAGAACATCAAGGACTATTCGCCCACCGAGCCTCCTCCGCGTCGCGGCCCTGTCCAGATTCGCGGATGGAATATCAACAACAATAGGATCCAACGTCAGAAGACGGAGGAGAATGGCGACGAGCGCCGTGGTTCCCGCTAGGACCAGGACCAGCACAGCAAGAAGCTAGGCCCGACGCCCAAAATGAAGGGTCTTGAGAAGACCACCGAAAAGGTGATTGCCAAGAAGGCGGTCACAAAGAAGGCAGCTCCTAGGAAGTCCGCTTCCAAGAGGCAGGAGTGCAAGGAGACGTAAGCAAATTTTCGAGCATCAGTCGAGAGCGAGTCAGGAAAAGCGAAAAGAACATGTACTATTATCTTATCACTTTGGACTTTGGTTTATACCTCTGGGGATGTTTTACCCCCATCATGCCGAGGCGGAGGAAAGACAGGGAGCTTGGGCTGAAAAGCCATTCAGAAGGCTCCCCGAAAGGAAGGGGAGTTAGGGCCGAGAGGCCAGGGTCGATATAAGACCAAAGTAAATTTGGAATGATAATGAATACGAAACAAATCTTGGGTTGGGAGAATTGTGCCACTGCATTGTGAGTTGACGATGAGTGAGAGCGAGAAGACAACAGCTCAGGCAGAACTTACTAACCGGATGGCTAACATATCTACCTCTGACTTCGAGTCACAGAACAGCTTCACAGCGGAAGCTATACCGTGCTTTGAGCCACTCGTGTTGTGTGTGAGATGTTGAGCCAGGTATCCTCGTGGGCCGGGTGCTGCCTGCGTCAGAGGGACAGGGCCGTCGCTGCTACACTTCCCAACGCAGGCAACCTCAGCCGTACTTGTAAACCCAACGTCCCTGGCTACTCCTATGACCAGAGAAGCTACCGTTGCGTTCCCGTGATGAACCTGCTGGCGGTCATTGTCTCTTTGGATTTGCCAAGCTTCTCATGTCCTTAGTCCAAAGGGGCTTAGACTTGCGAACGGAGGGATGGGACAGTAGAAGTATTCTCGCTATCGTCTCTTGTACTTTACGTCTAACTGACTGTGTGTATTCTTGCGGCCAGACTCAGACGAGCAGGTGAGTTAGTATCTGTTGTTTCCCGTGTAGCTCAGCGGGAGGCTTGGTGTGCTTGCTTGGTGTGTAGATAGTCGACTATCGCGCCGACTTTCCGTTTGCCCAACGCCCAAAGCCTCACCAGTCCCCATCGATCCCGCCTTTCATCACTACGATATCCGAATTACAATGGGCTTTCCCTCTTCCTCTGACTGCACGCCTTTGACACTTGTGGCACACCGGCCCTTGTGTCGTTGCTGGTATTGTGCATCAAGGAAGCGAGATGGCAGTGTGGGATCACACGTGACGTTGGCTCCGCACGTCAAGGTCAACGGCGACGGCCAAGGTTCTTCAGAGCATGGGCGCGAGCCTGGTTCAATTTAGTTTGATTACAGTGTAGCTAATATTACATGTGTCCGAGCCATTTCCCCCTTCACGCCGGCAAAAGGGTGTCGAGATGGGAAATTTCTGTGTCTCGACTCCTCGAGCAAGTCCGACTTTTTTCTCAAAGACCGCAGCTCAAGCGAGGGTAGAGGTCTACTGGGTAATAATCTGGTTGCTGAAGTCCACCGTGCCGTCCATGCTCATCATCATGCTGGGGTCGCCGGGAACCATGCCTCCTCCGTTCGGCATGAGGCCGCCCGCCGCGGCGAGCGAGAGCAGACCGCGGCCCAGCTCGCCGACGGGGTGCAGCGGGAGAACCGACGCCTCCATGGTGTTACCGTCGAAAATAACCATGTTCTGGATGGGCTGCTGGGTCTGGCCGAGGACGTTGATGACGTCCTGCGCGAGCTGACCTCCGAGGATGGCGGTGACCGGGGCCATCTCGCTGCCAATGTTCTGTAGGAAGCTGCGCAGGACTTCGGAGCGCAGAGTCTCGGACGGGAGGCCCAGCTGGGTATGCTTGGCCGTGGCAAGCTTTGTGAAGAGACCGAGGTCCTCCTTGGTGTGGCTGGGCAGCCGACCGCTGTTGAGGACTTGAAAGTCCCACAGCGCCCGCAGGCAGGAGATGACGGGGCTGACTGCCTTCTTTCTCCTCGCGCTCTTTGCGTACTCCTCGGGCAGGGTAGCACCGTCACTAGCGAGGTACCATGTCGAGTAGAGCTCACGCTTCGTGACCACCTCAATCGTCTTGCCGCCCTCCTTCTTTGTGTTGACGGCAATGACACTCCGGGTTCTCGTCTCGGGGGCCAGCTTCGTTGCGACGTTGCCGAGATCTCGTTCGATGACGTAGTCGTGCTCGATCAGGTCCGAGAAGATGAAGCCGTACATGCCATGCGTACCGGCGGCGTAGAACGATCTCTGGTGCAAGCGGGTGGCGGTGTTGATGATGTTAAGGGAGTCGGGGTCCATGTCGGTAGCAATAACGATGTCGAACGCCGAGAAGTAGCTCGTGCCTTTGGACTTGATGCCCTCGGCGTCAACGTGGACCTGAACACGGGGGTTGAGTTTCTGAATGGCGGCCGCCGCAGCCTGTGCGCGGTTCTGGCCGACGTGGTTCTCCTCCTCGGAGAGGAAGAACTGCGAGCCCAGGTCTGATTCTGAGACGGTAGCGCCGTCGAGGATGGTCAGGGATCCGATACCGGCGAGGACGAGGTTCTTGGCAATCTCATTCGCGAGAGCCTTCATGGTGATGAGGAGGATGTTCGCGTTGCGGATCTTCTCCTGGGCCTTCATGCCCCAAAGGCGAATCTGACGGTCATAGAGCGCAATCTCATCTGAAAAGAGGTCAGCCATCTACTAGGTTCTTTTTGCGAAGTGAGGCGTACCTGCGCTCATGGCGGGAGGAGCGGCGACGGGAAGGCCTTGCAGCATGCCGTTGTTCTCATACATTTGTCCACCTTGTTGCAGAAGCTCAGGCATGAACATCTGGGTCGCTTGGAACATGTCCGGAAGCATGTTAGGGGGCAGCTCTCCGCCTCCAGGAATGACCCCCTGCAACCCTTCAGGAAGGACCTGATCCATGGGCGCGGCTTGCATGCTAGTATCGAAGCCGTTGGAGGCGTTGGGTAGGGGGTGGTGAGGAACAATGTTTTCCTGTGCTGGGACGCTGTTGCTGGGTGCGGCGGTCTCCTGCGCCGGCTTTTCCTGAGCCCGTGTTTGCTCCTCCATCTTGAGTGATTGGAATGAGACTACGCCGAGAGCACGGTGAGAGATGACGAAGGGATGAAAAAAAAGTCGTCCTCAGCTTGTGAGACTGGTCAAAGTGCGGCCAAAGTAGCTCAGCAAGGCATACGCGCCGGGTCGTGGCTCGGGAGATGTGTTGGCGCAATGGTGTGTAGTGAATGGAAGGTGAGAGCGCGTCAAGTAACACCGGGTCAAATATGTCGTGAGTGGCCGGCTTGTCAATAGACAAGTGTCGCGAGAAACGAGTGCCCGCTCGAGGGAATTGATGCCGATATATGTGGACGGCCTGAACTCACGTCTTAAAGCAAGGCTGAAGGCCGAAGGCTGGACGGGTTCATATGAGGTTGAGGCTAAGCTTGGCTAAGGTAGCTCTCACTCGCCCGACAGAAATTGTTAACGTGCCAGCCAGGCACCTTCCCGCCTCCCAACGCTGGCTATGGCGGGAGCACGGATATCACGCTAGAGCCACGCTAAAGTGGTACCTGTGTGAAGCGTGGCATTCCACACAAAGGCCGAGTACCGCCTAGCATTTACTGTCGAGCGCCCCCTTCCTTGCATGACCGGTTCTTTACAGGCACGAAAACCCCGCGATAGACAGGGCCAGGGGCTCTCTTTAGCGGGTGCATCAGGGCGATCCCACCACTGCCACTGGCCGCATGCCCGCCCGTTTGCTCGCCTTTCGTCACTCGTGGGATTCGAGGTGGGCTTGCACTTGGAACAGCGCCAGCAGTCCAACCCCGACTTTCTACGTCAACCAACCAACTTCCGCCATCCGCTGGCCTGCTGACGACAAATCTTTGAGCCCGCGACGACGGTCGTTCGCGCCAATATCGTTTGGCCCTCACCTCGCTGTCCGCCCTCTCGAGAAAATCCAAGCTTTCAACTCATCAGCCACCCGTCCCCTCGTTTGCGGCGACGACTGACCTCCGAATACACACCCTGGTCACCGACCGTGACACCTTTGTGAGTGCGCTCTTGATGGCAGCGGTTCGATGCATTCGAGCCATCGGGCTCTGCAGGCTGTAGCTTCAAGCACTGCCAAACCCCTCGCCACGTTTCTGCGGTGTTTCCTCCGGTCTAATCAGTCTGCCAGCTTCCAAGCCCCTCAATCGGCACCCGGCAGATTGCTCCCTGGCCTACATTGTTCGCCCGCCCACTCAAGCCCACCCAAGTTACCGCCCACCGAATCCACAATTATCCCCTCGAACCGCCGCCAATCCTCCCACCGCTCCTCTCCCCCCTTCTCTCGCCGACGTGGACGGACACAATACCAGGAGATTCTGAACGCACGCTTCTGTCCCCTGGCAGGCGCCTGCGTCGCTGGGCCTCTGTACTCTCCACCGACGAAGCATGTCATCACAGCGGCCAGACCCGAGCCAGAATTCCCAAAGGCGCGACAACGACGACTATCCGCCCTTACCACCGCATCGCAGACTCCCTCCGCTGCCGCCTCTCCCCTCGGATCATGCGACATACCCTCCCCAACCACGGCGACATCCTTGGGAACCCGAGCCTTACACAACTCAAGACCAGACCGAATCCTACCTCCATCTCAGGCGGCACATGGCAGACAGGAACTTCCAGGCCGAATACGACGAGCTGGTGGGGAACAGCCTGAATGGTTTCACGGCATTCATGTCTGCGGCGCAGGACGACTTTGGCTTCTCTCGAGATAACACCCAGAACCGGAGCCAGGCGTCCAATCTACTGGACACACTACAGAACGATCAGCGAGAAGACGAAGACGTTCGACGACAACCCCTCCAATTACCGCCTGTCTTCGGTTACAGGGCTGTTCGATCATTAAGCGGGCGCCAGCGACCCGACGGTACTGAAGACGACTTAGAGGCAGTGAGAGCCCTGTGGAATCGTAGAGCCCAATACAGCTCCTCACCCTTCTCACCGCCCAGGATGCCTCCTAACCTGTCCCCGCCGAACATGTCCCCACTCCCTCCTTCGGAGGAATACCCTGAGGAGAATCGGAGAGTGAAGAGGAGAAAGCTCGACTCTGAACGGGCTTCTCAGAGCTTCAGGGGATTTCGGTATGGGCGTTATGGGCAAGTCGAGCCCGGTCAGCTAAAGATGGAAATCCTGAGCTGCGACGGGGGGCTATACGAGAACGCTTCCTTGCATGCTTACGAGAACATTTTGAAAGACGACAAGACGGTGTATTGCACACAGTCCAACCGTTGCAACATCATCCTGCGGCATCAGGGCGCAACGGCATTCACCCTGAAGGAGCTCGTGATCAAGGCGCCTGCATCAAACTACTCATCACCGTAAGTAAAGTCTGCGCTGATCTCGTGGGAACCACATCTGACAGCTTCCGGCAGCGTACGAGAGGGAATGGTCTTTGTTTCTATGAACCAAGATGAACTGCTTAAGCGCACAGCGAAATACGAGATACAGTATGCTCCCTTGAGGTCAGGCCGACCATCAGCAACGAGGGCGTTGGCTCCCATTATCTCGATACGGCACCACGAGGATGGCACAACCGTCACCAGAACACATACACGGCAAAGGCGGCTATATAGCTTAGGTCACGATGACGAGGAGGACGTACAAAGGACGGCGCAAATTCCTGCGGAGTTCACCACCCACTTGCCGCCCTTCAACATCACAACCGAGTGCAGTTACGAGGAGACCGATGACGAGGACACCCCGAGGGTCCCAGTCAATCGGCGAGCACCTAATAGGATTGGTTCCTTGCCGTTTGAGAGCGACAGCAGCGACGACGGCAACCCGTTTGCCTCGGACGAGTATGGCTTCGACGACTATTCCTTCACCAACAGACGTCGGGACCCTTCCGACATGTCTCTAGCGGAGGCTGTCGAGGCGACTCAGATGGCAACGCAGGATGCCGTACGAGCTGTGGGAGGCGAACTGATGGCTCCTCATGCCAAGTTCTTCATCGAAAAGGACAAGAGCAAATGCACCATACGGTTTGATCCCCCGGTTTCCGGACGATTCATACTCCTGAAGATGTGGAGTAGCAGCCGGGCATCCGGCAGCAACATTGATATCCAAGCGGTACTCGCCAAAGGATTTGCAGGACCGCGGTATTTCCCTTCAGTGGAGTTACGATGAAGTCATAAGAGCGCGGTTGGCGAGGAGGAACTGCTACAAGTTATAATCATGGGGGGATGACTGCATTCGAGTTGCAATGTTTATAACGGAGTTGTTGGCGTTTGGCCACAGATGGCTGGGTTAGTCAGGTGTGACAAGGAAGTCACCCATCATATACCACGTGCGACTATATTAGGTTTAACAATTGGATTGACGCTTTTAACGCTCACGTCGAAGTTCCGAGTCTGACGAGAGCTGTATCCTGGGTGAAACTGGGTTCGAGCGTCGCAGGCAGCTCTTTACAGGCATGCTCATCACCGATTTCATACTAAGCAATGACATTTAAGGAGTGTGACTACTTCGGTCCGACTTCTAGATTAAATACTTTCACCATGTCGCATTTCACTTGCGGGTTTCGGTGACGTTTGGCGCCCAATTCGACATTCCTCAAGGAACCCACCAATCGGCCGGCGCCAGTCGTGGCTCGATCGCGTCCCGCAAAACTCAGAAACAACGACACCCCATCCATATCTCATCCAACGCACTATTCTCAACCGCGGCCACCCGACTTATAGGATTTTGCTCTGACACGAAACGATAACCCAGTACCGTTTTCTGGCCAAAGGAAGGACGCGGCTCAACGGACGGAATTCCAACAGGGACAACACACCAGTGAAGGCCAGAGTAGAACATTCGTTCCACCATGAGCCACGAACTCACCCTCATCGTCGCGGCGACGCGCAACATGGGGATCGGCGCCAAGGGCGGCCTCCCCTGGACGGGACTGAAGAAGGAAATGGCCTACTTTGCACGCGTGACAAAGAGGCTCCCTCCTCAGGTAATCGAGACTCTGTTCCCCCCGTCTGACCTCTTGGCTGCCCAAGGGACAATTGGAGGGGCGCCCAAGCCGTCATGCAGCTCGCTCCATGTATTGGTCCCGCCGACGCTGACTCTGCAAACACTTGAATAGGCCCCCTCGGACGCCCGCAACGCCGTCATCATGGGCCGCAAGACGTGGGAGAGCATCCCCCCAAAGTTCCGACCCCTCAAGGGCCGTCTCAACATCGTCATCAGCCGCTCCCACCCCGCCCTGGACCCCGCCTCGGCGTCCGCGGCGGCAGCGACGACGCCGGACCTCGACAAGGAGCCCGTCAAGGTCGGCTCGCTGGAGCAGGCCCTCGCGTACCTGCGCGTCGACGGCGTCGCCGGCCGGCTGGGCAAGGTGTTTGTCATTGGCGGCGCGCAGATCTACGACGCCGCGCTCCGGGCGCCCGAGGCGAAGAGGGTGCTGCTGACCAAGGTCCTGGCCGAGTTCGAGTGCGACGTGTTCTTCCCGTTGAAGCTGAGCGACGAAGGGGAGGCGGCGGAGGGGTGGAGGAAGGCTGACAAGTCCGAGTTGGATGCGTGGGTCGGGGAGGAGGTCGAGGGGGCGAGATTGAGGAGAACGGGACGAGGTACGAGTTCCAGATGTGGGAAAGGGCATGATGACCATGGTATGATCTGCTACAATGGCAATGAAAGGTTGTCTATGTTTTACAAAAAGTTGGGTTGGTGGGCTTTTTTCTTTTTTTCAAAAAAATCTTGCCCTTTTCCCCCGGCCTGTGCCTCTATAGTATGCGTTGGTGATTGTACAAAATTACAAAAAGCCTGAAATGCACCATCCCCTGCTCGTGTGAGGCTACAATCCGCGACTTCGGCCGATGCTATACATCTCCGTCGCTCCATACAATAATACAGGTACAGCCCCCAGCAGCCTTGCTTAGGGCCGTCTCCCTCCCCAGTCACGAGTCTGCCCCTCGAACCTACGCCTTCGGCGCGGCCTCTCCCTGAGCACCACCAGCCTTGGCCACATCCTCCTTGACCTGCGGCGCAACAGCATCGACAAGCTTGAACATCTCCCTCACGTCCCTCTTGAAGACCTTGGCCGGCGCAACGAGCAAGTCCTCGACGGGCGCGGCCTCGAGGTCCTGTAGCGTGGCGCGCATCCAGCCCACGACGGCGGCGACCTGGCGCATGTCGGCGTCCTCGCGCGACTTGAACAGGTTGCGCCAGACGGCGGCGGCGAGCACGCGGTCGTCCTTGACGACGCCCTCGTCGTAGGCGGCGATGAGGCCGCGCCACTGGACAAAGATCTCCTTGAGGTACCGCTGGCGCAGCGCCGACGAGGTCATGCCGTGGTTCAGGTGCATCATGCGCTCGCAGTCGAAGAAGAACTGGTCGATGAACTGGTGCTGCAGGTTGCGGGAGGCCTCGCGGTCCAGGCACCGCATGCGCGCGAGGACGAGGTACATGTGCAGCATCGTGGTCTGGGACCAGGAGCTGAAGGAGGGCTGAAGGTCGAAGTCTGTTGGCGGAGGGAAGGGTCAGTAACGAGGCTCATGTCCAACTTTCGTGCAACTGGCGACTAGGAGCAGCTCCGAGGGGAAAGGGGAGGGGTCAAGAGGTCAACGTACATTGTAGCCAGGGTCCCACCGGGTCTCCGACCTCCTCGCCCTCGGCCGTCATGCGGACCATGTCCTTGGCGCGCTCCTGCTCCGAGATCTTGTACAGCGCCGGCGACGAGCAGATTTTATAGAGCGCCTCGAGGCGGGAGGTGGTCAGGGTCGCGGCCATGGTCTTTGGCGCAGCGGCCATCATGCCCGACGCGATGGCCTGCTTCAAGCCGGTCGGCGGCGCCTGGTTCCGTCGTGTGGGCGTCTGGCTGAAGTATCTCCTTGAGGGAGGGGTCGTCATCGCGGAGGCTGCCGGAGCCGCCGGGGCCGTCCGGCGCGCCGTCGCGGCGAGGGAGTTTTGGGGCGAGGCGAGGTCGGCGGTCGCTCGCAAGCTCCGGGCCAGGAGTCTCGCCTGGTAACGGCAGCTTTGGCAGGCCATCTTTTTCGGTGTTGGTAGCGATAAGCTTAGGTCGGCCTGCACATGGGTATAAAGGGAGGGGGTTCCTCGTTCGGAGATGTGTTGTGTACGTCGGGTTGTATTCGAAGGTAAACGGGACAACCTGTCTCTCCTCAGCTCGGTCCCAAGTCGCGGGAGCTCAAAAGTCTGGACGTCATCCAAAAAAGTTCATGAACACATCGATTTGGAAATTTCGAGCTAGCAGCCCATGGCAGGCCGGCGGAACTTCGGGCCATCCACGCCCGCCCTACATAGAGTGTACAGTCTCTTCCACTCTTTTGCACGGTGCTGATCTCCAGGCTGGATTGCGCTCTTGCATATCGGGCAAGTTACCCTTGGGTCTTCCAGGACTCCAACTGCACTATCTAGATTATCTAGGTTTATTTTTTCGCATGATGCGTCCACTCTGGAGGAGCTGCTGCAGGCTAAGCCCCCCTTTTCAAGAATCTCAACTCTGTCTCGTTGCTTTGCTTCTGCAGACTTTGCCGTCAGAGAGAGAGTGCGACGTTTTGAATGCCGCTCACGATAAGATGCTGGCCACGTACGATCGCCGGCATTTGTATTCTTAGAACTCCGAGCTCCAATCATGTATCGAGTTTTGCATACGAAGCTTTCCCAAAAAAGCCCCTACTGCAGGTAGATGTGCAAAAGTCTGAGCCAAATTGCGATGAGCCGTGGATGAACCTGTCATCGCAAGGTTCTTCTCCTGGCTCTAGTGGAGTTTGGAGAAAACCAGCGAGGCATTCGTCCCACCGAAACCAAAGCTGTTGGAGACGGCAATGTCAACCTGTCTCGCCTGTGCTTTGAGTGGTACCAGATTCATGGAACCCCCAACGTTCGGGTTTGCGAGATTCAGCGTAGGCGGCACAACATCCTTTAGCAGAGTCAGTGAAGGGCTCATCTGGACCATAGATCTGGGGATAAGGTTTCGGTTTCAAGACCCGAAAAGCTGCGACTCACCTCTGCAACTGATAAGACGGTAAACAGGGCCTCCATGGCGCCAGCCGCCCCTAATAGATGCCCGACGGCACCTTTAGTGCTGCTCACCGTGATACGCGACTCGTCCGTGTAGCCCTCTTCGCCTGTCATGATGCGTTGTATCGCGAAAGCTTCTGCCGCGTCACCCACCTGCGTTCCAGTCGCGTGCGCGTTAATGTAGCTCACCTGGGCCGGCCGGACCCCAGCGTTCTTCAGAGCAAGCTTCATGGCACGAAAGGCTCCGTGGCCGTCTTCGCGTGGGGCCGTCATGTGATGGGCGTCGCCGCTGCAGCCGTATCCCCTCACTTCTGCGTAAATATTGGCGCCCCGGGCCTTGGCGTGCTCGAGTTCCTCCAAGACCAACACTGCCGACCCCTCTGAGACGACGAAACCGTTGCGGTCGCGGTCAAAGGGACGACAGCTGGCGCGGGGGTCGTGGTTGTAGGCCGTGGAGAGGGACCTTGCCCTCCCGAAACCGGCAAAGGTCAGGGGATGGATGCAGGATTCCGTACCGCCAGCAACCATGACGTCTGCGTCCCCGAAAGCAATGAATCGCATGGCATCTCCGATGGAATGGGCGCCAGTGGTACATGCGGTTGTGACGGCATGGTTGGGGCCTTGCAACCCGTACTTCATCGAGATGTGGCCAGCAGCCAAGTTGATGAGAATCTTGGGGACGAACAGCGGCGAAACTTTCTTGTAGCCCTACCCGAACAGAGTTTAGCTTGGCTCCGCTCGTCGATCACTGCGGCGAAATCTCACTTGTTGATGGAAGGCCAAGCTCGTTTCGTAAACCTCCTCGAGATTCCCTATACCGCTTCCAAGGCAGACACCAGTGGTCTCCCGGTCGTCTTGGCTCTGCGGCTCCCACCCGGCATCCTTCAGGGCCATCTCGGCGCAAGCCACGGCATACTGGGCAAACTTTGACATGCGGCGCTGTTCCGTAGCGTCCAGCCAGTCGCCGGGCCGCCAATGCTCGGGATCTGAGCCATGGCTGGGAACTACGCCAGCAACTGTGCTCGTCAGATCTCTCCAGCGGTTTTGCGGCTCCAGGTTGGCCACGCTGGTTATGGCAGACTCTCCAGCTAAGAGACGATTCCATGTGGTGCGCACGCCGACACCGAAAGGCGAAATGGCGCCGAGACCCGTCACGACAACTCGTCGCATCATTCGGCCATGTCCGGGGGGGGATGTGTGCCGTATTATGCCCAAGGACGCACCGACGTATGAATGGTGAGAGGACAAACAAGAAGGTGGAAAAGGCGGGGGGGTGGAAGGGGGCGCGCTAAGAGAGGCGGACTGTTGCTTCAGAGGTAGGGATGAATGGGAGGCGAGCGGAGCAAGAGAGTGTGTGTCAGTGGGAAGTGGAAGTAGGTGGCTAGGCGAACAACCGGTAAGTAGATGGACGTGGTAAGGTAGACAATGGGAGGCTTGAAGTCGGAACAATGTCAGAGACATGTCGAAATTCGCGGTCGGGTCGTCTCTGCTGCGCCGCACAAATACAGCTTTTAGCGCGACGTGGACTTTGATAACGCGGTACGTACCGGCGAGACCCAGCCTCATGCAGCGAGACATGGCTGCAGGGGTCGAGGGGAAACATGCAGACACTGTGCTAGCAGGGGCTGTCATAGCGGAGAATAGGAGACTGAGGTGCTGAGATCACAGTGTCGGGATCCTACATAGTATTTACCGCCGGTTGATCCCCTTAAGGGACCATTGGTACCTGGCCTAAGGCTAACTGCAGCGGGAAGCGGGGGGACACTAACGTAGCCTCAATGGGGTTTGGGGGTCTGGTCCAGCCATTGAGGAGTCAGATTCTGGCTGGAACCGGGGAACTGGCCTCTGCGCCGCAAACGCAACGCAACGACACACGTTGCGACTGGCACGTACTCACACTTTTGTCTCTCCAACTCTTCCCCCCCCCATGAAACGACGAACCTTAGTTCCCTTGTCTTCGTGGAAGCTTTTCTTAACGTTGTTCTCTCATATGCGCCTCGCAAAACCGTGAGGTGACATCCTCTACCGTCCCATCGGATCTTCCCTCCCTGGTCGCTTCAGCAGCATCACAACCAACCGACTCCTTGAAAGAGACGGTATCCTTGGCGGCCGACATCTCATCTCACCAGTCGTTCCATCGAGCCACGTTTCAGACGTTGACGTCTTCCCGGCATTCCAAATCGCCATCATCAATAGCCTAAACAGCGTGGCAGCCAAGGGAAACAAACGAGCCCTCAGGAACAGAGGCGACTTCGAAGCTTGGCTCCCCGCCTTGCAGGGTCTCCCATCGCATCTCGGCATCTGCAAAACTCAACGTCCGCCCTCATCCCCGCAGAGCGCGGCTCTATCTTCGGGCCTCGAGTTGCCACACCATACTGCATCTGTGCTGAGTTGTGCCGCAGCTTGGTTTCAGTGTCGCATTTGTTTCCTTTCTTATCGTTGGCCACTCGTCCTATGAGAGCAAAGCAACCACTTCTCGCTCAACCTTCTCGTTGTCCGAGCATTGTCACCAGTCGGGAATCCCGCCTTCCTTGAGATTAGCCTCCTTTCATGCCTTTGCCCACCTCGTCTTCGACGTCCTCGGCCATCCGATCATCGCACATCACACCCTCAACGACACTCTGCTCCAGTCATCGCCTTCGCCATCCCTTGGTCTGATCCCAGTCTGCGGATCGCCCGTCCTTCCTGTCGAGCATCACCCTGTTTCCTCAAGCACGGGGCCGGTCTCTACGCTTTTCCCTGCACTGCAGGTTGCTTCATTCGAGTACCAGGTCCAGTCACGCCACCGTTTGCCCTCGGAGAGGCTCATTAGAGGCTTATCGGGTACATCGAAAAGGCCAATTAGCCTTTGCTTCATGTTGGTCTGGGATCGGCGCTCGTAGCTCAGCCGGTTCCCATTTTCCGTCTCTTCATCGCCGTCCGCCTAGACACTGTAGACTCCCCCTTATATAGAAACCCACTGCTTCCTTCTGCTTTTGGACGTTTTAGACCCTGCGTCGATGATTGTGCTCCCACACTTTTGGGAATACTATCAGCATGCCCCAACCATCTAGCGACAAGTCGTCTGGCACGGCTTTAGGACCTATGATGGCGGACAACGATCACGGGCTCGATTCCAAAGCAGAGGTGGAAGTCAGTGGGCGCGAGATCAACCCCGCTACCGACTTGACCACGTCAAGTTACCATGACCATGACCCGGTCGAGGACTTGCGGCAGCGGCTCTCGCAATGGGGTGAGTCAAGTGTCTACCAAGGCTATGATGACGATGAAGATGAGCAAGGGTCCGAACATGAACTTCTCTTAGATCCCAACCTGCCCGAAGAATACGAGACTAGAATTCGCAAAACGGATGCGACACCAACCGAAGAGGTCGACGACGAGCTCGCGATGAAGAGGGAGGAGGAGGAGGACTCGCCGTACCCCGAAGTACGCGCCGCCGTTCGCAACTACGACGAGGACATCCCATGCAACACTATCCGAGCCTGGACTATCGGCCTTTTGCTAGTCACCGTCGGCGCTTCGATGAACACGCTGTTCTCATTACGACAACCTTCCATCGGTCTTGGTCCTCTGATTGCCCAAATCATCGCCTGGCCCATCGGCCAAGGCTGGGCCAAGGTGATGCCAAAGAAGCAGTTCAACACCTTCGGCCTCAAGTGGAGTTTGAATCCCGGACCTTTCAACATCAAGGAGCACTCCATCATCGTTGTGATGGCCGGTGTCTCCTTCTCGGTTGCATACGCCACCGACATTATTCTGGCCCAGCTGGTTTTCTACAAGCAGGACTTTGGCATCGTCTTCCAGCTCCTTCTCACGATCTCGACCCAGTCGCTGGGCTACGGAATCGCCGGCATCATGAGAAAGTTCCTAGGTGCGTCAACTTTGAGTAAGCCAAGGTTCAAGTTCGCTAACCTTATACCCAGTCTACCCGGCGGCCATGATCTGGCCCGGTAATCTGGTGTCCGTCACTTTGATGAACGCTATGTACGAGTCAAACGACCGACCCGATCCCAGCTTTATCGGAGGTAGCATGCCTCGGTACAAGTGGTTTGGTATCATAACCCTCGCCTCGTTCTGCTACTACTGGATCCCCGGCTTCCTTGCCCAGTTCCTGAGCATCATGGCTTTTGCGACTTGGATTGCTCCCAACAATGTCATCATCAATCAGCTGTTCGGCGGCACGAGCGGTCTTTCAATCCTGCCATTGACGCTCGACTGGACTCAGATCTCGGGTTTCGTTGGTTCCCCGCTCATTCCCCCGTGGTGAGTTTACCGGCACGCTTCGTGAAATGCTTGGGGCCCAGACTGACCTCGTGTAGGCACGCAATTGCCAACACCCTCATTGGTGTTGTCACCTTCTTCGTCATCGGTGCCTCAATCTTCCACTACACCGATGTCTGGTACGCCCAGTACCTGCCCATGAGTGATTCGGGCACGTACGACAACACGGGCAACCCGTACAACACGAGTCGCATCTTGACGCCCCAGCTCACCCTTGACGTGGAGGCTTACAAGAACTACTCGCCTCTGTTCATTAGCACAACGTTTGCCATTTCGTACGGGTTGTCTTTTGCTGCCATTGCCTCCCTGATTGTCTACACGTACCTGCACAACGGCAAGCAGATTTGGGCGCAGTACAGGAACAGTAACAAGGAGAAGCCCGATATTCACATGAAGCTCATGAAGAAGTACAAGGAAGCGCCAACCTGGTGGTACATGAGCCTGTTCGTGCTTGTGAGTACACGCCGCCTCTATTGACGTTACCCTACTGACTTGGCATAGATGCTTGGTCTCGGTTTCGTGACCGTCCTGGCATACCCGACCAACCTCACCTGGTGGGCTTTCCTTCTGGCCGTGGCCATCTCATTCGGCTTCTCGCTGCCCATCGGCATCATCCAAGCCGTGACCAACAACCAGATCGGCTTGAACGTGTTGACTGAGTTCGTCTACGGATACATCCAACCCGGACGACCGCTTGCGCTCATGATGTGAGTCTCGACCGGTGGTGATGTTTTTTTTTGGTTTTTTTTGGTATCATATGCTGACAATACGAACAGCTTCAAGACTTTCGGCTACATCACCATGTCTCAATCTCTGAGCTTTGTCTCCGATCTGAAGTTTGGCCACTACATGAAGATCCCCCCCAGGACCATGTTCATGTGCCAGGTCGTCGCCACGACCTTCTCGTGCTTTATCCAGATCGCGGTTCTCAACGCCGCCCTCAAGAACATTCCCGACGTGTGCACGCCGCACCAGGAGAACAAGTTCTCTTGCCCAGGTGGTCGCGTCTTCTTTGCCGGTACGTCTGCTTGTTCTTCACACTCGGGGTTTGTTTGTGTTGCTGACCCAGTCCACAGCCTCCGTCATCTGGGGTCTCATCGGGCCCGCCCGCATGTTCTCCCCGGGCCAGGTGTATTCTGGCCTCTTCATCTTCTTCGGTCTCGGCGCCGTCCTCCCCGTCATCTTCTACTTCGCCGCGCTCAAGTGGCCCAAGTCGCCCGTCAAGTACCTCATGGCGCCCCTCATCTTTGGCGGAGCCGGCTCGATCCCGCCCGCGACGCCGCTCAACTACCTCAGCTGGGGCGTCGTCGGCTACGTCTTCCAGCACCACATCCGCAAGAAGCACTTTGCCTGGTGGTCGCGCCTCAACTACCTCACCTCGTCGGGCCTCGACCTCGGCCTGGCCCTCGCCACGCTCGTCATCTTCCTCGCCTTCACGCTCAACAAGATCGATCCGCCCAAGTGGTGGGGCAACGACATTGTCACCGCCACCATGGATGCCCAGGGCACAGCCATCCAGTCCACGCCGGCGCCCGGCATGAAGTTTGGTCCGACATCCTGGTAAGTATTCTCAACAAGGCACGACTTGGCGTCACGGTTATAAGGACTTTGTAGCACTAAAGGCTTCGCAAACAGGGAGCACTAGGAAGGCGCTCTTTACGCTTTCCTCCTATCTGATTTTTTTATCTATCGTACTTGGATTCCATGCATTGGAAAGATCTGGGCAAGAGCGGGAAAATCGGCGGTGTTCAATGGGTAGAGAGACGGCCGAATCACCATCACGGCAATGTGATGATGCAACTATTGTGTATATTCTCTATTTCCGTTGCGGATTGCGTCTAATTTTTTTATTTTTCCACGTCAAAGAAGGATTTCCAATGACTTTTTTGTGACTATCGACGAATCGTGCAAGTCTAAACGTTGTCAAGGCATTCTGAGTTCAACGATTCGAGACTCAAAATGTTGACCTCGGCCACTGGCTCCAGCCGCGCCAGCGGTACGAGCCTCACTCACCTCGAGCACGCTGTGCCTCTGACTATACGAGACGGAGTCGAGCCACACCATGTTGGCTCCATTTCGGTGGACATCTAGTTCCGCTCCTGTTTGCATTCTTTGTCAGGGTTGACGACAACTGCAATGCCAAGAGGAATGTGCTCGTAATTCAATCTAGACTGGGTGCCTAATGCAGGCTCGGCATCTCAAGTCCGAGGAGGAGGCGTAGATCTTACACGTCTCTCGGCCTCGCCCTTTCAATCATCGATGCATTCATGTGTGTGTATGTGTGTGTGGACATGGCGTCTGTGAAACCCTGACAGCGTAGTAGTGGCACCCGAAACTAACCACGTCGCATCGATAGTGGAACGAAATTGTTTCCTTCGCACGCTCCCTCTCTTGTCGTGAGCTCACACACTTGGCGTGGAGACGGGAGGAGTCGCACGGAAGAATTGTGAACGTTTTGATGGGTGGGTCCGGGCGCGCTCGCGGCTCTCGGGGTGGGCTTCCCATGGGGCGCTAACGGTTCGGGGCATGACGGCCCCGGTGGGGGGGCAATCGGGGCAGTCGGCGGGCGGAGAACCGCAAGGATTGGCGCTGAAAGAGAACGGAGTCATAGGCAATGGTACCCGCATCTTATCGAGGTTTTATTTGGGGCGGTAAAAACCCATAATGGGGTATTGTGTGGATTCCATTCGGTTTAGGCATTGGGTTCGAGCGCAAGATCTCTGTGGGGTGGGCCTGTAGAAGGAGATGGCCCAGACCGGATGCCAGTAGGAGGTTACGTCGATGGTCTGCGGCCGAATGATGCGCCTGGCAAAGAAAGGGGAGATTAGATCGACATTTCTGACCGTGGAGATGTAATTCCTGCCACCGGGCTGCCAAGCCAATGTCGACGAAATAAAATAGACCAAGATAACGAACGAGTCAAGGGCTGCGGTTCGAAGCTTCGTTGGGTGGGGGTCTAAGTCCGAAATTGATAACGTCACGACTGTCGTTCATGTAGTGTATATCGACAAGGGGCACGACCAGAGGAGCAAGGCGTTGGTGAATTGCCGGCCGGAAGCGTGGGTTTCTTCGGCATGTCGCTTGGCGTTTCTTGACTCCGTCTTTTATCCACACAGTTTGAAGACCCAGCGGAACTTCAAAGCTTTGCGATGTGGGCGTTCGGAAATAGTAGTTCCTTCGGACACGATTGGGCAGCTCGAGTGCCGCAGACCCAGTGTTCAGGTACACACTAGTTCACGCGCACCAGAAACCGGGGCGCCTTGGATTGCCGGTAATGGCAAAGTGGCATTTGTTGCATCTTGGAATCGTCGGAAAAGAAGTTGGCAAGCTGTTGATCGGTCTGGGGTTCGTGTGCTGCGCCCAGGTACACGAATTACACCAACCAACTGCAGGGGCAGTTTCGAGATTGCCTTGGAAGTGTTCCCCGAAACCCACAGAAGTCAACCCCAGGGCAATCGCAGTGTTACAAATGAAGTCGCTGATGGTTGCTGTTTTTTGATGGTTTGATTGTGATGGGCAAGAGGGGGGGCTAGAAGGAAGAGGCTACTACGTACGTATGGCAGGCAAAACGGCGACCCTCGATGCCGCGCCGCTGCTGTGCGATGCGATCTAATGCGATGCAACTTCGGCCCTGCTACTTTGCACTTTATTTCGACATCCCGTCCGGCGTCTAACCTTTGTTTCCTTCTTTGGCGGACCCTTACTTCACGTAGGCAGCCCGCCCGATCTCTCGCCGATTTCCATATGTTCTGGAAGGTAGAAACAATGCAGGCCTTGCTTTTTCTTGCCCCCAACTCCACGCCGGTATGCACGTATCGTACGAAGAACTACGGAGAGACGGCCCAGACTCCCTGGATCACTATCAGTAGTCGCGGATTTATAATTGGACCGTTCTCACCGCCATCAGTCCCGACGCCCCGGACGGCCTGTCGGGGTCCACTAAATGGATGAACCCCGAGCTAACCAAGGCTAAGAGTTGCCATTGATTTTACCTACCCATGTTCATCCACGGGAAATCCAGTTGCCTGCCAGGTCTCAAGCTCGTCAGACCCCTGCCGTGTCTTGTCTGGCGTCTTCCCAAGCCCTTGCTGCAGGGGCATTTACGGTAATACCTACACAGGCAAAGAGACTAACGAAGAGACACGATGGCTGGAAACGGCCAATTGCATGCCTGGAGCAAGTGATCGATTATCACTACACGAGATTAATGCGGCTATGGATCAAAGTCCTCTTTGTTGGGCCCGGTGGACCGCCGGCCTTGATCGAATGCCCGATGTCGAAAGCGTCGTGCTGCATTTGCATCCTCTGCCGCGGCCGTCGTCCACAACGGCGGAGATGACACTGCAATCGCCTGCCCCTCTCGTGCTCGCAGCTCCACCACCAAGCCATTGGCGATGGATTCTCCGACAATGACCGCTGCAGAGCTAATGCCTCGCGCGGTCATGCTTTAGCTCTTCTTAGTAAGCGTTAACTCGCATAGGGCCCAAGATACTGCCCGGCGGTTCACGCTAGAACATGATGTTCTGGTGAACACCGCCAGGACCCCGACTCCAGCCTGCATGCTCGGTGTCTGACACTGCAGTGCACCGATACCCTTCCTTCCGGTCGTTGACAGCGTCCCGGCCTCGTGGAACCTTCTCGGCCGCTTGTCCGCGGGGCACTTACAGCACGGCCATCCAGCTTGTCAAGCCGCATTACTGTAGCGGCCACGCACACCACACCACACCATCGATCAAGCGAAGAGGCGACCGTTGAGAATAGCACCGCTACTGCAACATTGCCTCATCGACCCGAATACGGGGATTTAGCTTGGCTATCATGGCCCATCGCAGTGCCAAATGTTTAGTCTCGCCAAGGTGTGGATTCGCGAAGGGGCGTAAGGGGCTCGACCGCCACGCACCTTGGTGATGACGGCTTTTGCCAACTGCCATTGCCCTTTCTGATGGTCCTTGGGGACCCTATTCCATAGCCGCTTCCCAAATTACAAGCGACCAGATACACCGCCCGAGAGACCACCGGATCCGGCCTATCAACGGCGCGTACTTGGCGTTTCCCCTCTCCCTCTCCTTGTCCAGGTGTGTCTGGTTGAGAGTGCATTGCGAATCCTCCTCCGACTTGCCCTTTTCAGTTACTCGGGTCTTACGAAAGACTCCTACTTTCTCATTTCACTCAGAAGACATCACATTTCTCATCCTCCTAAAGAAACTCGGACTCAGGGCCAATCGTCAGCTCCTCCTTTCGTCTGACCGTTCGTTGAATCCGCCGAGACCCCTTTGACAAGAATCGCCCACATATATTTAAAGTTTGGCATTCTTCCGACGAACCTTTCCCACTCTCGGGACGCTCTGCGAACCCTGAACACCGATTATTACGCCAGCCTCCGAACCCAGTTCACCCCAAGGACTATGGCGGAGCAGAATGGTTCCAGCACCGCCAACGGCGACGGCCCCGCGCCGGCCGCGAAGGCAGTCTATGACCCGACCTTCACCGGCCGGGTCATTGCCGCCACCGGCCCACACGCCAACCCGCGCCTGGCTCAGATCATGCCGAGCCTCCTTCGGCATCTCCACGACTTTGCGAGAGAAGTCGACCTGACCGTGGGCGAATGGATGGCCGGCGTACAAATGGTTGGTGCTGGCGTTTGGCCTCTTTTTCTTCTACCTACACATTGTTTGCCAGCTAGTCGTGCCGACTACCCCGAGGACCACCGGCCACTAACATGACGTTGCTTCGCTCCACTAGATCAACGAGGCCGGCCAGATGTCCAACGACGCCCGTAACGAGACACAGCTCCTTTGCGATATCCTCGGTCTCGAGTCCCTCGTCGACGAAATCACGTCGAAACAGCTCCAGTTGAAGACGTCCTCCTCCCTCGAAACCAACCCAACCTCGTCCGCCATACTCGGTCCGTTCTACCGCTACGACGCACCGATTCTCCCCAACGGCAGCTCCATCGTCTCCTCCCTCGATTCTCCCGACTACCAGAACGCCTCCACCCACCTCTACGGCCGTGTCCTAGACCAGCACGGCCGGCCCATCAAGGATGCCATTGTCGACATCTGGCACACGGCACCCAACGGCATGTACGAGCAACAAGACGCAGAGCAGCCGGACATGGACCTCAGGGGGCGCTTCCGGACCGACGGCGAGGGGCGCTACTCGCTGTACTGCCTCAAGCCCGTCCCCTACCCCGTGCCCAACGACGGGCCGGGCGGGAGGCTCCTCAAGCTCCTCGACCGGCACCCGTACCGTCCCGCGCACCTCCACTTCATCGTCTCTGCCGATGGGTTCCGGCCCGTCACGACGCAGCTGTTTGACAGGGAGGGCAAGTACCTCGACGACGACTCGGTCTTTGCGGTCAAGGAGGACCTGATTGTCGAGTACAAGCCTACCGAGTCGGACCCCAAGGCGAGGTGGACACTGGAATACGACTTTGTTCTGTGCAGCGCGTGAGCATTGCCTCGAGAGAGGTGGTTGCTTGGCGACTCTCACAAAGGGGACGAGAAAGGAGAGCCGCTCTCCAGGCAGGGTCGGACCCATTGTCCAGCGTGGCCTCGGGCTACCATGACGATTTGACGAAGCCACGAAATCAAGAAATGGTGCGGGTGGTTTCCAGTCGCCCTGTTTCTTCGGGGAACTGCGCAAACACACAAATTACGAACGGAAGCGCAATCGCGGAGGGATATATCTTTGGATTGGTTTTTTTTTTTTTGGTCTCCAACGCGTTTTGTTCCTTTCATGCATTGTCTCCCCTTGTTGCTTTGGCCTTGCCTCTCGCCCCCTGTTTCCCCCGGCCTCACTACAGCTCCAGTGGCTCGTTGGTAAATGAAAAATAAATGAAAAGCACCAACTACTCATCGCCTCGTCCCTCTACCGGTACATTTACGCATCGCCATGCCCTTGGTGCCAGCCTCGCCCCGTTCGCACCTTGCTAGAATCACTCCGTGTCTCGCCGTCGTCTGGGTATCTTTAACCTCGCTTCATTTCCTCGTGCCCCCCCGCTTCTCATGAACCCTGTGTTAGCACTGACCGAATCGTCGTGCACATGAATGACTCAAAAAAAAAGTAAAAGATAAAAGAATAGAATAAAAATACCCTCCTCCGCACTAGCCGCCCGAGAACAGTATACAGTGTACATTGTAGGGAAGGGGCTTGACGTTTGTAGGTCCCGTGTGCTCCCTCTCCCGTGCATCCCGGTACGTCCTGGATCTTGCCCATACTACGAGTACTCCGCTGGAACATACATTGGCACACTGGGAGGAGCAACGTATCCTGGAGGCCCGACCGCCGGCACACCAGTCCCGTTAGGGCCGCCGGGCACAATGTAGTTCGGGAAGCCCTGGAACCGTGGGCCGGGGCCGGGACCGGGACCTGGGAACGCAGGCAGATTGGACGTTGTCGCCGCTGTCATCAATGCCGGAGGTGCCCCGGCAGGGACTGCTGCCGATCCCGCTGCGGCGGAACCGGCTGCGATGTTGGGTACCGCTGACCAGCCCCATAGCTGGTCGAACTCGAGCTCCCCATCGGCCGTGTCCGAGTCGCCACCCATCCTCACGCTTTGATCGCCCTGGGACATGCCGGGAGTGCTCCCCGCGGGCGACACACCTGCCGACGGGCCCGTCGGCGTCGAGAAGCTAAGGTCCGTCTTTGTGGACAGCGGCGGCGGAGCCATCGCCTTAGCGGCCGCCGCCGATGGCCCTGATGTGTTGGCTACAAAGGAGCTCTTCCGCGATACCCCGGATGGCCGGAATATGGTGCCGATCGGGTCCTGGGTCGATGTCGGGGATAATGTTGGAGGGGCGGGCATGGCCGGCTGCTCTGGTTTCTTTTGCCGGAGCTCGTAGATGACGTTGCGGAATGATGTCAGGATGAAGAGCAGTCGGTTAGCCTGCGGATCACTGGTGGCGCAGTAGCGCATGATGGCGATTGTGTTGGATATGGAGGTTCCGTAGCTCGGGTTGGGGTATATCGCCGCGAACTCGTTGCTCAAGATGATGAGGGAGGCTGCAAAAAGGAAGTAGCTACGGATGATGTCAGTAAAAAATGCTTAGGTGGCCTTCTTGGGGTTACGAACAGAACGAAGGGGTTGCGTTGTGGGAGGTAGTTGCTCTCGAACGCCTTTTGCACGAGAATGATGGTTTGGTTAGAGGCATGCAGGCATGCCTCGCAGTACTTTGACATGCGGTTGATCCAGCGGGGGACCGGTAAATGGAGGCCGCTTCGCTCTCCGTGTACCTTGCTTAGCAGACATATAAAGAACGGCCGAGTCAGCAACATGATTGAGTGGCAGTAGAGCAGATTAACGTGGAGCGCTGCGATGCCTTGTGCCGGGTGGTTGGGATCAGCGGCAACTTGCCTCCCAGCCAAGTCCGGGCTGAGTGTAGAGTACCAGCTGCTGCATTGCTCCCAGATCTCTTGGGCAAGGCGGACCGATATTCGTCGGCGGGCATAGATCTTCTTGAGAATCAGTCCAATAATCCGACAAGACCGCACGGCGGCATCAAGCCCGTCGTTTGGAGCCGTGACGCGAACCAGTTCCCCTTGAGCGTTCTTCTCGAACACCAGTAGGGCATCCGTAGAGCATTCCTCCTCGTCAATGGCAACTGGGCGACCGAGCGAAGCAGCAAGGAAACGGTCAAGAACGAATAAACTCCGCCAGAGATTTCGTCGAAGTTTGATTTCGTGGCTCTTGAAGATGAAATGGTTCTCTTGGACCCTGTGCAAACCGAGGGCAAATCCGGATCGGACGGCCATTCCTGGAGCAGAAGGTCAGACACTGCGTCCTTCGCAAGTTCGTCAGGGTTCAATCTCACCAAAGTAAGCATAAGCCGCATTTCGTTTTGATATCGCAAGCATGTAGACGGCCATCAACGACAGGGCCTGTACAGACCAAAAGTCTGCATCTTCAAACCCCGTTATAGGGTCGCCGAGGGCTTTTGCGCTTCGGAAGAAGAGCTCTGCGCGGTCGTATTCACTTGCGCGGAGCTTCTTGAAGATCGTGTCCTCCTTACTACCGGGAAGTGGCGTGCCAAGGACCGTACCAATGGCAAAAGTCAAATACAGCAAGCAGAGAAAGGAAGATTGGGCCGCCAGTGGATCCGAGTAGCAAGCATCGAACGACTTTTCAAATGCTGCCCTGTTGAAAATCTCAATCAGGCCATGAGTCTACGCGGGTTAGAATGACAGCATTCCTCTGGACGAAGTGAAAAGGGCTGCATACGTTTGTGAAGAAGGAATCAACCAAAGCGTTGGCTGTGTCCCTATCAGGCAGGATGTGCGGAGGGCGTATGTCCGTCGGCATTACTATGGTAGCCTCCATGATTTTATGGCGGCTGGGATCCATTGTGAAGTCGCTGGGACCGACGCTCGCCTCAACAATCATTCGTATGAGCTGCAGGTATGCCAGCGACGCCGAGTCCCCACATAGACTGAAAACATGGTTAGCAAACTCGACCCATGCGGCGCCCAAAGGAGATAGCATACGAAGTCTGCCTGTAGGGTCCTGTAACATCCTGGTAGACTGGATGAGAGAGGTTTCTTCGTCGGGGCCTGATGCTGTGCTGTGTCTGGAGCGGATGTCGAACTCTCGGTCCGCTGCTGTCATCTCAGGGTCATTTTCAATGGAGGGTTTTACATCAAACCCAACGGTCGTTAGTTTTTCCTCGGCGACTGGTTGCTGCGGCTTAGACTCCCATGGTGTCGTAGCCGCCGCGGGACTCTCAGATGCAAGCGAGCCATCGGGAGCTGTTGGTTTTCCGCTGGGTAGTTCTTCAATATTGCGACGCTTGGAGGGAGAAGCCAATTGGTCCGGAGGGGTCTGCTCGGAGCCGTTGCTCGTCGTATAGGTACACACTAGGCTCCTCTTGGTACATGTGGCACATGGGCGAGAGCCGTTACACTTTGAAGAACTGGTTAGCTAGTGAAGGTGACTTGGCAGTGAATGCGTTTACGGGACCGGGAAAGGCCTCAGAAAACAGGTAAGACTAGCACTTGCCGAGCCCAAGGTCTTTCACATAGTACGGGATGCGGTGTAAACGAGACCGGCAAGATGGAAACCCGTTGTAGATCGAGACTGGGGCCCTCCATAGACCGAACCAATAAATATGGGAAGTACGTGACCAGATTGTCGGGATGTCCACTGGGACATGTTCAGATTCGAGGAGCATCCCAGACGTTAAGAAGAAGCCCCGTTTAAGGGTCCAGCGATTCCTGCGAATTATCTCGCGCGGATGATATCTCTGACAAAATACCGAAAGTACTTGAATACCTGCCACCCACTTGGATAGGCCAACTTAGTCGGCAACGAAACATTGACGATCAGGACTACAGAGGTTATTTTTTTCATGGGTGGGCGCGACGAAACCGGATTAGATTCGGATTTGGAGCCCCCGATCATCGTGGCGAGGGGCTGTAGAACAGTTGCTATTCGAACATTCGCCCAATAGAAAGCGAGACAACATTGAAAACAAAAGGGAGGAAACAGGGCGATGAGTGGACAGGACCCCATCGTCGGTACTCTCCTGATATGTGCTTATGCAGGGCTCTTCGGGCAACTAGCCAAGAGCGACACGAGGGGAGTGGCGGGGAGCGGGCGGGATTCCAGGCAACGCCGTTGACACTTCTGACAGGCCAGAAATGAAGTCACCCAACGCAACAACGACAACAGCCAGGGTAAGGAGAGAGGAGTAGGAAGCGATCAAGGCCGAGGGCAACGAGACGACAGCTTAGGCAGGGTTTGGGCGGGAAACAAAAGCATGCAAACTAGGAGAAAGGACGGCTCACCTTCTGCTTTCGGCGCTTACAGGTGTCACAGGCCTGGGCAGTCCGTTGACGTTTGTCCTCTGGAACCTTGGGTCGGGTCATGGTCAACGACGATGATGCATCGGCTGATAGTCCATGGACCCTTGGCAATACCCGCTATCCGATGAGGCGACGAGGTGGAGTTGGGTTTGGAACAGCAGCGGCCGCACGACCAGGTGTGTCGAAGGGGGCGGAAGCGGGCGGAAGAAGGCGGAAGCGGCGCCGAGGGTTTACGGATGACTGCACAAGCTATGCCGGAAGGTAGACTGCAGAGTGGCGGATAGCAGGCACCATGTACAGATGCGCATGCTTTCCTCCGTCTGTAATGAGTGATGAGCGAGGGTGTCGGCTAGGAGAGGAGAGGGCGGATGCCGCAGCCGCAGAGAGGGTTCCGTGCTGTGGTCCGAAGCGGGAAACTAGTAGGGATCGATTCTTTAGGCAAGCTTTTCTGTCATGTTCCGACGACGGGACAAGCAGGTTGGGCTAGTAAAAGACGGGTGACGAGGATAACTGCAGGTGGGGAAGCTTGAGCTTCGGGTATGGGGGTGGTTACTTTAAAGAGTAATCTAGGTACGCGATGGTGAGATGTGACGTGGGGAGTAGTAGATCCAGGTTTGGTTTGCACTATGCCGCGCCGAGTTGGTCTGCTGCTGCGGGCGAGCAAGAGGGGAGGGGATGGGATGGGACGGGACGGGATGGGATGGGATGGGATGTGATGTGATGTGATGGGATGGGATAGGACAGGATGGACCGCCTTAACGGCAGTGGGTGTCGGCGAAGGCGGGGAACGGACGTGAGGGAGAGAAGAGATCTCGCGGAGATGGAGAGAGGATAGAGAAGAGCCTGGCCCGCAGAGGGAGGGAACAGCGAGACTTTGATCGGATATGGGACATGCGGCCAGGCCGGGCCAGGCAGAAGTTAGAAGAGACTCGTAATTGGGCAAGCTCGCGCCTGTCACGCCTTACGGGAGAGGCAGGCCGCGTAAAAGAAAGATTAAAAAAGGAAGGGGGGTCGGGGAGACGGGAACTTGGGGTGGGAAAGGCAATTCGACTAGAATAGTCCTCTGCAGAAGCAGGCAAGGCAGGGCCGTGGAGTCGAGTCGAGTCGAGCTCAAGGCGAGCTTGAGTCGCGCGCAACCGCAACGAGATGCAATGCGGAGTGGGGAGGGGGGGGGGGCCAAGAGGGTCAAGGATGCAGACCAGGGGGGAGGGGGGAGAGGAGAGACTTGAGCAAGGGGGGGTGGGCAAGGAATTAAAGCTAGGACCGCATTGTAGGTAGGGCAAGGGGTTTCTTGGGTTTGATGGGCAATCCACACCCCCATTGACATGATCTGGGTTTTGGCGCAGGTCGAATTTGGGGAATTCGGGATGGCTCGATTCAAGTCAAGGGGTGCGGGTGAACCCAAGCTTGACTCTCCTTTGTTCTGGCCCCGAGTCTTCTGAAGAACAGACGTGTGAGTCGAGGCCCAATGTCCGTTCCAGCCAGGCGACAGATCAGACACAAGCCCAACCCGTTTTTTGACATGTCTAGAGGCGAGGCCAAGGTACGCCCGCCCGCGGTACTGGGTCTAGAAGGCCGTCGTGACGGCGCCGCCCAAGTTTCCATTCGGACAGCGAACAGACACACACCTGCCAATGTTGATGTTTCGATTACGCACTCGTCTGTAGCCGCGCAAACGTGGATGCAAACCTCTTGGTGCTTGATGGAGCTGTCAGCCGTCAGAGCTGCGGCAAGCAGTCTGTACTTAGAACACCCGTTGCATGGTTGGGTATCCACCTCGTTCGACTGGCTGCAGCTGGAAACATTAACGGCATGCCCACCCACCGTGGGCAATGTCATAGCTGCCTTTGGTTTGGGGCTGCCACCTTGTGTCAGGCATGGGTTTGTGTGAAGCAAGACGACATGCGTGAAGCGTGCGTGCGATGCAACGAGGCGGTGGTGGGTGATGATCACCAATATTTGGTTTGATGAAGCGTGCAAGGGTAGCTACACTCGTACCACCCAGACGCCTCGCACCACAGGCTAATTCCGCAGAGCTCTTGGATGGAGAGCTCATGCACCAGATGCATGGCCTAGATCGTGGAGCTGAGTCACTCTATTTTTCTTGCTAGCCTCCAAGCCACGGCGCTGCCGCTAGCTTGGCAGAGAAAAGCAAGAGTGCCCGAGACATCATCTGGCGTCTGCTGCCCTCTTTGCCCTATGGCCCTATGGCTGGCAGAGCAAACGAGTTGACGGGGAAGAATGTTGGACGTGTGGCGGCCACGCTTCCGCGGACTTCTCTGGCTGGACTGGGCTGGAATCCGTGCTGGGCCCTTGGCGGGAGTGAGTGAACACGCAAGGCGGGCGAGGCTCGGACTGTCCAAAGCGCGAACCCCAAAACCTGCCCCCTGTACTGGGCTATTGATCGGAGATGTTTACCTCTGATCGAGTACGGCGGGTTCTCGATCGAGGCGCGCAAGTCGACTGGAATGTCTCCGACAGCACGGTACAGGAGGAATGCTTCTCGAATTAGCGGCCGCTCCTGACAGAGCATGGCCCGATGGCATTGACTCGCCAACATCGCGCGGGTTGCAATCGGCCATATCGGTTCTCGTGGAACGGTCGGGCCGTTTTTCATTTGGCGTTGCCTTGGAATGTGATTTGGCAACGAGGCCGTCGAGGACTTGGTTGACAGTACATAGTGTAAGGGCGCTGTTGATCTGCAATGTTAAAGTCTAAATCGATGCAGTCCAGGTCTAGATGAAGATGAAGGGTGTGCCACACATATGCATCTTGTAGTGCATGCGGGTGCAGCGAAGAAGCTGTTTGAGATAAGATATCGAGATGCAGAGCTGATGAGAATGGTGATGGGTAGTGGACGGGGTAGCATCGACATCGGCACCGGCACCAAAGTATGAATAGGCACGCTACAATGCAATCCTCTTTTTGGAAGTTGCTGGCGAGTATGTGCGAGAAGCCCAAAGCTCCTTCCTTTTCATCCCTAACCTGCAGCTTCCTCACGCAGACTACTTACTTGTTTCTTTCTGGAGTGCCGGGGTTCGACCGGAGGTGTCACCCTGGATGGGACCGGTGGTTCTGCTCCGGAAGCAAGGCCGGATCGGAAGGACCTGCATCGGAGCATCGGAGCCAAGGCCGGCCATGAAGAGTTGCAACGCCGCCATGTTCCTACCCCGGTTCCGATGCAGTCGCCATTGGCCAACATGCTGCTCAGACTGTTGTTTCCGTCTTTTGCCCCTCCACCACGGAAGTACAGCGCAGATACCTCCCTATACATACAACCTTTCTTTCAATCATCGACCTCTTACAGAATCCACAACTACAGATTTATCGTCGGATAGCGCACCGGCCAAAGAACTCAAACATGAATCGCAAGGTGCCAGACAGGGGTCGCATGCGCGGGAAAGGGAGCGGGAGACGACGCATTGGGAGCTTTTCCCGCTAGTCGACCGCATCTCACCTGCTGGCTTCAAACCTCGCATTCTACTCCAATACCTCGCAAGCCCCATCCTCCATCAATACAATCTGCCTACTCTTTCATTATCAGCACTTCCCCGCTGCAAATATTCTGCCCGGGCAACTTTGCGACCGCCAGCTCCATCTTCCATCGCTCTCGTGCATACTGCACTCGCAATGAGGGTAGATAGGATAGATGGAGATTGGCTCAACACCAATCCGAGTTCAACCGTGCCGCCACCACGAAAATGGCACCTATCATAACATGATACACGACTTACAGCTATCGTTGGACCCCGCCGAGACGGAAGCTCGTACGAATCACCTCCCGCAAACAACCGCCTTCGGATCGGATGTTGCACCGCGCAGACTGTCGTAGTCGGTCAACTGCCGCTTCCGGTGTTGATTGTTCGGATCCAGCATGCATGACATTCCTCTTTTTCTGATATACGACGACGAACCTCAGGACGCCGGCAAACTTGATTGCATCCCATGTCACCATCGCCTATTTGCCCTTGCTATTCACGCAAAGACGGCGATGAGACAGAGTTGCCTCGACATCGGTCGTGGTGCCTTTGTCATGGGTCATGATCTTTGTGTTCCAGCTGGATTCCGAGTCAAGCTGCCTAAACCAAGTTTTGGTCCGGCTCCGGGACGACCCCTTGAGCTGTGTTCCGCATCTCTTTCGCGTTCCCCTCTTAGCCCCTGGCCTGCAGGTTCCGCGGCCACGGTCCCCAATACCCCTCTTTCTTCAACATGTACAGCCATCCCACCTACGTAATGTACATCCCTGTGTCTTCTGGTTTGTCAACTGCGGTCGAAGCGCATCCGATTGACTACGTGCCATTCGCACCTACTTCTATTTCAACCCCACCCTTAAACCTCGTCGGGCTGCTGTATGGTGTTCTACCACCCTGCACCTGATCCAACTAGATGCTTGGTCGTCGTCTTCTCAGCTTCACTAAACTCGTCGCGGTAAGAATCGTCAAAGTTGTCTACTGTATCCGCCCCCAGTGGCGGACGTTCTGTTCGGATGAATCCCGTAGTCACATTTCGCATCCAGATTCTCATCTGCCGGGATCTCATTCTAGCTGGGCACCTTTTTCCCTGCCAAGTTCCCCGTCGCGGCTGTCCCCGTTCATAGCCACTCATGGCCCGGACATCCTCCGGGTTTGCGGCGATGCCATCCTAGTACGGATACCGACAAACCACAAAGTGCATTGGATCCCAACGTAGCCGACGGTCTACCCGTCTCTTTCACCCATCCTTGTACTTCCCGCTCCCGACACCGCTTGCTTTGATGGAGTTGCTCGTCCCTAGCTCCACAACCTTTAATATTTGCCCTTTCTTGGTGGAGAGATCAACATACACCAGCCGACCGGCTACTCACCTAGACCTGTCCTCCTGTGTCCCTTGATACATATATACTTTAGCCATGTACAGAATGTGGCTGTCTTAAACTTCCCAAGTTTGTCCCCCCTGAGTAAATCACAACCTCAAACCGCCTCACCAATCTCATTTCCCCTGACGATGGTCCCCAAGAGACCTGGTTCTCAACAAAGAGCGGCGCCGAGCTACTCCGTCAAGGAGGGTTCTGATAATGCTTTGACTGCCCTCATCGCCACATGCCAACGACAACTCCCGCCTGAATTCGTCGACCACGTGCGAAACGTTGCTTTCACCGCACCGCTAGCAGATGCCGCTTTCTTCCCATGCCCCCTCAAGGAACAGGAGGCAACAGCCTCTATCAAGGCTCTCGAGGGTATGGCTGCCGCTGCTATTGCAGACCTTCGGCACGGATCTCACGCTCAGAGAGAGATCGAGGTCGACGTGGCTCGTACGGCGTGCTTCCTGATATCGGCCTACCTCACAACGGTCGATGGCATGGACAAAGCTCACCCCAACGTGAAGTCCAAAATTCCAGGTGCGTATGACACGACTCGGGCAATAGCCCCTGACTTACACATCGCAGATACGGACCTGAACCAAGCCCAGTCCATCCTCTACAGGCGTCTCTCAGCAAATCTGTACAAGACAAGGAATCCCGGTGAATACTATCACCTTCATGGGTCGCTCGAGGCTTCCAAAGCTCTGAACATGATCGGCCTGCCCGCCTTCAATCCAGAGCTCCAGGGTTACAGCGAGTGCATCAACACAATCGAGGCCGCGATGATGCGCTTCTCGGTGCATGAGCTGGAAGAAATGAACCGAAGGGAAGGTCAGGCCGGGGTTCCCGTGCTCAAGAAGGATCATTTCTTGAACACGCCCCACGGCAAAGCGCTTGGGCAACTTCCTCCCTTTACCATCAAGTCGGTAGAGTCCGCTACGCCACCGGCCCCCTTTGCGGCGCAACACGATAATTCGGGGACGGAGCAGTGCCTCAGCGGTATCCGAGTGTTGGAACTCTGCCGTGTGATTGCCGGTCCAACCATCGGCCGTTCTCTGGCGGCCCACGGCGCTTCTGTTCTCAAGGTGACCTCGCCAAACCTCCCAGACGTCCCCTTTTTCCAAGTGGACGTCAACACAGGGAAACACACGACCTCTCTGCACCTGAAAGACCCGGAAGATCGCGCTAAATTCGAGTCGCTTCTCGCTAGCGCCGACATCATTCTAGACGGCTACCGGCCAGGGGTCGTTGACCGTTTGGGTTATGGGCCCGACAAACTGGCCGCCATCGCCACAAAACGCGGCAAAGGCTTCGTCTACGTCGCAGAAGACTGCTTCGGCGGCTCGGAACTGGGCGTGGCGAAGGCGGAGTGGGCAGGACGCCCGGGGTGGCAACAGATCGCTGACTGCGTCACCGGCGTCGCCTGGGAGCAGGGCCACTTCATGGGGCTCGACGCGCCCGTCGTACCTCCCTTCCCCATGTCCGACTACGGCACCGGAGCGCTGGGCGCCGTCGCCGCCATGGCCGGTCTGTACCGCCGCGCGACGGAAGGCGGCTCGTGGGTCTGCCGGACCAGCCTGTGCCAGTACGACATCTTTCTCTTGTCGTTGGGCGCGTATTCGCCCGAAGTCCAAGCCCGCCTGCGCCAAACGCACGATCCAGCCTTCTTTGACCTGCGGCACCACGACTCTGTGGACGAGGTCAGCAAGCGGGCCCTGCGCAGCGTGAAGCGTCTTCATCCGGAACTTTTTGCGGAGGACCTGATGCATACCGCGTGGAGCCAGGGGTTTGACGCGGAGGTGAGGTGGCCAAGGGAGGCTGTGAGGGTGGAGGGGTTGCGGGTTGGACATAATCGGGCGTCGAGGCCGAACGGAGCTGATGCGCCTTCGTGGGAGGATTGGGAGGCGCAGGATGATATTGTCAGGGCATAACGGGTTCCCCATGAATGATGATGATTATACGGCCTAGTCTAGACACACAAGCGACAAGTGGGACGCGAATAAAGATAGATCAAAATGATACGATACCATTTCCCCGAGGCCTCCTGCTCCAACGCGTTGAGAACTAAACAACAGCCATCAACGCTCTACCAGTAAACGTATCACACAACCAGGACGGGAACGGATATATCCCGATGCCAGTGGAACATGCCACGGGATTGTTCCCGGATTCATTGGCATCCACATCACAAACTCGAACCCGCGCCGGGCTCCTGAGTATCACACCCAGAACCCCGCATTGCCAAGCGTGTTCCTCTTCGCCAATTAGTCGGGCGCGGTGGCGAAGTAGTGACGGTCGGCAGTATTCATCGGTTCTGTTCATGCCAATGAGATGCCGTCGGTAATGCAAAAGACGTGCATCTCGGGCGGGCACCTGATTGGAGAGGGTGACAGAGATCTAGAAAGGACTTGGCAGTTACACTGCGTGATGCATGCACGGTCAATTTGAACATCAAGTTAAGTTCTTGCCCCGTGAGATTTTTGTTGGGAAGTAGCTGAGCTACCAGACTCGTCGTGGCCGTTCGCCCAAGCTCGACATCTGACTGACGACTCTCAGGAGTCAGCTTCCAGCGTAGAAGAATACGTCCGCGATGATTTCGTTGTTGTTGAGAATGGCCACGAAACTTCCACATAGACTGAAAATGGGACATGTGAGGGAGTGCCCCATGCGAGTATCAACTAGTAGAATAAATGAGTGATTTTCTTACAGTTAGCCGCGAGACTCGCCTGTCTATACCAGCTACTACGTTCAGCCTCGGATAATTACCTATAGCTGGAGAGCTACTAGTCGGGACAAGTATTCTTAGAATCCGAACGTTTTGGGCTGTCGTGGAATTACGGTCGAGTTGGAAGCAGACCTCACGGCATACCAGGTGGCATATCACGTCGTCGACTGGCCGTTCCACAAAGTGGACGGAAAGCTCTCACAGGGGCAGGTACAACTGAAGCTCAGATCCTTATGGACTCCCGCATCACACTCATGGATAGGATGTTCTCCGGACTCCTCCATCCCATAACCCTAAGCAGGAAGATTTCAAACTCTTAGAGCGACCCGTCAGGATGCTGGAGATGACAAGCCCCAAGATTCTTGGGAAACAGATCTTGTGGCCAGGGCATGACAGTCTCGGATCAAAATTCTATTGGACTAGTATGATAAGAGCAGCTTGTCTCGTGGAACAGAGGTTCCCGGTAACGACTTTCACATCAACCGCCGGTTCTATAATTGCCCATGGGCTTATTTAAATGTATGCGCGCTAGGTCAGACACGTCTGCTTCTCGTAATTTGAACCCGTGTTATCGGGTTTCTGGGTGTGAATGTGATCAAGCATTTATTGACACCAGTGTTTCTTCTACTCAGGAAGATATTCGAGGCCCTACGAATATTACAGTCGACATCTGTAGTTCCCTTCTTCACACGCAAGCCCAGATGATCTTACCTCTCACGATCCGCTTTCGGCGAATTGCCACCTTTAACTACGAGTCCTTCTATCAGCCACGTCAGCATATTATTTCATACCTCCTTGCACGGCCCATGATAACACAGACAAGGGGATTTACCACGGTAACGTTTTCAGAGGCGTATAGGGATTGTTGACCTGGCGAGGGCTGAACGATGCCGTGGCCTCTGGGGTTACGACCATGTCGAACCAATGCAAGTCGAATGCCGTCGACCTCTGATTAGTTATGAACTGCTCAGTCAAGAGATTGATACCCGGTGTCAACCGACATATTGAAAAACACCCAGCCGCGACGTCCACTGAGTATACGCCAACGGTAGGCCAGGACAAGTGAATACTCAGTCACGTTCACTTCACCCAGGACACCACGGACAATACTGGACAACCGGTTGCCCCGTCCTTTCACTCTCACTTGACGGTCAAAGGTCTTCCACCTTTCGTTTGTTTACATTGTTTTCCCTGCGATTTCATCATTCTCCAACCTTTGCGACCAGGCGCAACGCAAATATCAATCGCGCCCGGTCAACACATCATCCTTTCCTCGTCTCTTCCCATCATGAGATTCATTTTTGTCCCTCACCCTACGCACAGAAACCTCTCGTGCGACTACTACTACAAGAGAGACTACTGCCTCCATTTACCTCCATTTCGCCAAGACTCGCGACGGCGCAACCCTCTCCTTCGACGGATACCTGCGTGCAGCCGCTCTCTACGGAGGATATCGGAGTTAAGTCATCAAGGATCGGAGTGAGACTCTAGCACACAAAAATAGTGAAAACAACCGTTTCTTCAACGTCGAATGCGTACTCTGGACTCACACCGAAAGGCCTAGAACCGGGATCCGGTGGGTGCTGAAGGATTTGGCTGATATGCCCTAATCGTTTACCAGTGATGACAATAGTAAAGGAAGTCCCAGACAATGAAGCCAGGTGCTCTAGCCTTCATTCGCCCTGCTTCTTTGGCTGGATTCAGTTTCACCTGCTCGCCGACAGCCAGACAATGAAACACAAGTAGCTGAAACTCCTCTGGGTTGCTAGTATCGCTACGAACATGAAACTTGAACGGAGACCATACTAGCGAATGACCGGTCCATGGTTTGCGCCCCTAGCGAGCCTTCGAGCGAGTAGATGACAAGAGCGACTGTCTGCCCGAATCTCTTCAACCTATATGTTGGAGGTTATTCATAGAACGCTAGAACTTACGTCGTCACTTAGGAGAATGCAGTTACATTGTAGTGGCAATACTTGGTCCTGCACTCGCGTCCTCTGGGCGTCTTCGTTTGACTGACAAACAAACGACTACGAGGCGTACTTCGTTCGTTATCTTATACTTTTCGTAGCCAAAAGATGGGGACTGACTCTCGTCACAACGAACACGGCACACATGGTCAAAAGACAATGACTTGCAAATGATAAAAGGAAATCTAGGCGTAGAAGCAGTTGGATAAACGACGGGTCAAACACACAGCAATAATGCGGGATATGAGCCCGTCAACGAGTGGCGTGCGTATCGGCTTTGAACGAGCGAGACGAGCCCTACCGATCTATCGTGGACACTGCCAGATGTCTCCAGAGTTATATCAACATCCTCGGAAGTATGCCATGTAGAAAGATGGGGGCTCAAAAGACAACATTGTGAGACATCATAGGACTGGCGCTCGAAGTGGTCATGAATCCGTAGACTGATAAGTGTGTTCGCCTATTGAATGTTCATGACTGAAAACTTATCGTCTGCACCTTGCCGCGCAGTGATGGTCTTCTACGTCCGGTAAGATAGGCAAACAACATGTTCCCGAGGGCCGAAAACACTGGCCTCCTATACGCTTAAAGAAGACTTATGCAAGTGGTCCCGGCCCAATAAACAGGTTCACCTTCAGCCGAGAGCTCGAGCCGTGGTGCGCCGTGGTGCCTTTTCGTAGCGGATGTTGAGCTGGCCAAGCTCGTCTGCAACGAGCAGGGCATACGCTTGGTCAAGACACCTCTCTCAGCCTCGTGCCTATACTGCCCTACAATAGCCACTGCACAACACGACGGGGACACTATACGTTCAAAGAGACAAACCGACAGATGGCATACCGCGAAGGGGTGTTCCTTCCGCTGACTCTCAGCATGACACTTCCGCACCCTTCTCGGACAACAGCCCCCTTTCCAACGAGGGCTAACGAAATGGAGTTGTTACCGCAGCCTTCCCGTCATGACAATAGGACACAGTGCAGCACCGCCCCTTGACACACACCGCTGGAATCACCATGGATCATTACACACACGGGTCGAAGCCTTGAGTGGCCGGAGGGTAGAGCGGATCTTGCAGAGCAGGCAACAGAAAAACAAACATGGACGCAACTCTCTCCGAGTTTTCCAGATGCAGGAAAGAACAAGAACTGAGTTTTGGAAGGGGTGTATATGACTTTCTATTGTATCCGTCCACAAACATACTACAAGTACATTTCCCGTGTGCGGGAGGACGAGCTTCTCTCATCGCCGCCTCTGGGCCGTCAACTCTCCCTATTACTCTAGTCTCTCTCGCGCGCGCACGACGTCGCACTCCCCTCTCACAGAACGAGCCTGCCGGGCTCCTCCTCCAGAATGAGCTTGACCCTCTCCAGGAACACCTTGGCGCGCTTCTCGTCGCCCTTGGGCACCGTCACGGAGAACAGGTTGCTGCCGGACGACATGCCGGGGGTGTGGCGGGCGGGGGCGGGCTTCGGCGCGGCGGCCTTCTTGGCAGGGGCGGCGAGGAGGTCGATGATGTCGGAGGACGACCGCCTGGCGGCGGGGCGGGGCGCGAGGAGGGACGACTCGGGGAGGGCGGAGATCTGGGGCAGGTAATAGCCGCGGGAGCCGCGGGGGAGAGCTTGTCGAGGCCGAGGACCTGGTTGAAGAGCTCGTCGGCGGTGGGCTTGCGGGCGGAGGGGGGCAGGTCGTCGTTGGCGACCTCGGCGGCACGCGCGACAAAGGTGGAGACGGGCATGAAGACGCCGAGGGTCGACTGGATGCGCTTCTGGGCCTCGAGGACCTTGGACAGGGAGACGGGCAGCGCGACCTCGGAGTCGACGGGGGCGGCAGGGGCCTCGGCGGGCTTCTGCTTCTGGTCGGCATTCTGGGGCGCGGCCTCCTTCTTGGGGGCGACCTTGATGTTGCTGAGGTCGAGCTTGGACATCTGGACGGCGCGGTCCATGATCTTGCTCGGGGTCTCGGCGTTGATGGCGCCCAGGTAGGCGAGGACGTCGCCCTTGAGCAGGCGGCCGTTGGGGCCCGTGGGCTCGATCTTGCTGACGGCGTCCTTGTCGAGGCCGTGCTCGTTGACGAGGGACTGGACGGAGGGGAGGAGGGGATATCTCTGCTCGCGGGCCTTGCCGCCCGAGGTCTTGGGGGCGCCGCCCTGCTGCTGGGCGCGGGCCTCGCCCTGGGGCGCCTCGCGGCGCTCGGCGGTGTCGCTCTTGGGGGCCTCCTTCTCGGCGGGCTTGGAGGAGGGGGAAGAGGTCTGCTCGTCGGCGGGGACCTCGAGGGAGGACAGGTCGTCACCGGGCTCGGCGATGACGGCGATGCGGGTGCCGACCTGGACGCCCTTGGCGCCGTCGCCGGTGGTGATCTTGAACATGACGCCGTCATCCTGGGCCTCGACGTCCATGGTGGCCTTATCGGTCTCGATCTCGAGGAGCACGTCGCCGGCGGAGAAGGACTCGCCCTCCTTGACCTTCCAGCTGGCGATGTTGCCCTCCGTCATGGTCGGGGAGAGGGCGGGCATGGAGAAGTTCTGCGCGGCGAGGCATCGTGCTGAGGTCCGGAAGCCTGTTGTCACCGTCGACCTGGTCAGCTCCGTGTCTTTTTGGTTTATTGCCGCATGGTTCCGGACAGAGGAGAGGGAGAGGGGGGAAGCTGCTTTCTGTTGCAGCTACACGTTCTTTCGGGGCAATCATCTACGGACCTCGAGCTGTGGACTCTGCGGGTATTCTCCGGCCAACAACCCTCGCAGAAAGACGAGCCGCCGTCGCAAGGGAAGCCATCTTGTTTTGATTTTTTCTCGTTTCGCAGGAACCGTCGACCCGGGGTGGAGAGTTTGAACCTCAATTGACTCGGTCGTCAGGGGGGGAGCGAGGGGGAGGAGGGCGAGTTCGTTTTCGTTTCGTGATACCCTATCGAAAAGGTTCGGAGGAAAAAGGGAGCGTAGGGTGGGTTGAGGTTTCGGGCGTAGTCGGCGGAGGTTCGAATTGGCCTTGCTTGCAGCTGGAGGGACGCACACCGGTCCGGGAATCTTTTTCGCGGGACCCAGCAGGGGGGAAAATTGTCGAGCTTTGGGGTGAGCTCCTAGCAGCAAACACGCCTTGTTGGGGGGGACCGGACCGTTGGCGCGCGCTGGGCTGCGCTAGGCGGGCTGGCTGGCTGGCGCTGTGGCTTATCTCCGACTATTCGCTGCCGCACGGACCAGGAAAGAAAAAAAGGACGTTGTAGAGATGCGCAGTTTTGTTGGCTCATTGGCCAGCTCTCGCACCTGATAGGCTGATTGGCTTTCTGATGGCCGTTAGATCGGACGGCACACTGGTCGGGTACGTACCTCGCTGCGCGGTTTTCCAAGGCCCAGCGCCGTATCGTTGCGCCGCCCTCCGATAGGTAGGTACTGTAGAACCCTTCATGCTGCAGATGGACGTCGCGTTTCGGTTGGAGGACCCGCTCTCCGACCCCCGGCGCCGGCGGCGCAGTCCACACGGTGGTCGGAATCCAGTCCCAAAGCTGCGTGCTCCACTGAAACTTTTTGGATAGCTTCAATTCCCAAAGGCTGCTGCTCCTCGCGCGCGTGGTCTGACGAACGTTTGCGGGCCAATTGAACCACAACCACCGCAGCGCACCAGCCTTTTGCCATCTTTTTGTTCTTGTTCGTCTCATTTAAGCGGATCTTGGGTCTTCGGTCTGCGATACCCAACCATGGCCTCCCTCTCGAGAGGCCTCGGCCTCCGGCTCTCCCTCCTGGCCCCGAGAGCCCCCCTCTGCGCGGCGCAACAACCCCTCCAGCCCTTCTCGCAGCGCCTCTTCAGCTCCCTCAGCCCCCTGCGATACGCCGCGAAACCCCCCTCGAAGTCCTCCTCCGCCTCCCGCATAGCGGCAAGCGTGCCTCGCGCCGCAGCCGTCCCGAAACCCCCGACCGCGAAGCCGACCACCGCGCGCCCGACAAAGCCCGCCTCCCCCGCGATATCCTCCGCCGGCTCGGCCTACGCCCTGATAACCCAGCTCGCGCAGCGCAGCCAGCCGACGGTGCTGTACGAGGCCGTGTCGCACTTCTGGATGAAGTTCTCGGCCTGGACGGCCATGCTCATGTTCTACTCGTACGCCGGCATCAACTACTACACCATGCTCCTCCACCCGCCCGAGGACATCGCCGCCTGGGTCCCGCACGCCTTCGCCGTCATCTGCCTCGCCATGGCCGGCTTCGGCTCTTACTTCTTCTACAACACCCACAACATCGTCAAGCTCATCCGCGCCGTCCCGACGGCCTCCCTCGCGCCCTCGGCCCGCGGCGTGGCCCCCGGCGCCGCGCTCAACCCCAAGACGACGCCCATCCACCTCGAAATCACCTGCAAGCGCATGCTGCCCGGCCGCGCCAAGGTGCTCGTCGTCCCGCCCGAGCGCGTCTCGATGCCCGGCCGCATCGTCACGCAGGCGGCGCAGACGTCGTACGTCTCGCCGGCGCAGGAGCGCGCCGCGTCGCGCCAGAAGCAGATCAAGGCGCGGGCCGAGTGGGAGTACGACAGGAACCACCTCATGACGGTGCCGTTCCGCCACGCGGGCAAGGGCTTCAAGGCCGCGTGGTACGGCATCCGCAGGGCCGTGACCAAGGAGGGGTTCATGAAGATGGAGGTCGGCGGCCAGAAGCTCAAGCTGGACGTCGCTTCCGGGTGGGCGCTGGACGACGGGCGCGCGATTGACCGGCTGGTCAAGATCGGGGCCTGATGTGCCCAGGTGGATAGGGAGGCGGTCCTGTCGAGGAGGCCCGCGCCGTCCTTTTTCGAGCGCGGATGTATAAAAAAAAACCTGCTGTATCATGATCTTAGACGTCAACATAGACAGACCTTTGTACCATAATGACCACAACATGCAAAACGATTTACTCGCACGGGGGACTGGGCTTTGGCTAAACCCTCGAACACGATTGCATCCCATTATCGTATTCGCTGATACCAAATGGATATTTTTGCTAAACCAAAATCAAATCTAATAGTAATACAAACTAGTGTAAGGATAAAAGAAGCCAGGCAAGGTTCGCGATATCACGAGCGTCCGCAGCTTGTGGGAAGGGGGTAGAATAGAGTCTCCCGGCCAGACAGGCCATGGAGGGCTTCTTTACGAGTACGGACAACCTGACAGAGACCAGGAATCACAGATGAACACAACCTCAGCAGACTCTTTACAGTCAAACACAACATGGTTGCAAGATATCGGGTCAAGATTACGGTGCCTTGAGCTCCTCAGCTTCCAAGAAAGGGGAAAGACAGAGCCCCTTCCAACCAGAGAAAACACTCAAGCTGCGTAGCCATAACCACTCGTAACAAAGTGCTCCCATCTCAACAAGTCCAACAGAACCCGAAGCAAAGACCTCGGGCACACCTCGACTCCCGGCTGAAAACAGAGACATGTCCACGGCAGCAAGACTCTGCAATCACACGGACACAAAGCGCAGCTGACAATAACCCCGCCCCCCTCTCTCGACAGCATCGACCCCATAAGCAAAATCATCGGCGGCATCGTCGATCCTCCACAGTCATCGGGGCCTTATCGAGCCTGGGCCCGACCGACTGTCGTTCAGATGATGTAGCCCTACAAACAGCCGCCCCTCTTTGCGGCGGTAGCCTCATGTCCCACTCCAAGACCGCAGAATTGGTGAAGAAAACATGGCAGGAGCGATAAACCGCCTCGGCCAGCGCGGCGTGCCCGTCCGCCCATGCATCGTGGGAGGGGACCCGGTATCTTTTACCCAGACCGCCTACCAACGGAGCCCTCCACAGCCGCAACAAGAGCCGCATCACTTGACAGCGAGGTCTTGGATGGCCGTAGTCTGGGTGACCGGAGGGGTAGGTCAGAGATACTCACGAGGCACAGATCGACCTGATGCCCCTGATCTGCTCTTTTGCGATCGGCTCTTTCTTTGCGTGACCCCCTGATCACCGGCCACACTAGTGGGCCGTCAGTGCTATGTTTGGCAGCCCGCGATGTCTCGCCTTGTCCCTGTCCTGCCTATAATGGCGTGCGTCGAAGGGGGCGGAGAAGGCAAAAGTACACTTGACATTGCGCGCGCGGAGTCGATTCCGGCTCGGGTTTACCAGAAGGGGTGGAGGGGTGAGGCAGTTCCTTGATATCCCATGGACCCAGAAGATGGCCTTTGTGGGAATGAGAGACTGGAAAGAAGGAAAGGCCAGTCCCGTTTGCTACGTGGACGAAGCAGCGGCTGGCGATCTCGGATACAGGTTTCTCCAGCGGGCGCGAATCGAGCAAACGCCCGCGGGATCGATCATGAACCACTGATAACGTGTTGGTTTAGTGCATGTACCTAGGGTGGGCTGTGTAGTTGTCGTCGGTGGTTGGAGAACAAGCAGAGGGTGAAAGAAAATAACGCCCCGAAAAAAGTTGGCCGGTCTACGGTGTTGTCAGAGCAAAGTCCCACTCGGCCGAGGGAATATCCAGGCAGTTCCAGTTGGATAAAACGGTTGCTGGCGATCTATGGCGGTCAGTCAGCCTCAAGTCTACGGAGCGCGGGGACGAGGCGGCGAGGCTATCCCTGCCTGCCAGATGGCCACGTCGGAAAACCTTCAACGGCTGATCAACAAACACTTCCCAAGCCCAGTGGACGCAGGGAGGAAGGAGGGGCACCTGAAGAGAATGTACGACTCCGAGTGTCCGGTGCAATGCAGCGCGGCGCAGAAAGGGGTGTTCGTCCCGTCCCAGACACGGAGTTGTCGATCGCCTCGTCTTGAGACGAGAGAGAGAGTGAGGGGCAAAGATGCAAGGCGGGGGGGGGGGTTGACCTCTAGGCGAGGCCATTCCCAAGAAAGACCAGCAGCCGGTTCAAAACTTGGTTGAGTGGAAAAGGAGACCGTCGGGCGCTTGCTGAGCGGTGTAATGGTGAAGCGGTTCCCCTCACCGCGCGAGGGACTGGTCGTGGTGGGATATCATCCGCAAAACAGACAAAGGACGACAACCGTCGCTCTTGGACTCCGACCCTGCCACGGCCCTGTTCAGAGATTCTCGTCCCACCCCGCCTTTTCCGTTTCTCGAACAATGCCGTCATCGTTCCTCAGTCGATTCATTCAACAGGCAGGGTGGACAGACGATGAGTTTCGGCCGATGTCGACCCACCGAATTGAGTGGGACGCCTTACTTTTGTGCCATATCATGTCAATTGTTGGTATCGCAGGGCGGGCTCCTCCTTCTGCTGTGCTCGGCACAGTCACGGAAACCCAGCAACGGGCCTGCGATTACAAAGGGGACGTGCAGCAAGGACTCGATCGCATTCTCCACCCTCCGAGATGGCGGCTCCGGGCGCCAGCACCAAAGGGCCCCGTTGAGGGCTGCTTGATTCGGGCGACTGCATTACTGCTTCCTCCCGACCGAGGACTGATGGGAGAAAGAGAGCACGAGGGCAGACCGACATCGTCCAATGTATTCGTACATTGTTTCCTCTGTATCGTATGAGAAGAGGGTGGCGTTGTTGGGTGGGTTTCACCACAGTCAAGACAGAGTTGCACAAAGATGCGGTTTGCATTTGCGGTGTGGGAAATTGCGCGTGAGTACGATGAGAGGACTCGTTCCGGCAGTCTTTTTGACGTCCTGCTTCCCGAAATTGCCTGGTGCAGTCGTGCGGCTAAGCGTGGAATGTGTCGAGCATGAGGCGATGGATGGGCTTCCCTACGAATCCTCCGTCACAGCACGCCGCCGCCGGGTAAGGGTCAGATCATCAGCTCACGATGGGCTAAAGGGCCAATCCATACGACACCCGCAGAAAGGAAGCAAAGACGTAGCAGCAATTTGGCTTGTTGACGTGCAAAAGCGGAGATGGGCGAGTAGCGCAAGACAAGGTCCAGGGTCTGACAGGAATCCTTTGTAAGTGTAGAGTTTCCGAGATGAAGTAGTGGGGGGGGGTGCCTTCCGATTACAGGCGGTTTGGATAAGAAACCTGGAATGGTAGCATCGCGAGCATTGGATCCGGTGGGCTTTGGTGTCGGCAGCGGCAGATGTGACATCTCGTTTCACGGCAAAACAACAAAACTAACCAAAAGATGAGTTTTAGTGATGGCGTACTCGGTACACCCACCGAGAAGTGTCTGCATGAGCCCTGGCCAAGGCAAGGGCGGAGGTATCCGCAAGGCCACAGAGGCAGTGCGTGCCGTCGAGCTCGCCAAGGGGGATGGAACTTGCCAGAGAAGCCGACGACGCTTCAACGTGTCTATTTGCGCGTACCGGAGGGGGCGAGACGGCCAACGGATGGATGGTGAAATGGAAGAGGATGCGTACTCGGGTTGCGTGGTGCGGGCGGGAATGGCGTTTGGTTGGCCGCAGCCAACTGCCATCGCCAATTCCCCACGAGATCGAGGGGCAGGCCCAGGGTCCAGATGCCCCTCCTTTTCGCTGGTTGTTGCATTGCTTGTCATGAACCGATAGCAGCACGGGCCATCTGTAGCGAGATATCAACCGTCCCCAGTCCACAGTCAACGGTGCTAGGACAAGTCGAGAATAGCGTCGTCTTCTGGCAAGTGGAACGAGGCCCGCCAGCCCAAGTCCTGTCCAGTGGTTGCGCCTGCGACGCCCACTCTTTGCAGTCTTGCTTGCATGAGGGAGAGGGAAAAGGTGTGCGAGCCTGCAAGAAGAAAAAAGAATTTTTGCGACGGAGCGGTGAGCGTTCAATAGGCGTATCGCCTCCCAACCACCCCCTGTCAAGCAAGCGAGGCCACTGAGACGACGAACGTCCAACATGTCGAACATTCCGCATTCCTCATGTCCCAGAGCGGCTGCATCTCCAAATCATGTGCCCCGAATGCCAAAGTCTCAGCTCTTGGCGGGATTCGGTAGACGGCATTTCTTGAGGATCTTCAGGGTTCAAGCAGCCTTGTTCTTTTTTCCCTGGAAATCTCGAGTTTGAACCTTGTTGCGCGAGTAGCGCCGTCGTCAAGGCTCGCCGTCTTTTGTCAGAGCGGGACAAGACACGGATATGGATGGGGCCAGCAAGGAGTACGGTGTAGCCAGGACGAAGGTCATTCGGATTCTGGATCTTCTTTGCACCGACCAACGACCGACGACAATCCAGGCCCAATCATCAGGTTCCGTGTCCAACGTCAGCTTCAGCAGAGAAAGCCGGGGTCTCCCGTAGCGGCTACGAGCAAGTAGTTGAATAGCAAAGGTGCAGTAGTGCTGGCTGGCGTGAACGGTGTCTAGTCCGTTGTAGTGTGCCGTGCCATGCCATGCCATGCCAGCCGGCATCCACGGAGTTCGTTCCAATGGCGGCATATTATTTTCGGGCTGGCACGCGGAATCCTGTGGCATGTCGTTCGGCGCTTGTTGATGCCCCTCCGCTAGGTCTCCTTTGTCGGGGATTCCCATGACAGTCAACACGTCAAGTTGCAAGTCGCGAAATTCGGTCGCTCGCTCGCGGGAAGCAAACCCCCCTGTAGCCGTCCTGGTCCGGCGAGATCGACGGATGTTCGGCAGTCACCGCTCAACGGTGAGCATTGGAGGGGACGACTCACGTTCAAACGTGAATCGCACAGCTGGCCGATCTTTCTTGGCCAGCGAGTCAGCGGTCCCCAGTCTCCAGACCTCCAGCCTCACATGTGCGGCACATCATTGGTGTGCGCACCGTTACACGGACTGAGAGCCATGGAGAGCCACATGCGCGCAGGAGCCGCCGTTCCTCCATGGTATGCCTTGGCGTCGGAACTGGCTCAAAACCTCTGCGAACTCGGTGGTTGGCCGTGGTCGACAAGCTCTGGACTGACATTGTTGCCGGGGACAATCCAACAGCTCGGTACCTCTCCCTCTTCTCATCGGGTCGACATTTGCCATCGAGGTCTGGCCCCGAATCGCCCTCTCGGATGCGAATGTAGAGAAATGTCTGAATGTCAAATGATTCCTGCGCCTGCAGGTCAGGTCGCGACCTTGAAGGCCGGATGCGCAGGCGGCTTGGTTGGGCCTAGCCCTTGTCTCACTGATATGGACGGTTTTGGGGTTCACAACGTCGAATGAGGAAACGGCATCTGCCAGCCCGCACCCTCCATCACGTCGTTAGGCCCGAGATGGCTGTACCACCTGCATCCTCCACCGCCTCCTGGTGAACCCCAAGAACAGCCATCCCTAGGACAAGCCTCAAGTGCCTGATGATCGCTTCTCCCGTGCCTGGTCACCGCAGAGTCGTCCGCGACACCTGGGATTCGGGACTGACTCGCAGTTCTACGATTGCGCCTTCCGACCTCGCCCTTTTTCGTCATCCAAATGTCCAAAGACAGGACCGTCAGACGAACCGCCGTTCGTTTGTGACGGCGGCCAAAGGGGGGCGGCCGTGAACCGACTTGCCGTCAGGTCGTTGCGGCACAGCCCAGCCGCGCCCACATGATGAACGTTCAAGTCCTCACCAGCTCCCGCGGGGGGCATGGCGCTGGAGCTGACCTACCCAGGCGACTACCGTGATGGGAGGTTAACATCCGGACAAAGGTCAGCGTTGCAACCACCACGCGAGACACTGTGTCGCAATCATTCTTGTCGATGCCGTTCGTCGTTTGCCTCGCATTTCACTTTGAATCTGGGCCATTCCGACGGACCTCGGAGAAGCGGTGAGAGCACGGCGAAACCAAGGCGCAAAGTTGGCGCTGCTGCGAAATGTGAGAGGTTCGTCGCGCATGATGGGAGGCAGTATACCGAGCGTATAGATGAGGGGCAGCGCGGGCATCAAGCGGAGGGCAAGAAAAATGGGACAGACGGAGATGGCGGTAGACGACGATGGATAGGCAAGTCGTCGCCAGTCCGCCCGTTGTGCGTGCATGCACGGTAGTTCTTGAGGGTGTAGTGCACCCGCGCAACAGCCCAAGTTGGCAAGTAGCGTCTACTTCGGAGAGACAGATGCACACACGCAGTGCTGCAACCACCCGCGCGAGATGGCCGGCCGTGCACTCCGCCGGCTGACCGACGTTGCTGCGACGGTCCCGGCCCAGAAGTCTCAGGCTGGCGCCGTGTGCACTCGATGCGTCAAGGCTGTCGTGAACCTGAACATGCAGCTATTCACAGAGTGAGGCGGCGCCTGACGATGGATCTCCGCGAGAGTCCACAATGATGAATGCCGAGCGGATGCGGTTATGTAACAGCGCGTCAGCATCCCGGCTCCTCAAGGCGACCAACTACAACGAACCGAAACGGAAGAGCATGCTGCACGATGATGACGATGAGTTGGAGAGCGATGTGAAGCGTGGCCGTGGACATGGGAAAATAGGCCCGACGTATGGCGGCCTGGAGAGATGACCAGGGTGTTGGAGGTAGTCGGGGCCGGCGGTGCGTGGAGTGTTGGCGCACAGAGATATTCCACGCGCGTCTGCCATCATCGAAGTATTATTTTCCCACGGGGACGGCGGCGTGATTGCTGCGGCGATGCGCAGCGCAGTAGAGGGGTGAGGAGGGGGGGGGGACTCATGATGGTGGTGAGCATGAACAAGGTGTAGCCCCGAACGGGAATAGGCTCTGGGACGGGGGTGTGATGAGATGCAATCCACAATTTCTCTTTTGTCTTCAAGATGGCGGCGCGCCATTGAGGCGAAGGAGAAAGCAAAAATAGTGTGGGGGTTGAAGAAGCAGGGATGCGGGTGAAGGGTTACAGGCAAGATGACATGCCATCGGCAGCTACAAGAGGTTCCAGTGTCACTGCGGTCCCAATCAGGAGCCATCGCGAGCCACGAGCCGGTGGAGTTATGACATAATTGTCGCCCATTGCGCGCCCCAGGATGCAGCTCCCCCCCTGCCAGAAAGACTCCATATCGACGGGTGTGCGCTCTCGACACTCTGTCTGCTGTTGCTGGATCCTGTATCTCCTTGCTGTGTGTGATGCGTCGACTCGTCGCACGCATGCAGCCAAAGGTGGGAGAAAACAAGGTGGGATGGATGGGGAGATCCATCCTTTCTTTTGCTTGTCGTCGGTACAAGCGACGATGGCACATGGAGAAGAGGGGGATCAACGGGGCCATGGTGCATCGAGCCGGCGCCGCCATTGGTCGCGCGCCGGAGCGGCGGTCATGGGAGAGGGAAGCATGGGAAAGGAGCTGAGAGGGATCGGCGGGCGGAAACCAGCGGGACGATAGTCTGTGATTTTCTGCAACGGGTATGATGGGGAGGAAGATCTCTGGAGTTTGGCGCAGCGCTCGGAAGAAGGATAGGCAAGACTATCAAACGGGCGATTGGCAGTGCAAGTGATATGTTGTCGACATGGACATGGAGAGGTCGGGCAATCTAGGTGAGGAATGGAGGCGGTAGGCGCACTTGTCATGTCGTCGGGGCTGTTCTTGGAAAAGTAGCGCTGTTATGGCGTCCAAGTCGGGTCCGAATGCACGCCGGATTTGGACTTCGCGGACGAAGATCCGTTATAGCGAATGCGTTACTATGGCGTAGCGTGGTGGCTGGCCGGTTTGGGTGTTTCTGAGATGCTGCTATTTTGGACCGGTTGAGTTTGAGGCGCAATGCCTATCTGAGATTGATTGATGGGCATGGGGAATGTTTCTCAGCCCTTTTCCCCCAGGTTTCATTCACCTGGTTCTAAATGCGTACTGCAGTGGCAAACAGTCAATTTAACTCTTGGAGGCTGGAGAAACGGGTAGATGGTCGACGGGACAGGCTCGGAGGCAACGAATGTTTAAAGTTGCTTCAAAGTTACCTCAGGGTCGCAACGGTCGGCCTATTTCCAGACATGACCACTGTTCTGTTTCGACACGTGCAAGCGGCGTTTGCGGTGAGGCCGTAGGTAAGTTGCATGCGCAGCAAGAGAGTTGGTGAGGCTCATATACCTGATGTTGAACGACAGGCAACGATTGTCGCGGAGAGAAAGCAGTTGTGGATGCATGATGATTGGGGGACCACATTTTTCCTCTTCTGTTGTGGCGTGCTATACTGGGACATATGCCATATCGGTTATCAGCGATAGCAGCGACATCATGGCGATAGCAGCCGTTGAATATGGCTTTGTGGAGATGGATTATTGGAGAAGCCCCAGGGCCATTAGGGGGGGAATTGGCAGAATCGAACAGGGTCCAACGCTCCTTCTGGCAAGTGCTGGCCGACAATTCCATGGCTTCCCTGCGCAAAGCTCGCCCGGCGACGCTAAAACTGACGAGCGCCGCGCACGGACATGGTAACAATCCCAGCCAGTGAGATTTCCTTGCGCATGAGGGTGAGGTGCAGCTTTTTCCTCTGCCAGCCGCTACCTGGTCGGGGTCGTCTTCCCAACACCAGCCGTCCCACCACCAAGCGAAAAGGCAAGAGAAAAAAAAACTCGGAGGGTCCTGTCCTGTGGTGGGGTGGCTTGCAGGGTGCGATAATGCCCGGGATCCCTTAGCGCAGGACATGGGATGACCGTGCTGGCTGGGGCCCTCCAGCGCTGGGGGTGGGTGGAGGGACTCGAGTGGGCCAGCAAGCGGAACAGGCGATGAAGAGACGAGATTGACCTCTCCGCCACGATCCAATGTCGTCGTGACAATCCATGCGCGTTATTGGACGTGCTGAGCCGCTGCAATCTTACTATGCTTTGCTTTTGCAGTCGCGACTGTACGCTATTGAATCGGCCGTCCATGTCAACATCAATACCGCCGACGAGGGCAACAGATCCCGCCGTGATGGTCTGCATTGTTGTCAACCGGCTGGCTGGGCAAATTCTGCTTGGACACGATGCACACACAGCCCAAGTAGTGCCGCACGCACGTACAGGTACCGCGATCCTCGCTGTGTGTTGTCGTGTCAAAGAGGGATGGACGTCAACAAGACTAGGTGACAGATATTGAAATGGCATCATGCTGCAGCAGATCGCATTGTCGACGTGGAGCTCGACCGTCAGACAATATGTCGTAACCGGGCGGTTCGCGACGGGCAACGGCATTGCGGTAATGTCCTGCGCATGACGAGTCGGCGATGCTGGCCGGAATGCGTTATCAACGGCCCGTGGTCTTGTTGGGCTTGGCCTCCTTTCCGGGCAGATTCTAGTTGTCTTCAGACGACACCGCGGGAAAAGCAGCCGGATAGGCAGAGCAACAGGCATATTGCCGTAGATCTTGACAGCGGGTCGGGGAACCCATCAACAAAAACAATGGCTTTCCCTGGTGTAAACAAGGAGAAAGAAAACACCATGGCAATTAATGGTGGTTGGACTGGCTCACTGGCTATACGAGATCCTTGATGCCAGTTCGCATGAATAAAATGAGGTGGAAATGCGCACCAGCCGGATCCGAGGCCGAATGAGTCGGGGTAGCGAGGTGGCCTTTGCTCGACGTTGGAGGCGGTGCGTTACTTACACTCGCCCGGCCATCCCAATGCGCTGGATCCGGACGGAGTCGCGATGATGTGATTGTCTCGTGTGCTAGGAATGCGACAGCTAGAGAATTCGGAGAGTCTGAGAGTGCCCTGCGTCGGCAATGTTGGGGATTCTTTGGTGAATTCCAGACATGCAAAAGTCATGTACGGAAGTAGACCAAGAGTAGTGAGACTCGCCGGTCGGCGGTGGAAACGAGGCCGACGAAGCCATATCGTTCGGGGCAGAGACATGTTTCTTTCCTTCTTTCCCTCACCTTGTTGCTCCCCCTTCGTCGTCCTTGTCCCGTTGCTGCTGTGCTGCCGGTCGCTTGTCACACGTTTGGGGCCAAGCGCAAGCCCCATCCGCAAGCCAGGATCACTGGTCGGTCGACCCCTCCTTGCACCCCCCCCCCCCCAAGGAGCTCCGAAATCTCGGCGACAAACGGGCGACTGGTCTTTGGGGAAGGGGGGGAGCATGTACAGAGTACCGCACAGTCGACTTTGCCCACCTCCCGCCCGTCAGCCGCCAGTCTCAGTGACCACTCTGTGAGTCGTGACCAACAGAATGCAGCGAACAATCGTGTGCCTTCGCAGGTGTTCCATTCCTCCTGATGGCGCCCGGTGTCATCTGACTACCCTCTGCCGTACGCCCGTTCGCCGTCGCCCCGGTCACCGATGACGAGACAAACAACGGCGGAGGTGGCGGAGGTGGAGGGGTTCTAGAGGCGCGATGGCGATGGCTGTTTTGACTGTATTGATATGCTGCCACGGAGAATTAAATGCAACGGAGATGGAGACTGTTGTTAGGAGTTGATGGACCGGCCGTGCGCCGGAGGGCTTGACGGATTGAACGCTCTCAGGTAGCCATCTTTCTGGAGCCATTACGGAGAGGTATCTGCGGTGCTAATATCCATATCCCGTATACGGAACACACGTGCATGTCACCCTAGGGTGTCGTAAGTCGCAATCGCAAGTCGTTGGCGGCAAGGCCCATGTATGTGGGAAATAGGGGAGAAGGGAGAAGCACGGGGCTTTCGGGGGTCGGGCGTGGAGACGGCGGCATTCATGACCGATTTGAGACGACCCGGGAAAGTCGAGTCGTGACCGTGGTCGGCTCTCGAGGAACTGCCAGGTACGGATAGGTAGCGAGGGAAGGCCTGGAAGGCGGAAAATGGGAAGGGAAAGAAGAAGAGGAGAATAAAAAAAAAAGACTCGGCGAGAAGACCAGGGCCGGAGAGATCAAACGAAATCAGCCGTCAAATGCACCCTGTCGCCGCATGAGGCGCTTGCGATGCACGTCTTAAAACCGAAGGTGCAAGTCAAACAGACGTGCAGTAGAGGCGGCAGGGAAAAAAAACATTGTGATGAACGCTGCCAAATGGGAGGAGACAAAACAGAAACACACGGAGTCTGCAAGTGCAGGTGCAGCTTAGCACCTCACATGCAGACGGCTCTCGACGGCCATTATTGGCTGAGGTGGTTGATGAGACGAATCACGATGATGGGCAGGAAAGAGGCAGGAAGACGAGGCGGGAAGCAGGAGGCAGGAGGCAGGAGGCAGGAGCAAGCAAGCAACCAAGCATCGTGAGTCCCCTTCTTTCCTGCCTCGCCAGCCCAGGAAAAAAAAAAATTCAGGCAGTTGCAGTCGAAATGGAAAGGCCCATCTCGCATATTCCTCAGATGGCCTGTGGCTCTTTCCCACAAGTACCTGATACTTTGCGCCTCCAACCCACTGCCTCTCGCTCTGCTTTGAGTGAATGACCCGCCGCCCCAACAGCAGGGGTGACCCCAGCTGATCTTCTCTACCCTCTCTGCGCCAGTGTCTGGCTCTCGCGAGCGAACGAGCACCCTTTCTCTCCTGTTGCTCGCCGTCGCCGACAACCAACGGTTCCTCTCTCCTGGCCTGCCTGTCGCTCACTCTTCTCGCTGCTGCCACTGGCGAACCCTCCCTGGCGCTTCTTGTACGCAGTCTAGCACACTACGTGAGAAAGGGTGCAGGATCAACTAGCAAAGACCCATGGTTGTTGCTAGGGTGTCCAAGGCAGCTGGGGGGGATGCTAGTCCAGGAGGGTCAGCGTGGTGATTCTTCTCGATGTCCGCCCCTCGAGTGGGCGACGGGCCTGTCGATTTTGTGTCCAGGGTGTCCTGGTGCAGGGTCACCCGTCAGGGAAGGCTGGCTACTGGTCTTTCTGTTCGCTGCATCTGGTGAATTTCATGGTGTGGATGCGGGTGGGTTGATTGAGCGAAAGGTGTGGGTGCGGCAAGGGTACGTACTGCGTATTCCAAGGACAGGCGCACAGAGAGAGAGGAGTGGCAGAGCGAGAGTGCGTGGGTTAGAGCGGTAGGCGGTACTGGGGAGGTACGGCACCACCACCATCAGGACCACCCGGGCAGTGGATGGATGGGACAGGCAGGGCAGGTAGGTTAGTAGGCGGCCATTTGTTATTATTAAACCCGGACCCCGTCCGACCACCCCCCTTCCATTCAAGAAGACCCTTCTCGGTTTTCCTCACACTCCTTTTCTCTGTGTCCTGCAGAGTCGTCGTGAGGAGTTTGGAAATAGCTTCCTCGACCTCGAATCACGCCTTCGCGTTCTCTCCTGCCTACTCTCCCGATCGTCTCTTTCGATCCCGTCTCCTTCGCCCGCCCGAGGAGCTCCACGGAACACAACACCAAAGAAGGAGAACCACTGTCGCCGGTGAGCTATCTCTTATCTCGACCGCCCAAAGGTGAGTGCCCTCTGTTCGGCTGCGCCGCCGTCGTCGTTTGCGTTCAGGAGAACAACAACACGAGAATACCCAGTACCATGGTTCATCACCGCCGCCTTTTGCCTCATGCCCAGCTTGTTACCTCGCTTTTGTGACTCTTCACCACCTTGCCTGCTTATCATGTCGCCTCGTTTCCGAGGGACGAGGCAAATCTCTGCCTCGCACCGCACCGCACCGCACCGCCGCACCCGCACATTTGTTGTTGTTGCCTATCACATCTTTTCCCTGCTTTGTGTTTGCCTGTACTGTTACTCACCGTTGGCGGCTGCGCTGTGTTTTCTCGAGTTGCCGCCATACCTTCACATTCCCCTCGTTGTCCTCGGCGTCTTGTACTTCTCCCCTCAAAATTCCTGTCTTGTGAGTCAAGACGACTCCTGCAGCATCTGCAACGGGATACACCACTCGTGGCTCCTCTCACGAGCCTCCTCACTCATCCCGACTGTGCTGCCCGGCAAGGTGTCGCAACAGCGCTTCTCCCCCTCTCCGAGAACTTTTCATGCCCACCTTCAGACTCTCACCTACCTCCAACACGCTCAGCAACGATCCAACGACATGCTAACACTCATCGTCGTACAGGCTGCGGTATAACCTGTTGCGACCGAACCCCGTCGTCCGACCTACCTGCGAAATCTGATACAAGTGTCGAGAGACTATCTTTCGATCATATTAGACACCGACACCCGCCATTCTCTCCTTTACAGGCCCCCAGATACCCTATACCCTGTACTCCGTCTGCCCTCGATGCGTCCTTGATCATGGATTCGGAAGACGGGGAGTTGTTCATCAAGGTACGTCGATTTGGTCGACATTTCTCTGCCTTTGCTGCTAGGCCTCGTCGTCTAGCCTCCTGCGCCGGTTGTGCTAATATCACTTTTGCAGCAACTGGCCAGCTTCGTGCGCACTCACGAAAAGGCTCTTGCCAACGCCTTGCAATTCCGAAGACAGGCAGCCTCTCGCCATGGCTCCTCTCAGAGCGTCAGCTCGATTCCCACGCCGCAATCCCCGGTCGTCCCTGAACGGCCGTCGACTTCGGCTTCGACTTCAAGCGGCCTTGCATCCGCCCTGTCTCTCGGCACCTTGAACTTTACTACGCACAATGTCAAGTCGGCAAAGCTAGCCCTGACGCCACACCATCTGTTTTACCTACTTTCTCGATTTGAAGAACTCGCCATTCCTGTCGGCCCCATGAAGATTCGTCTCGAGAACCTCCACGATAGCTCTACATCCGCCAACTACGTCTCTTTCCTGAGCAACACCCAGCGATCCCGAAGCAGAGGCTCCGATGTTGGGTCCATCCATTCTGTATCTAGCGTCCGAAGCGTCATGTCGGGCATGTCGGCTCTTTGGACGAGTTTCGGTATCGGTGCCAGCATCTCCGCTGCGCGAACTGAGCGACAAAAGGCTGCACTCCAGGCCGACTTGAAGTACCTCTACTCGGCGTTTACCAAGATACCCTGTCTGCGACTGGCACCTGACTGGCGCGCCCGGCTGATCCGCGGCTACGAAGAATTCCCCTTCGATTCGGCCGTCCCGTTGTACGTCTTCAAGAACGTGCAAGCCCTCGAAGTCAACAGCATCGACTTCAGACAGTTCTTTGGCTGGGATCGTTTGGCCGAGCAGCTGAGATCGCTGACGCTCAAGCGCGCCGGCGTTGAGGACCCTGCCGACATTCTCATCGACATCGTGCTTGACGATATGGACAAGAGACGCAGAAGAACCTCAAAGCAGCAATCTTCGCCCACTACGCCTTGGCCCGCGAGCTCTAGCCCTCGCAGGAGTCCTGTCATTCCTCATGCCGAACTGCACAAGTCGACCTCGGTGCCCGGTTCTCCGGATCCGCGCAACTCCATCGGTGATTTGGGTATCGGTTCCCTGAGCACACACGACCATGCCGTCGACGAGATACCCGGCGAAGGCGGGCGGCCCTCTCTGGCTAGAGCCGAAACGTTCGAAGCCATGTCGCCGCCCAAGGGATCAAGACCGCGCAGCAACTCGCCCACTCGGCCCGCCAGCTCCCGCAACCCTTCCCACATGAGAGGCGGACACAAGGTCCGCCGCTCTGGTTCTGGTAGCTCGCATTCTAGCCTTTCGGACTCGTGGCATCACAGCCGTACCGGAAGCTCTTCAAACCTACTGAATATGGGCGTTCTGCCAGCGTCCAAGTGGCGATTCCTGAAGCACCTTAGTTTAGCCGACAACTCGATGACCTCGATTCCTGCCACCAGCTTGGTGCCCCTTGCGAACACGCTTCACTCTCTGGACTTGTCGTCGAACTTGTTTACTCAGATTCCTGACAGTCTGGCCACCCTTACCGCGCTTCGCGCACTCAATCTCTCACACTGCATGATTGACGGGCTCCACTCCCTGACGCGCAACCCCCTCCCGGCCATCTCGGCCCTCAACCTCCGAGCCAACCGATTGCAATCAATCGCCGGCATCGAGAAGCTGTACCCCCTGGAGCGATTGGACCTTAGAGACAACCGCTTGTCGGACCCCCTGGAGCTTGCCAGGCTGACCGGCATCCCCGATATCCGGGAGATCTGGGTCGAGGGCAACCCCTTCACTCGCACTCACAAGGACTATCGCATTACCATCTTCAACCTCTTCCGAAAGACCCCGGGCTACACTGAGGACATTGTCATCGACAACAGCGGTCCCACCTACTCGGAGAGGAGATACTTGGTGGAGCGTACCCCGGTGCCCGCCGCGGTACCGGTCGTTAAGCCCGCTCCGGCAGACATCCCCGCCGTTGACGTCAGCAAGCCAGCCATCATTTACGACATCCCGAAGGAGCCTTCCGTTCTACGCAAGGAGCGACCTGTGCCGAAGGCTGTCACTAGCGAGGTCAACACCAGTTCCACCCGCCGCCGAAAAACACCAAAGAGGCGAATTGTGGATCTCTCGACCACAGATTCATCCGTTACTGTGACACCCAGTGTCATGCCCCCTGGAGACGTCAAGGTTCTCGCCGCTGATGCCACGGCCACCGCAGCGGGTTCGGACAGCAATTACCGCATCTCCCAGGCTCCCGAGGTCCCTTCCTTGCCGTCGGCTATGCTCTCCGATAGCCGGAAATCCAACTCTCAGCCCGAAGTGCCCCGCATAGACACCAGCGTGGTTCCTGAGCTCCCACCCATCTACACAACCCGCGAGGCCCTGGCAGACCCTCAGGACTGGGACGTCAGCGGGGAGATGTACCGCCGGAAGATCGAGGCATTGCGGGACAAGGTTGGAAATGGCTACCTCAGTGTGCTCAGTGAGGAGAGCTGGGATCCCTCCCGCCCGCCAACATACTCTGTACCAGATTTCAGCCCAGCCTCGACTGTCCGGCCCAGTCCTACCACCCCTCGGACTACTTCACACCACCACCCTCCGGCCATCCACAGTGGCCGCACCCTTGGTTAAAAAAACAACAAAAAGAGTCGCCCTTTACACATGATACCCTTCATGATACCCCACCCCCCTCTTGAGGTTCCATTCTACCGTTGGGCTACTTTTTCGAATTTTCCTTCTGCAGCATTGCGTCTCGCATTGCCACGAGCATGGACATTCAATTCACGTCCACCCCATTGTCTTATTGTCATTTATTCCCAGCATGGTAGAGCATAGCGTACGAGGCGTTCCGGTTTTGGCGGCTACCTGACTTCAGTTTCCGCATTTTTCCTTTACACAGATTGCACCGCTTGAGGTGGTAGAAAGCCACAGTAGATCTTGTTGCTTCCCGTCTGTTTTGGTTTCTTGGTGCGACCTCCACAAGGTCTCTCTTGGGCATCATAGGGATGGGAGAGGTAAAAAGCGAGTGACATTCGGCGTGCAGGCCTCTTCTTCTTCTCTTCTCAAGACTTGTCTTCTTTCTTTCTGCGGTGCGCATGTTGCGGATCTGGGCTTGGCGTTGGCGGAAACATATCTCGAGTGGCCTTTGTCATTTTAGTATCATGGGGCACGAAAATTTTCCCGCATGAGTTTGCATTGCGTTTTGTTTTTGTTATGGTAGATGAGCACTTGTCTGAGGGACAAGCTGGCGGCCGGCTTCTAATACATGATGAAACGCATACTTCATTGAAACTCTCTGTCCACTATCCATTGTGCCTTGTGAGTCACCGTGACCTATAAATCCATTTCTCCAACGATACTATGTTTCTTCAACCCGATCTCGTCCAGTTCTGGTCATCTCGACGTTGTGTTCTTGTGAATATACCTACAACGGGTTGGAGAGGGAGGGCGCCAAAAATAACCATGCGTTGGATTGTGGATAAATGTCACGTTTTCTCACGGCGTGTTTGACGGACCGGACACGAGCACGCTCCTGCGCTCGGTTTCCAACGGATCTTGTCTTGCAGCTGATTTAGCTTGATGCCAGAGGGGGTGAGGGGGGGGGGGGGGGGGGGGGGGGGGCAGTCCTTTATGGATGGTGGTGAAGTGATGCATCCGCTCACGGTTTTATATCGAGAAAGATATAATACGCAGACGTACAACAAGGCTAAACCGTCATCGCCATCGTGTGCATATTTCTAATAGACGGCTTTTGCGCTACATACTAGTCAACGCTGGAGTGAACGTCCGAGGATGACTGGCCGACCTCACCTTTGAGGACGAGGTATCCTTGTACAGTATTCAAAGCCTGGCGGTTCCTTGAACCCTGCTATGTTTTCCCTCTCGGCGTATGCTTGGGGGAATACCAAAGAGGGGGGAGAGACGTGCCGTTAGGGGAAACAGGCCCCCCAGTGCAGGGATAGTAAGTCTCCCCGTCGACGGCGCCGCGGCAGGTTCTCGCGATATACGAGCGAAGATGTGACCCGATCCCTCGGCTGACGGCTATCATGCAGTGTTCCCTAATTCCCATGTCGCTTTTCAACTTGATACTGTCCGGGCATGGGCGTCCTGAACGCAGTGGTCGTCGAGATTCATCCGCTTGAAACGGAGACATTGTGCTAAACCTGACTTGTCTCCTCTTCGTCTCTTTCGTATGGCAGGTTACTGAGCGGCGACGCCAGGCAGAACCGAATCCAGTTCTCCAAAGCTTACCTTTCCTTCGTGGCGGTTTGAACGGCACAAATAACCCTCAGCCAAACGCCGGCCCGATAAATACGCTCATTGGTACCCACGATGGGCGAATTGAAATGCTGTGGGATGTCCAAAGAATGGCCGTATCGTCCGTTTTGTGATTTGAGGAGCAACTCGAACCCAGACTGGAAGAAGAGGTCCGCTTCAAGCTTGACATGTCGATCAATCTGCGGGCTTAGTTTGTCATGGCAACCTTTATTTGCCGTTGATATGTTATTGTTCGTCTTCGAAGCAGAGTCTAAAACGGATATACAATCAAAGGCTAGTGAATTGCACAGCGTGATGGGAGGTCTAGTGGGCTCTTCGAGTGATATAATTGTACAATGATATCTCAGTGCACCCACTAGACGTGTAAAACCCCGAATATAGGATCGTTGCTAAAGATGAAAATGCTTCGTATACCCAGAGAATACTATGCCGCGGCCACTGGCTGTAGGCACCTGGATGACACAAGCTCCGTTCGTCGTCAGTGTGGTGCACGTCGTCGATCTTACCCTCCGTCACCCGATATCATTCGATTATCCGGTGCTCATAAGACAGGCAAATCACAAAATTGAACAGAAATAAGGAATGATAATTGAACGATGATGTGAAGGCCCAGATGAGGAATAGCAGCAGTCTAGATGTCTTAGTCTCCGGTGGGCATTTACTTTTCGTGCCCACTCCTAAAGGACAGTCCGTTGACATTATAAGCCATAGCAAATAGTTTTCCCATCACCAAGATTAGCAAAACGGCGTGCTATTCAGTTATTTTAGTAATGTATCTTAGTCCTGTAGCACCATAATAAAACAGATTTGTACGACAGACCTCGGACCTCAGACTGGGTGGTTATAGCCTGGACATCCAAACCTACCACCTAGCCATTGGTTTACAGGTTAGTACTGCGTCCAATCTCAACGTTAGTCTAGACGAAGTTTGCCCGGAAGCATCTGGTTGGTCTGAACCGCCTGGTTCAAGCTGAGAGTAGAAGGACCACTTCTTCGTCAAAGACGAGGCCTCTACCACGGAGGTAGACACGTCTGGTGGTACCTATGAAGACACGAATTGCTGGGATACGAGTCCTGTTTCCTTGCCTCTGGTCTCATGGAGGATGACGCGCCTGGTGCTCCAATAGTAACCGAGGAACCTCGACTCTGAGGCTGCGATAGCAAGAAGGCTTGTCTCTCCAACTACTCACGGGTAGTAGCAGAAGCATTCAGGGGCGATGACAAATGTAAACGGCAACTGTGTATTGCCAACTCAGTAGCGACACCACACACCACACACCGAAACAGATGGCAGTAGCAATAATGATGAGGTCAAGCAGGGCAGCCCGTGTGAGTCGTTGTATCTACAAAAGACGACACCGCGCAGCGGGGCTTGCAAAAGTCATATCCAGTGTAGAAAACATCAAACGGAAGGGACGGCTCCTCAGTGTCCGGACAAGCATCGCATGAACAATGGGTGCTCCTGACTATGAAGCCGTAAGGATAGGGGTCTCAAGCCCAAGACAGATGGCTTGGATATCGCCTGCTGTGTTCGACCGAAGCCCCTTACATAGATAACATGGTGGGACTGAAACGCATAACTCAATGGAAGTTACCCGACGTGGTGTTACTCGGAGCTTTGATAAGCTTCTCGGAGATCTTGTCCGGAACACACCTTGGCATCGACTGTTCACGCGAGCGAAGTTTTGACTCCTTGGAGCGAGCGATTCACCGGATCTCCGATAGCATGAGCAAAAGATTGCACCCAACCAACGGTACTAATCGTCGGATCGTGCTGTAAACGCGTGGTTGAGATACGTAGGCTTATTGACGCCTAATGCCGTTGTCGAGGGCCGCGAAGAGCCATGGAATTCGCAGCCGCCACATATCATGATGTGTTAGAGAGATAGACCACGGGATTGCGTCTCCATGGCATGACCCCTGACTCCATCCAGCATCTTTACAAAGCGGGCCAAGTAGCGTGCCGAGGTCGGCTCGCTCTGAGCATGAGCCTGAGTCGCCTATTGACTCGCGCAGGTTCTGCGGACTGCTGTCATGCATGCCGACTCCTTCGTCGGTCGGGCGTTGCCGTCGAGACTGAACGCCGTTCTGCTTGTCCTGCCGCTGCGGCCCGATTGTATTTCATCTGAACTAATGCGGTTTCATCCAGTCGATGTTTAGGCAAAGGAACCGGGGGCCATCCCAGGCGGGTGATGGCATCTCTCCCGACTCAGAAATGCGACTGGGGCACAGTTCCAAGCCCGGGAAACAACGGTAAACGCACGCCGGTCAGGCGTTTGCGTGATTCGAGGCCGTATGGCAGCTCAGGAACCTCTGCGTCAAGGATATCCGAGGCTGGAGGTTCCAAGGCGGTGAACTGTCGGGAGGCGCTACTACAACCAGGATTTAGTCGTGGTCCAAGGCAACGGCAGATACCAATTTCTACGATTCTGCGAAACATGTCTGCATTGCATGCTGGCCTCGAACTGGGATATTGTTTGGGGCCTAGGCCCTAGGCACCAGCTGGGTATGCTGGTCATGGGACCTTGACACATGGGAGCAACACTGACATCTGTCATTAGGTTCCAAGGCCAGAGCGCTGCCGCATATGTGCATCTCTCTGAGGGCTCATCGATTCGGCGAATAGCGCACCCTAGAACATTCTCTCATTGCAGAAAGACCGGGATCATGGGCCCGAAGATGTTACACTTGGAGGCCTTTTAATAGGATACCATCACTGTGCACAGTAGAGGTGACAGTACAAGCAGTCATGACAAGTTGCTAATGGGAAATGGGCCGGGCGTTCCGTAAGAGCCTTACGCCTTGAAGGTAAGCGAGCCCAGCGACCCAAATTGAAAAGCGAAAGGTGAAGTCAATGTCCGATGATGTAGTTGGGGTTCCACACGTGCAAACGCTGACGGGGAACTTCTCCACTACCGCGCTGGCCTGCCAGGTCGACTGAATGAAGCGGGCGGTGAACATGTTCTCCTTCGCAAAGTTTTCGTCTCATGTTGGAAAAGTGGGAGAGGAGGCCAGACAACAGGGCCCATGTAACTCAACACCTCTATCCAGAATAAAAAAAAAGGCTCTAGGTCGGCGCGTCAGACACGTACGATTGTCAGCTGTGTCAAAGTCGCGATTTGCGCTCCGTCTTCAACGACGATTGCATCAAGGGAAACAATTGGGAATGCCATTCTCTAAGGCACATGAACATAAAGTCTGACGAAGGCTGTGCTGCTCGGTTAGGGTGTCGGAAATCCTTAGCCTGAACAAACCATCTCGGAGTAGGACTCGGAGAAGCGCACGAGAGTCGGCCTGCTGAGAGAATTGAACGATTGACCGATACGACGAGCGTACCAACGCTGAGGCCATCTCGCCAACCGGATCGCCGTGGGCTATCAAAGTTGTTGATTTGCAGATGATACTCTCGGCTTAAGTGGACACTCGATCAATCGGAATGGGTCAATGGAGAGAGGGGCAGCACACTCCGCCCACAAACGCTTGGCCGGTGAAGGAATAAAGGGTTTAACGTGGTGTCTCGACAAGAACAGTGAGAAACATGCCATATTGATAAGAAACAATCGTGAGACGTAAACGTCGCCCACGGCTAAGACAGTGAGTGAATGCCTGCTGGCAGTACGTCGATGGCGAAACCTTGGGATGAATAGGCTTCGCAGGCCGCGATCCCCAGAACGTGCCTGGCCGGGCCAGGTCTTTGAACGCAAGTTGTTTGGCTGACCGGAACCTTGAACAGCTACCTGCTAGACAGGGTGGCCATGTGGTGGTGGATTAGCGGTGTCCGATCGAGGAGGGGCGGCAAGGCACATTGGTCGCGACTTGGCCGCCTCGGGAAAGAGCCCGGAAATGTGGAGAGACATCCGGGGTTTGGTTGTGATGACATCAATATCGGTCGCAAGTCTGGTAACTGAGGGTGTTAGAGAAGAAGACATCCGTCTGCGCTGGTGTGCGACGGGACTCTGATTGGACCGGGGTGGAGAGCCCAAGGGCGCGAGGAATAATAGCTTCGTGCTGATGCGACGAGTCTCAGCCATGGCGCACCACAGGTGAAGTGCGAACACAATTCTCGGCTGAATCACCGGGCTGCGTTCTCGCCATGTCGCTATGTTCTCGGGGCTCTGATCGAGTAGGAAAATTAGCAGAATGACTCGGTGCATCCAAACTAGTGGAGATGATGTTTGGCTGGTTACCTTTCATTGCCTGCATGTTTGTTGCGACGGCCCCATGCAGAGATTCAGCCACCTTGTGGGTAAGGTGAATGATGCAAAGCAGCGAGCAAACAGCTGTCGCATTGACGAGATGAACAGAGCTGCTAAGAAGTGAGAGTGCAATGATGGGATGGCCCTCGGTGTCAACGGCCCAGAAGGATAACGACTTGCAGAAGAGGTGGCTGCCAACAAGGGACTATGGCCCTGCCAGGAATACCAGTTTGATCTGATAAAAACCCAGGTGGGTGAAGAGCGCATCCAATCAACGGCCACGGGGAAGGTGCTAGTGCGGAGGTGGATGCGGGTGCGGCTTCCCCCCAAACCTGAAGCGAACCCCATTCACACCCCTGCCTCGCATTTGCGGATGACTAATAGCGCGTTGCCCCTGCGGCCGACATTGGTATACGAGTCCGTGCGTTTCAACTTCACGCGTTCTCTGTTTTTCGCAGGAGTAACTCTGAGCCGCAAGTTTGACATCACCTCGTCTCCTGATGTCCTTCTCAACTCGTTTCCAGATCAGCATCACTTTCGCTTGCCCACTATAACCTTATTGCGTGTCGGAGATACGTGCGCGGTACCGTTTCGCCAATGCCCCGCCCCTTCCCTCAGCCGCACCACGACTCCGCGCGCCACCTCCTCCCAACGCGGTGATTCTTGACACTCTTCCCCAAACTCATCAAAAAGACATATAATTCTCGAGAAACCAATTGCCAAACATGCCGTCGAAACCTTCCACACCGCGCCGACCGCCCACCGGCCGAAAACGGGGACGTCCCCCGGGGACTACGAATGCCGCTCGCATCGCGCGCGAGGTCGGCGATTCCCCCGCACCACCTCCGTCTGGCCGATCAGCGCGGGAGCACGCAACCCCTTCGGCAGCTCCTCAGACCGAACCACCGCCAAAGAGGAGGAGATACATACCCGGCGGCGCTGGCGGCGGCGGCCGCTTCATCGATGATGACGGGACCCAGACGCCTATAACAGTGCGCAGGCAGCCAAGGGAGCCGCGCACCGTATCTGCCGTAGTACCGAGACGAGAAAGAAGCGCAAGGCTACGAACCGCTGCCGACCGAGACGATATGGAATTTAGCTCGGCTGCCGCCGTTGCCGCGGCCGTTGCCGAGAACGAAGGTTACAAGCCCAGAGAGGAGCGAGGCTGGGAGGAGTTCCACCCGAAGCTCGATATTGATGCCACATTCATGATCTTCCGCTCCGAAGAAGTTGATGGGATCCCTCTTCCAGTCGCCAAATCGCCCCCCAGAACCCCGGCTGCAGTCCGACCCTCGACGCCGATGAACGGCTCCAATACTCCTCTAAGAGAGATGAATCCGGCCTCGACCGGCAATACCCCAGTCCCGACGACGAATTCATATTTTGCGCTTCCCATCATCGGAAGCGAATCACCACAAAAACGCCGGACGAGGCCGCCACGCGAATCTGTTTCTTTCCTCAACCGAGACCTAGCTCCGGTGTCAACGCCACGAGTACCCCAGGTTCTGCCGATTCGTAATCAAACACCAAAGGAGCGCCTCGACCTCAAGGCACCATCCTACCGTCGCTCAGACCAGGTGGAACAGTTCGAGAGCAAGAGCTTTGGCCAGGCGAGATACGTCGACAAGTCAATGATGAATGTAGGCTACCAGGAGACCGATCGCTACATCCGACCTGAAGGCAGGCTCATCAAGGCAGCCGAGCCGAACCTGGAAGAAGATCTCGAACTGGCGGTTGTCAAGCCCGATGGCGATGCACATCCAACTTCTGGCACCAACGTAGGACGCGTCGAGTACGACATGGACGAGCAAGATGACCAGTGGCTGGAGGTTTATAACAAGGAACAGCGCAAGGGCCACGAGCTGGAGCCGATCACCCGTGAGGTGTTTGAGATTGCCATTACCAAGATCGAAAAAGAGTGGCACGCGTTGGAAAAGCGGATACCGAAACCAAACCCCAAACCTCCCCAGACTCATCGGCCACGGTCGAGTTCGGCGGCAGCGGTCAATGGCGAGCCCCAGGTCGGAGAGGAGCAAGACAGCAAGTGCGCAATTTGCGACGATGGCGACTGCGAAAACACCAACGCGATTGTGTTCTGCGACGGTTGCGATCTTGCTGTCCATCAGGAGTGCTATGGTGTACCTTTCATCCCTGAAGGGCAGTGGCTCTGCAGAAAGTGCCAGCTTATTGGGCGTGGCATTCCAGTACGGACCCTTTCTATCTCTCTAAACTGTGAATCTATTTGCTAACCTAGTCTCCAGACATGCATTTTCTGCCCTAACACAGACGGAGCCTTTAAGCAGACCAACTCCTCAAAATGGGCTCATCTTCTCTGCGCCATGTGGATTCCGGAAGTGTCCTTGGGAAATGCCACCTTTATGGAGCCAGTCATGGACGTGGAGAAGGTACCCAAGACCCGCTGGAAGCTGAGTTGCTACATCTGCAATCAAAAGATGGGTGCCTGCATCCAATGCAGCAACAAGTCTTGCTACCAAGCTTTCCACGTAACCTGTGCGCGGCGGTCGCGGCTCTTCCTTAAGATGAAGAACAGCCATGGGGCCCTCGCAGTTCTCGATAGTAACATGGTACTGAAGGCTTTCTGCGACAAGCACTGCCCGCCGGACTATGCCAAAGATAACGGAGTGGCCCAAGCAGCGCGGGAAGCTAAGAAGTTCTACAAGCGCGCAATGAAGGGACGCATCTGGGCGGACAGCCAAGCAACAGCACATGCCTTAGCTGCAAACCACCGCCATGCGCTGACGGAACACCCACCGGACGAAAGCCAAATGACTGGAGCCAAGTTCGCATCCTACGTAGGCGGTGACAAGAAGAAGGGCCAGCCCGGGAAGCAGATTTGGAAGTTACCTTCAGGTGCTCCCATTATCCCTCAGGCTGTATTCGAAATTGTCGAACAAGCGCTGTCTCGATTCCCATTCCGAAAGCGCAAGGACTTTGTCAGCGAGGCGTGCCGCTATTGGACGCTGAAGCGCGAGGCCCGCCGTGGCGCGGCGCTTCTCAAGCGTCTGCAGCTGCAAATGGAGACCTTCTCATCGATGGAACTGACGAGGCGTAACTTTGCGCAAATGGGGCCATCTGGCAAGTCTCGGCTTACGCGGCGCGTTGAGTTCGCAGAGACGTTGCTCAAGGACCTCTGGGAACTAAAGCTTCTCTCGGAAAGCGTTGTGCAAAGGGAACAGGAGAAACTCGACGCTGCAGAGCTCGAGCAAGAGTTTGTGGACACTTGCTATTTCCCAATTGCTAAGCTTCTCGTACCGGTAGTCGAGAAGGCGATATTGTTAGTTCATCTACCCGCCGCACCGACCTGGTTTGCTGACCATGATTCCAGCCTCGACAAGCACATTTTCAAAGAAGGCCTTTTGGAGCTTCAGGAGAAACTTGAGCGCCGATTCTACACCAACACCCTCGTCTTCACTCATGATCTCTGTGAAGTAATCAACGTTGGCATTAATACCGAGCCTCAACATAGCGAGAGCGCCTCCCAGGGCGGCGCTCTTTCACCCGTCAAGCAAAACTTCCACGACCCAAGACAAAGAAAGGCACTTGGAAAACGAATACTCAAGGCTGTCCAGGCACAGCTGGAGACGGCTCTGAAGACAGAAGCCGAGATCACGCACAAGCCCTACGACACGCTGGCCAAAGAATTTGAGGGCATGCTCGAAGCTAGTATTGAATTCCGCCAGCCATCAATCATAGTCTCGCATACGGAAGAGAGCACCGAGCCCAGCCAAGACACCATTATGGTGGATGCTGCGAACGAGCAGATCACTGTGGCTAGCGATAACGATGCAAAAGCCGAAGAGGAGCCAGCCGCTGATGGCGACGAAATGGACGTGGATGCCGAAGGCGAAGATGACGATGAGGGTAACATAGAAGTCAACACTTCAACCCTCGGGAAACCCAGCGAGGTACACTCGTCAAGCTCCTCGATTGCTGGGCACGAGGGCAACGGCAAGGCAGCAGTGAAGACGGAAGGTTCGTTGGCCTCCACCATGCAGCCCTCGGACACGCCGCCCGAAACCGACGACTATGTCCCCGTCACCAGACCGGCGCAACCAGCTCCACCGACGCCCCCGCAATCCAACGGCAGTCTGGGCAACGAGTCCACGGATCCGTTATCCGAAGGTGGCGTGCCGTGGTACTTTTCTGACTTCAAGCCCAAGGGCACCACCATTATCGAGGAACAGTGGACGGGTCGCGAGGCTCTCCGCAGTCTCAGCGAGGACCTTACCGACATGGACGATCAGGAGCTCGAAGGCCTCGCTTTCGACGTCGAAGACAGTACCATCACGGCGTCGCCCACCGTCAACGACGAGGTCACAGCGGACACCATCGTCAGCAAGGCCAAGTCCAACAGCAAAGTGCGCAAACGTACGAGTGCCCGAGCCTCGGCCAGAAGGAGATGAGGCATCCTCGTCGCAGGAGCGACTATACGTGTCTGATGAATTTGTGTTGTTACGAAATTGTATTTGTACAAAGGGCCCCCTCGATTATGTGTCTTGGGGTTTTTTTTCTTCTCTTCTCTCTTTCATTCCCCAACACCGCCGCGTCACGATTCCCTCTTTAACCTACCTTGGTACTTCTTTTTCTCTCTTAACCTTTAACTATTACGCGGCTGCTATGGCGACCACCCCCTACTTCTACTTTAGGCTCTTCTTCTTCTTCTTCTTTGCAATTCTAAACGGTCAAGACCAGGCGTTCATCAGGATCGAGGGGGCCACCCCCAATCATGGCTTCACGGGCGTTTTGGGAAACGGCGGGAAACAGTGGGAGGTATAGCCAAACACGCACAAGGGAGGTTATGTTCTAGCTAGTCCGTTGGCATTGTAGCTTACGGGAACGAACGAGGGCTGCTTTGCGTCTTTTTTCCTACCTTGTGTTTTTTTTTTGCTTCCAACAAAGTCTTGTCTTGTCTCGTGTAGTTCTCCCTCTCGGAACGCGCAGAGGGGATGCAAGCGTTGTGCCTTTTTTGTTTTATTACTATTTTTTTTATATGAGACGATGCAAGAGTCAGGGCTCGAATTGCGCGCACAAAATACATATATCCTAGTTGTCCGGTTATTCAAGTCGAAGAGATGCGCGCGGCTCTTGGTAACACTGAGAAGTGAGGCCCGGTTGTGCTCTTCTGCTGCAGAGGCATTCCTCGGCCTCGACCTCGGCAGCTCGTCCGGGTCGGAGTCTCGCCGACATCACACCCGTGCCTCATGTTTGCCTCGTCTTGACTAGAATGAAGCCGTATGGCCGTGGGAGCCTGCCCGACAGTCGCGAGTTTATGTTTGTGAGACATCGCCCATGTTAGCAGCGGCATCGGACCAAAAGCAATGGTGATGATGACCGGGGGATTGCACGTAATCCCGGGACATGCTTAAGGGCCTCCGTTCAAGGCCGCCGCATTGTTGCCTGGTTGTGAGTGAACACACCCAAGGCCGAGGCATCAACGACGTTGAGTCAAGAGACGACAACGTCGAAAAAGTCAATTGGAACTCGAGGCAATTTGGTGGCAACAGGTTTTGATTGCACATGTGGAAACATGACTAGGCTCTGTGGAGGGTCTGTTCTGGCAGGGCACACTTCCTCTCATGGAGGAGGGGCACTAAAGATGCGCTGCCACGTCGCTCAGTCTGTCGTGGGGGGGGTAATTGGTGAGTAGAGGGGGGAGGCCCTTGAGTCAATGCCCACCGCCGCCTCTGAAGATGTTGAGTGTGGGACGGGACGTCGCGGGGCAGTCATGTGATACGTTCCGCGAAAAGACGGGGGATTGACGGGATGGAACATGGGAATGCGAATGCCTTTTTGGTCGACCGTGTGTGTCTCATGGACACCTCGCCAGTCAGATCAGGCGAATGTGGTCCAGTCGCCAGTGGGGGAACATCGGTTTGGCTGGGGGAGCAGAAAGCCGGGCTCCACCCGATCTCCATGCATTGGTGCCAATTAGATCCTAGGCAACTTCTCCCCGAGCCCCTCCTCCTTGTCGGCTGAGAGCGGCGCTGTCATAATACATATAATTCGGGTGGAGGGGTACCTGTACTCTGGCGCAGGACGCTTCGGTGCCGGCCGCTGGCCAAGCCGAGTGAAGAGTCGGGAGTTGGTGTGCGAGACTGGAGCGAGAGAAGCAGTACCAAGGAAGTCGTGCTGCACGACATGACCCTGACGCACTTTCCGTACACACATTGCTGTACGTCGTCCGTCGGTGCAGGCTGACTGTCAGGCAGACAAGGCACATGACTGACGTAGTCGGCCTCATTCTCCCACGTCCGCCAACTCTGCTGCCGTCTCTCCCGCAACTGGCGTCTACCCCGTTCGTTCAGTTTCTAGTTTTCCGAGCCGGTCGCGCAGTAGAATTTAGGCCTCATTTCGTCCACCTTACTGGAGGGGAAAGGGATGGGACGTTCCGAACATTTAAAGGATCGGTTGAAGTATTTGTAATGCGGCGAGGCTGTCCCTACCATTGACTGGTCGGACAAGACTTGCTTTTCGGGCGATATCCCTCTTTTCAGTGGCCGTGCAAAGCTTCGCCCTGACCGCTCCAAGTCTCGGTCGTCAAAACCTAGAGCGCATTGGTGGCTCTGATTTGAAGCCGCCGTCAGCCTTTGGTTGGCAACTAGGTGCTAAGTAAGGCTCTGGACGAGGGGACGAATAGGCGTTCAGCAGGTGAACAAGATGGGGTGGGTTGGCCCATCTTAGCACGTTGATAGCCTCCGTCTGATCAAAATCCTGCTCGGCTGGCTTCTTTGTAAGCCGTAACGCCGGTCTGACCAGATTGTATACCGAAAAATCCTGCCCCGAGTCGGGTTGTTGCGCATTGGAAATGCCTGGCTGTACTCGTCGACTGGGCTTCCACTTGCAGTATGTTACCGGTGGCAACTTGTCAAGTTTTGACACGGGCGGGAGAGCAAGCAGCGTCTCTTAACCAATACCGCACTCTTTGCCAAGGTCCGTCCATGAAGTCATGACCTAAGCCATGGCACTTTCTGCCAAAGCCAAGCATGTCCCCTAGCGGACTTGAGGATCTCTTAAGAACCCACGGAAAATCGGAGCCGGACCCGAGGTGTGAGTTCTGAGAGGAGAAGGAAAGGAATGTCTTGTACCGAAATGGCTTGAGGCCGTTCAGCTGATCTCCATGGTGTTGGTGGCACCCTCCAAACTGGCCGTGCCAAGCGGGGAAGCCCTCGAGGAGATGTTTGGTTTGGGGTACGAGAGGTGGCTGAGAGCATGGACGTGTCGTCAGTGTCCTTGAAAGCCATCCTCGGTCCCGGAAACATGAACTGCGGACTGCTGCATACTCGAGAGTAGAACCCTGCGGCCTTGGTTGCAGACAAATGGCGCAACTGCATGCGAGTCGCTGTCGTGGGCTGCCATATTGATAGAGTTCCTCTGCGAGAAACGCAAGACAGGTACAGGCGCGCACGCGCGCGCGGTGACTAGACGTACGTAGTATGGAGCGAGTGGCTTCAGATGAATGCGGTAAAAGGTGGTGTCGGAGAACAGCTCGACTTGGGGTAGGCACCAAACAGACCGTCCGACGTGGCCTCCCTCAGAAACCTGACTCGGGGTCGGACCCTGATGATCATGGTGTTATTTGAGGGTTGACACTCGCAAGTGTGGTCGCGGGCGGGCAGAGACGTGGAAGGGAGGTGCCGAGGCGGGTGGCATGGGTACGATCGCTTCCGCGGCGCTGAGGAAGGACGACACAGCCTGAGCGTGGGGGAAACACTTGGTCATCCAAGAGGGTTGGTCGCTGCTTTCTCGTTGGTCTCGTCCAGTCCCCATCGGCCAGCGTCGCAGCGGCTGCAACATGTACAATCTCGGTTGCAAGAGAGAGAGAGTGAAGCTTGAGGTTGGCATAAGGAGCCGATGGTTTTGCTGACAATGAACTTGTTGCTTTTCTTTCTGAGAAGCAATGAGGTCAAGCCGGAGGGGGGCTACAGAATGAAAACGGCGCTAGCCGGCACCAAGTGCTGATATACCTAGGACAGAGTCAGGTTCGGGAGGGAAGGTCCAAAAAAGCCCGTGCCAAGATGTCAGAAGGCAAAAGCTTAAGAAGTCGCCGTGCAGAGCACCTGCACAAACCAGTGAGGGAAAGAGAGGAAGGAAGAAAAAGAAAAGAATGAGAGACAGGCCGACTCGTTGCAGACATCGAAGCAGCGGAAGTCAGGAGTGGCGCGTGGACGTGGACAGGACGCAGGCGGGTATGAGGTGAGGAAACAGCAGCAGCGGTCGATCCAAGAGTCGACTTGCAAAGAAGACATATCACCATGCCGAGCGAAACTCTGACCAGGGACAACCGGCTTGTGGCTGCAAACACACGGACTGGACTTGAGCAGGCAATCTCATCTTCCCTCAGCCCAACGCCAATTTGCAGGGGCTGCACTGACGATTTGTACCCGAATGCTGTTTGCAAGGGAGGGGGTTAGGAGAAACACTGAGAGTAAACAAGAAAAACAACAACAACCAGGCGTGGGAACTCGGACACAAGATTGGTGAATCGACCACAGAACATGGAAGGGGGAGGCTGAGTTCACGGCGTGGACTGGGGGAGGCGGCTGCTATTTGACGGGAAGCTGTCGTGATACAAGTTTAGCAACAGCTCCAGCGGCGGGCCCCTGTCCGTAAGTCTCGCCCAATGCTGGCTCTCCCACTGCGACGGTGCCGGCACGGCATCGTTAACTCCCAAGTGGCCCAGTGGGTTTTCATCTCTTCCAGACCCCGGGACGTGACATCTCCCACCCCAACCCAACGTCCACTCGACGGTCCACGGCCCACGGCCCACGGCCTAGTGCCCATGTAATATAGACTGAAAATCCCAACTGGAAAGGAGCCGCAAGCTTTCAGGCTCGCCGAGGTCCCCTGTGGCCGACCCTTGCTACTGGGTCATGGAGCTTCTCCCAGTTGTTCCACGGGTGGGCGTTGCCCCAGACCGGCACTGGCACCTGGGTGTCGAAATCTCCATGCTGGATTTGCCATTGCATTTTCTTGGAAGGAAAGCCCATTTCTGTTTTGTGGTACGGCCAGACCTCCCCCCTGATTTTGTGAGTTGGGGTAGCTGCTCATCCAGCCGTTGCCGTTATGCCTGCCGTGCCCTCACCACCCAAACTCCATTCCTCTGGTCCGGTCTCAGGCAATTCCGTCATGAGGTAGGTACCGTGTTCGTCGTACCTTTGGGGGATTGGGGATCAGCAGGGGATCTTGGGTACTAGGTTTGCGTAAGGCAGGTAGGCAGGCAGGCCGGCAGGTGTAGCTACCTACCTAAGGAAGATAGGCAAGAAACGATATTAGCAAGACCAGGCACGGGTAGGGTAAGGTAAGGCAGGAGCGGTCGAAAGAGGCACGATCGTAGTGTAAAGCGAAGGCACGTCTGCGGCAAGGTAGGTCACCCCCTGCTGCCGCAGCTACGCACGCCCGGGTCGCGCTTTCCATTCCTCCCGTCGTCGAGAGAAACGTGCCTGCCCAACCTGAAGCCCCCTGGCTGGTCGACGGGCTGAGGACTGACTGACTGGCGTGCTCAAAAGCGCCAAAAACGGGAGGAGGCGCTTGCTGATGCGCCCATACGCTCAGCGGCACGCTCCAAGAAAAAGACATCAGAGGGAGATTTTTGGGGTGGGAGAGGGTGCTGTGTCTCCAAGCATTGGATGGAACCACCGCACTCGCATCCAGTTTCGTTGCCGACCCAGCAGCCCGTACCTTTCACAGCGTCTGGTCTACCTTGACCTGCCTGGCTATTATTTACCTCAGGTACCTAGAAATCCAGGCGGTCTCTAGTACACGACGAGACGTGGAGGAGCGCGCAGCGGAGCAGCAGCACCTGACGCGAAAGAGAGAGAGAAGGAAAAAAAAAAAAGGGAAAAAGAAGAGGGAAAAAAAAATCGAGACCATTCACTATTGACCCCAATTTTTTTTTTTTTCTGCGCATCCAGACCTCCCTCTCTGCTTTTTTCCCCTTCGCCTTCCGGTGTCTCTCCTCTCGCTCTTCACCCCTTCCCCAAGTACACGATCCTCATCGTCTCTCTTTTTCTTCAATTCTCTGTTGCCTCCAGAAAAAAACACATACACTCTCCTTCTCTTTTTGCATTTATATCGTGCACAAGAATAGTGAGAGAAACGCTTGGTAGGAACCTTTGCTGCTCGTGTTTCTCGGTTTGGTTTTTCTTTCTCCCTGCCCTTTTGGCTCTCAAGGAACCCATAATATCTACACCACCCACACCCACCCGCGATCACTTAGTGCCCATAGCACTATCCCTCTTTAGCCCACCCCCTGTAGTACGAGCGGCCCCCTCACGCTCTCTCACACACACACACCCACGCAGGCGCAGACGCAGAAGAGACCGATCCCTCCATCGCTCTTCCTGGACTGGACTGGACTGGTCCTGCTGCTCCTCCTCTCCTGCCTTTCCGACCGAGCAGCCCGCCGCCGCCCAACACAAAACACGAAAATCCTCCTCCCCTCAAACCCACCCTCACCTCTCCTCCCCCAAAGCCTCTTTTTTCCCCCACGAGGCCACACCTGATCCCAACGGCGACGATACGTCTAATCAAGACGACAACGCGATCCAGAGATTTCCATCTCTCGAAAACAATCAAAACAACGACGATCAATCAGTCAAACGATCCACGCACCGCCATTTCCGGCTTTCGCGGCGACTGCTGAAAAAAACAAAGGCGAAGCTATCAACACAGAAAGACGGCCCTATCTCAGCGGCGATTTCCACCCCATCCAGGCGAACTCGATCCCGCCCAGGGACGACGAAAATTTTCTCATCGACGACGCGAGACGCTACCACACAGTTTGGTCTGCGAACACTCCCAAACAAGCCGTCCATTTGTCGCCGCTTTCTCTTCTCCAGGAAGAAAGGCCTACAAGAGCTGAGATCACTTCGCCGTAAGTCCCTTCGCCGCCTCGTCCCGCTCGCGCTTTCCCCTCTCCTGCCTTCTCACCACACCACCCACTTCGCCGGTCGCCTCCCAAACAAATCCCCAACACTCGCATCTGGCTGCGTTGCGCCCTGCTAATCACGCGTCGCCGACAACAGATCCGAGAAGTGCATCATCCCCGTATTCTGGGCATCCTTTGTCTCTGGCCGCTACAAAGTTTACCCCCCTGGTACTCTTGCTTGCCGCAGTCGCGAACCATCCTCTCGGTATCAGCGGGCCATCTTCCTGGCTGGTGAGGATAAAAGATGGCGGACCAACATGAGGTCGACCTTGACTCGATAATCGACCGTCTCCTCGAGGTTCGAGGCAGCCGTCCCGGCAAACAGGTCCAGCTTCTCGAGGCTGAGATTCGCTACCTGTGCACCAAGGCTCGTGAGATCTTCATCTCCCAGCCCATCCTCCTGGAGCTGGAGGCCCCGATCAAGGTGAGCACACTCCTTCGTGGCCTGTACTGGTCATGATCTTCCCCTTGCTTCGTAACCCCCCGAGTAGCACAGACCTGCTGACGCCGACCCCTCATTCAGATCTGCGGCGATATCCACGGACAATATTACGACCTGCTCCGTCTCTTCGAGTATGGTGGCTTCCCTCCCGAGGCCAACTACCTCTTCCTTGGTGACTACGTCGATCGTGGCAAGCAGTCTCTCGAGACCATCTGCCTGTTGCTCGCCTACAAGATCAAGTACCCGGAGAACTTCTTCATCCTCCGCGGTAACCACGAGTGCGCCTCCATCAACCGTATCTATGGTTTCTACGACGAGTGCAAGCGCCGCTACAACATCAAGCTATGGAAGACATTTACGGACTGCTTCAACTGCCTGCCCATCGCCGCCATCATCGACGAGAAGATCTTCACCATGCACGGTGGCCTCAGCCCTGATCTGAACTCCATGGAGCAGATTCGCCGCGTCATGCGACCCACTGACGTACGTTGTATCCTGACTCCGTGGCTAAGCCTTGGACTGGCTTGTCGTTGCTCTCGTGATACTAACATCTCACTTTGCAGATTCCTGACTGCGGCCTTCTCTGCGATCTTTTGTGGTCTGATCCTGACAAGGACATCACCGGCTGGAGTGAAAACGACAGAGGTGTCTCCTTCACCTTCGGCCCCGATGTTGTGTCCCGATTCCTTCAGAAGCACGATATGGATCTGATCTGCCGCGCTCATCAAGTCGTGGAAGATGGCTACGAGTTCTTCTCCAAGCGCCAGCTGGTCACTCTCTTCAGCGCACCGAACTACTGCGGAGAGTTTGACAACGCTGGAGCGATGATGAGTGTGGACGAGAGCTTGCTCTGCTCGTTCCAGGTGAGCAAACTTGGCTGAAACCCGGGTTGTTGGTCGCATTACTCACATCTCTTGCCTTCACAGATTCTGAAACCCGCTGAGAAGAAACAAAAGTACGTCCCTGGTGTTCTCGGAGGCAACAGCCGACTAGTCACTCCCCGAAAGTCCGCTTCCAAGTGATTCTGAAGAGTTTATACGAACATGCACGTCTTTTCTAGGTTCGGCCGTCGTTAATTGCCTCCCGTCCATCCCGAACGCACGACTTTTCCGCCCATCGACGCGGGTCTCCCGCCCCCGCCTCCGTCCTCCCGCACTCTGGAGCCCTCATGGGGTCTTCCTCCGTCAACTCTTCAACCTGTCCGATTCTTCCCAATCCCATCCATCCGATGACAAACCGCGCAAACTGTTCACGATTACGGCTGTCTGGTAGCTGAAGATAAAACACAAAAACACTGGAATTTGCAATGGCTACCACAACGTTTCACGTGTCAATGTGCGAAACCCCAAGGCGGACATGAACTCGCCTGGGGTCTAATAATGAGTGATTTGCACGCAATAACGCACCCAGAGCAGAGTCAACGCGATGTTCCCTCGTGGCGACTCTTGTCCTCCCCGGCCGCCAGTATGAGCAGACGCACAGCCCTCAGACTGTCCCTCAGCCAACCTCTTTTCGTGCCAACTGGCTATGTATTGCGGTAACGAAGACATGCGTAATGGCCACCTACTCTTGTTTTCTCAGCTCCGGATGCTCGCCTTCGAGTCTCAGACTGGAGACCGTTGCGTTGCGACCCCTGAGGCAGCCCTCAGTTCAAGTGCCGGAGCACCTGTATGACTATGATTTCACTCGGAACGGGAAGGATCAAACCGGGGGGTGGGGGGTTGGCATTCTGATGTCTTTAAGGGACGGGATTCCATCGGCTGGACAACAGGAGCCCGTTTTTCTGGGGGGGGGGGGGGGGGGGGGGGGGGGGGGGGGGGAGGTTTCGGGCGGCTACACCACCTCTTCTCTCTTTTTCTTTTTCTTTTTGCTTGTACTTTTCACCACCTGTTTTTATTTCTCTTTCTCGGCATGCTGGAGAGGCATTTGTCTGGTCGGCCGACAGCAAAGGTGGGTACCGAGACATCAAATCCGGGGATCGTCATTAGGCGTGGTCCTGGGATGAAAAGGTCTAACGTCCTAGCCCGAGTTGGCGGTCTTCGTACACTCGAGACACATTGCGTGGGTAGCTTTCGGCCAGTTTTGGTCAGGTCCACGCTGAGCGCCGCGCAAAGGATGGCACTGCGGCTAGTAATGACAATGAAAAGCCTTCACTTTCAACTACCTCCCCTGCGGTGGATTTCTGCGTGAAATGAATCTAGGGATTGGGTTTTGGGTATAAACTCGCTAACTGCCTAGGTCTTTGTCGCCTTTGAGCCGTGGTCTTAGCATGGCTTTGCCAGGCACGCATCTGAGCCTTCTAATTAGACCCTTGGTGCCGCGTGAGCGTCCCCGTCCGCCGCCGACCGCAATCTACATTCCAAAGCCCTTCACGCCAGGCTGGCGATCACTGGACGACGAGAGGGTGAGGAATGCATGCCTGCGCAGCCTCATCTGCCCCACGGGCAGTTCCGTTCCTTGGGCGGTCCCGGTAGAGGCCGCGCCCACGGACTGGCTGGCGGTGGTCGTTGTTGACTCAGGCACAGTCCTCGCACTTCTCCTTGTTGAACTTGGCCGGCGGTTCATCGTACTGCTGCCCCGGCAGCTGACCCGCGGGCGAGATCTCGGCCTTGGCCTTTTGGCCGGTGTTGCCGCGCGCGGCGCCAATGGCGTCGCGGGCCGCGTCGCTGAGGGTGCTCTGTTCCTCTCCGCCAGCGGGGCTCTTGTTCGCGTTTGCGGGGTGCTTCTTGAGCTGGGAGATGACGTCCGAGACGGAGGAGGCGGAAGAGGGGGCCATTGTCGGCGCCGCTGCCACTGCGTCCGAAGCTGGGGTGTCGGACGTTGTTGTTGTTGTTGTTGTTGTTGTTGTTGCTGTTGTCTCGGTGGCAGGCTTCGCGTGCTTGCGGTCGACGTGGCCAAGGTCCCTGTCGGGCTGGATGACGTCGCGGAGGCGGCGCTTGAGCTCCTTGGTCTCGGGGAAGCCTCCTTCCGTCTTGCGGTCCCAGAGGATCGTCGTCGAGGTCGTTTCGGCGCCGGCGGGGAGGTGGGTGAGGGTAACGGTGAAGGTGCCGCCTGTCGAGGGCTGGAGGGCGACTTCGCCGATGGAAGTTGAGAACGTCGAGAGGAGCTCTTGGGCGAACTGGGAATCAAAGTTGTCTGTTAGCGGGATGGGTTGTTTGGTTCGGGGTAGACTTGAGAGCAACAGGAGAGTTAGAAGGGCTGTTTAGTTGAAGGTTCAGACTGCGGGGATGGCAGGCTGATGGGCTAAGGAAACGAGAGGCAGTCGCGAGGTGCCAGGGTTGTTTGTGTGAGGGGTATGAGGTCATCCGCGGCTAACATTCCACATCGAAGGGAGGAACGGTGTTGCGCGTAACGGGTAGCACCGAATTGGTTGACCGAAAAGGAGACGGAGCTGGGAGGTTCCGTTTGGGTTAGACTTACATATGCTGCGCGAAGCATCCACTTACACTGAGTGCAGAATTGGATGGCGACGCGTGGCAGCAGTGTCGGTGTCGAAGCCGATGTTGGCTGCGCTGCAGAAGTTGCCTCGGCCATATCCAGCTCCTGATTCCGCTTGGGGGAAAGTCAAGCCGGCAAGACACTAATCTCTCTGATGTTGACTGATCGCTAGACTGCTCGCTGAAGGGGATGAGCCCGAAAGTGTACGCCCGTCGATGCAGGGGATCAGCTCCGAGATTCCTCAAGGTCAAGCAACAGAAAGCTTGCTCGTCAGGGATCACTGTCGCTGCTTCTTACGAAAAGGGGCCTGAAAAGCTCCTTATTGTGGAAATCTTGACGAACTGGTTTCTTCGCAGGATCGTCGATGCTCGGATGTCGTTTTGCGCGCTTGCGACTGCGGGAAGCTCCAGGCGGACGGGATGATAGCGTGGAAGGGGGGAAATCGCGCCTCATGTCATGCTGCGTCATCAGCGGTGGCGCTAGTGGGAAGAGAGGGGTGGTGGGAGGCGCGCCATCCTAGCCCGGCTCCTCTGGAACATCAGGCAAGAGTGCAGCAAAGCCTTGGCCAATCAAAGAGCCACAGGCGGGGGGAGCAAAGCCACTGGGCTGACAAAGGCTGAAAAGCGCCGGCGGAGAGGGAAAGAAACTGGAAACAGAGACCAAACACTTGCATTCGCAATCCCCCGTTGACGAACGCGGTCGCGGCGGTGTTGCAGGCTTTGCCAGCCGGCAGCTGCAGCTGGCTCCTTTGCACCCGTTCCTCGGTGGGCAGTACCTGTTGTGTACCCCGGTGCCTGCCCTGTCATGAGGGCAGGGCTGCAAAGAAAGAAAAAAGAGAAAAAGAGAGAGAGAATAACGGGACCGCATAAAACTGGTACCCCCAGCTCGGCGGTGGCAGCAAGTGGCTCGAACGCCCTGCAGCAATTCAGGTACCGATGGAGCCACGGAAAAGACGTGCAAACGCAACAACAGGGGGGTTGCAGAGTCCGCCAGACAGGTGGTGTCGTCGGCCGAACCCAACTTTGGTGGTCAAGTGACTGGCAGGCGGCCAGTGTGTGTGGCATTACGAACTGCCAAAAAGACTGAATGAACCGGTGGGTTTGCTTGTTCATTCGAACATTGGCATCCATTGTGATGCTCGTCCACGGCCCAGTAAGGGTGGGGACAGCAGCTGGCCGAGAGGAAACGAACAGCAACCGAGGAACAAGACGAAGAGCCGTGTCCGGGGACGTTGAATGCAAGAAGGCAGACGCGGAAGAGTCGAGGACGGTCGCGGCGTATCGACGGGAGGGAGGAGCAGGCCGTACAAGTAGGAGAATTTTAATCGAGAGCGACTCCTTCGCATCCAGTGGTGGCCGGCGGAGATGCCTTTGACAAAAGGGCAGGTAGCAAACAAACGAACCCGCAACCCGCCCGATGTACCCCTCGGCGGAAATGAAGTCGTTCTCTTTATGGCTTAAGCGGTATCCATCCTGCCTATCCCCGGCACGGCACCTCCTCTTTCTCCCCTCTCTGCCCCAGTCTGGTTGCTGCAAATGGAATCGGCCAATACAAAAGCACAGCGACAGAGAGATGGGTAGAGCGAAAGAGAGAGAGAGAAAAAGGGATGTTGCATGTGTCTCAGATTTCTTCCCTCACCTGAGAAATAAACAGCCCCAGAGGAATATGCCACACCGACCAGGACGCCTGAAAAGAATAGAAAAAAGAAAGAAAAAAGGGTTTGCCGGGCCCATTTCCCCTCTACACATCCGTCGTTGCTTTTTTCCTGCACTACTGTCAGCCGCCAGCCGCCAGCCGCCATTTGATTAACAATGGGCTGATGGGCTGATGTCTCTGGTTTCTATGCTTCCTGTTCCCAGGTGCCTGGGTTGCAGCTTTGCGATCGTGGCCGAGGTGCGTCGGCTTTACCTACAACCCCAAATGGTTCGCTGTTTGCCTGCCACCCCGGTCCCGTTAATACGGCCATTGGTTGGCTGAAATGACCTGATATGGGGCCACCGCAGATGCGAGTGATTTCGTTGCTCCATGAGCACGGCGCAGGCGTGGCAGGCATTGAGAAGGGGTTTTTTTCGTTTTTTGGCGATCTGCCCTTTCTGTGAAACCCTCCTTTCCGGTCTTCGAATGCGCTGCAGGCTGCGTGTGGTCAGTCGTGATGATCGTCGGTTTCAACCGTAGAAGCAATGTCAATTCAATGCGAGCCGGCAATGGGCCCTGGGTGTTTCTTTCCGGGGGAGACAAGGTGATTGACGGATTGAAGCTATTCACACACACGGTGCGGAATATGGTGGAAAAGGGGGGAGCAGACGAGACAGACCCGAGAAGGAAAATGAGTACAGGACATCAAGAGAATTATTACATGCTGAAGAGCTGCCCGCCGAAAAACCTAGCCTCCCCCGACTTTCTCCTCCCCGATGACAACAGAAAACAACAACATAGAAGCATTATCGTAGCGGGGGCCATTGCCTCTTTACTCTCTCGTGTCTCCCCCGCTTCCTCTCTCCTCCGCCAACCTCCTCCTTGAGCTTGTTCGTTCCCAAATATTACTGACCCGTATGTCGCTGCCCATGTCTTTCCATCTTGACCTGTCGACGGGGGGCAAAAGACCTGTCTCTTGGCTGGCAACATCGGATCCTTTCCCTTTTCCCAACCCTGGGGAAACTTTTGTGGTGTTCCTCTCCGACTCCGCGCTAGTCTAGGCCTTTTGGATTCCGATGGCTTCACGACCGCGTTAAAAAACAACAACACCGTCTCTTTCCGGCTTTCGAGATAGGGGTCGCTCGCTGTTTTGAGGAGGTTGCTGCAATCCCGACGACCCTCGGGGGTTTGGTATACCACGCGTAAATAGAAAAATGACAATCCGATCGGAGCGTTTCGATTGTTTCCGATACCAACATCGCTAACCCATGATAAACGTTGCTCTACATCACCACACAGCATCCGCCGCTTTGTTGTGGTGCGTAAGGATCTTCGCCACGAGGGACGGCGCCCCAAACCGATGGAACCATGTAGTCCCTCGTGCTGTTGCAGTAGGCAATGATGCTAGAGGTGAACGAGTTAGTCGCCGACTCGCCCAGTCGCGATGGCCCACAATCAATTGGCTCGATTGATGGGCACATTGACGACGAATTTTGTCAAGGATGAGGGAAGCCTACCTCTTAGAAGCATTGCTCACAGGGATGCGTTCCCTTTCAAGGTCCTCGCGCAGGCGGTTGTTGAGTTCCGTCAGTCGCCTCAACTTGAGGTCGGCCATTGATTGCTTGTTCTTCTTGATCTGCGACGGGTCGCCGACATCGCGAGAGGTGTACTGAGGCATTGTGGCCGTGGCTTGAGGCGCTGAAGACTTGGAAGACGACGGGAGTGAGGACGACGCGGCGGCAACAGAAGCGTCGGCGGGTTGTCGTCGTGAGTGTTTGCCGTCGGAGCGAGACTGCTGAACCTGATCCTGCCGCTGGCGGGAGGTGGAAGAAGAGGCTGTGGCGGCAGCGGCTGCAGCAGAGGATTCGGCGGTGGTGGTGTTGTGTGAAGGACGGTCCTGATGAGAGAGCATATCGTGTCAGTTTGATTAGAGTTTCCCTCCTTTGACTCCGCTTGGGCGGTGGTTGCCGCGCTTTCCCACCACCCCGTGGTACGAGCTCAATCCAGGGCGGGAGATGGGGGAGTTAAATGGACAGTCGGGGGCAAAAACTCACAGCTGCGAGACGGCGGGGGAGTTGAGAGAAAGATCAAGGCCGGTTTCGATCGAAGCGAATCGACAAAGGAAAGAGCGTCGGGGGGTGATTGGATTTGGGGGGGAGGATTACCAGCGTCGAGATGGGTAGGTTGGTTGCTCGGATAATGGTTTTGGTTTTGGGAAAGCAAAGCAAAGGAGAGGACGGGACGGGCGACGGGGAAGGAGGAGGGAGAGGTCAGGAGTGGTCCAGCAGTTGGGAACCAGGACAGGACAGACAGAGACGGCCCTGGGAGAGAGTAAAAGAGCGAGAGAGTGAGAGAGACCGGGACTGGGTCCTGGACCGGGACTAGGTGCAAAAGCTGGGATTGGGTTGGATTGCGGAGCCTGGGAAGGTTCCCCTAACGTGAAAGGAAAGGCCAAAAGGTCAATGGTCGCAAGGTTACCTCTCGCGCTAGGGCCACCAGGCGCGCCATGGGAGCAACAACCGCTCCGTTTTCTCGAGGTACCTCCACTACCTAACTTGCGTCCCGCAGAGCACTTGCACCACCCGCGCGCGCACGTAGCGAAGCGGAGCGAGAGTCTGTGCCAGCTGTCGACGGGATGGGCGGCGAACCAACCTCATGCATGCAGGTGTAAATGCGCTTGCTTGCTTGCTTGCCTGCTTGCTGCTGGCCTAGCCTGGCCTTGCCCTCCACAAGCGATTTGTGGTACCTGACACCGCGTCGCTGGTGGTAAATGGTACCTGCCGTCGCAGTCGGCCAGGGCCCGGGGTGGAAGGCCTGACGGGGGTGTTCGCTGAGGTTCCAGTCACCTTGCAGAGAGGGTAATTTTGAGAAGCGATGCTTTGCACGGACCCGTCCAGTGTTGGCCAGCTTCGGCAGGATTGGCTGGAAATTGGCCGCAGCGGGCAATGTCCCAGAATTGGGTTTCCCCCTAGCTGGTCGACACCCCCAAGGAGTCGCTCGTACGGATCACGAGACGCAACATCTTTAACTAGAATCGGGTTGCAACATGTCTTCTTGATGACGAGCATCAATAAACGCTGTACATCTTAGGCATCATGTGGCGAAACCTGCCAACAACTCACTTTTTCGAAGCGTTGTTCCAAGGCCCGCCATCTCGATCTGACTTTGACCCTGCACCGCCGACTTTGTGTAATGAATCCACGTCCTTCATGCGGGCATCCTGTATCCGGCTGGTTTCGGTGCCGAGCCAATTGATGCTCTAGATCATTCGTGAGGGTTGTCATATGGTGAGGTATCGATCAGAACTTTTGACATCGAGACATGCCACGGAACTCTCAGCGCGGAGTGTGACGCTTGCAGCCGGGCTGGCAACCCATCGATCTTGGTCAGACAAAGAACGGAACGCTACCGGGGGCCTAGTTGAATGGACAGGCTCAAGGGAGACGATGGCGCAATGCTCTACATATATGGGCAACATACATATGGGATTTGCCGATTGTACGTCGGCCCTTTCCTGGTTTGGTCCAACGTGTCAGCACAACAGTCACGAACTCGTCCTCCCGTGAGGCGTCAACCGGTCCGGGGAAGCCAAAGATAGCACTGTCCTCACATGTGTACCGGTAGATCTCCCCTGCAAAGTAAGGACGAGCCCGAATCCGAGTCGGTCTCCTCGATCTGCCGTTCTATCGAAGAGTGTGTGAAGTTACAGTCTGCCTCGGGCTCGGTGTGGAGGCACGGGAATCTATGCCGTCCTCCTCCCGGTGTCAAAAGTAAGTTCGTAGAGCCTTTGGATTGGAGATTAATAAGGCTGGCAAGTAGACATGCAGATCGTAAACGGGCGTAGCAAGCAGAGTGACGAAGGTTTTGGAGGCCGACGCGCAGCTTGAACGTAATGTGAACTTGAATCGGCGATTATCATCCCAAGAACCAATCGGCGACCAGTCGTTGATCCCGTCACCGAATCGTCATCTAAGCTCGATGCCGGCGCCGTCTTTCTCTCGTTGGCTCATCTGCAGAATTCACTGATTGAGGACGTTGCTGGAATGGACCACCAAACCTTGAGCCCCAAAGGAAGAAGCCTGGCTCCGTAAGTCAGCCTCGGCTGACATAATCCTCTATATCACGTGATGTCCGTTTCGCACATGCACGGACACTCTAGCCCCTCAGGACTCGCATAGCGGCCACACACTAAATTGAAAAATTCCTCTGGTCGTGATCCGCCTCTATTCAGCAACGCCAAACGCACCTCGAGCGACAGCCAAGTCAATATCCCGCTCGCACCCAAAGGCTTGCGCTCGCAACTACTCATTTCAGAGACCCTCTCGAGAATATCATTTTCCCGCAGAGGAGGTTGCCCATCATGGTGAGTCCTCGACTTCCCCTCTGGTCCCTCCCGACCCGGCGCCCAAGATTTCTCCGCCCGATTTTGACGCTACCCCTCTCTCTCACCTTGCTGTCACGAGGCGTCATCTTTGCTCGCCATGGACATAGACAAGAGTACTGACAATTTACTATAGCCTCCTCCACCCCACCAAAAACCCGAAAATGTCCTGAAGCGCGCCCACGAGCTCATCGGCGTCAACCAGGTCCCGGCAGCCCTGACCCTCCTCCACGAGCACATCACCTCGAAGAGAAGCCGAAATGTCCCCATCGCGTCGTTGGAGCCGGTGATGCTTCTGTTGGTTGAGCTCTCCGTCGAGCAGAAGAAGGGAAAGCTGGCCAAGGATGCCCTGTACCAGTACAAGAACATCAGCCAGAACACCAACGTCGGCACCATCGAGGTAGGCCATCTTATTGCCGTGCATGCTGGTTAGGGCAACTGTCGCTAACAAGGGCTCGTACAGTTGGTTCTGAAGAAGTTCATCGAGCTGGCCGCCGAGAAGGTCACCGCCGCCCAGGCCAAGGCCGACGAGGTCCAGTCTAGCATCGAGGCCAACACCTCCACCGCCAACATCGACGATCTGGAGGCTAGCGAAACCCCCGAGTCCATCCTCCTCGCCACCGTCTCCGGCGAGCAGTCCCGCGACCGTACTGACCGTGCCATCGTCACCCCGTGGCTCAAGTTCCTTTGGGAGGCGTACCGTACCGTCCTCGACATCCTCCGCAACAATGCCCGTCTCGAGGTCCTCTACCAGAGCACGGCCATGCAGGCCTTCGACTTCTGCCTGAAGTACACCAGAAAGACTGAGTTCCGCAGACTTTGCGAGTTGCTGCGCAACCATGTCCAGACCGCTGCCAAGTACTCGGCTCAGATGCACGCCATCAACCTGAGCGATCCCGACACCCTCCAGCGTCACCTGGAGACTCGTTTCCAGCAGCTCAACGTTGCCGTTGAGCTCGAGCTCTGGCAGGAGGCTTTCCGCTCCGTTGAGGATATCCACACTCTGCTCAACCTCAGCAAGCGTCCCCCCAAGAACATCATGATGGCCAACTACTACGAGAAGCTCACGCGTATCTTCCTCGTCGGTGAGAACTACCTTTTCCACGCCGCCGCCTGGTCCAGGTACTACACCCTTCTGCGCCAGTCCGCCGCCGTTGTCGCCAGCGGACAGGGTAAGAAGGCTGACAACCCCCCGGCTACCGAGAACGACCTTCAGAAGGCCGCCTCGTTCGTGCTGTTGTCCGCTCTCGCCATTCCCGTCATTAGCACCACCCGCTCCCGCGGCGCCATGGTCGACTTCGATGAGTCGAGGAAGAACAAGAACGCTCGCCTCACCCACCTTCTCGGCATGGGCCAGGCTCCCACCCGTGCTGGCCTCTTCCGCGACGCTCTTGCTAAGCAGATGCTGAAGCGTGCTCGTCCTGAGATTCGCGACCTCTACAACATCCTCGAGGTCGACTTCCACCCCCTCTCCATTTGCCAGAAGATCTCTCCCATCCTGACCAAGATTGGTGCCGATGCTGAGATGGAGAAGTACATCCTGCCTCTTCAGCAGGTCATCCTCACCAGACTCTTCCAGCAGCTCTCTCAGGTGTACGAGACCGTCGACCTGAGCTTTGTTGAGCGTCTGGCGCAGTTCCCCGAGCCCTTCCAGGTTACTCGTGGCACCATTGAGAAGTTCATCATGAACGGTAACAAGAAGGGTGACTTAGCCATCCGCATGGACCACGCCACCGGTGTCCTCAGCTTCGACAACGACGTCTTTTCTTCCGCCAAGGCTGCTCACGCTGGAGCGGCTGCTGGTTCCGCTGAGGCCGACGGTAGCTCCGTCCAGCGTCTCCAGAGCACTCCTTCTGAGATCGTCCGCTCTCAGCTCACCCGCCTTGTCAAGTCTCTCCACACCACTTGCTTTTACATTGACCCCAGCTACAACCAGTCCCTCATCGCCGCTAGAGAAGCTGCCCTGGAGCGTGCCCGTGCTGGCGCTGAACAGGAGCACCACGCTATCCTCGCCAGAAAGGACGTTATCCAGAAGCGCAAGGAGGAGGCTTCCGAGGCCCAGGCTCGCAAGGAGAGAGAGAACGCCCGCCAGAAGCGTCTCCGCGAGCAACTGCTCCAGGAGGCCGAGGACAAGCGTCTCGCTGCCGAGCAGAAGGAGCGCGAGGAAAAGCGTATGAAGGCCGAGCGCGACCGGGTCCGTAAGGAGGAGCTGAAGAAGCAGATTGCCGACCTCAAGATTGGCACCAAGACTATCGACCTGGACTTGGAGAACCTCGACAATCTTGACTCCAGCGCGATCCACGCAATCAAGCTGGAGCAGCTCAAGCGCGAGAAGAACGATGTCAACGAGAAGCTCCGCATCGTCTGGAAGCGTATTGACCACTTGGAGCGTGCGTTCAGAAAGGAAGAGGCCAAGAAGCTGGGCGAAGACTACCAGAAGCAGATTGAGAAGGACCGCGCCACGTACGAGGCTGTCAAGACCCAGACGCTGAAGGAGGCCGAGATCAAGCACAAGGAGAGCGTCGAGCTCAAGCACCGCCTTACCCGTCTCATGCCCGAGTACGAGTCTTTCCGCTCCAACCTCCACGAGCGTCGCCGCGACGAGTTCGAGAAGCGCCGCAGAGACGCCGAGAGGGAGCTGGAGAAGCAGATTGCTGCCCGCAAGAAGGAGTACCGCGAGCGCAAGCTCCGCGAGAAGCGCGAGCGCGAGGAGCAGGAGAGAGTCCTGCGCGAGGCCGAGGAGCGTGCCGCCAAGGAAAAGGAGGAGCAGGAGAAGCGCGCCGAGGCCAAGAGAGCCGAGATGCAGCGCCTCAAGGAGCAGCGCGAGAAGGAGCGCCAGGAAGGCTTGGAGAAGGCTGCCCTCCAGGCGAGACGCGAGGAGGAGGCTCTCGCCCGTCGTAAGGCCGAGAGAGAAGCCCAGCGGACGGCACCGCCTTCCCGCGTGCCCGAGCGCGGCGCCGAGCCGTCCAGCTCCGAGGGTCGTCGCCCGCTCAACCTGCCCGGTGCCGGAAAGTGGCGCGAGCGCGAGGCCGCTGCCAAGTCCACCTCCCCCGCCAACGCAGACTCCGTGCCCCCCGCTCGCGCGCCCCCGGCTCGTGCCCCTCCTGTGGAGCGTACCGAGTCTGGCGACCGCCCCAGTGCCGGTGGCCCGCCCCGCCTCAACCTCGCCGGCAACAAGCCCAGCTGGCGTGAGCGTGAGGCCGCCAAGTCCGCCTCTGGTGGCGCCAGCGACAGCGCGCCCCCACCCCGCGCTGTGTCCGGTGGCGCTCCCCTTAACCGGGGTGGCTCCGGACGTGACGACCGCGAGAACGGCCGCCCTGGACCTGAGCGGACCGGTTCGCCCGCCACGCCGGCGGAGCCCCTCAAGCCGTCGGGCGCCCCCGGCAAGTGGGTTCCCCGTCACCTCCGCGACAAGGCCTAAACGTCTCGAGGGACGAGGTCCGTCATGGGAAATGGGAGAACGAAGAGTGGTTACTTCAGTCTGCATCGGCGTTCTAGGTTAGGCAGGAAGTTGTTTTAAAAAGGATGTACTCTAGAGCCCCCCCAAACGAGGATGGTCTCCCTCCTTACCGAGGGGGGAGCTAGAATGGAAGTAACAGATAGCCTTTAATCGTCGATCAGGACGGGGGTGAAATGTGACATGACTTTTTGGCATAGCTCCTTGCTGGAATTCAATTATTGCACTTATAAATAAACCGTTCGCACACATACGCACATCGAGACCCTAATATGCTCGTGCAGGCTCGACATCGTGGAACCCCTTGGGTTGTGGGGAGCGGTTGACTGCGACCCATGACTGCGTGAGGCCCAAAACACGAGCCCATGAGCCATGAAGCGTGTCTGCTGCTTTGGATAGTCGAATGTTGGGCTGAGCAGGCAGGATCAGGTTGCTCCCGTCTGCCTCTTGGAATCGACGGCGTGGGATGCCCACGGGCTGTGAGTGTCGCCAGGCCGTGACAGCCAAGGAGAAGAGACAACGAGGTGGCTAAGAGTATTTGAGAGCCTCGTCAGGGGACAGGCTCGCAACGGGGAATTAGGTCCAACATCATGAAAGTTTAGGTAGCCGGGACACTAGAGGTCCGACTCAGGTATGCCAAGACGAGTGTCGCCGGTCTGACAGGTCCAGATCTTTCACCCCACTCGGGATAAGCGAAAGGCCATCAAGTTGGTCTACCTGCGCTTTCATCAGGGAGAGTTGCCGGGTTGGGAGAAGAATCCATAGAGCCCCGAGGGACTTTGGCAGATCTTGGATGTTTCTTAGCGGCCAACCGAGTCTTGTCGAGCTCGAGTACCTTGGACTCCTGGTCTTATCCCCCTACACGAGGCCCGGCTAGACCACATTAGCATAAGGAGGAAAGGTGGAGTTGAAAATACTAGGTCTCACGGTCGACAGTTCACTCCAAGCCAGAGGAGCCGTCGTGGTCAAGATTAAAGGAAGCGTAAACTTGGGTAGCTCGAGTGCTAGGAGCCACGAGTGGCCTGAGCATCAGATGTGTGGCGCCGCCGACGGCCCAAACTGGTGAACCGCTTTGCTCTTCTGTCGAGCTGGCATCACTTGGTGACGGGCGGTCGGACACTGCAACCCAAACTAGCTTTGCTTGAGAGAAGGGTCGCTAGTGGCTCTTCTCAGGTGTGGATGGTCAAGTTGCATTGACATTGGACCGACGCCGTGGACAGGTGACTGAGGCGTAGCCGTCTCTGTCGAAGTTGTCTTTGCAGGAGCCGACAAGGACTCGACAAGCTTCTTGCATGCACAAAGGGTCTGTTGCCTCGGACGATTTTTCGTCCTTGTTGTGAGAGAAGTGGCCTGCATGGGTGGCAGTCATCTGAAGGTTAAGCTGGCTTGGATGCACCGACACCTTTCCTTGGCTGGATGGCTCTTGTGCTTGTCCAAGTGCTGTGGATATCGACGCGAGTAATCATGTAAGGCAGCTCCCACCGGAGCGCCTAACGTTCGTATTTGAAAGGTTCCAGGTACCGAAAGCACCTTAAAAGGACTATGGCAGCTGTTTGGCAAAGAGATCGGCGATATGAATGAAAAGGACTAGAGCAAGCGGACTCTCACCCAGGAACCCGTGAATTCGGACTATGTCGAGCCCCACAGTCCACGCTGGAACGATGACGGGTAATTCACAGCTCGAGGCAGGCCGTTCTGGACAGTAGGGAGACTTCGGCCACTTCCCGATGGTGCTTCGGATTCGGGGTTTTGTCTCGTATCCCGGACGTAGGTGGCACTCCACGCTGCGGGATCTCAATAGTTGCAACCATGCAGTTGGGGGCCCAGCCGTGCTCGCCTGCAGTTGAGAGGTCTGTGTCTTGAACATCGCTTAAGCTGGCAGGCTTGACAGCCCTACTAGCGGTAAACAATCCGGTGAGGCAGCCGACCCCTGGAGGCGGGAGTGCCCTTCTTCTGGGTCGGAGATTCTCGAGCATCGCCAGCTCGACTAATGGCCCACCCCGCACAGGATCGATAACTCCATGTTTACGAACTTGATTGTTCGCACCGACATTGTAGACCCAAATCGTTGGGAATGGAAGGCGAAGCACAGAGCACGGATTCAAGCGAGCTGATGCCAGAGCATTCTCTGAGGTCTTCGCCCGAGGTTATTGGTAACCATGCAAGCACCGGGACTGTTGCATAGACGTCAATATTCGCCCAAGCGGACACATGTTGGAAAGGCCTTGCATGTGCAGCTGCCCTGTGCTTCGAAGCCGTGCCAGCATTGTTTTTGACGGCAACGCCAGATAACACGGAGTGTTTCCCAAGGCCCCGGTCGTAAACCCGGGGTAAGACCCAATATTGCAACCGCGTTGCATTAAGTACAGTGGTGAGGCGCAGCAGCTGTACGGGTCTTGACAGGTCAGCCGGGCTGGACGCACGAGCGACGCGAAGCTGGTACGATGTTGGCTTTGCGGTAGTCAGGGGGACCCGCGGTCGCCGGCTGTAAGTGAGGATGACGCAGAAGAGTGGGAGATGAGCGGGTGTGGGCGAGGGTCCCGATCCGAGTCGCTTCCTTTGCGGTGAGGACGAGAGGCCCGGTGGCCTGGTCGACAAGTGAGGCTTCTGGGCAACATGGGTCGTTCTTCAAGGCCACACGGCGACGACGGATATTCTTAGCAAAGCCGTTTACCCCTGATTCAGATCTGATCAAAGGAAGACAATGATCCAAACCCACGTTCGGCCTGGGTCGGTGGCGTATGTGTGGAGGTGTTTTCATGAGAGATTGAATCTGACGGCATCCAAGAAGCAAGAAACACTACTAGTGGTTTTAGGGTGGTTCTGAGAGGCGCTGAAGTGAGAGGCGAAAGAGCGGAAAAGGTGCGACTGAGATTGGCAGTAGAGGAGAATTAAGCCTAATGCAGGTACGGGCTTTGCTCCCCTCTCGCTCTTCCCCCCTTGTTCACCTGTATGCCGATAGACGGGACGAACAGAGCTTAACCTCAGTTGCGCCAATGGGACTGAGCGGTCTCTCCGAGAGTGGGTCGATATCTTTCCCGTTCGGGAAGTACCCCGACTTTTGTTTGGTTTCCTTGCTTCTCTTTGTATGTTTTACCCTCAACTCTCACTCACTTATCGTACAATGATCCGACGACTCCTGCCGGCCGGAAGAGGTCTGGCCCCTTGCCTCCTTTCTTGCCTTCGATACTACATCTGGTGTAGGCTCCTGCTGCTCGGACCCTTGGCTCTTGCTCTTGGTCGCCTGTCCAGCCCAATCTGGCGGGTATCCCAGTATAACCATACCTCGTTCCTGCCTCTTGACCCGAATGAGTATGGTCTTTGCTGACCAGGCCTGCAAAGGCCGCTGCTGGCGCAGGTGAAAGTACGCCGCCCGCCCGCCGTTCTGTTGTTGTTCTGATTTGTCTCCATCGTCCTCGCGCCGTAGCGTCCTGCTACTCCTTTGCCCATCCAACTCTAGCTCGCCAGTGCCTGGCGCCAATGCCACGGTATGGCTGTCCTTTGCCGAGTCTTCCGTGTAAGACGAAGATACGGGCCAACGGCCAGCATATTATCTGGCTGGAGGCGAACGTCGTACCTTTCATTCTATCCTTGGACATGGCACTAACGCTCTAGTCGTGGCGTTGGCCCCGTCCGACCTGACACCACTCCATTAACCGCTGCTCGCCTCTCCCGCTCCCCTGACTGTGTTCGAATCGAGACTTGCATCGTGAAGGCTGTGTGATGGAGTTTTTACTATATATGGAGACCATCCATGCCCGTCATCCCGGTATCTTCTCATCTGATCATCACACAACCCAATCCGGGAAGGCATTCACTCACTCTTGTTCTCTCCTTCGCGTAGAACTAGTACATTCTTTCAACTCCATCATCGCCACCATCGTTTACAATGGCTCCCCTCGTTCGAGCCCTCGCTGCTCTCGCAGCTGCTACCCTCTTTACCCAGGTCACCGCGACCACCGTCGAGCTGCCGCCTTGCCTTGATGCTTTCAAGCCCTTCACCTATTCTGGCTGCTTCAAAGAGAAGGGTACCCAAGGCGAGCAAGCCCTCGACTTCCGCTCTTCTACCGACCAGAACACCAACACCGTCGAGAAGTGTATCGCTGATTGCAAGGGTACGTTTGATTAAGTCACCCTTGATCTGCTGGATAGACTAACACCCCGAAAGGCAACAGCTACCGCTATGCCGGTCTCACCTACTATGGTGTCTGCTACTGCAGTCAGACTGTCAACAGCGAGATTCTTCCTGAGACCAGCTGCAACTTGCCTTGCAATGCCAACAACACGGAGACCTGTGGCGGCGACGGTGCTTTCTCCGTCTGGCAAGATCCTACGTTCCCTTCTTCCACCGGCGTCACCGTCAACGACTTCGAGTCCCTCGGCTGCTACACCGATGACACCAATCATGGCCGCACCATTGCTGAGCGCCAGGATCAGGTCGCGTCCGATACCATGACCCCCTCGATCTGCTTGAAGGCCTGCGCCGACGACGGGTACCCGTTTGCCGGTGTTGAGTTCGGTGGCGAGTGTTACTGCGGTGTGGTCATGGGCAACTACACCCAGCCCGCTTCCAAGGACCAGTGCAACACCCCCTGCAATGGAGACAACACCAAGAACTGCGGTGGCGCCGGATTCGTCGAGATATTTGTCGCCAGCAAGCTCAAGTCTCTTGAGCCCTGCGGCTACGTTCCCCCCGTGATCTCGGTCTCTTCTTCCACACCTTCCGTCAGCATCCCCTCCGTCAGCATCCCATCCATCAGCAGCGCTCCCCCCACCACTTCCAACATCGTCTCTACGACTGTTTCCACTCAGGCTCCCGCTATCTCGACCACTAAGCCCAGCTCCACGACTGTCTCTACCCAGGCTCCTCCTTCGACCACGACTCGGCCTATCACCACCACCTCCAAGCCTTCCACGACCTCCACCGCTCCTCAGATCTGCACCACCACCATCGTGACCCCCGCCACTTGCGAGTACGGCTGCGGCAACTGGTGCAACAAGAACCTCCCTGACTTCGATGACGCTGACAGCTGCACCAAGGCACACAACAGCTGCAAGCTCCAGGTCAGCGCCTGCTTGAGTGCTGGATGGCCCGGCTCTGCCGGCTGCATGGATTTCAAGGCCTGGTGCAGCGACATCAGCAGCTACTGCTCCAGCAGCTGCAAGGGCAAGGGATCCTGCTCCAAGAAGGACTGCTTCAGCAAGAAGGTCCCCAAGGGCTACAAGCCTGGCACCACCTCCGTGTCCACCTTCGCCTGCCCTTCCAAGCCTACCTCAACCTCGACCCCGGTCACCACCATCGTCCCGCCTCCTCCTACCGGTGTCTGCAAGCAGCCCACCAGCTGGTGGTTCGGCTACGGACCCGGCAACCCCGTCGGTGGCATCGAGATCCCCATCGTCACCTGCAACGACATCGCCGATGACTTCAAGGCCGGCAACCAGTTCAAACTCTACACCAAGTCCGACTCCCGCACCTGCAAATCCTTCGGACGCAACAACATTCCCAACGCTTGCCAGGAGGCCTGCAAGGAGCAGTACGATGAGTGCCAGAACACTTACGCCCAGGGCTGCAAGACCTACAACAACCGTCGTGGCCGCCGCGATGATGCTGCTGTCTACGCCCGCGCTCCCGAGTTTGCCAAGCGCTGGTTCTTCTCCGACACTTACAGTGTCGCCATCAACAAGTGCAAGATCCAGTACACTGACTGCCTTTCCGAGAACGCCAACTCGTACGCTGCCAACAAGTGCGGTGCCTTCGGCACCGGCTACTAAGGGGTGCACCCTGCTCACTCGGAGACGACGAATATGCATTGACGCTATAGACGGGGAGTTTGCATTTTCAAAATGGGATTTGCTGCGACTTTACACTCTTTGAACAACTTCTAAACCTTACCTGTATTTAATGGCTAGTTTTCTCAATCTACTCAAGCCTCGGCTTGGTGCCTGTACTCTGATGCTTCCTATGCTGCCTTTGCCTGCGTAAAGCCGAACCCGCGTGCTGATTCATTGGAAATATCGAAAGCATATGATGATCTTCTCGGCACTTCAAGCCATCCATCGTTCACCCAGGAAAAGTATGCGGAGGGAAACCATTTCAAGATCATGGTGCCAGACAAGAGACCTCTGCCTTGAGTTGCATTTTGCGCCAACGTAAATATGCTTCGTAGTCTTATCTCCTCTGATGAAGAGCACTGCAACAGTTGCTACAGAGTTTGGAACTCATGGCCGTGTAAGCGAGCTCACTGAGGTGAAGCACAGTCAGTCTCGAACTAATGAGGCAATCTCACCGAGCCGTTCGCCCCAGTACTTACCTGGCTGCATGATCGCCGACATTGGTAAAGGGCAAGAAAGAACAGTTGCGACCCAATTACACCCATAGTTCCCTATAGTTTATGAATGATGTGCGAAAGAGCAGATGCGACACCAAGCTGCCTTTTGTGTGCTGACAAGGTCTGCGGGTGTTGTCAAGACGCATGATGCGACGATGAGCCGGAACGCAGGTGCCTACCGGGAAGCCTGGATAATCCCTATCGCGGCATCGCTGGTGCAACGCACAACCGCCAGCATGGCCAAGTGGTAAGGCATCGCACTTGTAATGCGGGGATCCTGTGTTCGATCCACAGTGTTGGCACTACATTTGTACGGGTTCGCCTGTGCCCATTGTTTTATAATTTTGCTATCCGCTCTCTCCTCACATATGGATCAAAGACGAACATGGCTGTGCAAGCAATATTTAGCCATTAAGTGCATCTCGTTACAGTACATGCATATAGGGGCTGTGAGGAGAATATTGTTGATTCCGTTTTTTGGCTCTCTGCGGATGCGTTTTGGGCCGTTGTAAGCTGATGTCGCGACTGTACGTACGTAGTAGCACCGCACACCTATCGACTGCAACGACACGCTACCTGAACCATGAACATGGGGAATCTGACAGGTTGAATCCTTCATGAAGCGCAAGTAGGCGGTGACTATTGTAGAAAGACTTGTATTGCTCATCTTCACTTGCTAACACGCCCGTGATACCCTGATTTTGATGGGGCAAATTGACTGCACTATACAAGACCAAGTGGTTGCAAGCAAGCCGATACATTTCCGACCCGGCCTGCAAGGGAATTCTCCTCCTTCCACCGAGTTTGTCCTCTCGACCAACCGCGTCGGGATACTGAGAGGTGGATGTTAGACCGGCCCTCTTTCACTCGGCGCGTATGAACCGTTGGAGTGTCCCGCTCTTCCCACGACTCACCTGCATACGGTGGATTTGGTGTGATTGTATGGCCCTTTTGCGCTTCACTGCCTTGGAAGTCAGGGCCCCAAGTGCCTTTGACTGTAATGGTGCCGGACATGCTTGTCCTGTGCAAACGAAACCGCATCTTGAGGACCAGGGGTGCTTCATTGTCATCCAGGTGTCTGACCACCAGAGTCATTCTTCCAAGAGCCTGAGTTGGTTGTACTTTTGCTCTTGGGTTTCCCAGAAGAGCCTCCCTCCAAACAACGGTCAGGACTCTTTTACCACAACTTGGCTTACTTTTATTGCAGTGCAACTACTAATACCATTCACCACCGAGTTTTCCATGTCACAGAAGATACCCAACAACTGGGATTCAGCATGATGAGGAGCCGGCAAAAACGAGAACAGCATACCGGAAACCCCCAGCACGTGGGCGCCGCGAAGATGCAAGACGGTGTACTTGTCTGTACCTGCTGGTACTGCGTACCGCGTACTGGACGTCGCTCACCTTGTCAAGCCCCCCGTGGCCAGATGCGGATTGAGTTTCCCCAGCTTTGTGTTGTGGAGCCCTTCCGTGCGCATATGACATTGGCCAGGCATCGGGTAGCCACCGAGGCTTAGCATGCGTCTTGCAGCCGGGAAACGGTGTGCTTCGACCGACAGCCAGGTTTCAAGAGCTTGGGGGCTTAGAGGTCAGGGCAGAGAGGTGCACTGAGCTTCCCCTTTTTGCTCGCCCCATACTCCTTTAATCGAACAAACGGGTGGTGTTCCAACAGCCAACAACCAGCACCAGCGGCGACGGCGAATACGGACTGGCAGAGTTTTGTGCTCGGTTTGGGTTCCGTATGGAGCTGGGAGGGGGCACAACCGTCAGATAAGGGACGATATGGAAACGTGCCGAGGGTCCCGCCCCTCCCTCTCGCATCAGCTCTCGTGGCCCGCGGACATTGGCATGACGACGGCGGCGACGACGACAACGGCAGTGTTGTTGTTTGGGTGGAATTAGTCCCAGTCGGGCGATGCTGGTGATCCGGGACCGGGTCCTCAGATTGACCGAGGCCAGCCGGTCCGAGCTAACTGAGCTAAGGTGAGCCAAAGTTTGGCCGGCAGAAAAGGGCCCTCGCTCCTTGGTTCGGTAGGTTGGTTGAGGAGGGGAAAGGCAGGCGCGTCTAGAACCCTAAAAAGGGCAGGTTGTGAGCACTGAAAAAAGGCAGGAACGACACACAAAAATGGAGGTCGGAAGAATTGTTAAGCGAGCCCCCAGCGCAGCGATGATCTCACTCACACACCAAACGTGGCCCGGGAGGAGGCCCCTATGGTCCTCTCTTTCAGCGCCAGTACCGCCCGTGCTACGCCCAATGCTGGCCTGCGATTGGTGGCGGAGCTGGCGTGCCCTTCCTGCCTGACCTAATTTGCTCCGTGCTCTTTTTCGTCGCTTCCCTCTTCGAGTGCTGTGTGCCGCTGCTGTGATTTGTCCCGTCCTGAAAGGACCCCCCTCAGTGCCCCATCGCGCAGTTTCTTCACCTGAGAGTCCCCATCCGTAACATCACCAGAGCACCGGCACTAATTGGTCCCATACCCCCCATTGAGCATCACCACCACCGCCAGGTCATGGTGTTCTAACCTTGTCTCTTACCCCAATCATCATCCTAGACTAGGTCGCTATTGTACACCACAATCCAGGCGACAAGATGTCGGTCGCAAGCAAGGTAAGCTTCGCTCTTTTTCCTCGGTCCTTGAATTTGTTTGTTGGTCGTCGCTTTTCGACTTCGTCGTTGTGTGGGCGGTGGCTGTTTGTGTGCGTCGACGTCGTTGCCGTCGTCGTTCCTCCCGCCCGTCGCCCACGATGCTATTTTGTTCCACGCTGCTCGGCCTCAAGATCTCGACTGACAATGCCCTCCACAGAACCTGTTCGAGCTCCTCGGTATGAATTCCCTCGATTAACGATGCCCGACGAATCTTCGAATCTGAACCATGCCCTAACCACCCACAACAGGCAACGATGCCGAGGATGACACTCCTCAGGCGCCCGTGAAGACGGTTGACAAGACCACCATGCGTTCAACCAAGCGCGGCGTCGAGCCCGAGGCTCCCTCCCGTGCTGCCGCCGGTGCCACCGGTGGTGCTCGTCGCACCAACGCCTCTGGCAACGAGGCTGGTAAGTCGACTCGATCACCAATTGCGGCCCTTGGAGACGCAGACCCCGCTTTGTGCTTCGGCCCGCTGACTCGACCCTTTGTCGACAGCCTTCCGTGACCGCGGTGCTGGCAGCGACCGCAACCGTGGCAAGACCACCGAAGAGCCCGCTAGAGGTGGCCCTCGTGGTGGCTATGGTGCCCGCGTCCGTGGAGGTTCGTGTCTTCCTGTCGCTTCCTTGCTCCACAACTGGATGCCGGGTGAATGAAGGCGTTTTTTGGTATTAACAACAAACTAGGCCGCGGTGGCCGCTTCCCTCGCGAGCGTGACGACCGCCAGTCTAAGGGTATCGCCAGGTAAGCTCGATCCCCAACTCGCTGGCGACATCCTTCGTGCTAACCTCTCGCGCAGCGGTTCCGAGAAGCAGGCTGCCCAGTCTTGGGGCGCCACTGAGGGTGAGGCCGAGCGCAAGGACGAGGTTGCCGGTGAGGCCATCGCCCAGGCTGAGGCCAAGGATGCCGAGGCCGAGGCCGCCGCTCCCGCCGAGCCCGAGGAGCCTGAGGAGAAGCACATCTCCTACGCCGACTACCTCGCCCAGCAGGCCGAGAAGAAGCTTGCTCTTGAGGGCAACACTGAGGTCCGCAAGCCCAACGAGGGCACCAAGCTCAAGAAGGAGTGGGCCAATGCCAAGGAGGTTACCCGCGAGGACGAGGACACCTTCATGATTGGTACCGGCGGCAAGACCAAGCGCGAGCGTGAGCGCAAGACCAAGCAGCTTCTGGACATCGACCAGCGCTACGTTGAGCCTGAGCGTCCCCGTGGTGGCGCCCGTGGCGGTGCCCGCGGTGGTGCCCGCGGCGGTGCTCGCGGCGGTGACCGTGGTGACCGTGGCGGTCGCGGTCGCGGCGACGGCCCCCGTGGTGGTGCTCCCCGCGCCGGCGGTGCCCCTCGTGGCGGCCGTCGCGAGGGTGGTGCGCAGATCAACACCAAGGATGAGTCTGCGTTCCCCAGCCTCGGCGGCAAATAAATGCCCACGCCACCCAGCACCTATATCCGCCCACATATAGGCAAGAATGTGCTCCGACACATAGTTCCGCTCTAGTCAACGATAGAGAACGGAAGGGAAGGACCAGTTTTCGGGGAAAATTTGCAGAAGGATGGTTGCGTCATGGTTTCCGAGGACTGGGCCGGCTGATTTCTGGTCGTTGCACGATAAATGAAAGGCTTTTTTTTCATCTAGGTACTCAAGGACGGTATCGTTCAAAAAAGTCAAAAATGGTCTCTTTTGCATGGTTTCTAAAAAAAAGGGTCTCCGGCCCCTTGTCGATTACGTTGGTTCTGGGGTGTATGTGAGGAGGTCTGGCTCATGACTGGAAAGGAGACGGTAACTCGAACAAGTTGACGCTTCCGAGGATAGTGCCATCCATGGCTTCTGATTCATGATGTCGTTGCGCTTCCCATCCCATCCCTAGTGTCTGCTCTTGGTCAACATCCGTCGTTCTTCTGAGCCTTAGCCAATGCGACAGAGCGAAAAATGGAAGATCGTTCACAACTACATAACAGATGTGTTGTATCAACAACTCGAATCTATACATTATTTGTTCTGGGGTAGCCCGGAAACATCAGGAAGGAGAAGGGTCACCCGTTTCCGTACAGTCCCCTGCAAACGCCTCCTCGAACGACGGACAACGGGTGCCTACCTATTATATGAAGTCTGTACATGCCTCTTAGAAGTACCCAGGCGCGGTTAGTTCGGAATTCCCTCTCAGCACGTTATTTGCCAGCAACTAGCAAAGTCAGATCGGCTAGCAATCGAGAAGCGAATAGAATAGCAAGAAAAGCCGCTGCCATGGCCTGCCTAACCTGGCCCTTTCGTTCGTTTGTTATTCATCCCGTCTTCCTGGTCAAGCACAAGCTGCGGATCGCAGTCATTGTTCCGAGGGGGTCAACCAGGAGACGGAACGCCTACGAGCCACTGGTCACTGTCGTGGCTGTAAAGACGATCCCACAAATCGTGGGTTTCACTTTCCGAACGACACAGCCTATTTCCTTGCCTTCCGCCCTCGCTGGATCCACCCGCTGTGAACGGAACAATAGAACCTATAAAAAGCATTGTTTGCCGCGGTAAAGCAACGTCCGTGGTCCCTTGTTGAGGAGCTGTGTGCGGTCCGAATGAGTGTGAGTACAAAGAACGGTATCACGTGTAGACTATAAGTCAATGTCATCTCCTAGCGACCTAGGAGAGCGAGAGCCTTGGAGGTGCAAGCAGGGCCTTCCGCTAGGGTTGTGACGATTATATACATATCGATGTATGATTGCTACCACAACCTTCTCTGCGTTGACTAGAGGAGTCTCAAACTGTGGTTTCTCTTACGCTCGCATCCCCTTGCGTTTCCCGCCCGGCATTACACCCGGATTCGCTAGTATACAGGTGGAACTGTATGAATTGCCTCTTCGGACCCTAAGATTCAGGCTGAGCAAGACTTGGCTCGCCATGCCCAAAGTTCAAGAGCATCGTCTCCAAAACAAAAAAAGGCCGAGCTTTCGAGCTTCGGGACAATATGGCCACTCACGGTGGGTTCGGACGAAGACCATGGCATGGCTCACAAAGCATCCTCTCAAAATTGATCACGCTCATCACCGCCCCTCCAGCCCCAGCGCTTATTCAGTCTGTTTTGCGCTGGAGGAAGGCAGGAACAACCATGGACATACTACTGTGTGGCGAACGCAAGTGACTTCATCGCTGCCTCTAGGGTTATTTACTTTGGCATCAACCTGGAGTGTGCCAGAAGCATGGGTGGGAGTCTTCTCTGGCAGCCCTCAAACACAGAAAATCACCTACTCCCCGGTCCCGCACTTGTTCCTGGGAGTCTTACTTGCAAATCCTCTGCAGGTGGCCACCAACGCTGTTTCCTTGTCCCCGAAGAGCCGATACCCAGAAACATGACTACTCATACCGGAGTAAGAACATTGATATGTGTATATAGGTGATGTGTCTCGACTTCGTCTGCATGTGTAGTTCTGTTACTATGTGTGTCGATGCCGAGTCCCTATTCGGGAATCTGAAAAAACAAAACTCTGACCCAAAATATAGACAGAACAGCAAGTGTAGCATTCACGATACCTACGGTCACGAGGCAGAGATTTTCACACGTTGCGGGTAAGGCGAAGCGAGGAATACGCAAAAGCAAGAGAACCTCTTCTTGTACAGCCTCAAGAATTTCAAGGGGAGAGTATTGAGCATCGCCCTTATGCAAGTCTTGTTAGACACACTGAGAAACTCCAAGGCCTTGGTTGTTTGAAGAAGGGCTCGCCCAAATGCAGTTTGAACGTCATGCATAAAGCTGATGCCGACTCTAGTGCTACAGAGAGCCATGAGATTCCATCAATGGAACAGTCCAAGAGCGACACGGTGAGCTTGTGGGTTGTATCCGGAAACAAGGCCCTCGGCCGATGTCTTTCGGCTACCTTTCTTCCACTCGCCAGTCTCGTCAACGCGGCCACCATCGACAGCCAGTTCCACACAATACCTCAAAGGAACCCGATCTGTAGAAACCGACCCCCGACAAGAGACCAAAGCAGCACAAAGCGGAACACCGTCCTCTTCCACAAAGGACTTGACCATGAGACCCGGCCCCTCTCGAACAAGTAACAAAACCGCTATCGAAGAAGACGGCAATGGGATTGTTCGCACGCCTTGTGTGCGAAAGGCGGGAGGCCGAGGACCACTCGACCGCATGTTGACGAACGACTTGATAAGTGCTGGACAATAGCATTTAAGTAGATTGGAAATGCCGTTGATTCTTGACAGTCCTGAAGCAGAACCACTCTCGCAGAACATAGGCCGCGTACCCAAGATACAGGCACGTTTACAGCAAGCCCATTGACACTAGCGCGCCTCGTAGGAAATCATGCCTCGCATTGTTTGCAACCCTGACGCCCCGTCGGGCCCGTGGACGGCAAAGACGCCCTGCCTCGTCTGCTATGAAGCTCGCAAAGTCCGAGAACGCCCCAGCATCCTCCGTCGACTCCTTTGCAGCACTCGCCGGCCCGACCCCATGTTCCTCCCCTCCGTATGTTCTGAATGCGGCAGCGCCGGCAGCGTGACATTCACCTTCAGCGAACCCAACTGGAATCCGGAACACCGTGCAGACCGCCGCGTGGAAGAGTCCGTGGGGCCCACGAACGAGACCCGGGCAGACGACGTCTTTGGCCCGCCGACACCCATGGGCAAGCCGGCGAGGATGTGGGCCAGGTTCAAGCCGCTGGAAAACTACCCGCAGTTTGCGGCCCCCGACGCTCACGACCTGGCCTGGGCCAAGGCCATCAGGAAGGCGCAGAAGCCGGAGCGGAGCGTCTCGGGTTTGCTGAAAAGGTTGCGGAGCATGGCGGCCCCTCTCATGCCCCCTCGCGGACCAACACCGCTGCCCTTGACTTACGAAGAGCGTCGGAGAAGATCGCAGGAAAGGTGGCGCCTGGCCAAGAAGTTGAGACGGACCAGGAACGGAGCCAAGAATCGATCCACGTCAAATGTGACCTTGCCGCGGAGTATCCTCGAGTCTATTCCGGAAGAGGAAGAGCCCGAAGAGGAAAGCCGGACCCTAGTTCGTCACCAGTTGAAGGGTGGGTAAGTTGCCCGGTGATTGAATGAGAGAGCAGGTCAATAGTGTAGATGGTGGTGGCTTGTGAGACTATATGATTCACAAAGAGCGGTGGTGGAGTGAACTGGTGTGGATAGCCTCATTCGGTATGAGTGGGTTGTGTTGGTCTATATTGGTGCTGCGGGGGAGAGATGCGATCAGTAGTGCATCTTCTCGGACATTGGGCGAGTCACATGTGAACAATGATACATCAGAGATAGGTATATTTTTCGTTACTTTCTTCTTTCAATTTCACTGCTTGTCTCTGTAGAAGCGAGCAGCATCAATGCCCAAACTGGCCAAGAAGAGGATCGCGTTGAAGGACGCCATCATGTAGAAGGGCGAGCCGTGTGACACGGTATCAAACATGAAGCCGCCCAGTTTCGTGAGCAGCAGAATTGCAGCTCCTCCAAACCAGGAGTACATGCCAGCAATAGAGCCCTTGAGTCGCACTCGCGACACAGCATCCACACTAGCATTGTGCTGCAGCAACGGTGCAGACTCGGTAGGGTTCTCCATGGCCTCGGTCGAATCCTCAACCGTATCGATAATCTGCGACTTGGGAATATCTGCCGTGAGAACGCCGCGCCCGAGGAAACCCAGACTGCAGACAATGGCGCCAATCTGGCTGATACCGATCAATATTACAATGAGGAAGATGGCTGGGCTGCCGCCGCGGCCATCGACATTCTTGTACTCCGGGCTTTGCAGCTGAGGAAGGGCAATGTAGCCGACGATTCCAAATGTGGTCGCGATAAGGATAGGGTAGTTGACGCGGCCACGTCTCCTGTTGAAATAACCGAACAAAGGCGCAGCGAACAGGCCGAATAACTGGGCAACACCAGTCAGAATAGATGAGAGAAGGTAGGCTGCCCGGCACTCTTTCTTCAGCTCTGGCGAAGGGTCATGCGGAGACCCATGACAAAATCCATTGCTGATGTAGTATGTGTTGATGTAGAGAGGGATGAAAAGCGAGATGGCGACGGTAGAGGCTCGGGCCACGAAGCCGCCCAGGTATCCAAGAGCGATCTGGGAATCCGTGAAACCCAGCGTGACAGAGTCTCGCAGCAGACGGAAGTATGGTAGAACCTTCTACGGATTGTCAGTAGGGTTTCCTGATCTTGCGAGGGGGTTGCTTACCGGCCGTGTCGGATGGTCCGATCCATGCTCATCACAGTCGTCCTCCGAGTTCGAGTTTGTCTTGAGCCCCAGAAGCACGCTCCAGCCCTTACCTTCCTCGCCCTTCAGGTTTCTCAACCCAAAGAAGACAAAGACTGCAACGACAAATGCTACGAGCCCTACCACGTAGAAGCTGTCGGCAACAGCATCGGCCGAAGTGACACCGTCAATCTCGCCAAACCGAGCGGGGAGTGGGAGGAACAACGAGAGCGCAACCAGTGCGCCGCATCCCGTAAATAGTCCAACATAGCCCGCCAACGCTGAGGGCTTGCCGGCCTTCGCTTCTTCCCTTTCGCTCGCCGTTGCAGCCTGGTCATTTCCACCAATGCCATGGAAGCGTGCCGGAGTGATGGTCATGTCTGATTCGAGGGACATGGCCACGCTGTTCCGCGGGTTATGGGTTGGCTTGTTCACAGCGTCTGCGGAACTGTCGGACTTGCTGCCATCGTCCGTCAGAGAAGGCAAGATAGCCGTTACCATGGTGGCGCTAAGTAAAGAACATGAGCCATACGCCCGCTTGAGAATTCGTTTATTACTTACGCGGCAGTCGCGCCAATGGCAAAGAAGATACGTGCCAGGAGCAGTTGCGGATATATGTTCTTCGCTTGAACGAACAGTATCAAAGCTGCGCCAATAACGGCGTATCCAATGACGGCCACCCATCTTACACCGAGCCGATCCGAGACCAACCCCCAGACCGGACATGCGACGAGCGCAACGAGCTCGTCCACGAAGCCGAGAGTGCCGACGATGTCGCCGACGCCATCCTTAACGCCAATGAGGTCGGTAATGACAAAGGATATGCTGCTGTTGAGGAAGACGAGAAAGGAAATGGAGAAGAGAGAGATGCCGAGGAGGTATGTCACTGCTTGCAGTGTTGTAGTCGCCTCGGAGAAGGGCAGGTAACGGGAGAGAATTGCCATGGTGAGGGTTCTTGCGCAGTAGGCGTTATGTTGAGCAATTGAGGTGATTCTCGTTTTTCTTTGCCGCAGACCACCTTCCGGTCCTCCGCTTACATCTCGCGGTGAGTCGAGGAGATGCTTCAAGAGGTGGGCAGTTTTGTTTGTTGTTGACCACAAGGGAGAAAGTATGTCAAAGTGGGTAGCTGCGGTAGCGAGTGCTGGTGCGGGACAGTGGGTGAGCATCATACACCTGAGCTCCCTGCAACGATACCTAGGCCGAATAGTCCGCCTTACATAAGCGCCGCACCGACACTCTACCGTCACCTCACTATTACGCACACGACCGGACTCCGGCGTGCCGATCTCGGTTGTTGGGCAGTAAACATGTTTGGGGGGTTTCTTGTGTTATGACTTTTTTATTTTTGTTTTTTAGCTCGGTTTCTTGTGATTGTCGCTCGACTGGCTCCTATTTGCCTAACTACATATCTCAAGATGTTCCAAGGTACCCCTGAGTAGAAAAGAGGTATCAGCATGACGCCCAACGCCAGTGGCCAGGCACTTTCTCACGACTATGCCTCCGTAATTGCCGGTTTCTGCGTAACCCTGTTGATTCCCCGACTCCGTTGCTTTCCCAAACCGTAATTTTCTTGCCTGGCATTTTGATTCATCGTTCATCGTCATCCAGTCTACCATGACCAGAGCACTTTGTGGTGCAACACTCGAGCTCCAAGTCGCTCAAACTCGAATGGTGTAACCCACGAATCATTGGCCGGCAGTTTGGCAAAGACACTGGCTCCCTTCCATGTCACGACCTGCTCATCCATGTCTCTTGCGCTTCTGCTGACGAGAATGCGGTCAAACAGGTCAGGCCGCCTAGCCTTGAGCTTCTCTTCCAACACGACAGTAAATTGTGGGATCTTTGATCCGCCACCAACCACCATGATGCTGCCTAGGTAGTCGCGCAACTTCTTGTCATCTCCCTTAGCTGCGTTGTAAATGCTAGTAAGGATAGCAAGGTCCAAGGGTGCGGTAGGCAGAACGCCATCGCGCTCGATTGCGATTGCCTTGGCACTACGTGCAGAGGCATCAACAAACATGCCAGCAGGCGGCTGTGCAGGCGTCGCACCGTTCGGTCCTGGTGTGCCGCCGCTCCTTATAGGAGGTGCCGGGCTGCCTCCGTTGGCACCATCTTTGCTTCCACCAAAAACGAAGGGCGCAGGCACTGGCGTGCTGACACCCTCCGGCGCTGGCGACGGGGCATTGGATCCCAACGGAGTACCATTGATACCGTTCTCGCCTCGCTTGAGGAAGTCGAATGGCTGCAGCTTTTCCTTGACTGGAGTTGACACATCGTTCTGCGACTGTGTGAAGCCGATGGCAGGCACAGCATTCAGTGAAGGCTTGACGAGGGCTAGAATGCCAAACTGAGCCGCCGACGTCGGGTCGTCAGGAATGTCCACGTCGTAAGCGTTGTAAGACCGTTCAATCAAATTCCTTCGGCCTCGTAGCTTGGTGCTGTTGTCGAAGATGGCCGGGTCGTAAAAACCCATAGGTGCGAGAATGACCTCGTCGTAGGTCTTGAATTGGTATTTGTGCGTCGGCTGGTTCGGAGCTCGCAGATGGAACTGGTACAGCTGGACAGAAATGTCGGCTTGGGACATCGTGCAGTGCTTCATCTTGAGCTCCTCTGCAAGCAAAAAGTCGTGGCGTCTACGGAGGTTGATGTCCTGATAGGGGAAATTGTCGTAAAGCAGCATCTTGATGAAGGTCTCCGTAACGTCATAACCACCATATTTTAGGTTGATCCGAGAGTCTTCAACGCAAAGTCCATCTTCGACACAGGTGATGGAAGTCTTTTGTGCTCCAACATCAACGACGCAGGCCTGAGTGTATCCCGCTCCGAATGTGGCAGCCATACTCTCTTGAATGAAGCATATCCGGTTGAACTCGAACCATGTCATACAAGACCTGAGAACCTGCTCAACATACTTTTTGTCGTATAGATCAGGAATGACGAAGACGCAGCTGTACTGCCTCCACGTGCTGTTCTTGGTAAGACCAAGCTCCTGTCTGATTGCCTTGTCAAGCAGGGTCTCGAAGTCGTCAAAGAGGTGTTCGGCGTTCAAGTATTCGTCCTCGTTGAGTACTCCGTGCTGGATTGGCCACCAAAGCTTGAACTTTGGCTCAGAGTCATCAGGTACTCGTTGTGCTTGATGTCCGATGAAGCAGGAGGCAGATGATTTGGGATCGTCCAGGTTGTTGACGTCGGTCCAATCGATTTGCAAAGGGTCGTTGTGTGTTTGAATGATCTCGGGTTCGGTTCGGCGATTGTAGTTCAGCACCAATTCCTTGGAGTTGGGCAGTACTTTGCGCTTGTTTGCGCGCATGTCCAATTTGAGATCGCTGCACATCTTGTTGTACTTCTTTGACCATTCTTCGCCATATTGCTGCTCTTGCGTCTTCGCTTCGAACTGCCTGCGGGGAAGCGCTTCATGCATCTCAGCCTCAGTCTGCGGGAATTTGGTCGCAAGTGTCATCGGAATTGACTTGGGGAGTGCGTCGCTGGCGAAGCCAATCCGAAGGTTTTGACTGCCAGGGTGAATGACAATGACCTTGGACGGGTCGAGACCTGCGGCGGCGTCGGCAGGCGCTTCGTCAGGCTGAAGTTCGGGAATGACGAGGGGGACTTCGGCGCGGCCGCTCTGTGCAAGAGCACGATCTCTGTCCTTAGCAGCTTGAACGATTCGGTCGCGGGTGGCGTCGCCTTGGAGTCGTAAAGCGAGAATCTGGTCATCGCGCTTCATGTAATCCCTGCCATAGACAACGATATTAGCATCCAGACGGAGAATATTACGAGTCTCTGTCTCTGAAGGCGTACGTGTAGTAGTTCTTTTGGTTTATTGGCGTGACATCCGGCCAGCTGGTCTGCTTCATGCCATTGTCGGTTCTCTCCAGGCCTGCGATACGCGATCAGTATTTCGGCATCAAAGTAGACAGCTACGTCTTCACTTACCCTCCCGCAGGAGAACCCTCTCACTAACTTTTCCTACCATTTTGTCGACTTGCTCCTGAAAATCGGAGCCAGAGGCAAGCTGGCGCTGGTGTCTTGGGTTTCCAACTGGAAAAACAGATCAATAACGACAGCTTCAAGGTCGGATTGCTCTCAGCCTCCTCGTAGCGACCAACCATCGTCCTCGGTAGCCCGCTGGCCCGTGCATACAACGTGGCTGGAGTTTACCTTCCTCAAGTCAGGACCCGACGATGTGGCTGGAATCAGCTTCTCGGTATAATATTTATCCGACGAAGTCCTTATGTAATTGTGAGATGCCAGCTGGCTAGGCCTTTTTAGAATGTCGCGCTCGTACCGATTTGTGACCTTGGATAATCTCTCACAATGGAGGCCAAACTGCAGCAACACCATCGACATGTCGCATGTCGCGTCTCGAACTCGACCTCACAACAAAAGTCACTTTCTTGGCACGGCACGAGGTGTTCCTGAAGGAAGAAGGCTCACTTGCTATGGCACTAGCCTGTTCAACAGGTGATCCTTGTGGTATCGCTGCATTGCGTGCACAGTTGGGTAGCTAAGGTCAAGTCATCGACAACGTGATTCCGCTTCCTCCCCCATGCAATGAAGCTTGGATTCGCGGCTCAAAGCGGTCCAAGCACTTTCCGGTAGCAGACCATTTTGCGGCTCCGGTGAGTGACAAACCATTGGTCCTGAGCTACAATGCTCGGACTCAGACCTTGGATGTTTGGCTGCTTCATGCTTTACAGCCTAACTACTGCTTGTTTTGCATGAGGCGACAACTGAGTGGATGAACTTGACACGACAGTTTGCGCCAAATCAAAGACCAAACAAGATGATGCGAGGCTAGCATGTCCCGGAAAACTCGGTGAGAGGTCTTCAATTATAAGCTTTTTGAGGTGTAGGTAGCCGCATTTTCTCCCCGGAAGTACCTCGATGCAAGTGATGCTATTATGAACTCCCCGATGCTGGTTTGGACAACCGCCGACTTCCTTTTTCGTTCTTAGCGTCACATACTTACCCAATACTCCTGCTCACATCCCCCTTGTTTGCTTTGACAACAGAGACGACTCTCCCGCGGAACGACGTTGTTTCCCGAGGATGGGGCAAGAATGAACGAGGTGAAGACGAAAAGATGTACCGTTTCCCTAGGTCCGAGCCGCTCCTTCCTTCACCGGCCACACACCTCTAGTCACCTGACAGCGCCCCAGTTCAGCAATGACGTCGTCACGTAAGGTTCCGCCTGTCACAGAGGAAACCACACAACGTGCCACGTCTGCTTCAAGACTCCGAGCCGATTTCAGACACAGCCCACGAAAGACGCTCGCGATCTCACTCAAATCAACTTAAACCACACGGCAGCCTAGATATTTCGAAGTACTACACGCGCCAGAACCCCCGCATTTCAGTCCCTCTCACACTTTAGCCAAGAAGTCCAACGTCAAGCCATGCCTGCCATTCCCATCTTCAAAGACACTCCGATCAACGCCTCCAAGGCGTCGGAAGCCACTCCGCAGACCGAGGAACCGCAATCCAACGCTCACTCCCATAACACCCCCGAGCTATCGCACAGTCGAGTCGGCGCACCCGCACCCGCTCTCGCACCATCATCTACCCACCAGCAGCCGTACCCGCCGGCACAGCCTGGTGCCGCCCTGTCTCTCCCTGTCCAGACAGCTTCCGCACAAGCATATCCTGTCCCGCGGCCAACTCCAACTCAGAAGACGGATGATGTCAGCCCTCCACCGCCCCAGCCAGGTGCTGCCCCGATGCCCATGGCAGGCACTTCAACGCTGCCTCCGCCTCCGAAGGCGGGCGAGGCCTACCACCCTCCAGCCCCAACGCCCGCAACTCAGGCCACCCCTTTTTACCCTCCACAGATGGGCATTCCTCCTCCAGCCATGTCTCACTCAGCGTTGCGAGGTTCTTCCACGTCTATTGCCAGCGGACCTCAGATGACTGGACCGCGACCCATTCCACTAGGAGGCGATCCTACATCTAGCCTTGAACACCCTCCGGGATATCAACAGGACGTCGGTGCGTCTGAATTCAGCAGCCATCAAAGAGCTGCTCACCATGCTGCGGTGACATCGTCTGCTGAGAGAGGATTCCAGACTCAGTCCGAAGAAGGGGTCTGGGACACAGCAAAAAAGTGGGCGCAAGCTGCTGGTGGCAGTCTGGCCGCAGCCGAGCAAGAGGTATGGAAAAGGATTAACAAAGACTAGAACTGCCTCAAAGGCTTTGTGCCTACATACCAATCAATATTTCACTGTCAAGGCTCAATCTTCTGTTCGGCACTCTACCTCTAATCGGCAACACTGTGAAGTTGACGCAGAGCGATTTGACGGCCGGCAGTCGGCCGACCAGTCCTTTCTGGGCCTGTCATAGCTGGTGATGTCTTGTCGGTCTCCAACTTCAGGCATCATACGTCCAGCTTCTGGGCCCCTCACCCATACTCACTTTCCATCCAGGTTCATCCATTGTACGATCTCGCACCATTGACCTAGCGCGGGCCTCTTCGGCTTCGTGATTGAATCTTGCTCTGCCCACACAAGTGGCCCATTCGGGGTTGCTTTCTTTTCGGCAACCTGAGGCTTTCCCGGATCACGAAGTGGCGAGGGCTCGGCCGAGAGCGAGGGCGTGAGGAGTCTATGACGCCTGGAGCGTCCTATTTACGGCGTCGTCGATCCTGAAATCAACTTGTACCAAACAAAAGTACATTTCGCCGGAGCCAAGGCCTTGTCGAGCCCATCATTTCCTGGTCGCCCTGTGGAAGAACTGAACTAGCTCTGGCTATGGTAAACATCAAACACATCGACAAACCTGATAAAACGCCGACTAACATAGCGCACCACAGAGAGTTCGTCGCTACCCTGCTCGCCTCCTTTCCCCTTGTGGCTGCAGATGGGATCTTGTCAGCCTCCCCCAATGATCCGCCTGATGTCTGGTGTCCAATATCGAGCCGAGTCGACAAGCAATCGTTGGCGGGGTAAAGTCGCGTCACTATTGGTCCATGATCTCCATAAGAGCCGTGCTATAGACAGCGGCCATGGCTGGAGAGTTGGCGTAATTTCCCAAAACGTCCGAGGTTGTCATGCAAGCAAGACAAGCAGCCCTTGTCGGCGGACAGTCCGGAGGATCCACAGAACAACTCATCGAAGGCACGATAGAAGCTGGGCACCGGATACTGGAGACTCTGCGAGGCCACCGGCGCGAGACAGACGTTGCATCTCTCGCACAGACGAATAGGCCAAAGACGGCTTTTGCGTTGCTCTCAAATGTGCACATCCGATCTAATGGGGAGTGTCAATTCTTATTCGCTTTGGGTTGCAGCGTGGCGTGTGATGGCGGCAAGACGGATGTCCGCGACCGTTGTCCTACTAAGGAAAGCCACGCTAAGTTTCACTGACACTGTACAACACATAGAGCCCTACGACAGAGTTTTTGACGGACTGGCGATGTGCATCGTTAGCGCCATGTCAGTATTCGTAGTGAGTGGACTCTCGCCAACAGATTCGCACAACAAGCTTTAACAACACACGAGTTTCGTACTAGCGACAAATCATGATTGGGGAGAGCCACTTTACGCGTGTACAATCCGTGCCGGATGGTGGTCCCCGGTTGTCAAGTCACGCCCGCAATCCGGATTGCGATGGCGGGAGCTGGCGACCATCATAGGCGAGTGCACCATGAATTTAGCAAGGAGATCCATGGCCGACGGAGCTATAGCGGATTTCCATTATATGGATGAACGACTCTTTATTGCCAAAACAAACGGAAGGCCACAGGCTCGAGGCATTAACATGACGCATGTTGTTGCCGCCAAGCGGCCTGTTAGTCGCGGAGTAACTGGCCTTTCTGGTAGTTCTAATTATTCTCAGGAACGACAGCTTTCTTTTCTTATCAAGACTAACATCCAGTCAACTTTCGGCCAGACTCTCTACTGTCGCAATTGTGGCTCTAGGTAACTATATGATCCAGATCAGCCCACTGTGGCACATCGTGGAGGCAGGTACGTATATCCATCATGGCAGATGGCAGAGCGAATCACAGGTTACTCGAGACGAGGTGGGCGCGGCTCGCAAAGAGGCGCGTCAAGGGATGATAGCGCGGGGGCGACGGCGAGGGGGAGGTGAGGGGCAACCAGTCGCGAAGCCAGGTTTGTTGGATCGCCAGCACCAGTGAACACTCTTGGCGCAAGAGCCAAACAGAAAACGTCTCTACAACACATTTTAGGGGGGAAGGTTAAGGTTGCGGTAACCAGAAGATGCGTTTGAGTAAGCAGAAAAGTAGCAACAGGCGCGATGTAAAGCCACGTTAGCCAGAGTGTCCGGATGTGTCGTGAGTTTCGTCTAGACTTGGCCAGTTCTTGACAAGTCTCACGTCTCATACAAGAGCCCAAACGCCAGCATCCGTGCGGCAACAGTATTTGAATTAATTTGATCTTGATTTGATTTTTGTCATAGCCGGACGACTGCCAGACCACTCACAAGAGGACAGATAAGTTAGATGGGGATGAACCTCGTGGACGACAACGCACAACGACGACTTCGGATCAAAGTAACGGCAGAAAGGGTTGCGCCAGAGCGGCTGTGGCCACGGGAGACACAAGCATGCAAACGAAAGCGAAGTAGTATGGAATTCGGCCTCTATACACATGATGGCAGCTGTGGCACGCGTGGCAGACACAGGGTTAGCCACGTGTGGGGGAAAATCAGCGAGATGGCGCCAGCGTGAGGTTGTCGGATAGATGAGGTGGGCAACGATGTGAGTTGACCTTTAACCTGCCATGTGCGGGAGCAAACGAAAAGTCGAGCGACGTAGGAGAAGCCTGCACACGATGAGATATAGAATCGAGTGCTCCAATTACACTGACGAGTCTCCCATCACAGTACCTTGACAGACGTGGGACGGCGTGGTGTCTCTTGCGCCAGGTGACTGAATTGCGGCTGAGGCAAGGCACGTGAGAGACGCCCGGTGACTAAAGAGACACCAGAGGCACGGAGAGGCAGAAGGGTGCAAGAGGATGGCGATCTGGGATGAGAGTGAGAACGAGAGGCTCGCGTGCCGACGGGGCTCACGATTTCGCAAAAGAGCGATTGCAGTCAACGGTCAACCCAGTCGAGGGGCTAAAGCGAGACAAGGGTGTGTCGTTCTGTGACAGATCTGAGACAGCTTGCACCCCTGCAAACCCCCTGGCACAGCCCCGCGTCCCCAGTGGACTTGCAGTCAACAAGACCCAAATCCAGCGAGTCACGACCGCGAGTCAGCGGCAAGTGGGTGGGATTTGACACGCTGTACAACGAATCCCGCCATCAGAAGCTAGGCACGGCTTGCGTACCATGGCTCTCGAAATTCCATTGCGCTGTGGCGTGTCGTACTCCTTGACATGCCTGTGGGATGGACAAATACGCTAGCGTGGGAGAACGTGGCGAGAGTTGGGCAAGAGAGGTCAAAGATGTGGAAAGGGGGGTTTTGACGAGAATTAGGATTTGACAGAAAGGCTGTTAACAGACAAGACGATGAGATGAAGGACCGGAGATGGACCGGGTTTTCGGTACCGAGCTGAGTCGAGAGTCAAGAGTCAAGAGTCGAGAGTTACAGCTACATATAACCAGAGAACGGACGAAAGACGCTGATACATGGCCATCCGTCTAGTGCAAACCCTCCAAGTTGGGAAAATAAGGACGGACGAGACACGTAGACCACCAGTAATGGATGAGCAGTGTCACCAGGCAGATGTAGATTGGTATCATTGTGCTAGAACTGCACTCTGCAAGGCACAAACAGCGATACGCTACATACAGCGCAACCCCTCCCCATGCTTCATCGACGCTGACGGAGAGAGCGGCGCCCGCGAGGAAGAGGAAAGGAATGGAGCAGAAGGGGAGTACGTACCTCTCTTCAGGTACGGAACAGAATGGAACCTACCCAGGCCAAGGCCAGCCCACACACCCGCAACCCCTTCACAGCCCCTGCAGATGCTTACCTCAGCGACAAATCATATTGCGTGGCTGGCCAGCTCAAAGTCAACTTCAAACGTGCCTGCTCCGTGCCACCAGCACCACCACCATGTCGAACCGACCAACGGTGTCAAAGATATCGACAGCGTCCCGGCTCCATCATGGCGCTCCGTATACCCTCCATTATTGGTGATAAGTGGCACGAGTCTTTCCGCCAGTTCTTTTGCTCTGATCTCCAACTCTACTACCTCCCTCCCCTTTTGGCGTCCGGCCCTAGCCTGGGTATATCCGCATGGTCTGGTCTCGACTTTACCTTCGCTCCCCGTTCGCAAGGTTTATGTGCAACATGGTGTCGTCCTTTCTCTCTCTCTCTCTCTCTCTCTCTCTCTCTCTGTTGTTTTTTCCCTTGTTAGAGACGTAATGCCTGTCGCGTGGGCACTCACCCTGTTTGGCTCGTGCTGTTGGGCAGCGGAGAGACTCGCCTGACTCCTCACTCTTGACCATGCCCAAACATTCGAATCCACTTGCCATCCCAGGCCGGCCGGCGGGCTTGTTGGCCCAAGACCAACGATTCCAATTCTTTGACGGATCGCATCAGGACCCAGCTGGACTGACCTGGCCTGGAAACGACTGCAACTGGAACCGGAACTAGAGCTGTGACTAGAATCTCTTCGTTTGACCCCTCATCCACATGGTTCCGAGGCTAGGTACCTCCCCCTCGGCAACACTCCGCTCGTGAAAGCCCCTGCAGCCCTCCCGGATCACAGCCGGCCTGCAAGACAGACAGACAGACAGACAGACAGACAGACAGACAGACAGACAGACAGACAGACAGACAAGATGGAAAGAGATGGATAGCCAAATTGTCATCCACTCATGGCAACCCTTCGCACATTTTCTCCGATCTCCAGCCGTGTGTGCTTTGCATACTGCAGCAGCCAGCTAAGCTCAGCTTAAGCTCAGCTAGCTTGACGAGCTGCGACCGGATAGCAATCTCTTTGCTCCGCAGCCGCCGCCGCCGACTTATCGATCTATCTGAAAACTGACATTTTTCGTTCGCTTCGACCCAAAAAGCACATAACTGCATCTGTGCTTGTTCATGCCTCCCGCTTCTTTGCTCGCTATTGGCACAACGGCCGAATGAACAAGAAAAAGAAGCCCGAGAGCGGATCTGCTGGAAAGGATAGGATGCCAGGTTCATCATGTGGGGAGCCAGGGATTTGACAAAACACTGGCAGGGCCATCCCTGCAACGCACTCGCTGCCAAAACGAGAGCCCGACGTCAGGATCCTCTTGCTTCTCTTGCCAAACACTCTCTTTTCATGATCTTCGTACCCGAGCCTGATTGGCCCCAGGAAGGTCGCCGACAGAATCTCAAGTGCCCACACCCAGCTGCTACACAGACCTTGCCCGAGGCCCCTCTCCATGGCCCCCATGCCCCCCCCATTGGCCTGGGACGGGATCAGGATTGGGCCTAGCACCGCGGCGGATTTACCTTGCAGACGTCCCGTACGGACTCGGCCTACTGACACTCCAGGCAAGTTGCATCGTATCATTTCGATACTGGACTGAGGTTCGTCCGTGACCCCTGCCTGTTCCTTGGTTTCCGCCGCAAAAGGTTGGAACGCAACGCAAAACCTGCCCGCGGAGATATACGACAGAAAAAGGGCAGAAGAATCGAAAACGACGGTAACCAAGGAGCGCATCAGACCAGGCCCCAGTTCAAGGTGGCTTCGGTTCCGCGTTCCCTCCTAACCCATTACACCTCCAGGCTTCGGCATAGCAGGAAAAGAAAGCCAGCCTGCCGGCCGTCGGCCCCAAGCCACTAGCCGTGATCCATCCCGATGCCTCACTTTCAGTCTCCCCGGCCCCTCTCTGTCCTCGGCCCCTAGGGCCATGTTGCCACTTGTGGGTGTATGGGATGAGACAAGCCACCTCCTCGGGAACTATTTCCTTCGGATCGCTAGGGTCCTCGCCAAATCTCAGCCCTGATGGCCCTCGCCGGCGACCACCGAAGGGGTGCGTCTTCTAGTTCATACGTCAAGTGCGATTATTGTCGATGGCAGGCCATCGAGTGGACGCTCCGTCGTCCAAGTTTAGTACTACATTTCGTCACGATGAATTTCTCTGCTACAAATCCACACCTGCACTGCCGCCGTGGGCGTGCACTATGGCGAGGGGATGGGTAGGAGGAGAAGGGGGGAGGGTCTAAAAGGTCTAGAAGGGGGAGGGCGTTTTGACAAGGTCCTGTAGGCGTCTCCGTATGACGAGATAAATGGGCTCTTGTGAGGAGATAATCACCACCATGGTACTGTATGGGCTATGGTAGGCGCAAGTGAGCCTCTATCCGGCAAGGTATTCATTCATTCCTCTTTTTACCTTTTACCCTCTTTTTTCCATCCCATCGCTTTCGTCCTCTGACTGGTCAGTTGGTTACTCTCTTCATGGGCTCTTCCTCTTACTTTTTTGCTCACAATCTCCATCTCTTTTGCTCTTCCACCCCCCCTCTGGCTCTCAGTCCTCTAACTCTCCACACCACCCTCAGCTCTTTTCCTCTCTGTCCTTCCACCCTCTATCCGGGCCTCTCTCTGCCTCTTCCGCAACTAGACTCCCCCCCTCCATCACGCTTTTTCTTGCGGCGCCGAGTTCGTGCCATGTACATAGTTTATGAACACACATTCACAATCTGGGTACAGCCCTGTCGGCGTGTTTGATCCTTGTCCTCGTCTTCCAAAAACAGTTGGGAGTTGGGCCGCTCCCTGGTTCATCGGCATCTCGCTCCCACACATCCACATCGACGAACAGATGTTACCTTGTCCACCACCAAAAAAGACACCCCTGCAACTCTCGTCCTTCTCCCTCCCTCTTACTGAGCCAGGCCAAGCACCATTCTTGTACACTTGCCTCTGCCCCCAAGTTCACAGACAGGAAGAGGTTTGTATCAGGGAATCCGGCTTAGCTCCAACCGACGTTCCGAACCTGACCGTGCAGACCTATTGGCCTGTTCATGGATGATGCTTCTTTTTACACACTACTTCTTTTATACCTCTAGGATCCGTCTGCACCGCCCCTCAACCTGTCTTCTTCTCGCTCTCCTTTTGCGTCCCACTCACCAAGGCCTCATTGTCCTTGATTCCCATTGCTAGTCACTCCTTTTTTCGACACAGAGAGCCTTGTAACCTATAATATTATTTTCCTTTTTCGAGGGGGCTGCCTCTTCGCATCTATAATACCTACTCTCCGGGAGCTGGCTCTCTTTATCCCGCCAGGAACCCAGACGACCAGCTGCGCGCTCTACCACTTTCTCAACTTCGTCACCAAAGCATCAAAAGAGGTTGTCGCTTATCGCAAACTCACCACGCTCCTTTACGTTGCTGCCCGGTTATAACACACACATACATACACGCACAAACAAACACACACACACACACACACACACACACACACACACACACACGCGCGCACACACACACACACACACGCTATTACACACCTTCTACACCACGCTGAGGACGGGAATCCCTACCGCCTCCCACCACCACTAGCCTCATCGCGAGGACCCGCTGTCCCTAACGCTCATCATCACCCAACCCGTCTTCGAGGAAGAGACCAGAAAGGGATCAAGAGGCATCCGAAATAAAGAGGAACCAAGAAGGGAAAGAAAAAAATCTACCCCTTCCCTGGCCCCAACAGCCCGCTACCACTCAAGCTGCCTGCCCATTACTCGCCTGGCCCGGAGATTATTTGTATCTCTCCGCCTAAGTTGGCCACTGCGCCAGATTCTTCCAAGTAAGTTCCTGGAAATGCTCTCTTGCGGCCTGTCGGATCGCACTCGTCGATACGTGGGCAGTGTGGATCCCCCCCCGACTGCCACCCTTGGTGTCCCTCGTCCGAGGATCAATGCTAACAACCCACCGTCCCCGTTCAGCATCAACCCAATAATTGAATAACCGCACGCTCCCTTGCTCTCCTCCTGTCTAAGCACCATGGATTCTGCTCAGGCACAGCTGTAGGCCCCATCCCGTCCCTGCAGCCTCCGGCATACATGACTTACAAGTACAATTTAGTCGGCAACAAATACAGACACCTTCCTTCACTTTCAACCCCAACAACAAGTTCAGAAGAGACGTCCCGCCTCGTATAACGCCCATCATCAACATGAACGGTAATGACATGCCCGTCAAACAAGAGGGCGTAGGAGCACCTGCTGGAGTCTGGACAACCCCAACGTCCCAAGGCATGCGACCCCGACCTGCGACCATTCACGAGGGCTTCTCCTACAGTATGGGCGACGACTTCGGCGCCCTCCCATCGTGGGATTCATCGCCCCTCCCATTCCAGCAGACGCCCAGCGACGCCATGTCCCGCCCGGTCTCGGTTCATCAACAAGACTTTTACCCCGTCACCACGATGGAGAACAGTGAGTCAACCTCGTCAGAGGCTACCTCGCATGCTAATGCGCGTATCAGACTGGCATCAGAAGCCTTCCGAGGACACGTTTGAATTCCCCGGCCTGGACACTGAGATGATTGGCCAAGCATACACCACGGACGAAGCCATTCCCGTCCTTGACTTGAGATACCAGCAACAAGATAGCGAAACCTTCAACTTTGACTGCGGCCCCAATCCGCGACGCATGTCGGGCTCATCATTCACCATGTCGACGTCGGGCGCTCTCTCCGACATGCCATCCTACGAAGACTTCTCTGCCGCCCTGTCAGAAGCGCCATCATTCAGTTCAGACTACCCTCCGCCGTCCAACCGCAATTCGTTGATGTCGTCGACGCAATTGTCCCCCGTGGCGTCTCCCCGGATGACCCCTCAAAGCCGATCTGAACTCGTCAGGACTCAAAGCCGCGGCCGAGCCTCTCCGTCACCCCGCCCGGGAATGCGATCTGCTCCGTACAGTGTTGAGCGTGGAACGACGAAGAGATGGTCGACAGGATCGTACGGAACCCAACAGAACCGACGTCAAACACCGTTTGTGTTTCATCCTGGTCACGATGCCTTCGGTGCCCACCAGCGTATGTCTTCGAGACACTCATCGCCCACGATCCAGCATCAACAGGTCCCTCTGAACTTCACCAATCTCCAAGCCGCGCAGCAGCACCCGTTCATGATGGCGGCCCCGCCGCAGTACCAGAGAAACAGCATGAACAACATGCTTTTGCCGTCGCAGTTGCCGTCCAACGGCTTCCACCCCGAAGCCCATCACTTCGAGGCCCCGCCGCCGCTCCTGTCCCATGGACTCTTCCGTATGCTTCAGAGCAATGCCGACCCCCATTCTCTTCACAGCCACTACACGGACCTGTCAGACCCGCCCGACCTGTACGCTTCATTGCACGAGGAGCAGATCCCACCCCCTCCCGAAGACATGAACCCGTCCGACCCTGATCTTGTCCCGCACGAGCAAGAATTGCGGTTCGAAGGCGACTTGTACACCCCCAGATGGGTTAGAGGTCACGGCAACAAGCGTGAGGGATGGTGTGGAATCTGCAAGCCTGGCCGTTGGTTGGTGCTCAAGAACTCGGCCTTCTGGTACGACAAGTCCTTCACCCACGGCATCAGCGCCGCCACGGGCAACCCGTTCCAGGAGCCCCAAGAGACACGCCGGATGGACGGCAACCCGGATGTCTGGGAAGGATTGTGCGGCAGCTGCAACGATTGGATTGCTCTTGTCAGCAGCAAGAAGAAGGGTACCACATGGTTTAGGCACGCGTACAAGGTATGTATCACGGCATCGGTTGGGGCAGATTGCCATGTGTCACCGCAGGACTAACTCGTCTCCTTTAGTGTCACACCCATCCCAAGATCAAGGATGCGCCAAAGCGTCGACGGGAGAGCAACCACAACCGCAACCTGGCGGCGTCTCAGATGGCCAAGCCAAAGGTTGAGCCGCAGCAACAGCCAGCGCCTCCCATGCCACAGCAGGCCCCGATCACACCCCAGATGACCTCGTCGGCCGCGTCCGCTACAAGCACGCCGACGCCCGCTCAGATGCAGCAACAGCACCAACAGCAACAGCATCAGCACCAGCATCACCAGGCCCAACAACATCAACACCTTCAACAGGTGCCGCCGCCTATGCCCCAGATGACTCACGGGCAAATAGGACAGAGCCACGGCCAGCAGGGCAACGTTATGAACCCTCTGGAAGGCATGCCTGGCATGATTTGATGGCTGCCAGCTGTTGCTTCATCCATCCTTGATCTCGAGAGTCTCTGGTTGCAGAACCACACCCCCCCAAAAAAACGTACACGGTTGATACCACTTCTTTCTTGTTACTGTTTTTTTCTTCTTTCCTTTGTCATAGTTTGGCCTCCGCCGCAGCGCGTGCCTGTGGTACAAACACCCCGATCCGAAACGTCGTCACGAAAAACAACGAAGCCTTTTTCCTTGACCCTACCATTTATAGACATGGGCATCATGTGATACCTCAGAGGAGGGAAACGGGAGATTTTGGGAAGTGTTCAAGGGTGTTGGGTTTCTTTGTTGGTGTGTGGACAAGAAGACAAGAAGACGCCGACGATTTTACTGCAAACTCCCCTTACCCTGAAGAGGAGTAGAATGAGAGAAAGAGAAAAGGGAAGGGCATGTCATGACGATTTCCAAAATATCTACTACCTTACCTATCACCGACACAATCGCCACGGTTGACCCTCTCTCTCTTTCCTCTCCTTTCCTTTCGTCTTCGCCCGCCGCTGTCTACATTGATTCCACGTATGAGCAAAGCACGACTCTACGTTTTTCACGCCCCGTTCATGAGAAGGATTGATTGAGTCTTGTTCCGCACGGTCGCCCTCTTTGTTTCCCCGCTTCATTTGCCGCCACGTTCAAACACAAACGACCCAGAGTGCAGGATCCGATAACGGCCAGTCACCAACGAAGCCACGCGAAGAGGGAAGGGAAAACGGGGCCTAATTCCGATTGTCTCGAAAGAACTTTGTTTGATGTTTATCTTTTGCTTGTTCACCCGGGTTTTTTTCGGTTGTTTACTCTTTTTCTTCTGCTTTCTTTTCCTTTGTTCTTCCATCTCTCTCTCACCTGGGAAGTTGTCCAGGAAACCATAATCGTAGATAGTTAAATAGTGCCAGGTGGCCCTCCGAACCGTGGACCGCGCGTTGTTGTCATTTTTTATTTTTATTTTATTTTAGTCATTGTTTACTGTTTGTTTGAGGAGGACATACCAATGATATCAAGGGGAGGAAAAGGTGGAATTTTGGGGCTTTTTTTTTATAACTCTCTCAGGGGAACGGAAAAGGAGAACGAGGCGAAATGCGGATGGGATAAGGGGGTAAAAAGGACGGGCGGAAATTTTTGAAAGTCCCTGGACGAAAGAGGGACGATGCCACGGATGGGAGGGGAGGAAGCAGAGGGGAAGAGGGGGGCATTTGTCCGGTCCGGACCAGAGAAATAGGGTCACAATGGGAAGGGAAATCTTTTATCGTTGGGAAACCTCGTGGCAAAGCAGTACTAGTTAGAATCGTTTTCACCCAAACCGCGCAGAATGAGGAACACACGGTCATTTCAGAAAAGGGCACCTTGGTGAAGTCGTGATTTCGTGAGACTTGCGCCAGTTGGCCCGACTGCCCGGCCTGCACTTGTCACGGAGAGCAGGGTATCGGACTTGTAGTCACCATCCATAGAGCGCAAAGAAGACCACCCCAAGCAATCCGCCATGGGTTCTGCTCACAACCCGGAACACAGGACCTCTCTGAGCTGCCTCCTATGACTCCCCAAACCCCAACCTTAGTTGGCAGCACTTAACCCGCCATCCCGGCCGTGAATCGCGGTGGCAGTGAAGCGCCGGAGAAGAACATGGAACGGCCCAAGAAGGGGAGGGCCCTTCTGTCCCCGGTTCAGTAAACGGCGCGGGTTCAGGGGTCTGGCGGACAGAGTCACGGTTCCCTTCCTCCAGGGATTGAAAGATAGGGGGCTACGATACCAAGGACAAGGGGAGGGAGGGACGTGGCATGTAGTATCGAGACGTGTGTTCCAAGAAGGGACCTGCCATCCGGACTCGTACCTTTGCGGGATCCGAGGACAAGGACAGGAAGGTGAAAAGGAGAGCCACCCGGATGCCGATGGGTCAAGATCGATGGAGGAGGTGTTGGGACGCCGAGCAAAGGGACTGGGGCCTAGGCCGCGGGCATGGGAAGTCGGAGTGTAGTCGTCTTCTCCGTCATGGTCCCGCAACCCTGCCCTGCGACCTGTGCCCCTAAAAGGGTATGGTCCAGGAACCGCCAACTACCGACTGGGGCTGATGTTGTTGGGCCACGACGTTGTTTGTTGGCTCTGTGTACTGGTTTCGTACCCCTCCCGAGCAGACGTCGACAAGCCTCATGCGTATAGGAGTGTACCGGGGTAAATGGTACATAGGCAAAAGAGCGAGCGGAACAGGCTGGCTGCTCCACACTGGCTGTCAGGGCCTAGGGCACGCTAGAAGCAGGGTTTTAAGGAAGAACATCAGACCAGGAACCAGACAGGGTGACAGACAAACTACCGGGCTGGGTCAGGAACCCGGCATAGCCGGTGAAGAGTGAAGGATTACTGGCACGGGGCCCCGTATGGTGGAGGCTGCTGGAGGGACCACCACCTGCTTCGCTTCGATTACCCGCCGGCGGGGGACGGGCATGACTTCAGATTGCGTGTCTGAACACCACGTCGATGCATCTCTGGGAGGGTTTACCGTTCCAGTATTCTGCTCGAAAGCTGGTTCAGATGGGGCTGATGGCGGAAGAGGAGCCGCTTGGTCATTTGGATGCAAGGGCGAATTGAGTTGCGTGTCGCGTGTATGTGGTTCCTCTCGAATGCAAGACACGTGCATGATCGACGGGGTCTCGCTATGCACTGCCCAGAAACAAACGACGGCACTTTCGCCGTGGAAAGTTGAGGTGACGGCGGTTATTTTGACGAAGAGTTTGGACGACCCGAGCGGCCTTCACTTGCGAGCCCGGTGAAGCCCGGTCGGGAATTCCCAAGACGACTGACTGGGAGGCAGAAAGCTGCAACAAGCTCTCGTTTCGATGGAGAACGGTACCCCCGGGCGATGCGGATGGAGAGAATTCGGTGCCGGAGACCAGCCCTCCCGGCATTTTCTCTCGCTGGAGAAGCCCCGTTTGGTGATCCCCTCAGGGTTATTCCAGGAAACTAGTGTGCTTTGCAAACTTTTCCCTGGCACCTCCCACTTTTTCTTTTCTTGAGATGGTTGTTTCGATTCGACGGGTATCCCGGGAGAAGATCCATTTAGGCAAGAGAACCAAAAAGGATCTGTCCGTGACGGCGGCGGGCAGTACCAAAGAGAGGTTTCTTGGAGTCTAAGGGGGGGTGCGTGTCCAATTTCCCAAATTCATGCGTCTCGACTGGGAGACCCCGCCATTATGTATCCGAGAGGTCGGCGCACAAGCTCTCTATATTCATCTGGCTGACAGAGAGGTGATAGGCGGAAGATCGTGCTTATTTTTTGCCCTACGGACGTACAGCAAGCAGGGTGACGCAACAACCGGGAACGCCTAAGGTGGTTCCAAGGTCGTGGTATTGCTGTGTGTTCTTTGTTCTCCGTGCTGGCCCCCGGTGATGCCTACTCCACGGAAGTGGTGTACGAGGTCGTATCCGGGCTTTTCGTTGTGCCCAATCGGCCGTGCGGGCAAGGGGGACGGGATATACCAGGAAGAAAAAGGGGCAACGTCAGGTCGGAACGACTGGCGAGGAAGTTGGCGTTGACGCCACACCCCGGTCCCTGAACAGAAACTTAAGGGCTGCCACCTGCCACTTTTGAGGTCTTGGATGATGCTGTAGCGGTCTCGCATCGTACGATGACCGGATGAAGAGGAGGGATTGCACAATGACATGGACTTGTGGTAAGATGGCACTTCCTAGCGCGTCAAAGAGGCTCTCGCCAGATGTTGGTGCTGCTCCTCAGTCTCAAAGCGGTGGCTCCCAATAGCATTCAACTGCAACCACTTAAAACCCCTTGCAGCTGAAGCGACAACGAGCCAATGGAAAGCCGGCGAGAACATGTGCTTACCAAGGCCCCTCCACCACACAGCAGCTGTCATGAAGTGGTGTCAACCAATCGATCAGTTGTTTGCTGTCCTTCATGCCACAAATTCTCCGCTCCCTTTGTTAGATGGATCTTGTTTTCGAGGTAAGCCATTGTCCTCGACTGATTGGACTGGCTCGAATAGCTCCGCATATGTTGGTCCTGTTGGTGTCACCGGCTGGTCAACATCACTTGGTGTACAATGTCGGAGACAAGTGACTGTGTTGAGACTGGCTGTAGTCAAACGTTGATGGAAGCCAGAAAAGCAATGGAGCGCTAATCATAGCAGTGAGTTTTCCGTTGTGTCGAACGAAGACAATCAATTCCAGAATCGCAACCGGTTGCTAATGGTACAGGCATCGTCTGATGGCCTGCTTTGTACATGGCGACGTGTGCACCCTTAAGCTATTTCGTCTGATGCCTTCGTATTGCGCTATGGTTTGAACCCCGAGCAGCAACTTTGTGCTTCAACGACTGGCGGCCACGACTTTATACCTAAGATATTATATGTACATAGGTAAGACGACCGGTATGTATGAAGACCTCAAATACTGTGCCAACATGGGACTTGGATGTGTAAAACTACGCCCTCACCATGGGAGTTCGTCTGATGGAGCTACATGCCAAGCGCTTGGTGAGCATCAACATTGTCTGACAACTAAAACCAACTGCGATTTTTGCGTGTACGGTCTTTGCTAGTCGACCATGTTGGCTTCTGGAGCTGCGCAACTGGTATTCGGGGCAATGGTGGTTGAGTACAGTCCCAGCATACGTGATATCATACCACCAATATCACCTCCCGGTTATCTTGCTAATGAGCTTCATGGAGAGCAACCCAAGCTCAAGCTAACGATTTGCCAACTTTGGAGAGGAAGAGGATAGTGGGCTGAGGATCATACCGGTCTTGGCAATGTCATGAGTTGACGGAGGTGAGACGTTTCGCGGTACCCGGCTGCCGCAGTTCGCACTCTGCATCGTCTCCGAACAAGTGCTTGCCAATCTTGTGCATTCCGTGGTTCGTGCAGGAGAACCCGGCTATAATTGAACTCTTAGCCTACAGGCGACATCCGAAGGTCTTGCGAAACGACCAGGCAGGAAATGTCAGCAATATTGAGCAATGGGATGTATGATGTACGTTGCGCATCGGTGTCCCTAAAGAAGTAGTTAAGGGACAATCGCCCGGCCACTGGGCACCTCAGACATGTTTTCCGACGACTGCGTGGGCCCTTTCCGGACACCGAGCCGGTTGCCGAGAAGGGCTTCGAGTCGGAAATGAAGGACAGACTCCAGCTAGAGGACACATAATGCGCAACTAAGAAGGAGCTCATCTACTACGGGCGCCGATGCTCGAGCGACCGGGATTGTGTCTCACTCTGTCCTTTCGCTTGGCCTATTCGGCAGATGCTCATGTTTCCCTAAGCTTTGAATCTTTTGAACTCTGACTTATGTTATGGGGAATGGGAAGGGGGGGGGGGGGGGGGGGGGGGGGGGGGGAGGTTGAAAAGAGGCTCTTCGTCCCGCTGCAAATACCCTGGCGACTCGTTGATATCGGACGGAAGGTTTCTCGTTACCTGCGTTGTCTCTCCAACCGATCGATCTGAGGTTTGAAGATGCAGAGTTGCTTCCACGAGGTTTCAGTGCACTAGAGAAGCCCCTAGCTGAACATAGCTGGAGCCTGCTGAAGCCGACTCCGAAACAGTGGGACCTCCCGGCCTATATCATCCTGCCTCGTCCATCTCTCTGGGCCAGAGCGAGGATGATAGCGAGTGTTCGTCTTTCGGTGTACAGCAGATGGGTTAGCGCAAGTAGCATCACCACGGGGAGCCCCGTTAAGCAACACGGCGACGTCCAGCGCTCTCAGCTCCTCCTTTTCCTATTCGCTTGGCGCGCTCACAGATGCCTTGCGATCCGGTGATGTGCAGCGTGTCGCGGGAGAGGCACGAACAAGGCTAGTATCGGTAGCGCAGGGCGCCGCGTTGACTCACACATGCCGCATACGTGCCTCCGGAAGTCGTGGTGGCCAGCCCAGCAAGTTTTCAAGGAAGGTTGCCGGGTCGTCTCTCAAGGCTGTGGAATGACACCACGAGTGGTTACGAGGTGTTGTGCCAACTTGTACAAGATGACCATGGAAGAAATGGGGGCAAACTGTCTCACTGGCAGGGCGGGCTGCATGGCCGTCTGGATGCATCGTGTTTCGTCGTCATCATCACATCAAAGTCAGTAGGTTCGACTTGGTACCTAGTTGTGGGCGGGAACGAACGGTCTTTGGCAGCTGCCATCTTATCCTGGTGCAACTGCTACTGACGTTGGTTGCTCCTCGCCCGGCCTATCATCACCTGCCCAGACATTCCTGCCTGCATACGCTTATAGCAGGACTACAGCCGAGTCGAGGATGGCGCTCTGCAAGCCGTTCCTGCCTCCCTGCCTGCGGAGAGTCCTCTCCCTATCTGTCTTCCCCACCCGCCTTGCGGTGCAGTTGCGAAAGATATGATTGCCTTTGCTGAAGTACCTTGCATGACTCTGCAGGCGATCCCTCTTCGCATCACATTCGAACATTTCGCTTGTTCTGTAGCCGAGGCGTTGCAACCAGCAACCGGCTCAGCAACTCAAGTTGACTTAGCAACGAACGTCCTGATAAAGTCCAGACACAGCGCCGGAGCTATTGATCGACTGGCTGCACTTCATAGTCCGCAAAGCCGATGATGGAATGTATGTCACCGAGTCTCGGAATGGTCAAACTGGAGCAGGTCAGAGCAGAAATCAGGTCAGGTCAGGGCAATTCCCATGTGGTTAGACCAATGCTGATTTGCATGTCTTGGCCGCAGGCAACTGCGAGCCGCCCCAAGACAAGTCAATTCCACGCAGGAACATCCTTGGAGCAGCCCCTTCTTCAGCCCCTAGAGTTCATCGCATTTTCCACGTCGCGGTCGCGGTGACAGCCGCAGTGACAGTGAGTACCTACGAGCTAGCCGCCGCCGCTCAGGTCGAGCATCATACCCTTGGCAGGCCTAGGTGTTCATCTCCTACGGACGGCGCTGTCACTTGCCCTTCAGGTGCACTTGTTCGCAGATGCCAGTTTGCCACTCTGCAATGACTGGCCCAGAAGACAACGCCAGCTTCAGCGCCGACTGAAGATTGCTTCCCAGCCCATCATCCGGTTCCTGCGAACCTTGAAACCCCGAGTGCGCGCTGCTATTTCCTTCGGGAGGAACACCTTGACGTGCTGTCGCCGCATCGCAGCGTCATTATCTGCGCAAGAGCCGGCTGTAGTTCTGGCGTCCCTCACACTGTCAGAGTCAGTGCGCTCATGGTGATTCGGCGATCAGAGCTGGGGACTCGGCCAACAAGGCCCCAAGCGTGGCTCAGAACACCCTTCTGTCTCCCTGTCTAGCCACCTTTTGTCCTGGACGGTCAGTTCCCCTCACACTGCATCGGGGTTAGAAGCAGCCAACACCGTTAAGGGGCGTCATGGCGTGTGCTGTCATGTGCTGTCCGGCGATAGGGACCCGACGCAGGTGGCTTCAAACCGAATAAAGAAAGAAACAACGGACGGGCGAACGAACAAAATCAAGAAGCAAACGTCGTTTCGTTTAATTGACTGGACCTTCAGACTAATTAGCAACCGCCGTCCCCCGGGAAGCCCCTAGCAGGGAGACGAGGTGCCTGCAGTCTATCCCAGATGGTAAGCAATCCAGTCACACCAAGTGCGCTGTGCTCCGCTGGACAGTGCTCCTGTCCCGTGGTCTTCCGCCAATAGAATGCACCGGCCCACGAGATACGTACCCTTGATGACCTTAACTCGAGGTACTTTACGTACCTGTGCATATTGAGCATCCCAAAAAATTTACCGAGCATCAACAAGTCTCCAACGAGAGAAAGCCCGTCTCTGCCTAGCTTGCCTCTACGTACCATTGTGCGCCGTCCTGAGGTTACCTGCGCCTCTTCACAGTGCTGCTGCTGCTCGTGCAACTGCTGCGGCTCTCTGCGGCCACTGTTGCTGCCACTTCAACCAGTTGGCTGTCCCTTCCCTCTTTCTTCCTCCCACACGGTCAATCATTGGTCCTTGGACGTTCCTTACCTCTTCTCCCCCCCTCCTCTCGTGCTGCAACCTCCAATCCCGCGTTCTGTGGGAAGCGCTGTGCCTGCCTACTACTACGGACAAGGCTGTTGCTCTGCTGGTCCTACGACTCTGACGACTAGACATTCATCTGCTTCTGTATCCTCTTTTCCGCTGGCACGCTCGCTGTCTCTCCTGACCGCACCTCACGGACCTCCCTGCCCGCAAACTGCAAACCGTCCCTCGACTCCCAGCCTCCCTGCTTCGGATTACTTGGAAACGCTCCTGCTCACACGAACCCTTGGTCCCTCGCTGTAATGCCATTTTAATGAATCTACCGTCCTCGAGCTTCCTGTAATGATCAATGATATACGAACCTGAAGTCGCCCCACACACTTCTACATTCACGAGCCGATCCATCGATATCACGCAGCCCTGCTTCTACTCGCCTCCAACTCGCCGATTGCGACTCTGGGACGTTTTTTGGCCTTGCCCGAAACCCCTCTGCATCCTCAAACCTCGACAATTCCGTTTCGTGACGGTGGTTCATGTCATGTCGAGTTAGGGTTGTGTGAACTACAGTAGAATTGCTATGAGTGGGGATCAGCTGGCGTCCAGGCAAGATTTCAACCAACCCGCCCCGTTCACGTTGGTCTTCTGCCTCCCAACAGGCCGCAAGATCAACAGGCCGTCTCTTCAACAGAACCTCCTTGGCTAACCGTAAAGAGTCTGTAGCTTTGGAAACCCAAACGCTCAACCGCCCACGCCTAAACAGACACCCACTTCCGCCGCTTTCCCGAGTCCCGTCTTCGAAACCCCCAAACAGCGACAAGGTCACTTTGACGACGCTGGCGGTTGGACGCCTTGCTTTGCAGAGGAATACTCCGTCTTCAATACAACCCCCGGCAACCTTCGAGGTTCTCAGGGCCCCTTTCCCGACTTTTCCACTGCAACATACTCCTCGGCCAGTCTGAAGAGGCCCTTGTCCGCCGAGAGTCTTGCTGCACAGATAGCAACCCATGCCAACCACTTCTCGCCCAATCCGAACCTACCCTTGCCGCCAGTTGCTCCCGCTCGACGACTGCCTTCCTCTCCCAAACCCCCGAACGAACAATCCGAGTTTTCTGGTCAGGAGGACGGATCCCCGTGTCTAGAGACCGCATCGCAAGACAGGGTGTCAGAAAAGCCCAAGGGCAGGGAGAGCGCTGCGGACCTGAACGGGCAAACCGCCACTCCTCCTCCGTCTTCCCACAAAGGTGGGCGGAAACTGGTTCCAAAGCTTCAGGCCGACAATATGCAGAATGATCACGGCTACGGCCAGCCAGATTTTTCCGGGACCCCACAACATCCCAATATGGCGGCCGCTTTTGTGAACGGCACCGATATGTTCGGGTTTCCCTTGTCTGCTCCAGCAAACGTTTCTGCGAGCTTCTGGGACCCGAGTGCAGACATGTCAGGAATGGATATCGACTTTTCCTTTGGTCCTAATGTTTTCCAGACCTCGGGCCACCGTCACATGCCTTCATTCGACGCCTCGCAAATGTTTCAGGAGGCGAGTGCTCTGCCATCCTCAAATAGCCAGGAGAGCTCCCAGCCTATCAAGCGAACTCGACCTCTGGCTCCTAAGCCTGCCTTGCATAATGTTCAGTCCACCTCAGCAGATATCTCCATGGCGTCGACCTCGTTCTCGACGTCGGTGGATGACCCCTTTGGCATCGTGAGCCCGGGCGGAGTCGATCCGGGTCTGTTGTTTGGCCGACCGTCATCCTCCCGTATGGACACCAACATCCCCGTAACGCAGGGCTCGGCACAGTTCGCCTTGGCTGTTGCTGCGGAATCCCATTCCAGAGCACCAATGCACAACGACATTCGGCGTTCCCTTAGTACGAAAGAGCTGGGACCCGGTAGAACAGCTGGCAATGCATCTGTGAACTCGCCTGTCAAGGCCCATGGGCGTCCCAGTGGCCTACAGCGGAGCGTCAGTGAGAACCGAGGGCGCCGCGGGTTGGCAAAGGCAGCGTTGCCAAAACTCGCCCCAGCCATACAACCAAGACCGCAGGCCACTAATGGACCAGCAGTTGGCTCGGGCCGGCCACCGAGCCGTCCCTCCGGCAGAATATCGCCTCTAAAACAGCAGAATACTCGCCTTTCTAGCCTAACCTCGATACCTGAGGCTGCCACCTCGCGCACGCGGGCCGCTGTCAAGTTCACCATTGACTCGAAAGGCAGAGCAAGAGCTGAGACCACCATGGTGGTGGACGACCCAACGACCGACAACCCGCAGAGAAGACCGGTAGCCCGGGAAATGCCACGGAGGGAGAAGAGCTGGGAATCGGATGACGACGAATCTTCAACAGACGATGAGCCAATCATCATACCCAGCCGAAACACCTCTTTTGCGCTACCCGATCCTCGAAGACCATCTTCGGCCTCTATCTTTCACTCGTCTAGAAGAAGTGTCAGCGAACACAGTTCGAGCAGTTTTGGAGCGTCAGTCTCGCAGCATGATGCCGAAAGTGAAGCGGAGACCGTCATGAATGAGGCGCCAGGAAAGGGAGGTGACGCAGCAAGCGAGCTGCGGAAGCTGGTCGAGAACCGACAGAAGCGAGGGCTTCAGGTAGCATCCAACCAACGATCACAACGATTTACGTCCGGAAGCTTTCAAGATCATCATGGGTGCCTAATGTCGCCGACCGCATTTACTGAAGTCAGCCTGCCGTCCCCAACAAAGGCGACTTACAACGTTCGATGTGTATGCAGAAACGGCGCGGATAAACAAGGAGAGTATATGGTTCAATGGTAGGCTGCCCAATTCGTTCCAACCAGACGGTCGGTGCTGTAACTTTGATCAAGACTAACAGTCAGCTAGCGAGTCTTGCGAAATGTGGCTTCATGGTTCTTGTATCAACATTTCCAGGCGGACACTTCCGACTGTGTATATCTGTGCTTTCTGTTCGAACACGCCCAACATGCGAGGCGGTCGGCTCCGCGGTAATGGTCCGACGCTGGGGCTGTCAGGGGCAAGTCCCTTGGCCCGCAAATCATTCCGATAATCCGTGACTGTAACAAAGCCGAACGATAATGACCGGGCTCAATAAGTCGATGACGGTACGCATGAAAAAGAAGAGTCTAGAGAACAGGGCAGTTCGCCATCAAATCATCTTGGATGTTGATGAGTACATATGATGCCCGAGTACACACTTGCGGCTTAATGATAAATAACGAATGAGTCGATGCTGAGAATCCCCTCTGGAGCGCTCAGAGTTAAAGTGATGATGCGTAGATCGTGACAGGTGAGCATGACAAGGTGTGATTTCAATGTTCGGGAGCCTTTAGTATCGAGGTTGGGCATCCAGCCGCGGCAACAACATCGGTAGAGCACTTCCTGTCCTCGGTGTGAATCCATCCGACGCGAGGGTCGTCGTTGAATGGGGCGGCCGGAAGAAGACGATTTAGTGGAAACCGGGACGAACCGGCGCCGACAGAAGCCGAACGAAGCTCCAAAGCTTATGGAGCGCCTGAGGCTGCGGGGCGTGGGCTGAGCTCACAGCTCCCTGCACCTCCGACTTCGGAAGGCGGGGTTGAGACCGTGCCTGCACTTTTCAAATCTTGTGCGGGATGCGGGGCAACAGCTCATCTGTTTACCGGTACTAGGCATTCGCTGACTACACTTTCTCTCCTCTTCCAACTTATTTCTCCAATTGCACAGATACCCCTTTTGCTTTGACGCTTCCTACGAACCCTCAATCTTTCTCAAATCACATTCAAACATGGCTACTCACAACATTGTGGTGTTTGCTGGCGACCATTGTGGTCCTGAGGTAAGCTCGATTGCCGGAAAGGAGCTTTGCTCGGCAGATGTGAGTTGGGAGATGAGGGGGAACAAAGCTAACCAAACCTTGTTCTAGGTCGTTGCTGAGGCTGTCAAGGTATGCCTATGGATCCAATTGCCAGCGAAAAGGCATGCATCAAGAGACTGATCAATCCGTGTCTTTTGTAGGTGCTCAAGACAATTGAGACCAACAGCCCCTCGGCCGGCAAGTTCAACTTGCAGGAGCACCTCCTCGGCGGTGTAAGTCTCAATCAACCCAACTGGATTAAGCCCAACGGAAGACCAATTGAGAGGCGCACGCTGACGAAAACACACACAACCAGGCCTCAATCGACGCCACCGGCTCTCCTCTCACCGACGAGGCCCTCGCCGCCGCTAACGGAGCCGATGCCGTTCTCCTTGGCGCGATCGGCGGCCCGAAATGGGGCACCGGCGCCGTCCGCCCGGAGCAGGGTCTCCTCAAGCTCCGCAAGGAGATGGGTACCTACGGTAACCTTCGTCCCTGTAGCTTCGCCTCTGAGGCTCTTGTCGACTTTTCTCCCCTGAAGGCCGAGGTCTGCCGTGGTACCGACATGGTCATCGTTCGCGAGCTGACCGGCGGCATCTACTTTGGCGAGCGCAAGGAGGACACAGGTGACGGCAAGGCATGGGACAGCGAGCCGTACTCGCGCGAGGAGGTCGAGCGTATCGGCCGCCTGGCGGGTTTCCTCGCTATTGCCCGCGGCGAGAAGACGGTGTGGAGCTTGGACAAGGCCAACGTGCTGGCAACCAGCCGACTGTGGCGCAAGGTCATTACGGAGCTGTTCGAGCGGGAGTTCCCCCAGCTCAAGATCGAGCACCAGCTTATTGACTCTGCTGCCATGCTGCTCGTCAAGAGCCCCCGCGCGCTGAATGGTGTTGTTGTTACAAGCAACTTGTTTGGTGACATCATCTCCGACGAGGCGAGTGTTATCCCTGGTAGCATCGGTCTGCTGCCCAGTGCCAGCTTGAGCGGTATCCCCGACGGCAAGGGCAAGTGCAATGGTATCTATGAGCCCATCCACGGTATGTTGGAACCCAAATGCACTCCTATAGGTTCGTTTCAGGTATGCTAACGACATACAGGCTCTGCCCCCGACATCTCCGGTAAGGGCATCGTTAACCCCATCGGCACTATCCTTTCTGTGGCTATGATGCTGCGCTACTCTCTTAACCTGCCCAAGGAGGCCCAGGCGGTCGAGGATGCGGTCAAGGCCGTCATTGATAACGGTGTAAGGACGAAGGACCTCGGTGGTAACGCGGGCACCAAGGAGGTCGGTGATGCTATCGTTGCGGAGTTGGCTAAGGCCCTGAAGGCATGAGTGATGCGGCCAATATGATGCCATCTTAATGAGTTGGGTTCGCAAAGGCGGACCCGATGCTAAATTGTAAAACGTGTTTCAAAAAAAACAAATCAAGAAGACAGGCGGGATTGGGCGTGGAGGCTTTATATAGCTCGCTAATTATGATGCGAGTTGACTAAGGTAGAGAGAAGGCTTAGTTGAATTTTCGGTATGAGAACCTTTCCATGTGTTCTCAGTTGTTGTAGCTTTTGCCTCCTGTAGGCTTTAAGTCGCGTCCCTCTGCGCAGTACGTCGTCGTTGTCGTCGTTGCTTTCTTACTTCTGCTTATCCTCTCTGGATGTGTCATAGAAGAGGATAGACGCCGGAGGCAAGAGCCGGTAGGTTGGGAAGGTCGGCCGGTAACCCTACCAAGTAGGCAGCAAGGTAACGCTTTTAGTCTTTCTGGCAGTTGGTCGAGCCAGGTCTTCGCGGCCAAATTAAGCCGCTCGGACTAACTCACCAACACATCTCGGCAGTGATTATCTGCGACAGCCCATACTTTATCCAGTTCCTTCGGAAGTAGGAGGCTCAACACTGCATCACACCAAGCGCGGCCCCTTTTTCCTAGGGTGCCCAAGGCTTGGTCCCTTTGCCTGTTGTTTATCTGATTTGACTACAACTATCCAAAGAAATGGGAGGTCAAGGCTTTGCATTGTCAAGCCATGCATAACTCGAGTGAGACGGCCATTCATCACATATCATCTGCATATGAGGTAGCTTGTTGCTCCCACACATGTGTAATCACAGACTTGAGGCATTCCATTGGCGTCAAGACATTAACATTGGAGGCCTGCCATCTCAGCCCCGTCGGTCGGTCCAATTCGAGTTCAGTAGAGACTTGGAGGCGTTCGTTCTCACCGTCGAAAATCAAAACGTTCTTTTCGCCTCTCAGTCACAGAGTTTTCCTACGACGTTGATCATTTCCTTTCATGTTCCTGGCCGTCAGAATTATTCTTAACTTCTCCACTCGTTTCTCGACTCCTCGAGGTTTATACAGTACCTCCCCCTCTGCCCGAAAATCCACTGTTTTGCCGAAACTTCCATTCAGTGAGATCCCGCAGACAAACCCTTCGCTACTTTACAAGTCCCAACGTCAAAGTTTCATGATTCAAAGGAGAATGACGCCTAACCAGACCCTATCTTCGTTTCCATGGAGAAATTTTGCGCGGGTCGTCTGGGCCCTGTTTCTTTTCGCCCAAGATGTCTTGACCGAATGGGTCGTCTACGTCTTGGTTTTCCAATCGATGACGGCTGTTGCCGCCCTATATCTCTTCCCCCCTCTCGATTTCGTCCTCGGTCGCGGCTTCGGGTGCTATATCGATCTCTCTCTTCACTGGTTCTTCGTGCCGATTCGAATCGAGCTCAGCACCTTTGACCATCCCACGAAACTCTTTGTCTTGGCACTTTGGTCTCTTGCGGCTCGCCCTTCGCTCATTGTCGCCGGATGGATCGTTCGCAGGCGCATGATGTCTGGAGAGGACGAACCGCAAGCACGATGGATATTCGAGTTCTTCTGCTCGTTCGCCAACAGGCATCATTGCTTCGTCCCGGATCCCGAATTCTATTTTCGGCAGGGCCTGTGTCTTCTAGGCCGGGGCAACGGCAACGGGGCAGTGTCGCTCCATTTAGGAACCCTCTCTCACGAGGAACAGACGGAACTCATACTGATTGCGGTCAAAGTTATGACGCTCTGGGACAAGGTCGTTAGGCCAGAGTATGCCATTCGAAAACGGCAGACAAGTTTGTGCCCCGAAATACCTACACCGACTTCTAAAGACAAAGGGCTTATCAGTAGTATCTTTCCAGAAGGGTCTTCAGCCCAAACTTCTTTCCAATACTGTACGAGACGGGGAGTCCAATTCTTTGGCTCCCGAGGCCGCTACCCCCACCGATCTGGAGCTCAAGACGAAACAACGTATGAAAGACATTGCACGGCGCCTTCGGCGGTACAGGGACTGGTTATTCTTTACATTGATGTACTATTTTGCGATGACCTACTGGATATCGCGAATCTTGGGGGAGTTAGTGTCTGATCGTGCAAGGCGGTCTGCCGAAAGAGTCACCTCTAAGTCGGAGAAAAAGCCTGGCGTCGACATTAGTCTGGAATCGAATCGAGGCCCAAAGAACTAGTGTATTCAAACGGGCTGTCAAACCTAGACTTGTTTGTAAGGCTCTAAAGCTATCGATCCCTGTGGTAATGCGTTTCATAATGAGACGACACGCACATCCAACGTAGCCTTTCCGTTTGTCTATGAAACTGGGAACCTTTGAGGGGAAGACAGGCTCAAGCAGTCGGGAAAGAACCAGACTAATTGAGCAAGCAAGTCAGTGCGGAACAAGGGCGAACCTCTGAATAGGATGGCAATTACAGGATACAAGATGACAGGAAGGTCTGGAGTTGCGCCAGTTTCTTCTCCCTCCTCGAATTTTTTTGCCTAGGATCTTCTGTTCTCATTGTTCTTGGAAACTTACATCCGGCCGGCACGGGGGCCAGACGACGTCTCACAACGGGTTCCACATTCCCGGACTTCGGCGGTAGAAACGTTGGTAGGTCCACTTTTTGGCGGTGTTCCGCTCGGTCATCAACGGAGCACCCCGCTTGACTCCTGCTTTTTAGAGAGGTACCTCATGAGTGTATACCGAGTAGCTTGATGTTTTTTTACAATGGGGAATCCCATAGCGGACGACTGAGGACCGAATGCTACGCTGCACCCGCCAAGCTCATGTTCAGCCACCCAATTACGCATCAGCCTACTTACACAATAGACGTCCCGCCACTGAACCATCATGCTCGGCAGCTGTCGTAAAACTGCACCCAATCAAGTAAACAAGGGTTCCAAGGCCTTCAGGTAATGGGTACTCCTACTTCACGCCGTGACGCCTTCGTCAGCCCAATCCCTCACCAAGCAGGGGAAGGAACTGTTAGCGAGCCTCTCCCAACCAGACATGACGTCCAACACTATCACATCCCGTACCCCTCAACCATTCAAAACCCGAGCTCTCTAGCGCCTTCGTTCCCCCGCCCTCCGCCCGGGAATCCATGACAGCCCAGCCGCAAAGCGACCCCGTTGGCGCCGGCCAAGAGCCAACGTCACATCGGCATCCCGACACGAGGTTGCATCGATCTGATCGCTGGCCACCACACACACAGTGCACAGAAGTATGTGGAGCAGTTGCAGCCAGTCGATTTCGGGGCGAGTGAAAAGAGAGCGTTGTCACGATTTTTTTCCTTACGAGAATGCAATATGCTATTATTTTCCTCCTCCCACATGACCTCCCATAGCGAGCGCCCCTCGCAAATCTTCTATGTACACGAAAAGAATTAGGGTCTACTACTAGTTTGCGATCTTGTTCCCTTTTGCGAGAATCGCCGGACCTCCGTTAGAAAAGAGTGAGCCATCCCGATTCGCCTGGGATACCATGATCCAAAAGCTGCACCGCCTTGTGTGCTTTCCACGTGTCCCATATTTTTCCGCTTTCCAGCCGTCGTCAGAGAGTGTAATTGGGTATATTGGTATATCCGTGCCGTCGTAGCCTTGAGCTTGTCGTGAAAATCATGTGGACAGAGTCCATTGATTAAAAACCCGGCGCTTTCGCTACCGGCCAAGAGGGTAGAAGTATAGTTGGAGGCGTGTGAAAGACCAAAAAAAACATTGAGATAAAGAAGGGAAACAAACGTCCATTGTTTCAAATCCGAGTTTTTAGAGGAGCGCAACAGCACCAAAGATGCCGGCCAAGACGACAGCGGCCGGCGCCTTGCGGGCGTCCGCAGCACCGGTCGGAACAACCACGGGAGCGCTGCTTGCGACCAAGGTTTCCGACACGGTAGTCGCAGGAATCGTGACTGCGCTGGTCGTGGGTACAACGATGGTGCTGGGCGCTCTAGTCAGCGTGGCGTAGGCTGTGCCCGAAACGGTGACATAGACCCAGGACTTCTGGGTCACGACGTCCTCGCCGCCAATGGTGACAGCGTGGGTGACCTCGACGTGCTTCGTCTTGGTCTCGACCAAGACCTCGGTAATAGTGTGGACCTTCTCAACGGTAATGGTCTTGGTGCCGGTTGCTGTAACCCATTGGGTCTCGCCGTGCTCGATCGTCTGGTACGTGGTGACGGGCTTCGTGATGGTTTCATACACTTCTGTCGAGAGGTGCTGGGTGGTCTTGACGGTCGTGTACACGTCGACCTTTGTGGGGACCTGAGTGACAATGGTTGAGGTCGAGGTCCACGTGACGACCACGGTCTCTCCGCCGACCGTCTTCGTCTCGGTGATGGGGCAGAGGCTGGTCAGGGTCGTGTACTCGACGTCCTTCTCAGTTTGGGTGACGTCGGGAAGCTTCACAGTTTCCCAGACTTTGGTCGGCACCTCTGTGACAATTGTCTCGGTCTCGGTGTACGTCTGGGTGATAGTATGGCCGTCCTGAGTCAAGGTCTTGGTCTATCAAGAGTTTTAGAGAACTGCAGAAGAAGTTCAGAGTGTACCCAGACTTACGTGAGGGATGAGCTTGGTGATGGTCGTGTAGTCGACCTCTTTGGTCTTCTCAGTCACCGTGGGGCCCGGGACGGTTTCCCAGACCTTGGTAGGGACCTTCTCGACGATCGTGCTGATCGTCGTGTACGTCTTGGTGTAGGTGTGGCCATCGCCGGTAACGGTCTCGGTCTGAAAGGTTGTCAGTTTTGACAGCTCATCTTGAACTTTTGGCCAATGCTTACCACAGGGCACAGGCTCGTGTACGTGGTGTAGTCAACATCGGTCTTGGTGACGTAATCAGTGTGTCCTGGGAGAGTTTCGTAGACTGTTGTGGGAATCTTCTCGACTACGGTCGAGGTGGTGGTGACGACCTCGTAGTGGGTGGTGCCGTGGCCGGGCTTGGTGATGGTGACCGGGCAAACGGTGGTGTAGGTGGTCGTGATTTCAGTCGTGATGGTCTTGGTCTTGTCCTTGCCCTTGTCGTGGTCATGTTCCTCGGTAGCGAGGACAGTGGCAGCGAGAGCCAGCAGAGCAGTGGTGAACTTCATGGCTGCGGACGGAGGGGTCAGAGCAATCAACGAGAGATACTCTTGGAAACGATGGTTGGAGAAAACGAGGGCTTCGACGTGAGCGAGAGTCTCTTAAGTAACCTTAACGAACGAGTTACTTGATAGCACAAGGCCACGAAGTGGTGGTTGGCTGGGTGATGGGGAGAGGTTGGTAGAAGCTGCAAGAGAATGGGTAACAAAGGGAGAAGGCTCGGAGAACACGGGATGGCTGGTGAGCTTATATCTTGAGTTTCTGAGCATGCGGCCGGCCTGCCCGGTCTGCCTGCACCTGGGCAAACGGGGCGTCGAGAACGCAAAGTGCGGAGGTTGCGATGACATCTTGCTGGTCAGCTAACAGAGCTCGACGATCTCCACAGCAGGCTTGCCCTAGTTTCTGGCCATGTGGACGGCAGACAGGCCACGGCCTGGCCCATGGAAGACAGTATGGGAGAGTGGAGAGGCCAAGAAGAGAATGCCAAGCTGTGATACGAGAAGAGAGGATCTTGGGGATGCATAACAGCAGATGGGAGAACCAGAAGCTTCATGGGTGGCTGGAGAATAAACCCGATGGGGTAGTTAAGGTTGCTAGTGTTGAACAAGCTCGTGGTGTGTGTCGATGAAGACCAGTCTCGACCGGATGGCGACACCGCAGCACAGAGCGTGATTCGATTCGAGCCAGAGGGTGAAGCATACGCCATCCGGTGTGCGTAGTGCGACTGCGGCCAAGAGACGAGGTTGGACGACGACATCAACAAATAAGAAAGGGCGGGCAAGCTTACTAGGACTCAATGGCATTCAAGTTTGCAGAAGGACCTGGCAGACCGCCCTACCCTGGTCAACGATGTCGCGAAGGTAGACCTGGAGGTCAGCGCGATGGTTGTCAGCGTAGGCTTTGATGGTTGGGCGGACTATTGTCGGGCACGGCCGAGTCTGACAATGACGCTACATAACGGCATGGTCAATATAATCCGGGTCTCTTATGCGGTGAGTCCCAGGAATCCCTCGGTTCAATGGCAACCAAGACGAAAGAACGCAGAAGCGAAGCCAGGACTTTTGTCACTTCCGTCTGACTAGGTGAGTGAGAAGTGGACAAGGCAGCACTGCAGCTCGCAGGGTGATGACAATGTTCGCTGGCGATCAAGAGTCCCCTCATTTTGGTTTCCCGTGCCACGGTCGTGGCCGTCGAGCATGCCTTGTCTTCATCGTAATGGAATCGCTCGAACTGAAACTGAGTCAAAAACTAACAAGACGCGGCGGCTTCGTGTTGATGGTAGTGGGAGGGCTTAAGCTATCAGTTGGTTTCTGACCGCATCTCCGTGGATTGAGTTTCCCTGGCGTGCTTTGGAACTAGGCGGACTGAGCCGAAGCACACATATTTTGTTGTTGCATTGTCGTACAAAGGTTGTGTGCTCGTTGTGCATCTAGGAGCGCTCGTGTCCAGGTCGTGGCACGAGGCCGGAAACCTGTAGCTCGCGGGAAAGGTCCAATCAACCTATGCACCCGGATTGTGGCCTAAGTCCTTGGTGCACAGGAACGCATCCAACCAGGCCCAAAAGCCAGCCCCAAGCGAGGCACAAAACTTGTTTTGGCGTGGTTGCCAAGTCTAACGGAGACGCGACTGTGGTAACCAAGCCGGCGCGGGCAAACCCAAGAAAATAAGCGTTGGAAAACCCAGCCCTTGGAGAAGTGCCTCATACATCTAACAGGCGTGCGAAATAAGTTCGCACGGCTAGTCAGGTTGTTTTCGAAAGCCATCCAGAAGGGTTCAGCCGGTTCTAATGGCTTAGCCTGTGCCCGAACTGCCCGTATCATGGCCAAGAACCGAGCCGCGTGTTGTCCGTGGATCTGACATGTTCGTCGGTGAACAACAAACGCTCGGCAAAGTTAACAAATGCCGCTTTTGCCCGAGCCCATCCGGCAACCGTCAATGTGGTCCAGTGTTTCCCGCGGAGCACCCCTGACTTGCCGAGCTAATGATCACAGCTGCCCCGGACTGATGTGATGATTACGAATAGGAATAACAACACTTGCCGACAGCACCAGGAGAAAGTCCCGGGAGGGGCAAGGAAACTCGTTGCACCAAGGCGCTGGCGACTCGGAAGTGAGCAGATGTGGCCTGGTAAACAGAGTACGCACCATGCTGCTTCGGGAGGGTTCGTCTTGCGTCGGTGGAGGTGACTAACAAGTGACGGCTCTCCGGACTGAACATCAGAAATCGAGGCTATGACAAACAGATCAGACGGTGCATACGGCAAAGCATCCAAGGCCCTTGTAGATGGTGTGAAAACAAGCCACGTTGCGGTGGCACCATACGAGCCGGGGAGAAGCTGACAGCCAGGGAGAGAAAGGTGGCTGCTCAATGTCGTCGCATAGTCCCCATACTCTTTGAGGCAATGGGTGAGACTGCCCGAGTACTGCTGCGTCGAGCCGCTGTGCCCAGCCGGCCGACCGCGCCATCGATGTACCCTGCCCTCCAGTATTTACTCTCACAACAGCGTCGAGTATTTGTCCCGAATGCGTTAGCAACGGTCCTCATAGTCGGATGGAACTTGGGATCGAGGATGCTGAGGCTAGGTGCGTCATTCCCCTTACACAGTGATCGCTTGGTCAAAGACTGCTGTGCCACGCTGACAGCCCAATGCCACGGGTACACATCCCATCTCATGGCCAAAGTTTCCGGGCGAAGGACTTCCTGGCTAGCAGAGCGGCACAGGCTTCAATGATTGCCCCGCGATGGTCTTCGGACAGGGCCGACATGACTGACGGCCCCTCGGGAGCGGCCATTACGCCCAGAAGAAAAAACAGACATAGAACCAGGCACTAGCTGCAAGACGCATACAGAGGACCACGGCGGGAAAGGGGACAGGGGTTAAAGACGAGAGGGAAGTGGGTTGTGGCGCTCAAGTCCGACGCACGTCGAGGTGGGTTGGCGGGAGGGATGTGGGGAGGAGGATGGGTAATATTGGAGCCAAGGAGGGGACGAACAGATGAGAAGTGACAAAACAACCTTCGAGGCGCGAGAGCAACTCGAGCGAGAAGACCAAGACGGACGATTTTTCATCGAACAGGTTTAACAAAAGAATGCCTGCGAAAGAGAAGAGGAGGAAGGGACGAGGAGAGAGGTTGGGCTGAGCTGGTGGTTGCCCACTCAACTGTGCATACACTTGCATTCGAGGCTGCAACCACCAACTACCATCCGCTTCCCACAACATCACCGGGCGTTTCCAGCCCCCAACCCACACAACGACTGTAGAGCGAGGGAGGCGGGGTTCTTGGTTACCACACGTTGCAAGCAACGAGTTGTCTGGACCGGGAGCAGCTTTATGCAGCCGCATGCAAGTTGACTTGACCTTATGTAGGCTCCCAGCCATACACATTGCATATAATGCATGCTCAAATTGCTTATACGAGGTTCGAGCGCGAGAACACACACACAATGAGTTGGATGGCGATGGATTTGCGGGGGATTTGCACAGCATAGGGCAGTGTGGTGGGACGAGATGATCCCAAGGTTGTTGGTGGTGGTGTACCGTGCCATCTCATCACCCCTCCCAGCACATTACCCCAGGCACCGGCCGCCCTAACCTCGGATGCGGATGCCTTTAGCGTCTCCCAAGAGAAATTTTATGCTTAGGTTCCCCGCTGCCCGCACCTCGATTGCTTCACCAGCCCCACGTCCGTTGTTTCTCATCGTCGATTCCTCCGTCGTTTCTCAAACTCCATCATACCGGTGACATCTGCCATGCGCGAGCCACATCTCGTGTTGTGGTAGCGTGTGGGGCCGCCTCCGCCCGTGCACCGGCGCACCTACCTTACCTTACCTTATTTCCTATCCGTGCGCGAGTACGTACCTTGCCTCGCTTCCGTTCCTGGACCCAACTTCATCTGTCCTTCTTTTGCTTTCTTCCGGGGCTTCCTACCTAATGGTATGCAATCTGCGTCTAGCGTTCAACAGGTACCGTATCCTACGAAGAGTCCTTCGCCCTATTGTTGAACGTAGACGTCCTCCCGATGATGTCAGACTTTCAAGAAGAGGGAGTGAGAGTACCACCGAAGCCTTGAACGAGAGGCCTTGGGCGGATCTGCATCTCTGTTACCAAACCGGGACATCTTGGAGCGTTGCCTGGTAGGCTGCCAGTTGTGCCTTGGCGGAAACGAAGGGCGAAATTCGGTCTGGTGACTAGAACGTGTTTCCAAAGTCGAAATGCGGGTAGATGCGCAGCTTTCCACTATGTTTCTCTTCTGTACGTACAATGTGACCAAGGGCACCTGGTAAGAGTACCAAGCCGAGTAACCTGTCATCCCTGCCTTTGGCTGTTGAAGTACCGGTGAGAAACGCTCGACGGATTCAATGCAGGCCGTGACTAGCAATACTGGACTCTTGGAAGGTAAGAAGTAACACGCTACGGCCTCTGTTGTGTTGAAGTTCACTACTGTAGATTCTGATTTATGTTTAACAATGTTTCTTCCATCCTCTATAGCAGACTTGGATTCCAAGGAAACGGCTTACCAGAATAACAAGCAGTCTCTGATTCACATACCGGACACATGGATTCAAGTGCGTTAACGATCGGCGACTCTCAACTATATTCATGTCCTGCTTGCCTAATCATACTACCATGGCAACTGCTCAACGCCGCAACTGTAGATGTAATAACTCAGGAATCATCAACGAGAATAGGCTGCAATGACCCCTGTTCTTGCTAGATTTCAGAACAAAGCAATAGACACAGCCAGGGAAGAGACAACGAAACTCCACACCGGGCTCATTGTGCTTCCAGCACTCCCCACCAAATCCCTATCCTCCACTGCGTACTTGACACTCTGCGTCTCAGAGCTAGGCGCAGATGCATTCGGTGGGTGAAGCTTGCCCGCAAAGTAGAAGGCTTTGCCCGAGGAGAGCTTGCCGGTCCCCGACAACAACGCCTCTCGGACCGAAGCCGGATCCCACTCGTACTGCCCGCCGTTTGCCACGGTGATATTCTCCTCAAGTCCGTATCCGAAGGTGCTGCCAGCCCGTTCGCCGTGCCACCAGAGGTCGAGTTCCGTCCAGCTGGCTTCGGCTCCGGCTGCTTCGTGTTTCCATGAAATAGTGATGGGCGCCGAGAGATTGAGTTTCACGCCGGCATGGGGGCCTGTGAACTGCAAGCCATAGACGGCGGAAGCCAGGAGCGGAAGCAACGTAATGGCGTTTGTTGCCATCATGTCGGTGGTGGTGTTGAAGTTTGGGACTGATTTCGACCGCGCGCTTCTGAACAGGGTTCATAATCCCCTCGTAAATGGGAGAGTCAGAGGAACCATGGTCTAAGTTTCCTCCTCGTGCACCATGCCGTTTAAGTACACCGCGCCAAGGTCTGGGCCTTGATTGTCGACCCAGCTGTTGGACGAGTGTCGAATGCAGTGAGACTAAGCCTCACCGCAGGACACTAGCCGTGCCTAAGTGGATTGACTCCCCAGCACTGGCTCACGAGATGCTTTGAGCTTGGCATTCCCTATGTAAGTCTCAGGAATCTCCTATTATTGTTGACGTTGTGAGACTGGGTTCTCTCGACAGCCGCTCGTGCGTTTTGACATGCCTATCGGACAGCTTCGGTCCGCCGCATAAAACACATATCTTGCAGACGTTTTCGACGGGTCGCTGTACCTTGTTCCAAAGGGCAGACAAATACCCTGCTTCGGGTTAAGTTGAACCGTTCCTTCATTATTTCGTCCTGTAGTATTACTTTCTGAAGCTTTCCGTAACGGAAGTGCGTCGACAGATGCGACCGGCGTTCTCAAATTGCAGGCTGTAAGAAGATTGACTTATTCCTGTTACGCCGCTGTCGTCTCCGCTTCTCCTGCGTTCGGAGCCCTTGAATCCCAGCCAGATGAACGAGCCGTATCTTAGCTGAAGCCTCACTACCTCAGGTAGTCCACACAACCAACAGATGCAGAGTATGGAACAGCCGGGCTACGGCTTCAACTCACAGGAGCAGCTCAGTCGACAAATTTGATGCGATTTGTATTCAGAGGCTCCATTAGTTTTCAAGCGATTCAAAAGGTATTCACTCCCAGCAGGGCCGAGTCGTGACGCTGCTACCACTGCGTTGGGCCTCCAACCCCGACTCTTACTCCAAGTGTACTCTCTAGGTCTATTCATATCAAACACCTGAACAATCACAAGCATCCCATCCCGCTTCAAAAGGCCTTGAAACATCTTCTCACCAGCCGCCAAACCTTGCTCAACCACCTCCGCCTGCGCCCCTGAACCTCCCTCTCCTCCTCCTTGCTGCCCGCGAGTCCGAGCCCCCCGTCTCCAAACAACCAGACCCTCAACCTCTGCAAGTCCCACCAGTCCCTCTCGTCGACGACCCTCCCCAGCGCGCCGTCGTCAAACGCGATGCCCCTCCACAGCAGCACCCCGAGAACCTGCGCCAGCCTCGCCCGACGTATGACGTCGTCGTCGCCCACGACCCGGCCGACCTCGTCCCAGAAGAGGTTCCGGAGGGCGTTCGCCTCGGGGTAGTATTCGAATCTGGTCGCGGCCGGCCCGCCGCTGGCGCTGGTGGCGTTGCTGCCCCCCGACTTGGGACCATCGTCTTCGACGGGCACGTCTTCCCCCAAGACCTCCTCGAGGCCGTACATGCCCACCCCGAACGGCAGCCACTCCGCTTCAGCCCAGTCAATCAACCCGACCAACCCGCCGGCCCTCTCCCTCATCTCCCTCTGCCTCCTCCCGTTCCACCCTCTCGCCCCGTCGTCGACGTCCTCGCAGGGTGGGTGGACCAAGATGTTATCCGGCACCAGGTCCCCGTGCGTGACAACCCACGGCAGCAGCCCCTCGACCTCCTCCAACTCCTCCATCGCCCCCCTCGCAACCCCGCGAAGATCCTTCGGGAGGCCCTTCGCCAGAACCTCCACCCTCCACCTCAGACTCCCGCCGACCTTGCCCTTGGCGACGTCCCGCCGCTCCCGCCGGCCCCGCCACGAGTCGGCAAACACAATGGCCAGATCCGCCACGACCCGCCTCCTGCACGCCCGCGGATCCATCCCCAGCGCCGCAGACAGCCCCCGGAATTCCGTCAGCGAGACGCCGCCAACTCTCTCCAACGCATATGCGCGCAGCTCCCCGTCGTCCCCGCGCCCCGCGCCCACCGTCTCCAGCCCCGTCAGCGCGCCCAAATCTTCGACGCCAGGCACGATCCCGCTACCAAACACGCCCCTCGCCTCCGCACAGACCCCGACGTCGATGCCGTGCCTCCCCGGCCGGAACTGCACCAGCAGGTTGCTCCCCTTCTCGACGCCAGCGGGGAAGCCCTTCCCGCTGCCGCCGCCGCCGCCGCCGTTGCTGCTCCCATCGCCGGCCTCGACCCCGCTGTCCCGTCGTCTTCCGCCGGGCGTCGGCGGCAGGAGGAGCAGCGTGTACGAGCAGTACCCTTGGAACGGCGCCGGCGCGACCTCGCACCCGGGGAACTTTGTCCCGGCAAAATCGTGCGCCGCGGCGACAGTAGAGGGCTTCAATCCGCACCGCGCCAGGAACGCCGCGACTTTCTCGTCTTCTCCGCCGCCGCCGCCGCCGGTGGTCGTGCACGTCGCGGCGTCGACGCCCGCGTCCGGGCCTCCCGTTTCTCCGTCGAGATTGTTCGTGTCAACAGGCATCGCTTAGTTCAGGGCGGGTTCCAACGTGCCATGATGGGCATCAGGTCGACTCTCGCCCCCGGGACGCGGGCGATGGGAGAGAGGGGTTAAAGTTATCGGCCCTCCTTGAGCCGCAGCCCGCGTGAAGATAGCGGGCGGGCCCCGTTTAGGTTCACATGACAGCGCCGTCAGCAGGCCTGCATCGGGTCGGTCAGCAGCGTGCCTTCTGCAGCAGATGGTGTTGGGGGGAAACTAGATGAGGGGAAATAACCGTTCTACCCCGACCGACTACACACCACCACGGGATGCGCCCGCGTGGGGTGCTGTCTTGCAGGTGACTAGTCATCTTATGTCGCCCAGTCGGGTTGGTGATGGCGGTGATAGCCATGTCGAGCGCTAGAAGCGGCTGCGAGGGCTAACGCAAGAATGCCACATCAATGGCAAACCGGCAAAATGCGAGGGAAAAGGAGCGCGGGCTGATTTTGAATGGTAAAATATATTATTATCCTCGTCTCGAAATTTAGAGGTGAGAATATGTTTCTAGAAGACATATGAAGCTTTCCCAGCCCGTCGATAAGAGAAAAGAAAAAAACCTTCCAGTGTTTATGCTTCCGGTGTTTATGCCTGTTTCCATTACTCCATGCAAAGGGTATAAAATATGCGCGACCCTTTGGTAGCGCATGTATGCTTGTTTGCTTTGTGAACCTCCCCCATCTTACACGCGGCGCCGTCTTCGCCCGATGAGGGGCGGCACGGCAACCGGCGGCGTCGTCACAGGAGTGGTGAACGGCCTGGCTCGGCTTCCGCCGTTTGTGGGGTGCCTGTCCAATTGCCAGATGCCACGGCCGCTGGTCTTTGACTTTACGGCTGATAGTCTTCCGCGTTTCTGTCAATGATTCAACCAGACGCCCCGTGCCCACCACCCACCGCCCTCCAACCGGCTGACTCGGTTCTGCCTGCGTCCGATTCTATGCTTTTCGGCCGTTGCTGATATTCGTTACACGCGCAGAGATGCGCAACTCGCCAGTCGATGTGAGCCCTTTATTTGCGGGATCTGCGATCGAGCTCAACCTTGCTGTACCAAGCAGCACCAATCATGGTGAGAATCATGCCGGAGCCGTTGAACAGGTGGACCTCGACGCCGAAGGCAAGGATTCCGAGTCCAACAGTGAGGCACTGCTTCAGGTTGCCGCAGATGCTCATGGTAAGAGCACCGGCGACCTTGTTGGTCTGGAAAGAGGCAACATTGAGGGCGAAAGCGAGGATACCGTTGCCGAGGAGGGCGATGACGGTGGCAAGGCTGATGTTGCCCTCGGCACGCATGGTGTTGAGGTTTCCGAGCTCGCCGGCGGCGATGGCGCAGGCCATGGACTGCATGGCCGCAAAGGGCGACATGCGCAGCAGGACCTCCATGGCAGGGAGAGCAAGGGGACCGGTCATGATGCGGTTCGTAGCGACCGTCTGTTGATGTGTTTGTCAGCGTCTGCAAAGAGCATGGGCAAAGGTGCTGAAATTGGGATGAAGGTTTGCTGGTCGAGTTTCAGAGGGCGGAGGGGGATGGCACCATTGGATCATCAGGGCCACTTTCCGCACTCGAACAAGCATGCATTTCGGATGATAGACGGGAGACGGGCAGATGCATAAATCACGTACCTTGACTGCAGCAAGCACCACACCTGCAAAGGTGAGCAGGAAGCCAAGGTCGGTGAAGGTGTACTCGCCAATCGTGGTCAGGGCGGCACCGATCATGATGGGCACGAGCGTCAAATATGTCATGTTCTCATAAGTGCGGCCGAAGACGACACGGTAGATGAGAACAGTGAACACAGGTACCGTCGTTCGCAGGACCTGGTAGAATGGCACAGAGACCATGGCACTGTATGGTGTTAGCATCGTGTTCATCACTTAGATTGAGTCCCGCTCCCATCCAGAGAGGGGGGGGCCATGGGCGGGAATCCGCTACGGCCGCGGCGCAGGATATTCCCAAAATCGGAAGGGGCTTGGCTGCTTACAGTGACAGGTTAGAGACGGCAATGTTGGTGGTGAAGAGCAGACTGAAGGCGAGGAGGATGAGGTTTTCACGGCGTCCCAAGTGGGACATGGTGAAGTAGCCGCATTGGAGCAGCATGTAGCAGCCCAAACTCGCACAGGTTGCGTGTAGGGAAGTGAGAAGCCACGGGAAGGGGAACTTGGGTCGATGTTAGCGAATGTTCTTTGAATGACGCATCTGCCCAGTCCGCCGTCAGGGCGCCGACAATTGTGCCGAGACTTGGGAATGACAGGTTGGAGAGCAGGCAGGGCAAGTAACGTACAGCTCCGAGGATCAGCTTGTTGTAGAGGGTCAAAACCAAGCTGAACATGAAGTAGGCGCTCAACCAGCCAAACTTGACCCGAGGCGAGATGGTGTATTCGACGGGGTTACGGTTCCTGTCGGCGTCGGTCTGGTGTCCGGTAGCAGGGCTGGCGTTGGCCTCGAGATCGTAGCTCTCCTCGATGCGCTTCTCGTCGCCGTTGAGGAGGCCGTGGCCCTCCTCGCTCCGTCGAACCTCGTTCTTGAAGGTGCTAGATTCCGCCATTGCTTCAGTTGGTGAGGTTGCTGGATGGATTGAAGATTGGTGTGGTTTTCCTGCGTTCCCCCGTTCGTCGCAAGGTTGGACTTCTTAGTTTATTTGTTTAGACCGTGTGTTCGTCCACAGATACCCTGTCGCTTAGGGGGTCGAGAAGCTGACGACTGTCCTGGTTTCACGACGCAGATCGGTCCCGAGCGTGGGGGAAAGTCGGCAGGATGGGCGTGCGTAGACTAGTCGAGCTTAAAAATCGGACCAACAAGCGACGAATGGCGGATATTACGGCTTGCGATGGGAGGAAGGTGTAAAAGGAGACAAAAGAGGTCCGAACGAGAGGCAGGCGACAGAAGGAGTGTGTTGTCTTTAGGTGGGTGGGAAGAAGTGAGGAAAAAAAAGGGACCTGGATGAGTGGTGCAAAGGTCCTTGGGAGGATAAGGGCGTGCAAATGAGCCCAAGACTTCGGATCACGGGCTTTGCGAGGCGTCAGCTAAATCCAATGCACCAATTGTCTGCCAGTGTCGAAACCCTGAAAAATCAACGGTCAGGTCTGGGAACAGGGGGGAAGGGCAGTAGAAAGCTGGGAAGAAGGTTCAGAAAGGGAACGACAGAAACGGGGACCGGAAGCAAGAAAAAAAACGTGTGGAGAGGAAAGTACTGGAGTGATGAGGTGTGCGTGTGTTAATGATGGGAGGAAGACGTGGAGGTAGTGGTGGCAGAGTCAAGGAAGAGTGGGAATAGGAGGGAGTGGAACACCCGAGAGAGAGGCAGGGTAGAGAGCTTCAGGGGGGTCGACGGGGGGGGGGGGGAGGGAGGGAGGGACAAGAGGAGGAACCACAGGATGCCGAACTACTCAAAACGGGCATCTTTCTCGCTTCCGCGCTTGGCATCAATGACGTTTCGGCTGGCGGCATTGGCATCGCCATTGCCATCAGCTCTTTTGCTCAGTCACTCACTCTTAGTCTATAGTCTCTCTCTGGGAGTCTGCGTCTCTCAGTGCCGTCCGCCGACTGTCCGCGGCCCGGTGCAGGGCCAATGACGCGTACCTCGCCGGGAAGGTAAACCTGTCCGCCACGATCCGTAGAGTCGCAAAGCAGGCAAGGGGTTTCTCAGATCTGTCTGATTTTCTGAGTCTATTGGAGGAAAATGGGTCATTGGTTTCTCGTACAGTTTCCCTTGGAATATAGGTAGGCTTGTGTAGGCAGGGAGAGCGTGTACGCAGTATGTATGAGAAACTAAATACGGATACACGTTGGATCTTGAAGGGACCGCGTGGGACGTAAAAACGCAGCCAAGGCACATCACACACACGGTGAGGGGAGAATCCGTTGCCCATCAGACCCGCGGGGGGCTCGTTTCTGGATGATTGCGCGGGAAACCCTGGCCGACTCGCTGTTCCAGTATCGTTGCGTCTTCATTGCCTGCGCCGGTGTGCGTGTATGACGTACATTGCCTGCTGCCAACCCGTTTAAATCCAAACGGTAGCCGCCAATCGGCACGCCGCGCCGCGCTGGTTAGTAAATACGCCTACGGCCACTAATCTACATAAAAGCAGAGGGGATGCCTGGGTCCGATTTGACCCCCACCAATTGTGTTGTGGGCGGGGAGGATGACTATTCACAGCAACTACTACTACTATGTATGAGGCAGGATCCGATTGGAATATGAGAGGGTACAGATCGCCAGCGACGTCGGTATCATCATCCACCCCAATCTCTGTCCGGCGCCAGTGGAGGACCTCTCGCGACCTTGCGAGTCTGGGACAGAGTAAACGACATAGTCAGTGAAAGTGTGGCGGCGGGTCGACCACCGACCTTGGTCCTGGTCTGCTCCGCGTCTGAAGTGAACTTGTCCTGGGGACTTGGGAGCCCCCCTTGGCAGCCGCGTAAGCCTGGACCTGATTCACCCTGGTGTGACCGGATGGCAGGGGCACGACTTGGAGCGAAACGGGGCGAGGTAATCAAAGGGGATGAGCCGGATACAGTGCAATCGCGGCAGAGGGGGGGCCGGGATTGTCTTTAATTGGAGGGATGGTAGCGATCGTCGTCTATGGCGGGCAGGCCGGGGTTGAGAATCCGCTTTGGAAGTCGGCGATGAAGAAACCTGGGAAAAAGAAACGGAGACAACTGGAGGCAAGTCTGGACTCTGGCACCAAGTAAATCAAGTGAATGAAGCTCACGGATGGGACAGGTTTAATTGCCCTCAGATAGCGGCGGCGGTGGCAGCAGCAGCAGGCCATCCTCACCCCCGATCTTTTCTGGGAGCTCCATGTCATTCCAGTCCGGGGCGATAGTGCCTCTTGCTCCAGATGCACGTAGAGGATACCTAATCGACAACGCTATGGACGGTTCCTCAGCTTGACTGACTCTCGAGGCTCCGTCTGGAAAACCTGGAAGGAAGGCGGAATAGCGGGGGTAACACCCAGCACAACCAGCATACCCTGAACACTCAGCGCGTGGGAAAGAGGGTCAATCTGACTGGCTCATCTCATTTAAATGCGGCTCTCGGCATGGACCAGCATCCCAAGGCGCCAGGAAGAATTTTAGAAAATAAAAAAAAGATAAAATAAAAATACAAGATCAGACGCAGAAAGCTGCCGATTGATTGATGGATCGACCCCCGCCATTCTTGTCTGCGCCTGCTTACCTAGTGCACATGCTAGGTCTCGGAAAGCATCTTGTTTGACAGGTCTCGAAGCTCAGGTAAGGTAGGGGAACTGAAGGCACCCGCATGGCGATGCCTGTCTGTCTCGTCTCGCGGTCGTCTGTGAGGTTCAGCCGCTTGGAGCAACACCGCCCACGAGCACTACCAGAGCCGATAAGCCCAATGTGCTGCACGCCGAGACTTGTTTCGGTGTAAGCACCGCAGCCATTTGGGTTTGGCTCCCTCCCTTGGCCTTGGGCCTGGCTCTTGCAGAGGAGGAGGAGGAGGGAGGAGGAGGAGCGGAACTTTCGGTGGAGGCAAGGAGGTGGAGTGGGAACAGCTGTTAGCAAATAGGGGGTGAACGCCAAGCCAAGGAACAAAAACAGAACACCGAGCGGGAAACAGCTCTGCAGACATTGGATGCGACTGGCCCAGAGATGCAGGGCGGAAATGACGACAAGAAGGCATTGTTGCACGACGGCAACACGACACTGGGGCCTTCAGGACAGCAGTACATAGTAGGTAGTGGAGGAGCCGTGGATGCTGCGCCGTAGGAGTGGAAAGGGGGGCGTGGGATGGCACCGACGGGACGCGGTGGAGAAGAACCCGGCCGCGGGAACCGTACCTGTGTACTGCATAGGTGCAGTGGACGTCGTACCTGCTGCCTCTGTACACTGACGACACTACGTACATACATACGCTTTAACCTTCGACTTATCGCAAGTGGACCCGCTTACATCAGCACGCACCCCGACGCATATCTTATCTCCCTCCAATGCGCGCTCACAGACTCTTTTTGCGCCAGGTAGATTCACACAATCAACCGTCGTGGGGATACAAATGCCGCTCGCAATCACGGCGGCTCCCCGTCAATCTCATCTTGGACCCATTTCCAACACCCACGAGGACACATTGTACAAGGTGGCCTCGAGGTCCTGCTGCGTTGGTGAGACGGGTGAGACCCATCTCAACACGCGCCAAAAGGGAGCAGTCAACCAGCGAATCGAGGTGCGTGGCGCAAACGTTCGGCACCTTGGCCCATCTCAAGCCTCCAGCCGCTTAACAGCAACCGCATTGCGCTAAGCTTAGCGCAGGTTCCAACGGCTGTCTCGGGGCAACGACACTCAAGACCACGACGGACGACAGTGCGTTTCCTCGACTCCTTCTACAGACATGTCTTTGCCATGTGGAGGCGTGGACCGGAAAAACAATGCGCCAAGCAGAGCCACCTGGCACCTCAGGACGCGGGAAGTTGGGAGCGGCGGCGGCGGCGGCGGACACGACGACACACCACTAGGTATAGGGATGGAAGTATTGACGGGTTGCAGGACAACAACCCCCAAGCAGGGGCCCCCTTTGGGGTGAGGTCTCACCGATGCTGCGATACCAAGCCTCCCAAGCCGGACGACGCGGCAACTTTGATATCTTGGGCTCACCACGCCAGGGCGACCAGACCCTCAGCCTGGTCGCGGCCAGCCAATGCCAGCGAGCCCACGTCAGCGCTCCCCCCGTCGCTTGCCGACGGTCCCACGATCCTTGGAGTATGTATGGATATGCCCACTGTTCACTGTCCGCGACCTTTGTTGGACCCAGTAGGCTATTTTTTTTTTTCGCTCGATGCTCACGCGCGTATCTTGTTGCAAATTAAACCCTAGCCATGCGACAGCACGCCCTCCAGGGACCTGGTGCACCGCTGCTGTTTCTTGTGGGCAATGTTCAAACTGTGAGACGCTTGTTTGCGTGTCCCTCTCCGTGTACACGATGCGAGGATGCGAAGGGTCCCTCCTGCCCATCCATGGGTAGCTGTTGATGCAGGTCAACTACATTCCCGACTGGCTCGTGGCATTTTCTCCTTTGCATCCAAAACCGTCTCGTCGTGCTGCTCCGCGCCAGTCCCGTCGTCCCGTAACGCCACGCCACGCCGCATTATCCGTTCCCCTAACTGCTCGCCCTCTACTAGGTATTCCTCTGTACACCTACCTACCTGCCTGCGCCTGCGCCTCCTTGCCCTCCAGGCCACCCTAGCGCCCATCCCGTCCCTTCCTTCCTGCACTGAACAGACCACACCGCCGCCGCAGCGGCAGCAGTAACAGCAGTACCTATCTTGGCTCATCGTAACTCCCGTGTTCTTCCTTTCCCCCCCCCAGCCTGAACCCTCCACTCCCTTTCATTCCGCGGATGATGACATAGCACATACCATACCCTCCTTCTTTTCGATTTTCCCATCAGCCCAACATCCGTCCAGTACAATCTCGGGCGAATGTTCTTGTGTACCCGGCCCACATTACGAGCACCCCCTACCCAATTTCCTCGCACCTCTACTTCCCCGGACTGTGCAGGACTGCCGGCCCTCACCCATATCACCAGGTGCGGCTCAAGTACAGCCTGAAGCGAGGCTCGCCTGCCTGTCGAACCGCGTGTCTCTCCCGCCGACGCACGACTGTCTTGACCACGAAGGGGGCAGTCCAAGACAGACTAGACGATATCGAGACCCAGTCAGGTCCAAGGAAGCGGCATCCTACTCGAGAGGAACGGGAGAGGGACTGCAGGCCATTTCGGAAATATTTCGAACCCCCCGCCCTCTGACAGCTCCTGGAGACATTGGCATTGGCAAACTGGCCCAGCCGCCCAGAAGCTCCTCCGCCCATCGCCCACCGCACATTTCTTGCCACTGGCACTTCTTTTAACTCGGTTTTCTCCCCTTCTTTTCCCTCCAGCCCCTTAACGACGACGATCCTCGACTGCGAGTGCACTCGCTTCAGTTTTTCTTTCCTTCTCTCGCCCTCATTATCGCCAGCCTTTGTTGCTTCTCTACATTCTTTATAATACCCAACTGCGCTCTCGACTGCGAACCCGTCATCGGCGTCCCCTTGCCATCGCCCGCCCAACCGTCACTAATTAGCTTGCGCTCGCGCCCTTCAACGTCCCGAAATCGCCCACCCTGGATCTTAAGCCGAGCTGGCAGCTAAATGAAACCCGCCTCCCACCCATGCTGATGGCACTGAAAGGCCGCAGACTCGCACTGCTGGCCGCCTTCGTTCTTGTTTCCGGTCTTCTGATCTTCTCGCAATCCCTTTACCCGGAGAAGCTGAGCTGGGTAAGTTTCTTGTCGTTACTTCAGGGTTCTTGTCACTACTTGATCGCCGTCGCAAATACCCCAAAAGCCGGGGCAGCCCTTTTTTTCCCCCTTCTCCTCCTTCAGGAGAGGAATGCGTCCACGTGCCGATCTGGGCTGAAACGTCAACCGAACTCCTCGCGGCGGGACCCTGAGACAACCGTCGTAACTGATACTGACATTACATTCCTCCACAGTCCGACATATCAGCTTCGCTTCCCACCGGAAGCAAGTCCTCCGTGCCATCTACCAAGGGCAGCAAACCCGGCTCCGAGGGCGTCGGCCGCTTCCACTTTCTCATCGCCGCCAGTGCCCCAAACTTGCAGTTCTGCCGCGCCCTCGTTTCGTCGACCGTCAACCGCTTTGGTGCGCCCGTCATTGCCGGATGGAACGGCACCGGAGACAACGACGCAGCTATCTCCCACTTGGCCAAGATCCGCGTCGTTGCCAAGTACCTTGAGGAGCTGCCCGAATCGAGCGACGATGACCTGTTCCTTATGATCGACGGCTATGACGTCCTCCTCCAGTTCGGCCCCGACGTTTTGATCGACCGTTACTTCAAGGCTGCCGAACAAGAGGACGAGCGCATCATCCAACAACTCGGACCACAAAAGGCTGAGACCCTCGCCGGTCCCCTCGGCCGACACATCTTCTTCGGCGCCGACAAGGTCTGCTGGCCTGTGGACTGGCGACGCCCAGCATGCTGGGCTGTGCCTCCCGTCCCCAAGATGGACGGCCGAGAGTTCGGGCCTTATACTAACACGGAGGACATGGCCTTCAACCATCCGAGATGGCTCAACAGCGGTACCATTATGGGCCCGATCAAGGAGGTCCGCGACATGTTCCGGGCCACCCTCGACCTCATCAACGAAGTCTACGATCCCGAGTACGAGTTTAGAGAAAGCGACCAGTTCTATATGAGCGACGTCTGGGGTCTGCAGGAGCTTGAACGGATCGAGATGCAAAAGGACGAAAACCCCGACGCCGTTGTCATGCAACCTCCGGAGGACGGCTGGGTCCCCAGCCTGGAACCCGCTTACAGCTACAACTTCCACATCGCCATGGACTACTGGAGTCTGATGTTCCAGACATGGGCTGGCTACACGGAGTGGGTGGACTGGCGCAAGTTCGTCGGGCCCCTGTACTCGGTCGAGATTACGCAAAACCACCGCAACAACTCCGACTTTGTCCCTTGGAACCTGCAAATGCAGGCGGACGGCATGAAGTCATTGAAGCGCATCTTCAACACGACGTCAGATGAGACTATGGGCGCGACGGTGAACGAGCTGATCCGCAAGTCCGAGTTTGGAGCCAACATTATCACCAAGCAGACGTTCCCCCTGCTGCACGTTACCGGAGAGAAGGGAGCCTTGGATGCCTTCTGGCCTCGCATGTGGTTCTTCCCTTACGGACGATCGCTGATCCGCTCTGCCATCAAATGGTTTCAAGCCGAGCAGCACTATGCGCCCGAACCGATCAACAACCGAGTGTGGTACCCCGCGCACTCATATCCCAAGGACATCAGGGAGAGCGACGCCGGTGCCTGGTCAGACGCTAGCAACGACAATGCAACCGTTTACTGGTTGGGCTTCGACGAGCTCTGCGCAGAGCATCACGGCATCCTATTTGGGGAAGAGTAAACCTTCAGGAATGGGATCTACTACATGTTACTTGATTTGAGCATATTTGAGTATCTTGGGATACAAGGTCTGGAAAGAAAAGAAACACTGCGGGTTCTCCGCGAATCCGATGCATTAGATCAGCGGCAGAGAAGCTGCTGCAGGCCAGGGACTGCAAGAGTGTGTACTTCACACAATATGTGACGGCCGGCATGGCATGTTGAGACACGACATGCAAAGTTGTAATACACATGTACTTGTGCGCATTCTCCTTCTGTATAACGCAGCGTTGTCTGTTATCTCGAGTTGAAGCCCGGCGACAAAACAATAGACAGACCGCCATCAAAGGCGGCGAATTTTCTCTCCAAAGATATGAGACTTTTTTGACCAGCTGAGATGCCAAACGCAGGGTGAGTGCAAAGTGTCTGGGGCGGGGTCGTGCCTGTCTCGGTATGTCTGGGTCGATGAAAGGAAGTCGAGTTTGACTCTCCCGGTCCCGCTGCGGGAAGATGATGGGTCATGCCGGTTCCTGTAGGGCTGGATTTAGGGACTATTGGGATCGGGCGAGATGGTGGCTGAGAGGACGGCGCCTGCGAGGCGAACTTTTCATGATTAAGGTTCTGTCATGCCCTGCAGTAGCTGAGCTGGGTCAGACCAGCCAGGACCTTTGGGGAAAAGAAATCTTTCCGAATCAGGATGCATCTCGGTGTCGACTCTCGGCGTGATTGGTCCCCCTCGTGCGTGAAGAGGCGTTGATGACTAGGCCGCCAAGACTGGCCATGGCTTGCTTTAGCCTGCGTGGTCCCGTACACCCATCGGAAAGGGAGAGAGACCGGGAAGTTAAGGGAGAGAAGAGAAAGACAGAGGCGAGCGGATATGGACTTGTTCTCGGCGAGGTTGCTTTTCGTGCGGCGGCTGGAGTAGGACGAGAGGGATGGCGGTGAATGGTTTTACTTTGTCACGCGCGACGAGCTACGCCTCCGGGCTGCTCGACACGGCCATGGCTTTTCCGTAGAGGGGTGGAACGGGGATCTGGTGGCGTTGCTTCAATGGGGGAGGGCGCGGGAGTCAGAAAGCAGTGAGACGGGAGTCTTCGCGGCCGCGGTGTGACGCGAGGGCGGATTGGATTGGGGTGTGGCGGAGTGGTTGTGTTCACGTGAAGCCTTTTATTTTATTTTATTTTATTTATTTCTATTTTCCCTTCCCAAGGCTTGGGAGGCGAGGATGAGACTGTGAGCCAAAATTGGATTGGATTGGATTGGGTGTTTTTCGTCCGCCTGTGGATGAGATGTGACTAGGGGGGAGTGAGAGTTCAGCTGAATGGTTGCCGTGGTTTCGACGTGGGGTTCGTCCGATCTCTGGGATGAACCGATGCTATCATAAGCCTGGGATTGGGCCAAAAACGGACTGCCTTGCACATTTTTTTTCCCTTATATGTCTTGTGTAAGGGACGTCAGGCATAAAACAATTTAGTGAGAGCTATGCCGACGAATTCAGCACGACGTATCAGACTTGCCCGCTCTACGATTCCAAGGCATAAATTCCCAAAACCCGTCGAGAAGAAGTACGGTGACGTCTGTACACCTGTTCACCTGTTCACCAAAGCCACCGAAACATGAGTCCCCATTACACCTTGTGCCTCGCCAAGCACGGCCCTGCTCCTCACGATCCACTCGCAATGTCAGAAAACAACCCCCAAACGGCATCACGCTTGCTGCTGAGCTTACTTTTTACGCGAACGGGGCCGCGAGGTAACCAAAAGAGGTCCCTACGCGAGTTCAATAAACTGGTGCCTATTTGCTCACTACAGATACCCGTTTCCTCAGCTAGCTACCCCGGATACGGCAGCCGGCCCAGGCGCTCGCTCCCTCTTGCTGCTGGGAAGCCTGCGCCGAGCCAGTCACTCCTCGTCCGCAATCCCTCCCTGCTCCGCGTGTTCCTAATTTGCCCTCCGTGTAAGACATTAGCCTCGTCTCTCGGCTCCGGCACTGGGCAGCGAACGAGGGCGTGCAGGGCGTGCGCATACCTCCACCCACACGACTGTGTCCTCGCTGCCTGTATCCTGCTTTGCTTTCTCAGCGTAGAGGCTGACGGGCTTTGCTTTCCTCAGGAATGATCCATTCCACCTCGGTCTGGGCTCCCCTTTCCTCCCATAGGACAGCCTTACGAGACTAGTTTTGTTTTCTGTTTCCTCCCCGTGCCTGTGCCTCAGACAGGGGAACCACATTGACTGCTCCCTTGTTGATATAATAAAGGGAGCTGCCGCGTCCCGCAGCACACGGACTCCCGGGAAGGCGCACATCGCGAGTCACAGACATCTACAGACAGGCAAGCCTGGGCCGCTTTTTCAGAGATTAGCTCAAACCCTGTCCACTGCATATCGATTCAATAACCATCTATACGACCTCACAGTTGTCCTTGTTCCACCTCTGCCTCTACATATCCAGACCAGCACTCCACCACTTACCGCTTACCTCCCTGGTCGACCTGTTTAGGCCAGGCTGTCCATCATGGCCACTGCACCTGCTCCCATGAACTACTCTCCAAAGAGACTGATTGTGTGTTGTGATGGCACCTGGATGAACTCGTAAGTGCTCCCATGTCAATTGTCCTTGTCGGCCTACGCCACGTCAAAGTGCTGACCTGTCGTTCAGGGAGAGCGGCTACGTCAAGCCCACCCTCTGGAATCGCAAGGGCTCCCTCCAGATCCCGTCCAACGTGACCCGTATCTCGAGATGTTTCCGCCGTAGGTGCAGCGACGGCCGGGTTCAGGTCATTGAGTACGAGTCGGGCGTCGGCACGGGGAGCAACACCCTCGACACCCTGACCGGCGGCGCCTTCGGCCTCGGTCTTGGAGAGGTGAGCACCTCCCTCTCGACCTTGTTCATTTTCCTGAACCAGAGTACTTACACACTAGACAGAGAGTCCGCAACATCTACAGCTTCCTCTGTGCAAACTACTGCGACGGCGACGAGATTATCCTTGTCGGCTTCTCGCGTGGCGCCTACATAGTCCGCTCCGTCGCCGGCATGATCGCCGACCTGGGCCTCTTGACCCGTGAGGGGGTCGAGAACTTTTGGCCCATCTTCAAGGACATGGAGAACTGGAACAACCACCGCTACCGCGACGAGTTCCCCACGGTGCCGTTCGACAACAAGCCCAAGGGCGAGGGCGCTGCGGATGTTTACCGTTCCAGGTTGAAGAAGGTGAGTTTGACGGTCGTCCATGCTGTTCAATAGAACGCGAGTGCTGACAGATTCTAGCTTGGCATGACGCGTGTTCGTCAAGAAGAAGGAAATGGCGAGATTATCAAGGTCAAAGCTGTCGGTAAGTAGACCCCTGTCCTACCGAGAAACCCAGCTAATCGGGAACAGCCGTCTGGGACACCGTCGGTAGCCTGGGTATTCCCCAAATTGCTTGGCTCAACAAGCTCGGTATCTACGCATCGAACCGGGAGTTCAGATTCTGGGACACGAGCCTTTCGGACAGAGTTGAGCACGCCTTCCAGGCCCTTGCCCTTGACGAGACACGCTACTCTTTCCAGCCAGCTGTTTGGGAACGCCTAGAGGCTAACCGGCTGTCGACTGATCTCCGACAGGTCTGGTTCCCCGGCAACCATGGGAACTGCGGTGGTGGCTGGAACGACCAGGGGATGGCCAATATCACGCTTGCTTGTAAGTTCACACTTGATTCGATGCTTCTCTCCATCGTTGGCTGACGAAGAGCCGCATAGGGATGATGGACCAGCTGGCGTCGATTGGTGTCGAGTTCAACCATACCGTCCTTGAGCGCTGCGTACAACAATCCAGTTCTTTCTACCAATCGCAGATGAAACAAAAGAGTGTTTTGCAGTGGGCCATGGAGCCAATCTACAGCCAGAACTACCCTCTGCGGCCTTGGGGCCTGGGCGCTATCCAGAAGACGTCGAACCTGCTTTATTCCTTGGCCGGGAAGATTGTCCGCTCGCCCGGCCTGTACAGGCAGGTCAATGCTACAACGGAAGCCCGGAGCGGCAACTTTCTCAAGGATACGAACGAACGTATCCACTCGTCAGTGCGAATCCGTCTGGCCTGCAAAGGCCTCGGCCTCAATGATGCTGGCGTATGGGACAACCCCGCCATGAAGAAAGACTGGAAGTTGGTCCGAACAAAGGCCCAGTACGACGATCCGGTGCCGAGTCACCCGGCTTGGGAGCCGGAAGAGGACAGGGAGGGATGTATGAAACATCCTTCCGAGTGCGAGGACGGTCGTTGGGTCTGGGAGTACTGCGGGCCGGAGGAGAAGGCTCCTACCAGCCCTTTGGCGAGGGTCATGGTCGAGGAACCCCTGGGACCTTTCGAGCGTCACTTGCTGAAATTGACGGGCGGCACCCCCAGTGTGTACCAGCAAGCTCTTGAGACCTCCCAGTAGCCGAGGTGGGCGTTTGATTCTTCCGTATGGTTGGGCGTTTAGATACCACCTTTGTTCTCATCAGCCTGGCATTGGTGTTTAGCATTGTTTGGCTCTCACACATAGACATGATTATTGAATGGCATTATGAGTTTACTTTGGATCTGAGCTATGTTTCCTATCTATCTTGGCTAGAAGTTTGGTGCAGATACCAATATCCTGAATAAATCTCGGCCTGGCGTTGAACTCCGTAGATCAGCCAGGACGTCATCTGCTGTGGGAGCAGCCAGGACGTCTTCTACTGAGATAATTTGGTGAAGTAATGTCTTGGATATGAAGCTTCGGACCTTCGATCGCCCGTCTCCGTCTTTGGTCGGTAGCTTGGTTACATTGAGCCGTACACGGTTGAAATATTGAGATTCGTTTACCAAATCTTTATCTGCCGTGATATCGTCGAGGATCCGGCTCCGTGACTCGGTCGTACACAGTCCCTCCACAGTAAGGTTCTCTATGCTTGCTCTAGAGAGCTTCACCCATATCCCACAGCCAGGCTTGCCACTGCTCACTGAAATTAGCCCTATGAGTAGGTCGGAAAGGGAGTAAGAGCGTGACTATTACCATTTGACATTATTGTCTACTGAAAACCCTCCAACGGTTTTGCATCGCGGGCATTCAAAACTCCCTTTGGATCCCCCGCTAAGCTGTATATAGTTTGAAAGTCGACTGCCATGTTTATTTTCATGCCAGGGCGTAGGGCGCCGTTCCATGGTAACGACTCGAGCAGTTCCCTCCCGCTCACCTCGTCTTCGAGCGTGTACTCCCCATTGACAATCTTTCGATGACCCCTTTTATTCTCGAAACGGTTCACGATAAGACACCGGAGATGCTACCGTCGTCAGTAACTGGAGTCTTTGTTGAAATGGAGAACATTACCTCCCATGATTCTAGCCATTCAAGTGGCAACGTCAAGACGTAACCCAACGCGTCTTCGAACAATACTTGGCTGCGCGGGACAGTACCGGGACCACAAAAGAACCTGGCACAATTTTCAATATCGCGCTTTTCCACGCTCAGGCGAACGTTTTCCTCCATCATCGCCTTGATTTCCTGAATGTGGCGAGAGTCCTTCTCGATAACTCCCGCCAGTGACTGGCTTGCGTGCTCTTGTAACGTCAAATGATGATTTAATGCGGTAATTTGCACGGAAAGCGACTGGAAATCAGCTACATGTTTCGAAAGCAAAAGACCTTGTCGATTGACATCCTCAGACACTGCATGGATGAGGGACTGAACCTCTTGAATGCGTGTTTGCATTGTAATGCTATCAGCCTGAGCCGCTTTCCTTGAGAGAAATCAGTAACATGAAGTGTAGCTGTGGACATTTATACCTACCGTATATGAACTTGTAGAAGAAGCGAGAGCCTAAGTGTTGTCGTTGACAATTTCTGATGTAGTCCTTGGAGCCGATCTTGTTCCTTGAACGTGAATTCAAGTTTTCTGACAATTAATGTCGGCCTGAATCGGGGTTGAGAACTGCCGAGCGCAATGTCGTACTTGTATCGTAAATAATCTAAACATTTGCGCATGTCGCTTATGCAATCGTCCATGACGGACTTGATTGCAGCATCAATGGCGACCAGCCATTCGGAGTGCTCGCGTTCCTGATAAACAGAGATAACCTATGTCGAGTTCAATCACAAAACAATTGGGTTGGAACGCAGCGCTGTCAAGCCGCAACAACTTACGTTCATCAATACCTGGACAAATTGGTCCAGGTTTTTTCGGAGCTCTTTGTAGTTTCTGACACTGCCACGAGTATCATCTAGGGCCTTGCCTACAGCCATGCCGATTTGGCATAGCTGCAGAATGTCTCCCAAGCTACCAAAAGTAAAGCCAGTCGACATTTCAACCGATAGCCAGTGTCAGAATTCAGATGGTGTTTATTGTGGAGTCGCTCGAACTCATAGCGGCAGGAGAAAGGACGGGAAGAAACAAACCCGGAAAGCAAGCCTCTGGCTGTGGATTGCTTTACATACTCAGAAACAAAGGTTACGTTCGATCAGGCTCATCCGTGGGCATACTTGGCGCACTTTTGAATGGCTGGGATTCCATCCATGGCGCTGACACACAAAATTCGACTGCACCCGGGGGCGGTGTTCCAACCTCTAGCTACTTCAGTGTGTGTCTTGACGAGGGTTTCTATTGGCTCAATCTGATACCAAATCTTCCTGTCTCATTGCGAGACTGCTGACTGGCACTCACAGCTAGCCTTTTCCACACGAGAGTAGTCGGGCCATTTGTCTCCGGGTGAGGTATGTTGTAGAGCTTGCCACTTGAAAGATTGACATGAGTCAAAAGGTTTTTGATATGCTTGGTAACCGTATAGCACGCCTTTCACGCATACAAGTACGATGCTCCTCACTATCTATAGTACAAGCAGAGCGTCAAGACCAATATCAATAACATTGACCTACTTGATTTTGCTAGGTTGTCAGTCACCAGTAATGGTAGCTGGCTTGCTGCCGTCATCAAGCCCCCGAAGGGCATGGGAGTAGGCATTCTGCTGGGGCCGCACTTGAGAATGAGATATTCGATGAAGAGCCAGCAACGAAACCCATTATCCGCATCCTCGTTGGTGTTCGTGGTAGAAGATAATCACAAAGCACGTACAAAGTCACGCAGTAAATGCTTCTACATGTCCAGACCAGTCATGGAACCCCGGACTCTTAAAGACACTGAGAATTTAGAGGATCTACGCGGGAATCTTGAGGAAAAAGGTAGTATTTTTGTGTTTCATGCTTCTGGATGTTCTGGGTGGAAGGAGAGGGCGCCCCAATGCACAGTACAAGTTTATAGAACAGTATTATAAATAGTGTAAGCAAGTTGATCATGAAGCACTTGGATGTCACCTAGTGTTGGCCCCGTTTAGACGATCTCAACCATGCTGCAAATACTGAATAGCCATTGCTATAAGCGAAGACTCCGACGCTGAGCAAACACCATATCCACCGGTATGTATATACAGCAAGCTGGTCCACTTGACTAATTCGGCATCCTGAACCCAACCACCACCTAAGCGCCGCCCTCAACCACAAAGCAAGACCAAGCCAACCGTTGAGTCCCGAGCCCCCATACCTCCAGTGTGTCTACTTACACGGTGACTATCAACAGCTGCTCAAGTCCACGAGCTAGTTCGAGCGGATGACCTCGGATCGATTAGATGCCCGGTGCTTTAGTTAAAGAGAGGCGCTCCATTCACCCAAGTAAAATGCGAGCATCTGTACGAATCGAGTCACCGGATGAAGCGCAACGTTCATCATGATGAAACGGCTGCGTCGCGACTACCACTTTACGTTCGTGAGCTCTCAAAGACGGGACACACCTAGAGTACTTCACAGGGACCTCGAAGACCTGCGAGGGCTCGCGTTGCGGATATGGAGAGGAGGCGGCGCGCATGGACGGTCTGCGATATTGTTCAGTATACAAAACACGCCTACAGTGGTCTCTACAATATGGCGTCAGCGCAGTGGACGATCGCTTTGGCCATGTTGAGCAGGCTTCGATGCTGCGGGGGAATAATCCCAAGAAAGGTGCGAGGACGGGTAGCGAGGTGAAGGCTAGGGTGGATGCGCTACAATGGGTTGCGAGGCGAGCGATACTATGTTGCAAAGACACTCAGAGAAAGGGGGTCGAGGCAAGGAGCGCTGGAAGGCTTGTGTGCTGCGTGGTGAAGAGTCGAGAAGACGGCGAGGACGTGGGCGCGATTTATACAAAGTTCGAGGCTTGTTGTCCAAACGGCCGCTCAGCGGTGCGACCCATCCTTTGATGGGCCGCACATGGTTCGCAAAACCTGTCTTCGCGCCAGCACGATCAGGCGACCAACCAGCGGCCGCCAATGCAGCTCGTGTAGAAGAAAAGGGTGCCACCGTCAGGCAAACCCCAACACCTCACTGCCACAGAGGAAACCCAACCGAGGTCGAATCACATCCTTCCACAGGGGCAGCCCGCGTCGCCTCGGAAACATTTGTGATGAAGAAGCAAAGCCCTTGGGTCTAGATGCCTCAGGAAATAAGGGACGCTGTGTACAGATACACCACCCCGTTTCACAGCATTCTCAACTCCCCCAGAGGGCTTCTTGAGGCAGACACCGGGCGGGCTAAAATTGAGGCTGCCGGAGGCAAGAGGCGGCCAGCCTGCAGCAACGCAGCTGCGCCTCGCGGGGGTTAAGGACGCCTTACGAAAAGGGATGCGTCGCTAGCCTCATCTTGGCCGGGCGAAGCGGGCGGGAGGACGCAGTGTGCGGTCCGTAGAGTACCCATGTGTGCTTCTCAATTAAAATCCCCGTTGAGCAATGGAGCTGCGAGGCGTCTGCGGACGATATTCTATCGACTAAGAGCCCGGTACAGCTCAAGCTGCGGCCGTCATTAATGTCGTTGAAGTTGACAAACCCCACCGGGCGCGTGCCCGGGTATTAGATGATCCGATGGAGCGATTTTGGGCCGTATCAATACTCTTCGTGACACTGTACTACGCTTATTCCTCCTGCGAACCCTCAACAGATTGCAGTGAGCGTCCACCAAGGCCCTATCATGGCCTCCCTTGCACACATCACCGAGGCCCTCTCGGCCCTCACACCAGCCCAATGGTGCCAGGTGTTCTTCGGGGTCTCCTCAGCAACCGTCCTGGCCATACAGGCAATCCCCAAGGCTGCCCAGCACCTGCTCCTCGACTACGGCGCTCGCTCGCCGGCCAGTACCGATGACCAGTCAAAGGAGGCAGCTGGACCCCAGGGATCGAACGTTTTCAACGATATCGTCAAAGCGGTGACCTCAGTCGGCCAGATTCCGCACTCGTGGTTCATTCACTTCTATGTCGCGTCCGTTGCGGGCTCGGCTTTCTGGGCATGGCAGTACCTCCAGGGCGGTTCGGCCATTACATCCATCGCGGCGCAACAGGCGGCTTCTGGAGCTCCGTCCATGAGCTTCGAGCAGACGGTGCTCGTCTGGGCGCTCATGGCGCTGCAAGGTGGGAGAAGACTCTATGAATGCTTGTTTGTGATGAAGCCGGGATCTTCCAAGATGTGGTTCATCCATTGGCTGCTCGGACTGGGCTTTTACCTCTGTATGAGCGTATCCGTCTGGATCGACGGTTCAGGCGAGTCTCGTCACTCCAATCTACGTCGAGTCATCCACTGACCTGTCCTAGTTTCCCTGCGAGAATCGACCAAGCCAGATTTGGGGAGCCTACTGTCGCCTACCGCCATCTTGGGAACCGCTACGTACTTGTACGGCTGGACCAATCAGCACCTATGCCACAAGCACCTGGCCAGCCTCAAGAAGTATTCATTGCCAAACCAAGGCCTTTTTCGATATCTCGTCTGCCCCCACTACACGTGCGAATGCCTCATCTATCTGGGGCTTGCCATCACGGCCGCACCAGAGGGCCAGCTGATTAGCCGCACTCTCCTGTGCGCCTTCTGGTTCATTGTTGCCAATCTCGGCACAACAGCCGATGGAACGAAGCAATGGTATGCGCAAAAGTTTGGCGCTGAGAAGGTGGCCGACAAATGGAGAATGATTCCGTTCGTCTTCTAGACCCACTTGAGCCACAACATCACTTCTTGCCAAATAATCCAAATCTGGCCCCAAGCTTCGATACCTGCATCACGTCGCGGTATGTGAGGCTTGTTCTGGTTGCGCGCACGTTTCGACCGGCTGCGAAATCGGTTTTCGACCGCAAGAGGTCCCAGTTCATAACACTTTCGGCAGAAATCTCGACGTCCTCCTTGATATCGGCAATGCCATGCAAGTAATCGGTGTAGAGGTCGTCGGTCGTAATAAGGAGGCTTCTGGGTTCTTGGAGAATGCGTCCCACGGGCTCTGGATCCAACCCGCCGTCCTCCTTGCTCTGGTAGAGGTTCAGACATAGACTTGCTCCCAGGCTGACAGTGCACACGACTGGATGATAGGCAGGCCCGTCCTATAGCCAGTATGAGATTCAAAAGCGCTTCACGTCAACACCTACCGTGTACTCAACTTATGCGGCATGATTCCAACTCCCGGAGGATATTCGTTAATCAGCACGTGGTTCGGCCGCTTGTGAGGGCTGTCGGCGAAGAGATTGGACGAATCAGGACCGGCGACGAGAGGCAAGGAAAGAATTCGCGAAACCACGGGTTCTTGCAACCACTGTGGCAAAGGAGCCTCAATTAGCTTGTTGTTGACGAGATCGGATGGCCACGTCTGGAGACGTCGATGAGTCAGTTGCTTCCAGCGGGGTTTCGGAGCATCGGCTATCTGTTGGGTGACGGGGACCGACGATTAGCTACAATGTCAAATGAGGCACGCTTGTCGGACCAAGTGCTTCATACCTTTTGCAGTAGGAATTGTTCCTCTTCCTCTGATATAAAGTCCGCGATGTAGTAGGATGATGACGGTAGCTTCTCGACCTTGACGTCTTCGAGGGAGGTGGGCAGGTTCAAAGCTCTCCAGTCCATCGTGCCGGCTTCGCCCCACTGATGCGTGATCCAGAGAGTTTGAAACTTGGGATGCAGATGGTACAGTTCGGCGCTGCGCCCAACCTTATGGACGGGAATCCCCAATAGTGTGACTTGATGTGGATGGATGGTGCGGTTAAGAAAGATCAAGTACAGCGAAGCTTGCCGACGCGAGCGAGGGGCACCGGTTCAATCGTGTTCGTGTTAGCTCTCAAGCTCCGACTGGAACGCGATGTGGGTAGAGTCGGCACCAGTAGTCAGCGACAAACGGTTCTGCGTCAAGCCGGAAGATCCAGGCGGTGGGTGATGATGAGAGCGGGAAGATTAGAGTGTGGAGAATCGACGAAGGGAGCTGGAAGCGGAGGGCGGGTGGCAGGCGAGCGAGGCGAGATGTAGACCAGATGCCTGGAATGCCTCACGCCGAAGCCGCAACACTCGCAGCAGAGGGCTGGGCGCGTGCGTGTCAAGCGCCAGTCGCCAGTCGCCAGTCGCTCCAACAAGAGTCCAACAAGTCGCGGGACGAGGACGAGTTGTGTGGCGCTGGAACAAAGGAGGCGAGAACGGACGCTTGCTCCCAGAGGCGCTAGAACAAAGCAGGCAACGGCATGTCCGTTAATCACGGCAGAGGATTGCATGACCGTCAGGTGTCCGTTCCCAGTCACGCCGGCGCTGCCAGGCTGCTAGGTGTCGAGAGCTCTCTGTTTTCAAGCTTGGTCGTGATTCGCTCTCTGAATTCAAGATGCGACGACGGGGGAGAGGGGAAAAGAGGAGCCTGCTACGACGCTGGAGGAGGTTGGGATTGGCTGAGGTGGGGCATTGGGAAATCGAAGGCTCCGATACGTAGCTTCCGGGGAGCACTAAAAGGTAAGACCTGCGCACTGGGTTGGCTCGGGGTTTCCTACCGGGAGAGCGAACTTTGGCAAGGCCAGCAAACCAGAAAACCTGTACGGTCGGGTCAGTTTGTTTTGGATTGATATCCCCTGAGAATCCCGAGGGCTGGTCGTCCAGGGTCAGGTGGTCCATTATGCACTCGGCGCTGCAGCTTGCAGAGCCAGAGCCAGAGCCAGAGGCGAAAAAGGGAAACAGAGATGGCGCCGCTATCTCTCACCCTATCTTTCTGAAGCAAGGTGGGTGCCAGGGCTACTTCAAGGTTGTATCCTCGTCGACCCTCGCCCATCCTCGTTTGGGGCCTCTGCTAGTGCGCCTTTTGACGGTACTTGCTTGCGCCGCAAGCAACTGCCTGGCCTCCAAGTACCTGGCCTCAAAATCCACTACGTAGTTCTGACTGCAGGTCGGTGTGTGTGAGCGTGTGTGTGCGTGTCCAGGTGTCTTCCTGTCTGGTCTGTCCACCCCAGTTGTCAGGCTGCCACTGCCACAGCCGCTACTACCAGGTGCACACCAGGCTCTCAACTCACTGCCTGCACCTGCTTGCCTGGTATCTCCCGACGCTTGCTGCTGCTGGTGTTCTTGTCTGCTTGGTGGCTGTCCCGTGTCCCGTGTCCCGTATTCTCAAGCAAAGCCCAGTGCCCCCCGTCGGGTCCAATCAAATAGGTGGCGATCAGACTTTTTGACTCTGAAGACTCTCGCGGCCCCGTTTTCTACCTTCAGCCATACCGAAGTGTCAAGCGTCACCACCAGAACCTTTTTTTCCGCATTACCTACCCACGCCGCGCCCATCGAGCCCATACGCATTATTCCCACTCGGCCAGGCGCTTTCTTTGTTTTTTTTTCCTTCATCGTCGACGTGATCCAGTCTCTACATCCAACTCTTCCTCGCCTTCGACAACCGACACCTGCTCCTTTCGCGCGGCCCCCCGTGACTGACCTGGCCACTTTCTCTTAGGGGGTTCCTTTCGAACGACCGAAAACCCATCCACCGACCGCAATCAATTCGACCCGCGCCCTCAACCCTCTTTCTTTTGGCCGACCCTTGGCCAGGATGGTGCTGGCCAGTTTTTCGACCTCTAGATAAATGATATGGATGCGCAGAATGCTGCCGGGTCCGACAAGCCGAAGCCCGTCGCTGCTGCGGAGAAGCGACCGGGCAATCACCCGCCTGACGAGTCCAAGGAGTCCAAGGAGCCCAACAACAAGCCTGCGAAGGCTGCGGACGAGTCCATCAAATCCCCTCCTCATCTGCCCAAGGACATTAAGCCCAGCGTAACCGTATCGCGCGCTCCTTCCGCCGCCGACGATGCTCCTGCCGACCGAGACTCGGATGCCGAAACCATCGTGCTGCCCGGTAAGGATGGCCACTCACCCTCCAAGGTGAGGAAGGTCAAGCACGAGGATCGCAGCGATGGAGAGCCCCCGGCCCCCCCGGCCCTCCGAAAAATCCGTGATGCCAGTGCCAGCAGAGACGGCGACAAGGAGAAGACGCCCAATCCTCCCCGCTTGTCCGAAACGGCCTCCTCGCTCGGATTGAAGAAGAAACGTCTCCACGATCAATCCGTCAGGAGCAAAGATGGTTCTAGTGGCCTCAGCTCGGCTCCTACATCGCCTCCCCACCACAGGCGTCGATCTGGTGGGCACTCCGATTCCGACACGGCGGGTGCTGACCGTAGGAAATCCCCTAAGCTGCCCATGAAAGACCGAGCCAAGTCCACCGACAGGACAATACCCCACAAACGCAAAGCTCCCAGGGCAGACTCGGATGACGAGGCGGAAAATCGAAAGGCCCGACGGCAACGCATCATCTCGGATCACAACAGTGGCATCGAATCTCGTGCGAACCGCCTATCCAAAGAACCAAAATCCTCGTCTTCATCTAAGAGAGAACACGACGGCCACTCAGGTTCACGCACCAGATCCGTATCTCCCCACCATCCACGTGCCCACCGGCGGAGTGTTTCGACGCAGCTCCCTGCAAACTCCTCTAATGGCCTGAGCTACAAGAAGAAGCGCTTACCCCCCCCTCTGCAATCGACTGATTACCATTCGGACGAGTCTTCTGCCAGCGGCAGTCCTCATCCCCGGAGCTCCAAGCTTCGCAACCTCTCTACGCCCGCTACTGCCGAGTCAAACATGTCGCCTGCGAAGATTGCACCACACAAGAAACACCTTGACGCACACGGCCAAACCTTCCTCGCCAGGGCATGTGCTAGAGGCGAATACGACCTCGCTAAGCAGAGACTGGGCGAGCGACCCGAAGACCTCAACGTAGCCGACTACGCTGGCAATACGCCACTCCAGATTGCTGCAATTAATGGTTACGAGGATATCGTGAAGCTCCTCATTGACGCCGGCTGCAACTTGGACTGTGTGAATTATGACAAGGACACACCATTGTTGGACGCCGTCGATAACGGACATTTGGGGGTCGTGAAACTGCTGTTGAATGCGGGAGTCAACCCACGGAAGGCCAACTTGAGCGGTGAAGAGCCTTTGGACCGAGTCAGCGACGACTTGGAGAATGCCGAAGAGTTTCGCGCCGCGCTTGTCGAAGCAAAGTCTAGGCAGGGCGACAGGAGACGCACATCCGAGGACCACCACCAGACCGACCACCTGGACAGCCGTTCTTCTCACGGACCAGACAGTCCTCGACGATCGCCAGCGCCCTCGGGTTCTCACGCAAGTGGCCGCCGGGCTGGTACTGTGAGGGCAAACAAGACGAGCAACCACTTGCTGTACATGTCATTAGACGACAAGACACTTCGACAAGCTGCTGGAAAGGGAGACGAGGAGACTGTCACACGCATTCTGCAGGTCAAGGACGGTTGCGACGATTCAGAAGCCATGGTTGCGGCCGCTCGAGGCGGCCACGAGGTGGTTATTCAACTTTTGCTGGCGTTGGGCGGAGCAAATCCCGATCCTGCTCCAGTCTCGAGCATGCCACCCGAGTTTGCAACACCCATGCTGGCCGCCATTGGCCAAGAAAATATCAAAGTTGTCAGGCTACTCCTGGATCAGGGCAACTTTGACCCGACCCGGCGGTTCAAAGGCGAGACCTACTACGAGATTGCGCGACGCCGACAAGGAACGAACTGGAAAGACGAGGAGCACATGCTCAAGGAAGCTTACGATGCGTACAGAAAGTCGCATCGTGATATTGCCAAGACGAAATCCCCGAGCAGGCGCGAACGTGAAAGAGACCGTGAAAGGGATCGCGATAGGGAGCAAGACCGCGAGACGAAGCGCCAAGGTCGTACTGAACTTAAAGACGAAGCTCGGGTACACAAGCGCAACCTTTCTAGCCCCCCTCGCGATCCTGAGAAGAGGAAAAAGCTGTCCACTCGAAACGTTACCAGTCCCAAGGAAAAGCGGCGGGCTGACTCTTTCCATGACGACCAAGCTTCACCAAAGCGTGGTCCTGGTAGACCTAGAAAAGAGGATCGATTGCCGACGATCGCTGTATCAGACCGAGAGGCGTCCCCTGCACTGTCGCAAAAACAATCAGCGAAATCGGTGAAGCGAGCAGAATCCGATGTTGCTGCCATGTCGTCTGAAGGAGAGGCTGCCAAGCCTCGTCGGAAGTTAGTTTCCAAGGGGGAACTCCGCGGTGAGAGGGAAAAGAATCGACGTGCTAGCATGGTGTCTACCACTTCATCTATCAAGGATCCGTCGAGCCCCCGCGACCCCAAGAACGACGATCATCCTGAAAAGCCAAAGGGTGAGCCCTTGTCAGAAAAGTATCACGATCGCACCAAGGCTCTCAAGAGAGACGAGTCTAGAGACCGGCTTTCCGTCTCAGGCGATAATTCTTCCAAGAGGCACCGGTCTAGCGTCACACCGCCCCATTCGAGCACGGGCGAGAAAGACGAAGGCGAGGTTCCTGTGAAGCGAAGGCGACTCGATGTCGACGGCAAAGAGCGACGGACAAAGTCAACAGCATCCCCCGACGACCCTCACCGAGCTTCTCGTGATGGCCTCCCGCGATCCAAGTCGAGTTTGAGGGATCAGGATGACAGCGATCGTAGACCGTCCAAAATCAAGGTTGACTCTGATGGCCACAGACGAGAGTCAGGCAAGTCTAGCAACAGCGACAAGTCGAGCATCCATGTCAAGTCTGAGGACGTTGACATTGAGATGCCCGATGCGTCAGAAGTGAAAGACACTATTGAAGCAGACACACGTCTGAAAAAGGACCGCGATGAGGAGAAGAGGCGCCTGGAAGAGAAAGAAAGGCGTCGAGAAGAGAAACGTCAAGAGGAGAGGAAGCGTCGCGAAGCCGAATCCGAGGAAACCCGCAAGAAAGAAGAGGAACGCCGACAGCGAGAGGCGGAAGAGAAGAAACGAGAAGCTGAACAGAAGAAACGCGAAGCCGAGCAAAAGCAACGCGAGGCTGAAGAGAAGCGACTGAAGGAGGAGGAGGAGGCCAAGCAACGCGAGGAGCAGGAACGCAAGCGCAAGATTGAGCTGGAAAAGAAGCGCCAGGAAGAGGAACTTCGGCAGCGACGTGAGGCCGAAGAGAAGAAAAGACGCGAGGAGGAAGAAAAACGACTCCGTGAGGAAGAGGAAAAGAAGCGGCGCGAAGAGGAGTTGAAGAGGAAGGAAGAGGAAGCCCGGAAGCAGCGGGAGGAAGAGGAAAGGCTTCGCAAAGAACAGCTTGAACGCGAGGCTGCCGAAGAAGCGCGACGTCTCCGGGAGGAGGAGGAGCGCAAAGAGCGTGAACGCAAGGAACGTCTCCATCGCGAGGAGATGGAACGCAAGCGGGCCGCCAAAGAGGCCGAGCAGCGGCGAATCCTTGAGGAGCAAGAGCGTCTACGCTTGGCAAAGCTACCTCCTCTGTTGCGCTGGCTGGACGGTTGCCCCAACCCCAAGACTCCCGAACTCGCGGCAAAGTTCAAGCACATGCAGGGTGTGCGGTACGACACCATCCAGCCGCAGGCCACCGGTACGGCCGACGGCAGAGAGCAGTGGGTGCTCAACACTCATGCTGCACTGCTTCTTGGAGAGAAGGACCTCGCCTTGTCACGATGTAAGTACCCCAGCGCGCGACAAAGTCAATATCATCCTGACAGCATTTCAGATACGGCTTGGGAACATGTCCCCGTCTCAGATCTCGCCAAAAAGGTCATTTGGAGACTCGAGTCGGATCGGTATGCCTTGATCAATGAGAGCCTCTACGAGCTCGGCACGGGCCTGTCGGGTTACTATGGCGAAGGCCAGGACCCCTTCAAGATGAGCTACCGCATGAAGGAAAAGCTTCGTGGTGAAGCGCGGGAGAAGTTCCTGAAGCTGGACATGTTCTTCGTCAAGGTACGTGTCAAAGTCGGCTCTTTGCAGATGGCTCAGACTAACAAATCCCCAGGTATCGGACTTGATGTTCATTGTTCCGAACATCCCTCATCTTCGGAGTCTCAAGATGAGCGTCGAGTATCGCGAGCTCCCTGACGATGAAGGTCAACTCTACGGATGGAAAGTCCCGCAAAAGTGGAAACAAGACCCGGACGCTGACCGATTTTATGGTTTCGCGCCGAGGAACAAATATTACATTAACGGTGTCATGGTTGAGGAGCAAAAGCCCGGAATGTCTGCCACGAGCAGCTCCCCCTTTCCCGAGAAACGGGTCCCTCGGAAGGGACTGCAGCAGGTTTTCCCATGCGACCCCGACTATGCTCGCGTTTGCAAAGAACAGGGGCTGGAGCACCTCCTGAACGGCACAAAAACCCCGACGATGCCCAACGGCGGGCACTTGTCGCCGAGAAGCCAGTCGAATGCTACCGAGTCATCGGCTGAGCCATTGAATGGCCCTCACGCTGTGGTCTCTGGGCCAGCGCCCGCGCCCGCGCCCGCGCCCACACCGGCATCGACGGAACCGAGGCTTCTATCGAACGGAGTTAACGGCGTCTCAGTTTTGGGTTCCAACTGAGTTGAGTTGATTCACGAAATAGATCAAACGAGTCACACTATTTAATATACAACCATGCACATGCCTCTCAGCAGCCCCCGGAAGCGACACATGATTGATCGTTGGAATCATCAGAAGCCTTCCAAATAAAGTTGGGGACCGGGTCTAACTACCCTCTCATTGTTTCTTGTGCCAGGGGTTAGAGGACAGAACGACATTCGGTTTCGATTCATTCGGCCGACTTGGACGGGCAGTTGCGACCTGGAGATGTCGCCGGACCGCCATAACTTCTACGATATATTGGATGACCGAGTGCTGTAATTATGAAACAGCCGTTGTCAGTATTTGCGAAGACGAGGAATCAAGATATGCATGTGGGCAGATGATGGACGAAAGACGACTACGGCTTGAAAATGTTGAGAGTCGGCTGGTGCTCCGGGTCGGGTTTCCAGGCGAGCTACGTAGATAATGAAAACAATACCGTTCAAAACGCACTGTTACTCTCCATGCTGACCGTGGGTGCTGGAATCTTCCAACGCTACCTGATGATCTTTTGTCAGAACGCAGGGCTGAGATCGCGAAAGCCTACAGAGTTGAAATGAATCAGGTTCTGACATCACCGACGGGACCCAGACGATCCGACCAATCAGAAGCGCCGAGACGGCAAAAAGGACGGCCCCGCCAAAATTTTGATGTGCCTTTCTCACATTTCGCACCGCCGCCCCGCCATTTGCCCCCGAAAACCCACCACCACAAGCCCACCAACTTGCCAGGACTATCACCAAACCTCCCCAAACCGGGACAGCGGTCTTTTTTTCTTTTTTTTATGTTGTGTTGGTTGCGTTCGTAGCATCTGCGCATCCTCGAACAACCGCATCACGAACACGTTACGACCAAAGGACTTTTTTTATTTGATACCCAAACCTCCTTCCGAATTACGAGGCGGCAACCACAGTCGGCTTCGACGCGGACGCTGAACAGGCCAGACGGTCCATTTCCAACTTAACCCCTCCATCGAGTAGAAGCGTCTTCGGGACGACGAAACCGCAGCCATGGCGACCACGGTGGACAAGGTATGTTCGGCCTCATGGCGCTCTACTCCTTCAGGCTCTCTCCTGCCTGGTTTATGGTCCAGCTTGCTAACCTCAAAATTGTGTAGATCAAAGACATCGAGGCCGAAGTACGTTTGCAACCCCTCCATTATCATCTTGCCTCTCGTCCCCAGCTCCCCTCCCGATCGCCCATCATCGACGACGTCAAACGGTCCCTTCGAGTCCTCCCGCGTTCGACATGGCGAGGGTTCTTAACCTGTGGCGTCGCCGACTGTGCCTTCTCCAATAACCAACACTCCGAACCCTCCCTCCCGTCAAATCGCACATGAACCGCACAAAGAGACGAAGAAGAGCTTTAGGAATTGGAACTGACCATGGTACTTCACCACAGATGGCCAAGACCCAAAAGAACAAGGCCACGTCCTTCCACTTGGGTCAGCTTAAGGCCAAGCTCGCCAAGCTCAAGCGCGAGCTGCTGACGCCCTCGGGCGGTGGCGGCGGCGGCGGTGCCGGCTTCGATGTCGCGCGTACGGGTGTCGCCAGTATCGGCTTCATCGGCTTCCCGTCCGTGGGCAAAAGTACGCTCATGAGCAAATTGACGGGCCAGCACTCCGAGGCCGCCGCCTACGAGTTCACGACCCTGACGTCCGTCCCGGGTCAGGTTACCTACAACGGTACGAACGTCCTCTGTGGATGAGTGCAGAAAGAGACAACCGTGGACACAAAATGGAGACTGACATATGTTTAGGTGCGCCGCTCCAAATCATCGACTTGCCCGGTATCATCGAAGGAGCCAAGGACGGTCGCGGTCGTGGTCGGCAGGTTATTGCCGTGGCTAAGACGTGCCATCTCATCTTCATCGTGCTCGACGTCAACAAGCCCCTGACGGACAAGCGCGTCATCGAGACTGAGCTCGAGGGCTTCGGCATCCGCATCAACAAGAGCCCTCCTAACATCACCTTCAAGAAGAAGGAGAAGGGCGGCCTCAACATCACGAGCACAGTGCCGCTGACGCACATCGACCATGACGAGATTAAGGCCGTCATGAACGAGTACCGCATCAACTCGGCCGACATCGCCATCCGCTGCGACGCCACCATCGACGACCTCATTGACGTTCTCGAGGCCAAGAGCCGGAACTACATCCCCGTCATCTACGTCCTCAACAAGATCGACGCCATCAGCATCGAGGAGCTCGACCTGCTGTACCGCATTCCCAACGCCGTGCCCATCAGCTCCGAGCAGGGTTGGAACATTGACGAGCTGATGGAAGCCATGTAAGAATTTTTGCCTTTCCCCTCTCCTCCCACGGACTATTGAAGCCGTCATCCGGATGTTGGCCCCCGGAGCGGCACAGCCGAGATACGATCAGGGATCACCCCACTCTGCAACCTGTGACTTGTGAGAACCCAGGAGCTGACAATCTTCCTCGTTGTTGCGCACAGGTGGGAGAAGCTGAGACTCGTTCGCGTCTACACCAAGCCCAAGGGCAAGCTGCCAGATTACTCCCAGCCCGTCGTGCTCCGTTCGAACAGGTGCACGGTTGAAGACTTTGTGAGTAGTGACCCCATCCCTGAGGCTGCCCCCAAGGAAAGCCTCGCCCAATACAGCGCGAGCATCTTTTCCTTTCTGGGAAGAGGGTTGCATTGTATTGCTTCCTCGTTTGTCCTTACTCTTGCTGACTGAAACGTTTCCTCTTGTCAGTGTAACCAAATCCACAGGAGCATTCTTGAACAGTTCAAGACTGCCATTGTGTACGGCAAGTCTGTGAAGCATCAGCCTCAGCGCGTTGGACTCTCCCACGAGCTAGCCGACGAGGATATCGGTAAGATCTTTTTGCGTCTTGTTTGCCCTGCAACCCCCATGTCGAACGCCTTGGCTTCTGAAACCCTTGTTTGGCTTTTCCTCCGGACATTGGAAAAGGAAACCGGGCTAGGAGAAGCAAACGTGGCTAACATCTGATGACTCTAGTAACCATCGTCAAGCGCTGACGAAAGCGAGGACAAGCTAATTTGCGCATGGCGACCGCGTTGTCGTCATGTCCATGTCTGCCTGGACAAGCCGCCGGGCGACCCCTCTGTGGGAGGGGGAAAAAAGCCACTTGCCTCTTTCCTCCCCTACTCTCTAGATCTCTTCTGGATCCTGAGGTCTTCTTTTGTTCGCCACGATCTCTTGACACCGATCTTACGGGATCGCGTGTAATAACTTAAGAAGCTTTCAGCAATCTAAGTGATATATACCAACACACATACGTGCGTGGCTGGTGAGGCCGGACGATGCGCTACCAGCTGCAACTCTGAGACTGCCGTCATATTCGGAACAGAGCTGAGTGGCGGTGCTGGGCATGGGCATGGGCGCGGCCGCAGGTTGTCCGGACGGCGCATCAAGTTGACTACCTACCTTTTTGCCGCCGAGAGCAGATGGGGTACAAGAAGGTGACGTTGGGTCAGTTGAGCAGCGTTTTCGTTCCAGCATTATAGAGTAGGAGTAGATGCAAAGACAAAAGAAAAAGGGGGGCCCGAGAAGGACCTGGCTTGTGGAGTGTTGGCTTAATCGAAGCGGCTTCTGGCAGATAACGTCTCCATAGCTTTTCCCTCTTGTCCTTCATTTGCCCCTGAGAGGAACGTTGTATGTGAAGTTCTGGCCTCGGGCTAGTCGCGTTGGGCCATGTTGTGAAGTAATGGCCGTCGGGCACTAAGCTGCCCGCCGGGTGAAGGTGCCTGAATTGCGCAAGCTTCCCGGTGCCATGCCCGGGTGGGGATGGTGCTGAGCCCAGAGCCTCGCGAAAAACGAGTTCATTGTCGTCCTCTTCGTCACTTGCATGTCGTTATCGTCGTAACCAACGTGACTATGGATGGGGGCGGCGTGGCCGTGATTCGAGATGGACTACCCGGTGCGTACCCCACACACGCCACCATCTGATGTCGTCGGTCAGCAAGCGGTATGAAGCAAATGTCGTGGGCGACCTGCATAACCGAGGGCCTCTGTTTCTGCGGCCGTACTTTTCCCAGGAGAAGCGCGGGATGCATATCTTGTCTGCAAGAAGGCACCACATGCCCGCGCGGTGCTTGGTGCTCTGCAATAGCTCCGCGCGCGAAAGAAGAGGGTGGGAGGAGAAGCATGCAGCTTCAACACGCACATCCTCTTCCTAGTGCATGGGTTGACAGGAGCGGGCAGATGTGGGTGGGTGAGCCAGACGGGGGACTCCCTGGGAACGAAGGCAACGTCGGCGCTTAAACCAGAGCTAAGACGACACCCTTCCCTCCTTTCTCTCTTCCCCTCGCAGCTGCCACGCTCATAATTCGGCCTGTTAGCATTCGCTGCTGACGGAGCGTCCCTCGAGAAGAGAGACCCGGTACTACTGGCGCGATGCATTTCACTGCAATTCCCCGTTGGAAAAGCATGCCCGGCGCAACACCAGCAGCCCCGGACCTGGAATTTTTTCTCAGCAAAAGAGGGGGGAGGCGCCGGAACCAGTCAGACGCAAATCCTCCCACGCCCACCTTTCACAAGGCTTGCTTTACCGCCCATGTCAAGCATATTTTGTCCTCACGCAGTCCCGTTTTTTTTGTTCGTGCTGAGCGGATGTGCTAGTCAAAGGTGGGTCGGCCGTGGCCCCCCTTCACAGCGAGCCGTGATCTCATTTTCTCATTTCATCTTATCCGAGGAGGAGAGGGTCCGGGCCCGCGGTATGCGACGAAGAGAAAGGAGGGCGGTTGCGGAGTATGGTAGCAGTGAAAGTCGTAGACCGATCTTGGCTTCTTGTCTCGACTCCGGCTCGAGATTGCCCACGGGCAGACGAGTGTATCCGTCGTACCTTGCATCGGATACAGATGAGGCGAACGATGGGCGATAGGACACAGACCACGGGAGAACGGCTGCAGGGAAGGGAAGGGAAGACAGGCGCAGGGGCAACACAGACCGACGGCGGCGGATGCTGCGCTGCAATGTTGCTCGTGCTGGCTAGAT